TGAGCTCTGCCCACAATGGGGGCAGTGCCTTCGGGATGGTAGGATACGGGAGCATCCATCCCACCCCAGGCATGCCTGCTAGGCCTGTGTCCTTCCACGAGCGTGGTGGGGCTGGCAGCCGGGTTGACTATGACACACTATCCCTGCACTCACTGAGGCTGGGTGCCGGGGGCCTGGAAGATGGCTACAGTGTGGTATCTGAGCAGATGGAGCCTGTGAGCGCCTCTACCTACCGGGCCCTTGCCTATGAGCGCCGGGCCAGCTCCAGCTCAAGCCGGGCTGGGGGGCTGGACTGGCCAGAGGCTTCCGAGGGCCCCCCAAGCCGCACCATCCGTGCCCCTGCCATGCGGACCCTGCAACGATTCCAGAGCAGCCACCGAAGCCGTGGGGGGGCTGGGGCAGTGCCAGGCACAGGCCTAGAGCCCATGGCCAGGGCCCCATCTGTGCGTAGCCTCAGCCTCAGCCTAGCTGACTCAGGCCACTTGCCTGATGTGCGTGGGCTGGACAGCTATGTTGGCCATCGCGCTCTACAAAGACTCAGCAGCGGGTAAGCTGGCTGGGCCCATGGAGGAGGGGATTTCATCACAGCATACAGCCCAAGGCCAGAGTCAGCCTGATCCCTGCCCCTTCCTCTGCAGCTTTGATGACATCGACCTGCCCTCAGCAGTCAAGTACCTCATGGCCTCAGATCCCAATCTGCAGGTGCTGGGCGCAGCCTACATCCAACACCGGTGCTACAATGATGCAGGAGCCAAGAAGCAGGTGGCTGCCCCCACTGCCCATCCCTGACCCCAGTGGCTGCTCACTGGCTGTGCATGCCCCAGATAACCACCCTCGTTGGTCCCTGTGGCCCTTGATCTCTGGTCCCTGACTAATCTCCAAGCTAAGTGGGAAGACCCACCCTGCCCAAGGTCTCTGCAGGGCATAAATGTGCCATTGTGGATGCCTGCACACACCTGCACGCACTTTATGCAGATGTGTAAAGCTGCCACATCATCTGCACGTTTGTATCACCTACACACATCTGCTCATGCCCACACACATCTGCATTGCTGCCCACAAGTGCACACATCCACGCCTGCTCCTGCACACACAGACTAGTCTGCAAGTACTCATATAATTCACATTCCTATGCCGCAGGCCCGCAGCCTTCAGGCAGTGCCAAGGCTGGTGAAGCTCTTCAACCATGCCAACCAGGAGGTGCAGCGCCATGCCACAGGTGCCATGCGTAACCTCATCTACGATAATGCTGACAACAAGCTGGCTCTGGTGGAGGAGAATGGCATCTTTGAGCTGCTGCGGACGCTGCGGGAGCAGGATGATGAGCTGCGCAAGAACGTCACAGGTATCCCCATTACCTGCCCTCCTTGTGTCCCCTCCATTCCCCCATGTCATGCCCCTCCTTCCCTTTGCCTCTCTCCATCACCTGTGTCTCTCCTACCCCTTGGTTTCCAAAACCCTGGTCTCTGTGGTTCTTGTCCTTTTCTTTGTCTCTTTTTCCCTCTCCCCCTTTCTCAGGATCAGACTCAGGGCCTCACCATGCCAAGGCAAGTGCTATACCCAGCTCCTGCCCTCAAGCCTCAGTCTCAAACCCCAACAATCACATGGAGGATTTCCCAAGGGGGTAGGAAGTAGGGAGCTTCCTCTGCACCATCTCCTGACCAGCCAGCAGGGTCAGTGGGCGGGTTCTGACCATAGATCTGGGCTGCCTCCAGGGATTCTGTGGAACCTGTCATCCAGTGACCACCTGAAAGACCGCCTGGCCCGTGACACACTGGAGCAGCTCACAGACCTAGTGCTCAGCCCCCTGTCAGGCACAGGGGGCCCCCCCCTCATCCAGCAGAACGCCTCTGAGGCTGAGATCTTCTACAATGCCACTGGCTTCCTCAGGTGCTGGAGCAGGAGCAGCTGACCAGGAGGGCTGGGGGAAGGGACACCAAAAAGGGGTACTTTCATCTGAGGCTAAGAGAAAGGACCCAGCCTGGAACCTGGGAAAAGTGGAGAAGCCAGGGTGGCCACCAGGTGTGGGCATCACCCTGGTTGCAGGCTTGGGGAGTCAGATCTGCTGATCTGACATTCACCTTCTTCCTGGGGTAAAAGGTAGTAGACTAGGGACAGCATAAAGATGGACAGGGGTAGCACTGTCCAGTAGGGACTAAGAATAAGAGAGACAGGGATTGCACCTGAGGATTTTGTCCTCAGGACAGTGCCTTCAGGGATGGGGTCCTTGGAGGTGACTGCCGAGGTCCCCGTGGTACTCTGATCTGCCTCTTCCCAGGAACCTCAGCTCAGCCTCCCAAGCCACTCGCCAGAAGATGCGTGAGTGTCATGGGCTCGTGGATGCTTTGGTCACCTACATCAACCATGCCCTGGATGTGGGCAAGTGCGAGGACAAGGTGAGGGATGGTCAGCACCTTGGGGGCTCAGAGACTGTGGTTCATGCTGAGCACCTTCCACCCTGGCCCTCTGCAGAGCGTGGAGAATGCTGTGTGTGTGCTGAGAAACCTGTCCTACCGCCTGTATGATGAGATGCCACCATCTGCTCTGCAGCGGCTTGAGGGTCGGGGCCGCAGGGACCTGAGCGGGACACCACCTAGAGAGGTGGTGGGCTGTTTCACACCACAGAGCCGGCGGCTGCATGAGGTGGGTGGATGGAGCAGGGAATGTTTGCTGAGCCCACTGATGCCCCCACCAAGCACCCCACAGATCCTCCAGGCCCTCAGACCATCCCAGACCCCACTAACCCACCACACCTTCCATGCAGCTGCCTCTCACAGCTGACGCACTCACCTTCGCTGAGGTATCAAAGGACCCCAAGGGTCTCGAGTGGCTGTGGAGCCCGCAGATTGTGGGCCTTTACAACCGGCTGCTGCAGCGCTGTGAACTGAACAGACACACAACTGAGGCGGCCGCAGGGGCCCTGCAGAACATCACTGCAGGGGACCGCAGGGTCAGTCACATGGGTTCCTGGGAGGACAGGGAGCAAGCCCTGAGACCTGAGTCTGAATGACCAGGATGGAGGGACTATCTGGCCAGGATAGGCAGAACAGGCAGAGGCTGGCAGCAGAGTTAGAAAAGCAGTTCTGCCTCAGGCCTGGGTCAGTGGTCAGAGCTGACGGGGGGCCACTTGTCCCCATGTCACTTCCCCACAGTGGGCAGGCGTGCTGAGCCGACTGGCACTGGAGCAGGAGCGAATCCTGAACCCCCTGTTGGACCGAGTTAGAACCGCTGACCATCAGCAGCTGCGCTCTCTGACGGGGCTCATCCGAAATCTCTCCCGGAATGCCAGGAACAAGGATGAGATGTGTGAGTCACCCACTTCTGCCAGGCACTGCCTTACTCTCCCTTTTGGGCTGGCCTCTGATGGGACCAGAAGGAGGGACTGACATTCCAGCTCACCAGGAGCAGAAGGGGGAAACTGACCTCCCAACCTCCTGCAGCCACCAAGGTGGTGAGCCACCTGATTGAGAAGCTGCCTGGCAGTGTGGGTGAGAAGTCTCCCCAGGCTGAGGTGCTGGTCAACATCATCGCTGTGCTCAACAACTTGGTGGTGGCCAGTCCCATCGCAGCCCGTGACCTGCTCTACTTTGATGGGCTCCGGAAACTCATCTTCATCAAGAAGCAGGACAGGTGAGGGTAGGCTGAACCTTGAGCCAGTGGGGTACACTTGGCTGCTCTGCTTTCTCTCCTAACCCTGACCCTCTGACCTCCCCAGCCCAGACAGTGAGAAGTCCTCTAGGGCAGCCTCCAGCCTCCTGGCCAACCTGTGGCAGTATAGCAAGTTGCATCGAGACTTCCGCGCGGTACGTCCTGCACAACCCAGCAGGCAGTCAAAGGGGCAGAGCTGAGTATGTGGGATAACACATCAGGAGCGGGACATGGATGTCCATGAGATATGAGAGACCTGGGGCCCTGGTCATGCCCTGGCCATACCCAGCACATTGTGATAGGCCCAGTGTTTCCTGCTGGCAGGGCCAAGTGGGCACAGACCTACACCCTGACTCAAGCCCCTCTCCATGCAGAAAGGCTATCGGAAAGAAGACTTCCTTGGCCCATAGGCAAGCAACCTGGAGAAGGTGTTGTCCAGCCTCCGAGGGACAGGCTCAATTCTGGCTACTCTCCAGCCAGCCTGATGGAGGAGGCTGATGGCCAAGGGCATTCTCTCCCTGGTGACTCTATGCACCTTTGAGGAGCCTTGCCATCAGGTGGGGATGGGGCTTGCAGTTGGGCATTTGGCTTTCACAAGGTAGTGGGTGTGCAGGGCTTAGGCTGCTGTGGTGCAAGGGATGGTGACCCAGTCGAAGCAGCAGAGATGGGATTGGCCATGTCTGGCAATGCCTCTAGATAGCAGTGTGGGAATAAAGGTAACTGAACTCAACCCTGGTCCTGAGTGTGTCCATGTTTGGGCTGCTAAGCCCAAGACCTGCAGTGTCCCCAGGGATGCCTGCCTGGCCCTGAGAACACTCACCTCCTGAGCTCACACACAGACCTCCCAAGGTCAAAAGACCCAGGACAGTCAGGGAGTGTCCAGCAGAGGGAGAAAAGATAGTGTTTCAGAAGATGGCCCAGAGCTGCCTGAGGCACAGTCACAGTACAGCCATGATCTTTCAAGCAGAGTAACCAGGAGCAGGGCTACCAATGAGCAGTATTCATGCAGCAAACACACCCCAAGACTCCAAGTCAGGCCTGCCCCAAGCCAGAAGTGCCCAAAGGTTTGTGTTCAAGAGGCTCAGGAACACCCACAGAAACTCATACTTGAGGCATTTAAGAAGACTGCCTTCTCCAGGATCTGTCCAGATCATAAGGAGCTGGGGTTATCTAAGGAGATTTGGGGGGATAGCAAAGGACATGCCTGAGCTGGTTCAGAACACAGAGAGGGCACAGATTGGCAAATGGGTGTTGGGGAGGATGAGACAAGAGAAGGTGGACAGCCTTGGAAAGCCTGAGCTGGATGCAGGAGAAGGGAGTGTTCCCCCCAGAAGAGGAAGCTGAGACCCAGGTAAAAGCCAAAGGACTTTATTTTCTGGAACCTTGGGCTCACACTCCTTCCCTTAGAAGCTCTGGGCTACAGGCAGGTTTTAATCATACTGCATGGCAGGAACCTGCCTGCTCCTGGCTCCCAGGCTGGAGTAAGGGCTACACATCCTCCTCAGACACCAGGCAGTAGAAATCTGTGCGAACACTGTAGTTTCCAGAGCCAAGGTCGGAGTTGTCCATCTCGATGCCACGGCCCTCTCCCATTGAGACCCCACTTGCATGCGGTGGAACTGGTGGCTTCCCAAAGACAGGCCCTCGTACACCTGGAGGGTACACAAGCCTGAGGCTGGGCTGTCCACTCCTCCCTTGCACCAGGACCACGGTCTGAAGGTCAATAGGGGCATGGCCTGCTCACCCCCAGACATGGTAGTACTGGAGGTCCAGGAAGTTCCTAGAAAGGCACTGGCCGCCCCTGTAGCATCTGGGGGGCTGTGAAGCTGCCAGGGCTGCTGGGGGTGGTGATCAAACCTCCACAGGTTGCAGGGGTCCTCAGCCTCCCCCACACCTCCCCAGTCCTGTGCCTGGGCTTTTTCATCAGCATGGCCGGGCAGGCGTACCCAGGTCTCCCTCAGGGTCGGGGTCCAGCTCCCGCTCCAGAGCCCAGCCCTCAGCGGCACGACCTCGCATGATCAGCATGGGGTCGTTGTCATCCTGAAGATGGGTCTGAGGGTCCCCTTCAGCCGGCCTGTACTGCACCTTCCGCGGCAGTGCAAGCTGCAGCTCTTTCCAAAAATCCGAGGACGGCATCTGGGGGAGGGGAGGTCCATCAAGGTCTGGGCTCGCCTGGTGAATCCCACCTCGTCCCGTCCCTTCTTGCTCCTGGATGTACCGCGGAACCCGGCCTCCAGAGTAGCAGGGTGACCAGGTGGCGGTGCTGGCGCAGTAGGCGCAGCGCAGGGTGCGCAGGATCGCGCCGCGGGCCCTCGAAGGTGATGAAGATGGGCCTGCGCGTCAGCTCCAGCAGCCTGCACAAGCCCTCCCTGCGGGAAAGGGACCGTCAGGCGCGGAAGGCGTGGCCCGCCCCCACCCCCGACTCGGCCGGACGCACCGGAAGCTGTGGCTGCACCAGGCCCGTCCTAGGAAGGAGTCCGACAGCACCACGATGAGGCGCCGGCAGCGGCTCAGGTTCACTAGCAGGTCTGCAGAGGGCTCTGCAGACGCCCAGTGGTAAGGGGCGGGGCCCAACGGTTGTGGGCGGCGCCGGAAGGTAAGGGCAGGGCTGCAGTGATGGGGCGGGGCTCTCAAGGGGGGGGATGACCTGGGAGTCGGGGGGACCTTTAGGCGAGTTGGGGGGAGATGGGGAGGAGGTGCTGAGTACTAGAGTAGGGGCGGGGCCAGTAGTAGCAGAATGCCGGGAACAGGGCAGAGCCAGCGTCGAGGGCGGGGCGCTGATTGCGTGGGGTAGACGGGGCGGGGCGGTACCTTGCGGGGTGGGCGGGGCGCTGCGTACGAGAGGCGGGGCGGGGGGGGCGGTACCTGCGCGGGGCAGAAGGTCGCGGTCATCCAGGAGGAGCTTGTAACCTTGACGCCGCTCTAGCTGCGGCTGCAGGATGAAATTCACGAACTTGCGGTCGTCCGGGTAGTCACTGTAGGAGACGAAGGCGTCGTAGAGCTTCCCGTCTGCGAATAGCGGGCAGTGAGTGCGGCCACTTCAGAGGCCCTGGAACCTAGACCGGGTCCCAGCACTGTAGCTTCCATGACTATGCCTCCTCTGCGCACCTCAGTACCCTCAGAGACCCCGCGTCCTAGGAATACCTGCTGCCCCTTACGCACCATTCATTTCCACCTCCCCATGCGTGTCGTGATACCAGAGCAGCACGTTGAGGCGACACTTCACATACAGTAGCCCTGCCAGCAGCAGGACCAGTAGGACCAGGAGGGCGGCCAACACTGCAGCCACGTGGCCCGCCAGGCCTGCGGACAATGCCAGCCTGGATCAGTACCCCTCAGGCCTGGAGGCCTAGGTTTCCCCACCTGCAACCCATGCACCCCCTCACCAGCTCTCTGAAGAATGAAGGAGAAGGAGTTGACATTGTGGACAGAGCAGGTGAAGGTCCCATAGTCCTCAGCTTTGGTCACATTGATGCACAGGACACTGGACACAAGCACCTCTGATAATCTGGTCTTGACCCTAAGGACATTGATCTTGCCTCAACCTGGAGCTGAGCAGCACTGTATGCCCCAGAGCCACACCTTCTGGGGCTCACAAGAAGAGGCTGCTGAGCAGTTCTTGGGCCCTAGGCTAAGAGAAGTGGCCAAAATCTGGAACGCTGTGGGCCTGTTTCCAGTCACCCCTGGATCTGGGTCCTGGAGTCCTTTGACTCCAGAGTTGGCTGGATGACAGTACCTCATTCAAGCTCCAATCCTTCTAGGGCCCATAGATAGCCCTGCAGTCTACAAGGTGTGTGCCTACAAGAATCACGAAGACCCTAGACCTGTCCCTGCAGTCACCACATCCAAGAGAGCACTCTGCTATGTCAAGTCGGGCTGTAGACCAGAGAAGCCACTGGCAGGGGGTATGTCCAGGTGGCCACTGTAACATTATATCTTCCAGTTCTTACCAGGAGTCCTCATGGTAGTGGCTTATGTTGCCCAGCGGAAGCCCATCTTTTAGCCACTGGACTGAAGGTGGGAGGCAGTGGGGTCCAGAGGCCACCCAAGCTGTGCAATTCAGAGCAACTGCACTGCCTAGGGAAGGCCCCAGGGCCTGCTCTTTAATTGGGGAGAGGAAGTGTGGGGCCCTGTCGCATTCACCTGTAGACAAAGGACACCATCTATTAGCCATGCCAGGATACTGGAGTCCCACCTCATCCACAGATGGTCTATGGTCCAGGGGAAAAAAAGTAGTGGGAAAGTGGTATGTTGCTTAGTGACCACATAAGAACCCATGAGAACCAGGAGGACAGGGCCCAGTGCCTGGCACCCTTCTCCCAGCAGTGATCAGTCTTGAGTGCTCTGCTTGTGTTGAATATGAGTTCACTGGCCTCAAAGGGGACAGCTGCAGGCAGGGCAGTGGCCAAAGTCACTGTTGAGCTGACCCAGCCCAGTACACAAGGATCATCTGGCTACTTATCCACAAAGAAAAAAGGAGTCCAGCCCCCGACACTTCCCATTCCAGAAGAGGAGCCAGTCACTACATCCCTGGGCCTGGTCTCCTCTGTTAGGAGTGCTGCACAGAGTATGGGTACCACTGGGTTGAGAGAACATATGCTGCGTGTGCCAGCCCCTTCCCCAGGGATGGCACAGCTGGGAGCCTGAATTCAAGGACCTTCTGCTGCCCACAGGCAAACCCCTACTTGAGTTCTAACTCTCTTACTACCGTGTGTGTGTGTGTTTGTCGCACTGTGCAGTTCAGGCTGGCCTTGAGCTCACTTTGTAGCCCAGGCTGGTCTCAAACTCATAACAATCCTCCTGCCTCAGTCTTCTGAGTGCTGGGATTATAGGCATGTGCTGAGTCTAGGAAGCAGAGCAGGGGAGGGGTGACTAGAGACCTTTGTACCTAAGGTGACTGTCTACACAGAGAAGCCAAGGTAAAGGTAGAGGGCATAGTGTAGAGCCAGGCTGAAGGGCAGAGGTAGAAGTGGAGACTTAGGCTGTCCATCCCTGAGTCACCTACCTGCCATGGGCTCTGGGTAGGGCCTCTTCAGGTCAGGCTGGATTCTGGGGCCGCCACTGCTCCACAGGGCTCCTTAACAGAGCAGATGGGTCCACCAAGGAGTGGGCAGGGCCTGTCTCTGTCCTTGTGGCTGGTTGGACAGGATGCCTGGACAGGTCAGAGGCTGCTGCCATCCCCGAAAGCAAGTTAAACAGGAACAGGATGAGTTAACCAGTAACTCTTGGCCATAGGTAGCACTGGCCCTGGCTACCCCCAGCGAATCTCATGAGTGCCAGGCACCAGCGTGATCACAATGGGCACTGCTTCATACAGCCAGAGGCACAGGGAGAGGACTTCAAGTTCAGTACCACCTTCATACACCTTGGGGTCACCATGAGACCCAGGAGTGCTATGGACATGTGCTTCATGGGACCTTGTCCCACAAGGTAGCAGTTGACCTCCTTCCTGCCTTTCCCTGCAGTGCACTGCTACGTCTAGGATGTACAGATAGGCCTGGTAGTTGGGAGGTGTGAAGGATGTGTCCCTGGCATGTGGCAAGTGCCTGGCTACCTGATTAGCCCAAGCCTGCTTTTTGCTGTGAGGTTTTATTCTGGGTGCAAGCAAATGTACACAGGTACATATAGACATATCACCCTCATGGACACCCCAAGGATCAGCTGGTCCCTGAGGGTATACCAGTGGGCCTCTCAGGCACCCCTTCTTCTGCATCCCCCACCCCAGGTGACTCTTCTGGGCTATTCTCAGCCCACAGTGGCAGTGGCACACACTTTGAGACTCAAATGCTTTTCAGTGACATAGCTGCAAAGAGAGATGCTAAGAGCCTCTACTTTGGCAGCCTAGGATCCTGGGTTCATCTGTCTATCCAACAGGAATTTGTCAGGCATCTGCTTCCGCCCTGTGGAGTGGACATGCAGTTAAGTGCTAGATCTTGTACCTGTGCTCCCCAGGACATCTCTGTCCCTGATTCCCTGAGACTTTGCAGGAAAGAATGTCCCCATTTCTTTTTCATGTGGTGATACATCCAGGGACCCCAGACTTGGCTCGACACAGTTCTGTCTAGAGCTGGTACAGCTGAGTCGTGTTCCTAGTGGGGCTGGCAAAGGAGTCAAGAAAGTCCTGCAAAAATCTCTGACACAGAATAACTCCCCCCCATTGGGGGTTAAAGAAGACACAACCTCCCATGCACCTGACCCTTCACAGAACAACTAGGGATCAGGTCTTGCAGCATCCCCTAAAGTGACATCCCTAAGACCAGCTAGACCTTGAACCCCCTGAAAGTTCACCCTTAACCTTCCTGGAGGGCAAGGCCAAGGTGGAAGAATCTGACAGACGATGGTTGGTTCCCCTCTCCTCTGCCCCCCAAGTACCCAGCTGCACTAAGTTGTCCCTGGTATACCCACACTCTACACACAACACACTTCCTACCCCACATGCTGCCTGGTGCTGATGTAAGCCAAGCTGCACACACTTGTCATACTCCTACCAAGATCAACTATGAGCACCCTGTGGCACACACTGCACTCCTGCTGCCACTCTCACGTGCACACACTCATATGTGCAGGCAAGCATGCACCCCAAGCACTGCACCGTCCCTCAGACCCAGCCCGAAGGACAGTCCAGCTCTGCAGGCTCACTCAGACCAGAGGCAAGGCACAGTCACCTGGTTCCAGATCTTTCCTCCTGGAAGGAGTTGGTCATTGAAGTCACTCATATGGTTGGGAGCAAGCTCTCCCTTCAGCTGAGTTGCAGGCAGCATCCACAGACCCTCAGCTGCCTTTGATACACAGCCAAACTCAGTGAGGACCTGGCTTTTGTTGGTTTATGTTTTAATCAGAACTTTCCCCGTAGCTTCCTGGAGTTGCAGTCACATCCTCTCCTAAACCTAAACCCCACCCAGGCACCCACCCCTTCCCCTGGTTGGGCGGGCAGTTGGTGGCTCTCACCCCCGCCTGCAGTATCTTCCTGTAACTCTGAGTCACGTGGCCCCTTCTTCTGGGGGCTGTTGCAGCCCCCCGGCCCAGGGGCTTCCTATGTGAATAGGAGGGCAGGGGGACAGCGGTTTGGAGTGATTTGCAGAGGTCCCAGCTGGAGACCTGCAGTCAGAAGAGCCCCCTTTACACACACACACACACACACACACACACACACACACAGAGTGTCACGGGTATCTGGATAGGAGGACCTGCCTTCCAGATACCCACTAGGTGCCATTTCCAGGAGTAGAGTCCTCTGTTGCTCCCGTCAAAGTGAGCAGCCCCAGGGGCTCTGACTGTTAACCTAGGTCAAGGGGATTCAGAAACTCCCAGCCAACAATCGACCCAGGGCAGGAATCTCTGGACGAGGAACACCCCCAATAGGAGTGAGCACTTGTACAGGTTATGGTGTCTCATGGACCTTGGCTTCAGGCCGGGGCAGGGGGAAGAACAGGGCCCCTTTTCCAGGTAAAGAGGCAAACACAGGAGGCCACAAGTATTGCCTCTGAGCAGAGTGGGGAACAACAGACATCTGTTACCACCACAGACTCCTCACCCACTGACAAGTGTCTGGTATTGCCCATAGAATCAGACAAGGATGTCCTCCAATCCTTGGTCCTGTCCTCACCCCTGCAGGGCAGAGGCCTCATCATGGGCTCCCCCTCCAGTCTCTCTGTCCCTAGCTGAGCCCACCAGGCAGCACCTCAATATAACACAGGTGTCCTGCCTCTTTCCCGAAACACAGCCCCACCTAACTCAACCCACCTGGCACACAGACCCTTGGGTGTGGGTGCACCTTGAGCTCAGAGCCAGAAGAGCTGGAGGGAGCCAGCTGGGTTCCCCCCAAGCCACCCTTAGTTTCCTCAGTGCTGGCTGGAGCTGGTACTTGAAGGTGGCATGCAGCCCTTTTAAGGACAGAATTGGTCATCAGCTCCTCATGGGGGTGGTCAGAAAACTGAGGCAGAGAAAGCACCCCACCAGCCCCTCCTCAGCCTCTAGAAGAGCCTGCCACAGGTCAGGGCTCTGTGCACCTTGTCTGTATCATCATCCCTCAGCACTGGCTGCCACAGTAATGCCTGAATGCCCCTCTCCTCCTCTCCCTCTGCTAATGTCTGTCAGCTCTGTAGGGCACACATAAAAACCAAAATCCCCTGTGCTTCTGAGGCACCACAAGGCCCCTAAATCTAACCCCTGCCTGCCCTGTGGATTGATTCCTGGGGCTCTCTGGCGGCCCAGACCCCCAGTCAAACCCATACTCCTCACTCTGCCTGGCTGGCTGGTCTCAGGGGTCCTCGAGAGCCCTTCTACAAACCCTGGCACCCAACATCACAAGGACCGAGCTATCTGTTGGTCGCGGAAAGGCAACCTCTGCCCGTGGGAGAGGCGGAAGGCTCGGGCTTCCGGGGCAAGTGGGAGCCTCCCGGCTGCGCCACTTCCTACTGAACCGCGCCCATCGCTACAAGGCTTCGGTGCGGAGTCCACAGTTCACCAGCCAGGCCTACAGTGACTCTGGGCATTGCGACCTCCACTCACCTTTCGGTGGTTTGAGTCTCCACAGCCGCTCACCTGCTGCCAGCCGCGAGGGCGGGGCCGCTTACCTGGCCCAGCTGCGCAACGGCAGGTGCAGCCCCGCCCCACACCAGGGTCTGGGCGGACCCTGGGTCCTGCTGGGTGCCTGGGGCTAGCGTTGGAGACCTTCAAGGCTCAGCCCCAGGAGCCTGGGTTAGGGGTCAAACCGGCTAGACCAGCCCGCCTGGAAGCACAGAGCTGGGGACTTAGCAGACCCTACCGCCCCAGGGCACCTTTTCATTTCTTCCCTTCCTCCAGGAACCCTAGCCTGACCTCTGCCATTCATAACTCCCTCCAGCAGCACAGAAAGGACAGGGTAGCCTGGGCTGCCACATCCCCTCTTTCCAACCTCAAGGACTGGTTTCCTTCTAGCTCAGGCAGACATCACCCCCAGGAGCACAGCTCTACTGTGCTGAGGCTCAGAAAGTCAAGGCAAACAGGTTTAACTTTATTACAGAAAGTTCTGCTTGGTTGGGGGATCTAGGCCCTTCCGGGGACAGCTGAAATGCTGAGCTTGAAGTAGGTGGCACCAGCAAGATGGGATAGAGTCAAGAGTGGGGTGAAAAGTCCAGGAGACCTGGAAAACTTGGGCCAACTTTGCTGCCTGAGATTGCATGAGTAACCCCCCCCAAATCTGTGGGTATCAAAGTGATCGAGAGGTAAAGTCGGGGTGCTGTACCATGGCTGAGTCCTAAGTGAGATGGCACAGGCCCACAGGCATATAGGTGCTGCTCACAGATGCACCACATACACCTAGAACTCCTATGACCCCCATGATAGACAAGGACCTCCCAGGACACCTCCATTTGCATCTGCATGTACATAGACCCTTCCAGGGACAGCACCACTCTCATATCCAAGAGCCTCCCAGGAGCCCATACAAACACAAGCCTTCTTTTAGGCCCCTGCTCCATATGTGTGCACACACAGCCACAAACAAGACTGGATGTGCAGGTGGTGGTGGCTCCTGGTGTCCAGTGCTTCTCTGCCTGCTTCTGGCCACCTACACATCTGTGCTCTTGGAGCTGGACCTGGAAGCAGAGTGCAGTTGTAGGGATTACAGCCCACATCTCCCCCAAGCCTAAGGCTGCCCCAGTCCAGCTCCCTGTCTCCCTACCTTAGCTTTTCCTGCAGCACATCATACTTCTCCTCCAGAACCTTATTTTTCACCAACTGGGGGACATCAGGAACAAACCATGCAGCAATGACCTTGATGCATAAAGCAACGTGCTGGAGGAAAGAGCCAAAGTCTCATCAAGATCAGGCTGAGACCTTGTAGGGGTCTGGTGCTGGGGGAGGACTGACATGAGCTACCCCCTTCCAGTTCTGCCTACCTCGAAGAGGATGACAAAAGCCAGACGGATGGCCAGGAGGAGCCAGAACTGCTCAGTAAAGTTGTACTTGTCATTAGGGTCACGATTTCGGTAGTCTCGGTACCTGGGGTAGGGAAGTACTGAGGTCAGGAGTCGGGAGCTCAGAAAGCTGCATGGCAGGGGGTGGGGGTGGGTCCAAACCTGCATTCTGTCAAGTTTCCTGAGGCCTGCATTTTCTTGGGGTCCTGGAAATCCTTTGTGAAGAAGACTGAGAGGCTATGGTTGACATAGCCAGTGAGGCAGCTGGGGAGGAAACAGGAGGGTGGGCACACAGTGCCTCAGCCCTGAGGATGCTACCTGGGACCCAATATGTATCTCCTGGGGTAATCAGGATGGGCCACAACCCAGCTGACCTCCTCAGTTTCCCTACACATGGCCACTGGGGACAGGGGGAAGCCATGGGACCTCAGGGTACCACTGGCTGAGGGCTGAGGGGCACATTTCTGGGCTGTTACACAGTGGCCCTGGGGAGTCCAAGAAGCTGGATCTGGTTCTGCTCTGCCTTCCTCCTCAGTGCCAGGAGTGGAATATGTACAAAGGGTCCAACTTAGGAGAATAGCTGTTCTGGCAGAGCCTCAGTTTCCAGTGGAGTCCACTTGGTTAAACTGGGCTCCAGCCAGGGTCTGTGAGTCAGAAGGGCAGGACAGGAAGTATCCCCAGCAGCATCCAGCTGTTCTCAAGAAAGAGGGCCAGGGTTCCCGGGCCTTAACTATAGGCAGCTTCTCAGGGTCCTTACTCGACTTTTTGAGGGGGTTCCCTTCGGCATGGGCTGTCACGGTACTTGTAAATCATTCGGGGGATGAACTCAGATGTGAAGGCAATAACCATCCCATTTGCAATGACCGCCAGCACGCCGATGATCTCCAGTACCTGCAACCATGTGCCTAGGCCACAGCAGTGGGAAAATGGATGTGGCCAGATCAGGACAGGAACCCCCAAGGCTGGCTGGGGCTGTCCTCTCTCAGCTCACAGCGCCCTGTTGCACCCAAAGGAAGTGAGTCCTGCACTAGGAAATTCCCAGGCATGGCAAAACAGGCATGGGAGGGACTCAGCTTTTCTGTGCCACCCCTTCACCCTGACATGGACAGGGAGGGGCACTTAAATGCCCGGCCTCCATCTTCCTGAACTCTTAGGGCCACCACCAGGCTGCTCCTCCCTACAACAGGACCCCTAAACCTGTGCCCAAGGCTGGTTCCCTACCAAGACCTCTCCCTCTCCTCACATGGAGCTCCCTGTTCCCATCTATCTCCAAGTTCTGGTCTAGGTGCCTGTGGCCCCTGCTTCCAGTTCCTGCCCCCAACCACAGGGTCTACTATGCCCTCTGAGTCCAGCTCCCCTGCCTGGCCACTTACAAGTTGCCTATCCTTCTGCCAGATTCTGGTGCCTTTCCGCCTTTTCCTGGGACAGAGTCCACAGGCTGAACTGGGCTGAGAGTGTTGTCTGTGGGGGAGGGGGATCCTGCCAGTGCCCTCCCAGGCCCTGGCCACTGCCTTGTGGAGCCCTGACCAACCGATGTCTTTGGCCTTGCGAGGCACCAGCCGCCGCTGCAACTGCACCATCTTGATGGCATCCAGGCGGATTTCCACCACGTTGCTGAAGAACGCGAGCAGCGGGGCCAGGGGAAAGGCAGCCACAAAGATGGTAGTGAAGCCATACTGGATCACTGTGGTGGACATACCTGTCAGCCTCAGCTCCAGGGGCTACCTGCCCAGGAGCCAGCCCCTACCCATCCCCCACGCACTCATCTCCATGAACTCGTCGAACAGGGTGAAGCTGGTTACTGGGTTCAGACAATAGTTTCGCTGCCAGTCCTGGAGCTCGAGGTCGCCGGCCCAGCAGGCCCACAGCATTTTCTGCTTATAGGCAAACCACCTGTGGGCAGGGAGAGTGGTGGGCATAGGTGGAGGCGTGGGTGACAGAGCAGGCAGCAGGTGGGTATGGGGTGCTCACGGGCGCAGGTACTCCACACAATTGCTGAGCGTTTGCTTCAGGCCCATGATGATAGCCATCTGCACAAACAGGTCCATCATGCAGCCGCTGAGGTGGCACTGTAGGGGGCAGGGAGGGTCAGCATGGAGGTCTGGAGGCGCTCAGGGACGAAGCAGCAAGCCTCAAGCTATACTGACCTCCTCCAGCTTCCACAGCCCGGCTAGGCGCGTGGACTTCCCAGGGTGACCATTGATCCTAGGGAGGAAACTGAGGCCTGAGAGGGGGTGGGGCCATGTCCTGCCCACAGGTGAGGTTGCAGCAGTCGGAGGTGGAGGGGACAGGAAAGAGATGACAGACAGCAGCAGCAGCCCACACCTGATAAACCCACTCCAGAGGATCGCACACTGGGTGGGCTGCTCGGCCTCCATAGCTGCTCACAGGCAAGGATGTGGTCTGCAGGAGGTCAGCAGGGCCTGGCCTCAGCTCCTCCTCATCCACACACAGTTATTTCATGTATAAAATTTTGTATATATTTTCTGTACATGACAGAAAACCTAAACTAGCTGAGCCAGATGTGATGGTATACTCCTGTAATCCCAGCCTCTTGAGAAGGCTGAGGCAGAAGGATCAGAAGTCAAAGGTGAGCCTGAGCAATTTATCAAGACTCTGTGTAAAAAAATAAAAGAGCTGGAGGTATAGTTCAGTGGTGGAACACTTGGCTAGTACATGCAAGGCCCCTACTATGGCAAATATGAGCACACAATACATACAAAAATATACATACACACATATCTATAAACTATCTTAAACCGAGGTGCATGTTTGATGAAACCCTAGAAGCATCCTCATTATGTTCATCATAATTTTAGGGAGTGCAGTGCCTGAGAGAGAACCCAGGACCATTGTACTGAGCTACATCCCTATAGCTTTTTTTCTTCTTCTTCTTTTTCTTAATCTTCTCAAACACGGTCTTACTAAGTCACTAAGTTTTTCAGACTGGGCTTAAACTTGTGATCTTCCTATCTCAGCCTCTTAGCGTCTTGGGATTACAAACATGTGCCACCACACCCAGCTTTATGATAACAATTAATATGGTGCTAGAATTACTGGCAAATAGGCAAGAAAAATACAAGGTATAACCAACAAGTTATAACATATCTGCAAAGGAAAACATTATTGTTTTAGGAAATACATTATATAATTGGAAAATAAAAATAAATGAACTGAAAGGCTGAGTGGATAAACCCTGACAGGCACTCAGGTCAGCTGTAAAACTAGCACCAAGCAGAGCTGGCTTCTGGGTGTGTAGCCAAAGCCCTAGGGATGGTGCTTGAGAAAATTCTAGTCACAGACAGACACTAGCAAGCATTGTGAAATAATCAGGATGAAATACAAGAGGGACCTGTGAGAAGAAAACATGAACCCAACTAAAGAACACGTAAAGGCTGAGACTGAGAATGCTGTCCCCTACAGAAGACCCAGGGGTTGCTTGAGGTAGGAAGGACAAGGTGCCAAAAGATGAGGGTACCACTGATCCCTGGACCCTATGACTGCATCTCTCTCCCTGCAAGGGGCTCCCTCCCACAGTGGTATGCAGACTGTGAGTCAGCTGACCTTAACTCACGGGTTTCTCAGGGGACTCAGCCTGGCATTTCTGGCATGGAGCTAGAAGGACACCTCCAATGCAGACATCCCTGGAAGTTTCTCATAAAAGCAGTGTGTGTACTTGCAGGACTGGCCCGCTTCGGCCAGCAGGTGTCTGTGACACACAAGGACACTGGAGACACGCCAAGCTACAGGGGAGTCACCTCTGGAGCTAGGGCTGGGGCACGCTCTGTACTGGTTTTTGTGTGTTCTGAACAGGGCTTATCTTTACATGTGAAAGAACATTCTGACACTGGGAAGGAGGGACAAGCAGGAAAGGGCAGTGAGGGAGCAGCACACCTGCCCAAGATAAAGGCGATGTAGATGAGGGAAGAGAAGTGGGCGAAGAACTGCAGCGTGAAGAACTTGACTGTGAACTTGCTTTCACGCTCCGAGAAGGTCCTGGGCTTCTCTGGAATGAGATGAGGCTGTCATTCTCCAGCCTAGCCTTCTCCAGACCACTGTGGCAGAATCCCAAGCCTGTCTCTGATGGCAGCTCCAAGAATCACAGCCATGAAACCTCCCAAGCCCAGAAAGGGCAGGGCTGTTCTCTCACCAAAATCACAAAGCTTCAGGGCCACATACTTATTGACCTGTGGGCAGAAAGCATCAAGTGGATTCATCAAGGCTATAAGGACCCCCACCACTTCCCTGCCCTGTCCCCACCTTGGTCATGATGATGATGGTCACATAATGCACCACGGCCCCAATCGCCACCATGGCTGTGGTCACCCCCAGGAAGGGCCAGGCCAAGTTGCTAAAGAGGGCAGCAGCCAGTACTCGGTACACCACCAGCATGTGTGCCATGCCAATCATGAAGCAGATCTACAGAGAGGAGTCCAGTGGTCAGGCACAGAGGGCTGCACAGGTGGCATCCAGCTCCCATGATCCCCTGTGTACCATGAGCAGAGACAGAACCAGGATAATGGTGCTGCGCAGGTAGGAGTGCTGGTGCCGCCGGAGCTTGTAGTCGGGGCAATTAATGAGCTCGAGTGCCATTTCCTCCTAGAGAGGTCACATGGACACATGCCTCAGACATGAAAACAATGCATGCTTTGGGCACAGGGACACTATTCAGATAGAGACACACACCTCATGCGGACATTCAGACACGAGACTCATGCCTCAGACATGGGGACATGTGATTCTGACACACAGACATGTCCCCTTGGACATGGGGAAGTATTCCTTCAGAAATGGGGAGATGTCCCTCAGACACAGGACACTGAGAGCTGACAACCCTGGCCAATAGCTCTACCTCACCTGGTCCTCGTCCCACCCATACAGGTCCCAGTGCAGGACAACTCGGGCTCGCTGCCGCTTCCAGATCTCCAGAAACACAGTGGCTACAGTGAAATGTGGAGGTGTCATGGCAAGAGAAGGTGACTTGGAGCTCAGGCCACCATCCCACAGCTCTGGGGGACCTGCAGCAACTCACCCCACAGAGCCATGAAGATGGCAAACAGCACAGTGCCCTCGTTGTCAAAGAAGTGAGTGAGCTAGAGAGAGGGGTATGGTGGGCTTTGGGTTGGCCACTGCCTGAACCCCTAGAACAGGGAGAGTTTACTTCCGGGGATGGATCATTTCCCCAGGGATGGGCCCTGGGGACCCAAGCAGCAAACCTTGGCAAAAACGCAGGTAACTGAGAGCGGTTGGTATTTGTCGCTGTCGCCAATAGGACACAAGAAGATGTCGTGGGCCTCACAGATCTCCTTGCTGGGGGCAGGACAAGTATGGCACAGGCTCTTCCCAGACACCCTACCTTGCTTTCCCCTGGGTCTGGCCCTCCCTAGGCTTGGGCCCCAGCCCACCTGATCTGGCTGGAGTTGAACAGGGCAAACCCGCTCAAGAAGACGATGAGGCCCACCACAGCAGCAGGCACCAGCATGTAGGTATACCAGCCGAGCCAGGCAAAGTACAGCGCCACCTTCTCACCAAAGTATTCCCTGTGGGCAAGCTGGCCTGTCAGGGCCACACTGTACCAGGCCTGCTGTCACAGAGGCCAGTACCTGGCTGAAGGTAGCCACATAGAGAGAGGGAGTGAAGCAGGTCCAATGGTCACATGCCTGAGTGTGTAGCATAAAGGGTTTGTGCTGCCACATATGTACCATGGGGTTATAGGTGCCCCAGAGGATAGACAGCTGCGCCTTGAGAATACAGGTGTACCCACAGGTGGACAAGTGTGGTCACAGGAAGGCAGATGTGCCCAAGGGGCTATGGATATATCTCTTGCAGGCACAGGTGGTCTTTTGGGAGCACTGTTACCTGATAGCATCAATTGGCTGCTCCTGGAACATGTTTCTCCACTGGGCCCACTTCATCTTCAGGTCTTCCTCTCCCTGGGTAGGTGACAGATGGTGAGCACTTCCTGCTTAGGGTCCAGTCCTCAGCCCCCTTCTGGCTGCTTATCTCTCACCCTGTGTAGGGGGAACTTGTCCTCAAAGACCCCATCTTTCACCAAGTCCTCGAAGGTGTCTAGGGGTCATGAGAGTTCATGTCAGAGGGCAGTGTAGGGCAAGGGTTGTGTGGGTCGGCACCCTCCAGCCACCTGCCCATTTGTTCTCACCACCGGATGCTGTCTTGCTGTTTAGGATGAAGTTCACAATTCGGATTCTGAAACCCAAGAGCAAGGTTAGGACAGCCCTGTGAGACCTCAGTGGGCCCAAGTCAGCTGGGATCTTTCCCGACTCTCCCATCCTTCCCCTCACTTGCGCAGCCCTAGCCATGGCCTCCAGGGTGACGGCTGCCAAGGTCTCCTGTCCTCCCTGCACCCCTGTGTGCAGCCCTCCCTTTGGCCTGGCCGAGAGCGCCCTCTAACTGTGCTCCCACCAGTACTGCACATGTGCCCAGCACACTCTGCAGCCCTCTAGAGCTATCTTGCCTATGTGGAGATGAAGGCCTCAGAGTCCAGCAGGGACAGCTGGGTCTAGGACTCTCCAACCCTGCCCACCTTTTTCAGCTGGCTTGGGTCCTGTGCCCTGGGGGATACAGAATGCTCCAAGCAAAGAGGACTGTCCTTATCACTTATCAAGGAATAAGGCCCTACTCACACGAGGTGCTGGCTGTTCTGTTGTGAATAGCTCATGAGGCCTCCTGCTCTGCTTTGACTGAATGGGTTGGGCAGAGCTTCTCACCTCGTGGTAGTTGGTGTTGCTGGCTCCACGCCCGAGGCAGGAACCTCTGGCTCCATGAGGAGGGTGCGGTACAAGTCAAAGATCCTGTTGTCAGCTCGGATCCCAAAGAACACACGTTTCTGGTCCTCTCTCACCTGGAGTTGGGGCCACATGTCTTCTACTAGAAACATCCCCTCTCCACACCCTGACCTAGCCCTGCCCCCTGCCAGGTATCACCACCTTGACATGGAAGCCTTTGCTCTTGAGCTCCTCCAGGAACTGCTTCTGGCGCTCAACCTGCTTGAATCTCAACTCTGTGTGGTACTTGGCCACAAGAATGAAGTCCCACTGCTCAGAGGGCTCTGCCTGGAAAGGGAGCGTGGGTGGGCCAGGCAGAGACCCAGAAGGAGAGGGATGGAGGACAGGGCCAGGCCATGGGCAGGGAGTTTGTGAGACAAGGCAAGGACCGAGGCAGGTGGGCTTGGGACAGGGATGGGCAGGGACCTTGGGAGGAACGAGTATGGACTGAGGAGTGGAAGAGGGTTGGACCATGCCCCAGGAAGGCCATGAAGACCCACCTCACAAGTTCCAATCTCCATCAGCGGGAAGCTCTCCCCTTCTGTCCCCACCAGGACCTGGAAGCTCTCTTCATCCTAAAGGGCAGACAAAGGGGTAGAAGATGGGAAGGTAGGTAAGCCCCTGTTATGGTTTATGTCTGTGGCCCCCAGGCCTCATGAGTTTGCATTGTTCATTTGTGATGGTCCATTGCATAGTGCTTAGATTGATGGTGTCAGTGCTCCACCCACATAGGGGTGGAGCCAGGATGTGATGTAATGGCAGGAAGAAGGTGTGTCTTGCTCTTTGCTGGTTCCAGCTTGCTGTTTGCAGCCACCATGAACTGTGGCCCAGCCATGCCCGCCTGCCTTGGAGCCAACTGAATGTGGACTGAAACCTCCAAAAACTGTAAGAAATAAACCTTTCCTTTCCCAACTTTGGGCTTCAGGTATTTTTCTCAGCGACAAGTAAAAAGTAACTAAGACAGCCCCTCACTGGTTTCTTCTTGCAACTTCTGGACAGGTGTGGACACCTCGCACCCAAAGCTGAGAGGAGAGTCAGAAATAAGTCAGCAAATGAGTAAGTCCACATGGAGGCAAGGCCAAGGATGGCCAGGAGCAGATGATGGCCACCCTCATAACCAACCAGTCCACATGCTGGAGAAGAAGCTGGCTATCAGGACAGACAGCCTCTTTCTGCAATGGGTGGAGGTGCAGCCAAGTTTCACAGAAGGGGAGCTGGTGAGCAGAGAGGGGATGAAGCAACTCAGACCTGGGGCGTCACAAAGGTGCAGGTTTGACCCTGTGTGCCTACACTGCTGGTAGTACACCAGCGGAGCACAAACTTGGGGATCATTTTGCACCACTAGGCTCCTAGACCTCCACTTGACAGCGCAGACACGTACACTGATGTTTACATCAACACTGTGGAAATCCTAAAGCCATGGAGGGGGCTGGTACCCCAAGATATGCTCAACCCAGGAAGAGGCAGCCCAGGTGAGGGCAGAGGAGGCAAGTGGGGCATGTCTCTATCCCTGAGGACCCCAAGCACGTGGCAGGACCTCAGGTGGCTGCTGTTAATTTCAGATCCAGCCACTTCTCCCCTCTGCTGTGGGCTGGATCTGTGACCAGAGAGGAATGTGGCAGGAGACTGTGTCACTTCACAGAGGAGACCCCAATAGGCCCTCGGACCAGGTCAGGTGGGCCAAGGTTACCCGCAGTGTCATCAAGCAGCCCTAATAGGATGCTGGAGACAGGACACATCCCCCCAACCAGTCCTCTTCCTCACAGCAAGAAGGGAGGCAAAAGGGCTACATCAGGACATCCAGATTCAGAGTCAGGTCACTAGGAGGGGGACAGAGGGACCCTCACAGGGTGGGGAAAGGATGCAGACAGGGGCAATGCTGGCGACTGGGATCAGCTGGGTTATGTAAGCATCTTCATGAGATGGTCATCAAGGGAAGCTGGTAGAGGCCAAGGGGACAGCACACAACCTTGCTGACTCTGCCAAAGCTAAAACCATCCTAGATAATTATTTATTTTTTAAAAAAGCAAGACTCAGGTGCTTACTTGCTGCACATTATACTTTCGACATTGTGAAAAGCAGCAAACAAGTAAAGCTTCACTTTTCAGAAATACGTGTAGGTGGACAGAGCTGCAAAACTGTGCAGGGCTCAGGGTGGGGCCCTGTAGTTCTGGTGGTTGGTATCCTTGTGGGTGCTGGGTGCACTGCAGGGAGTGGTCAGCAGGAGGAGTCTCCAGGCAGGCTTTTTCCAAACGTAGTGGGGGCAGTCAGGGAGACCTAGATGGCAGGGAGGCCCAGGGCAGGGGCAGGCTATAGCCAGCAGCACTGGCTGTGGAGACAGAGTCTATCTATGCTCCACGTGGATGAGGGCCCAGCCTGAACCTTGGCTGGCAGCTCCAGTGTCAGCCCAGGAACCCTGTGCACTGGTGTTGGAGGGGACAGATCACTCTGGAACCCTGCTTCTTCATCACCATGACACCTGCCTCCCAAAGTAAAGCTGTCTCCTAGCCACATGGTGGCCCAAGCCCGTGACCCTGCGCCACATCATGCCACAGCCAGGACCTTGCTCTTGCAGGTCCCTCACCTGCATTTCCTGTCCTTCTCAACTACATTCCTGCCAGCTCCTCCAGAAAGGCTCACTTGACTGCTCCAGCCAGTTGGCCCTCCACAGCTGCCAGTAAGATACCCAGTCATATCTGAATTTTAGATAAATAGCAATTGGCTTTTCTTTTTTTTTTTTTATTCAGTACTTGGAATTGAACCCAGGACCCTTGAACTACCACACCTGGCTCAGCAGGTGCCTTTTAGTGTATGCATAGCCCAGTGATGGCCTCAGACACACTTACACAGAAACAATGGTTATTTACCTGGGAATCTGTTTGTGGTTTCCTGGTACCAAGTCCACCTCTTTTCCTGTCCACTCCCTGAACTTGCACAAGAGGTGCTGGCTCCAGGACAGCCCTGTGTCTGGCCCACTTCCACCCTGTCTGGATCACATAAGCCACAAAGCAATCCAATCAGTGGCAGGGTGACATGGATACCCTTTGTGGGTCCCTGCAGCCATCCTGGGTGTCCCCTCTCAGAGTGCAGCTCCCTCTCCCTCCACTTCTCCTCCAGATTCCCAGGCTCCCCAGCTGCCACCTCCAGCACACAGACACCTGTACCCAGGTGTGGCCAGCAGTAACCAAACTTCCCCTGTCCTTGAGCGGGAAAAACTTGCAGTCAGAGGTACAGAAAGGGGGAGCACCACTCCACGGTCTCAGGAAAGGAGACAAAGTCTCAACCAGACAGGATGGTGGCGGGTGCTCTGGTGTCTCCCACCTGCCCACCGAGGGGCTTAGCAGGTGTTATATGGGTTGAGCTGGTGAGTGAAATGGATCTTCATGAGTTTAATTTGAGATCTGGGAGGGAACTTCCCATTTCGGTTCAAAACTGCAAGACAAGTGAGGGGGACCCAAACCAGACTGGAGTTCGGGGACCAGGCCAAAGAGGAGCCTGGGACAGAGAACAACCTAGAGGCCATACCTGGCCAGCCCCAGAAATAAGGCACAGAGAGGCCTCCCCATCAAAGGCCCTGTGCAGCTTGGGGATGAAACACCTATATCAGTCTCCCATGGGGCCTGGTGACTCAGAGAGGTGTGATGGGTCTCACCTAGCAGGCCTTGATGTGGGCCACTGAACAAAGGCCCTCCAGATAATGCCATGGACACCCACCTAAGGGTAGCCACTACAGCCAGGAGAGCAGTCCCCTGGCCATTCCTGGTCCCCCTGACAAGTGTCAGATCCCTGACTCTGCTGCCTAGCAGCCCCACCTCTAGGATCAGTATCTGTCCCTCTCTCCATCTGTCTCCAGAGCCATATCTCTGGTCCCCAATCGGATCCTTTGGCTGCTCAGTGTGGTGTTTTGGTCCTCCACCAGTAGGGCTAAGTGGCCCACCTGAAGCTGCTGTCTCCTCCAGCCAGAGACCACTCCAGGCAGTGTCTAAGACCCTACACCTCTGCCCATCAGGCTCCTCTAGGAAGCCATGTGAGCCCCATGGCAGGACAGGGCAATCCCCCCCTCAGCCAGGGGCCCTGGAATGTTAGTCCCAGCCTTGCCGTCAGCAGACCCTGAGCAAACAACTAGCCTTGGCTCTGATGTTCCCAACCCTCTCCTGAACCTTAGTTTCCTCATCTACAGAATGAAGTAACATCACTCCTACTTCAAAATCACCTAATGACATGCACAGGCAGGATGAGGGTAGACAGGGCCATACACCTAGCCATGGGAATTCCTGTAGCCTCTCCCCACCCACCCAACTTTCCAGGCACCTATTGTGTCAGGGACTGAGTCTCAGGAGGGTAACCTCTGGGACCAGGGGATGAGCATCTCCAGCCACCCCCATCACAGGGCACCAGTGCCGGGTGTCCTGTTCCCACTGTCCCTCGGCTGGCTCTGGGTCAGGGTGGGCAGAAGGGCCAGCTATGCAAATCTGACCGCCCTCCAGTATGCATGTGCATGCACACCTCAGCAACAGCTTGAGCTAGGCCTCATCCGCTGCCTAAGGCACCCTTGTCCCACAGGTCACAGCCAGCCCTAGATGTCCTTGTTCACCCTCACCACCTGCTGCACCCCAGCCAGGCCCTCTGCCCACCCTCCCCAGGGGTCCTGCCTCCCTCCAGTGTCCAGCACCACTGTGAGCTCACCCTTCCCTGCCTCTGCCCAGGTGATGAGGCAGCTTGCTCTACACCTGATGAGTAGACACCATGGGCTGAAGGGTGGTGGCCCAGAGCTCTGCCTTGGAGGGCAAGAGATTCGCAGCAGGCAAGCAGTAAGGACAGCATTCCTGGGAGAGAATAATGTGTGTGGGCTGTTCCTGAGAGGCAAGATACAGCTGGTGTTTGGGACTCTGTTCTCAGTACCTCCAGGGACTCAGTCCTTAGCACCTCTGAGAATTGGTAGTTACTACTTCTAGTGACCAACCTCTCAGCACCTCTGAGGACTTGGAAGTTGCCACGCTCAGGAACTCAGTCCTTAGCATTGTCAGGAACTCAAGTCTCCAGCACCTTTGGGAACTTGGCAGTTACAACTCCTAGTGACTCAGTCTCAGCACTTCAGCTTTGCAAAAGCATACAAGGAAAGAAGGAAAGTAACCAGAAGCCAGATCAGGGAAGGCTACTCAGATAGCCGGGGAGCTTGAACTTCAGCAGAAGCACTGAGGAGCCACAGAAGGAACCTAGCAGGAAGCACCAGGCCTCTGAGTTTCTGGCAGGAGCTACTTTCTACCTGGCTGGCCAGCCCAGTTTCTCCTGGCCAGCGTGGGAGGCAGAGGCTGATGGGGACCCTGGGACCAGGCTAGGCAGCAGGTACCAGCTGGTCATGGCAGAGCTAGAGGGAGTAGTCAGCCTCAGCCCACACCTGGAGGCTGGTGCTGAGAGAGGGCTGGTTTCACTCAGTTCCTCTCTGTGCCTCCTCCTCCTGGGCTTCCAGGTGCTGCCCCCACCTAGGTGACCCCCTTCACTGGCAGGGAGGAGAAAGCCTGTCTTCCTGGAGGTCTCCTGTGCTCTCCAGTTCTTTGCCCTGCATGGCAGACTCAACATCCTGCAGCCTGAGAAGGACCTCCAGCCCTGGGCATTTGAGCACCAACACCTGGTATCCATAGCCCCTCAGGGGCCTAGGCAGGGGATAGCAGCAGGTTGGCCCCAGCCACCTGGAAGACTCACACAGGAACCCTGTAGCACAGCCTTGGGGTCTCCAGAACCCTAGGGAGTGGGAAGAGCCATTTTGGATCCTGCCCAGGGTCTTATTCTGTCTGGCAGGCTGCTGGGACCCCCAAAGTGCCTCTCTAGAGACGAGGGTCTGTGAAGACCAGGCTCACCTGCATGCTGGGCACAGGCTGCCTGCTGACTGCACCAAACAGGATTCCTCTGGGACTGATGTGGTTCTGGCACCAGCCTCTGAGAGTGTCTGCCAGGTGCAGGTGGTGCTATTTGCTACTTCCTTGTAGAGCCTGCCTTCCCTCCCCTTGCCACACCCAGGTGTCCTAGGGAGGAGCCAGAGGTTGCAGCACAGTCCCTTCCTGAGGGTCAGGTGGGAACCGGAATGTGCTGATGCCCCAGTCCAGATGAGATACAAAGGATGTGTGGAGTCCTCACAGAGACCCACAATGGCACACCTCAGTTCCTTCAGACCCAGCCCAACCTCCTTTTCATTCCCAGAGGGGAAACAGGCAAGAGGAGAGAGAAACCCTGAGAGAAAGTGCCTTCTGTGGCCCTGGCCCAGTGACCCTGGGGGAAAAGGTCTCCGGACAGTGAAGACACCCTTATCCCAGGCCTGTAGCCTGTTCAAGGCAGTTGCTGCTGGCAGGGGCTGAGGAGGCATGGAATCACCTGAAAAGGGGACAGCACCCAAAGGGAGTAGTAATCCGTGAGTCTACCCCAGGACAACAAGTGTGGTGAGGGCTGTAAGGGAGGCAAGAGTGGAGCACCCACCTATGTAGTAAGCAGCTTTACTGGGCAGGGATACACTGGCTTGTTCAGGGCAATGAAGGGTTTGACTCAGCTGGAAAGCTAAGGACTCAGACACCGACACCAAAAATCATGGCTTGGCCACAAGAATAAGGGCACCCAAAGTGTGGAAGGGGTGCACTGCACCCAGATGTGAGGGGTTTGGGGCACTTGGGTGTTAGGGGCGGAGCAGCAGCAGGTGTGAGTGCCATAGGGCACCCAGGTCGAGGTTCACCGTTGGTTGGCCTGTCTCTCCGGGTTCAGGCCTTGGCCTCTGTTTGCCTGCCTGTGGTCCCAGAGGACACCTGTGGCCCTGGGTGGTTGAAAAACTGTAAAGAAAGGAACTGGCATACAGGACTACAAAGCTCTGTGGAGCAAACACAGATGGAACCCAAACAGGAAGCATGCTCGTGTATTCCACCTGTAAGGAAATCTGGAGTCAGCAGTCCAGGACTGGTATGCCCATGGTATGAGAGTGTGTGTGTGTGTGTGTGTGTGTGTGTGTGTGTGTGTGTGTGTTATTGGGGACTTAGTTGGGGAGCAGTGAGTTATAACCCTAACGCTTTTTTATTTTTTGAGACAAAGTCTCACTAAATTGCTAGATTGCCAAAGCCAAGTTGGCCTCGAACTTGCAATCCTCCCACCCTAGGCTCTGAAGTAGCTGGCGTCATAGGTGTGTGCCACCAAATCCAGCTTAGAATCCTTTTAGCTTGCTTAAACACTTGGCCTCACATATGGTCTAAGATGGCTGCTCAAACTCCAGGCCTCACATCTACTTTTCAGGCAGCAGGAGAGAAAAGATGAAAGGCACCCCACCCTTTATGTGGCTAATTATATGACCACACCTTATCGAAAAGAAGTCTGAGGGTAAGAAAGGAAGTAAAGGATTTGTGACACCTGTACCCTCAGTAGTGCTGAGTGAGAGTTGTCAAGCTTCAGAGTCACTCAGACGCAGGCCCACATATTTCCCACCTGCTCCTGATTAGGGATCTCTCATGGCCCCCAGTCCAGCCTTCTGGGGACACTATATTTATATTTCTATTGCACTACCACCCACTAGCTCATCCCAAGTCTTCCCCTCTCAAGAGAAACTCAGCCCTGCTTGGAGCACCTGCATCCTGTACTTTTGAATGACTTTACTGGGCTTTCCCAATTCTATTGCCACAGAAACCCAGATACCTCTCCCCCTCATTTCCATTTGCCACAGGCAGCACTGTCCGCCTCTCCCACCTCTGAGTTCCCACACTCAGGGAAGGATGCAAAGCCAGCTTGGGCCTCCTGTGCCATCCAAGGAGAAAACAAGCTTGCATAAAGCATCAAAGCCCTAGTGCTGCTGATACTGAAATATCTTATTACAGCATTTGTAAACTTCCCTAAAAGGAAAAAAATTCAAAATAATAAAAACATGTATAAATATGTCCTTTGCATCCAAAACCCTAAACCACCTAGATCATCAAGAAGCCGGGCATGGAGACCCACACCTATTGTAGGGAGCCATTGAAGCTGGAGATTGATCACATGTGTGGGACTAAAGTAAGGCCAGCCCTGAAAACACATAGAGCCCAAAACTAGCCACCTAAACAAGCTGTTACAGCTCTAAGAAGGCAAGGGGTCCAAGCCAGCCAGGCAAACAAGTTGCTAGGCAGCAGGGTTCATCTTTCTAAGTATATAAATAAAACTGCTACAATGGTTGAACAGTCCCTTCTCTCCCATCAAGAGAGTCAGGATACCTGACCTTGGCTTTCCTTTCTTTTCTTTATTTTCTCATCTTCTCACTGTCCTTCCCTCAGGAACATCTAGAGCTGTGGCCGGTTGCTACAGCCTATGCTCTCAGCACATGGGAGGCTGAGGCAGGAAGATCTCTACAAGCTCTACGGCCAGCCTGGGCAACACAGTGAGACCCTGTCTCAAAAAGAAAAAAAATCTTCAAGGGTAGAAAAATGTCTGAACAAATTGTACATTACCAGCCATCCAAAAGTAGGCATTCGGGACTAGGGAAGTAGTTTATTGGTAAACACTTGCCTGGCATGCAGTCATGAGTTCAATCCCTGGTACAAAAAAAAATTTACAAACTTGTACTGTATAAATTTCTAAAACTTTAATGCAATGAAGTTAAGATGCTGGAAATGTAGATACATATTTGCATGTTATCTTTGCTTAACAATGTGAATTGTAGGGTGGTAGAATGTTGTTTCCCTCTTTATATTATTCCACTTCTTTCAAATTTCCTACCTCAAATATGGACCGCCTTCATAAACTCTCTTTTTGACTTAGCTTATTTTCATATTACAGTATTTAAACCTTATTTTCCCCAGGCTCAGTCAAGGGTTTGTCTCTCCTCTGGAATGTGGCTGGGAGGATGTGATGGTATGCTGAGGCCTCCAGGTAGTGTCCTGAGCTGGTCATGGGCACAGCTGCTTTGCCCTTCCTGGTCAGAGTACCTGGGGCTCCTACTTTTTTTTTTTTAAGACAGAGTCTCCCTATGTAGTTCAGGCTGGCCTTGAACTCACTTTGTAGCCCAGACTGGGCTCAAACTCCCAGCAATCCTCTTGCCTCAGCCTCTTAAGAGATGGGATTATGTGCTACCACACCCTGCTCTTTTCTAGTGGACCCTGGACCTTTTCCTTCTTCTTCTACCAAGGGAGCCACCTGACCCACTCCTCCTAGTTAGAGTGGCATCCATCTGGAGAACTCAGGGTGAGAAGGGAAGTTGGGTCCAAAGGTGCCCAGGGAACTCGTAGGCAGCAGTAGCACCACCTGCCTTTACCTTCGCTCTATGCCAGCAGAGGCAGCACCTCCAGGTGAGTCAGGTGGGCACCCCAGGAACCTGCCTTCTGCCCTCTTTCTGACTGTCCCTCACCTTCCCAGCCCCAGGCCCTGCAGAAAGAATCCTCACCAGGCCAGGCAGCACCCTCACAGCAGGTGGCTGGAATGGGGGTCTTGCAGCAGGGCAGGGACACTTGTGCCTCCTGCCCGCAGCCCCCAGGAGAAACCCCAGGACCACTGTCTTCTGAGTGCTGCACCGGTTCTCTTTCCTCTCCTAGCAACTATACTTTTACAAAGCGCCACCAGAAAAAGAACCAGGCCACGCCTGCTGTCCCCGGCTGGAACCCACCGCTTCTTTGCACACTGCCTGTCTGGGTCCCTTTCCCGGGAGCCCCACATCCTGACTCTCTCACCTGCTACTTACAACCTGCAGCCTCCAGAGGCCACCTTCCAAGCCCTGGGAGGGTCCGATCCTCTTACTCCGGGGGAGGCCCCTGCAGAGGCGTCCCCCATTGGGCAAAGCGTTGGCAGGAAAGAGCTGGGCACAGAGTCACCAACATTTCTCTGCCTGTTTCTCTGGGTGTAAACAATACAAAAATGGAATCCAAGGAGTACTGAAGAGCTCCACACTTTTCATTTGTGGAGCTCTGAAATTGGTCAGCGCAGGCTCACTTAGGGCACTACCGCATGGCTTGCACCGGGCTCCAGGGAAGTGAGGGTGCCAGACGGCGCCCCATGCCCCTCAATGCTCATGCAGGCCTCTGGGATCTGGCGGCCTGCCCCACCCTAGGTGGCCAAGTGCATGCCGCAGTAGCCAGGCAGAGGCCAGCAGCCCCTCGGTCAAGATCATTTACAGGCCTACACCCCACCTTTACTGGCTCAGAGTACACTTCAGTGGGTTTGGGCACATTCATAGATAGGTGTGAAAAAGTTATGAATACCAAACGCTAACCAAAATGAGGTGGGGATGTTGCTGGGTACCCTGCCCTCCTAGGACGCCTACAGCCACACTAGTCTCACTAGCTTGAGACTAGCCGCACTAGTCTCAAAAGGGGCTCTGCCCCCTTTTGAGGGGCATGAGGTTTTCATGTACTGTACACTGTAAGCAAGCAGGCCTCTGCAGTCAGTTCCTAAGAGTAGGGCTTGGTTTCAACCTGTTTACTTGATTTCTTCTCCTAAATGTCTCCCTTTGTCTCAACTTCTTTGTCACTAAAAGCAAGTGTGTCCTGGGTTATGACTCCATTGCTAGTCCCATTTTGAAACCTTCGGCATCACCACACCTACTCAGACTCCCCTCTCCTTGGTTCAAGAACACAGATCAGAGTGACACAGGAACCACAATAGGTGGGGCAGAGGACCAACAAACTCCTGGGCCCTTATCCTACTACTCATTAAAAAGTCAGGGACTTAAAAACAGTTTTTCCTAAGAAACAGTGATTCTCCACTTAGGCCTACAGATGCCTGATAAATAAAAGCAGAACAAAATTTGACCTTCATAGCCTGGCATGGTGCCACACATTTCTAATCCCAGCACTCAGAAGGTTGAAGCAAGAGGATCCTTGTGAATTGGAGACCAGCCTCGGTTACAAAGTGAGCTCAAGGGCTAGCCTGAAATGCATAGTGAAACCATTTCAGAAAAACAAAAAAGAAAGAAATAACCTTGACCTTCATGTGTAAAGCTTTGTGTGACCTTCATGTGTAAAGCTATCCTTTCTCAGCTATGCAGATAGATATGTCAGTCATTTGATGTCTACAAGTTGACAAAAATGATTCATCCCAAATCCATATAACCTATCTCCATCCCTCTTCGAGACTGAAGGCACCAAGTTTTTAAAAATTTTGTTCCCTGTTTTGGTTTTTTGAAACAAGATATTGCTTTGTATAGCCCAGGCTGGTTTTATTTATTTATTTTGGATTTTTAAATTTTTTTTTACATTTTGGATATACATAATGATCACATTCATCATTGGGAATTTATACCTGTATGTGATACATCTTGCTTCTTTTTTTCTCATTTCCCTTCCTTCCCTGCAACTCCTCTTTCCCTTATTTACAAAAGTTTTGTTTCTATTTTTTCTTTATTATTTTTCTTGTCCCTTTTTCCCCCTTTCCCTCTCTTCTTCACCTTCTCATTTGAACATTTCCTTCCCATTTCCCAATATTTATTATACATTTTGGTCCTTATTTACACTTTCAGTTCCTCACACCAGGGAAACAATGTGATATTTACACCTATGTCTAGTTTATTTCACTTGAGATTATAGTCTCAAGGTGTATCTATTTAGATACAGATGTCTCAAGTTTATTCTTCTTTATGGCATAGTAGTACTCTATTATATTTTTTAAAAGCTGCATCTTTTTTATCCATTGGTTGATGGGCATTTGGCCTGTTTCCAAGATTTAACTATTACAAAAGTGCTGCTATCAACATGGATGTGCATACATACATTGTTGTGTTTGATGCTTTTAATTCTTTCAGGAGATACCCAGAAGGAGAATAGCTGGATCAAATGGAGCCTCTAGTTTTAGTTTTTTGAGGACTCTGCACACTGCTCTCCACAGTGGTTGCACCAGTGGTCTACGCTCCCACCAACAATGGAAAAGGGTTCCTTTTCTCCCACAGCCCTGTCAACATTTGTTATTGGCTGATTTTTTGATAGTAGCCATTCTTTCTGGAGTACGATGGAATCTCAACATTGTTTTAAGTTGCATCTCTCAATGACCAGTGATGTTGAATAGTTTTCCAAATATTTATTTGCCATTTCTACTTCTTTATTTGAGATGTGTCATTCATTTCAGATGCCCAGGATGGCCTTAAACTCAGATCCTTCTGCATCAACCTTCCAAATGCTGGGATTGCACAAGGTAAAGTTTACAGGGATATTCAACTATACCCAGAAGTCTCCATTGTCCTAAACCTGTAGTCACCTTGGATTCCAAAATAGCCCCGCAGGACTGAGACTCCCCAAATGGAAACAGTCATGTCATGGAAACAGAACACACCACCACCACCCCAGCAAGAGATTTTTCTGGAGTTAGGAAACCAGGAATGAGATCATGATCGACCCGACCCCAGTCTTTCACCACAGCTCCTTCCCTATTTTCTTTTACTTTCTTTGTTAGGGCACCATGTTCTTGTTTTGGCAGCACATGTACTGTGTTCCGGGCCGGCTTGATCTTTGTCTGAGCTGTGCTGTACTCCCTTCGTTTTCTCTTATTTTCCAATTAAACCTATTTTTCCTTGTAAATTCTTGCTGAATGCCTCAGTTTTAATTTCCATTATCATTGAAGCACAGACCTGGTAAGACTGTAACATATGAGTCCCGCTCTTCAAAACAGATCGGGGTTTTTTGTTTGTTTGTTTTTGGGTTGACGCTTGATTTGAATGTTTTCCATCACTCCAAAGGAGCCAATACTTTTTCTCTGGGCAGCTCCTGCTGAAGCTCTTTTACATGGACATTTGCTATTAAGGGGCTTTGTAATACGAGGTCTTTTCCAGCGGCCCCCCTTCCTGCGCGTTCCCAAACTCTGCACTTGCTCAAGCAGGAGTACTGCCCCGCTAGACACAGCACTTCTCAGTGTACGACCCCACCCCTTCACGAGCAGTTGGCTCCTATCGCAGTATCTCGGGATCCCAGCCCCAACCGCGGTTACCAAACTCCGTAGAGGGCGTCCACGTCTCTCAGGCGGCCAGCACCACAAAGCAACTCTAATTCTTTAAGGAACTACGAGGTTGTCTTTTAAGGTTACTTGGTCTTTTTAATTTATGTTACTTGATTTTTACTGCAGCGCTCGTATTTTATTAACAGTGGAAACCGACCAATAGTAGCAAGTCTGCAGCTCCAACCCGGACCCAAAGCAATCCGTCAGCAGTCACCTAGCAACCGGACGGCGTCCTTCCCAGCAGACCTCGCGCCCTGCGACCGGCGTGCCACGCGGCTTTGTCGCGCAGTACCCGTCCCACAATGCCTCACAGTCCCGCCCCAATCGGAGGAGACCCCCCGCGGTGACGGCGCGACCCCGGCCCGCGCGCCGCCTGCTAGTCCGTGGGGATAGCCGCCATGCGGAGGGGCGAGCGTAGGGCCGCTGGAAGCCTGCGGCCCGGGTCTCCGCGGCCCGAGGGCCGCCGCAGTACCGAGTCCGAGGTCTACGACGACGGCACCAACACCTTCTTCTGGTGAGGGCGGAGCGGGGGCGGTGCCCGGGCCGGGCGAGGTCTGGACACCTGGACTGGTCTGGGGGTCGGACTGGTCCCAGGTGTGCAGCGGGCAGGCCAAAGGAAGGCCCCCGGGGACAGGCAGGGCAGTCTCCTTGCCCTTGGAAGGGCTCTGTCGGGACGACCTCAGAGGTTTTCCTGGCCTGGCCATCCGACGTTTGTGCCCCTCGCGTTCCCACTTGGTGGGACAGCCTCTGACTGGCCGCTGGAATCTCCATGCTTCCCCCGTCCAGAGGCGTGAATTGGCCTGGTAAGCGCGGCATCTCACCGCGCGTCAAGTTTTGTACCATGTTGCGGATCGAAAGCCTCGTTGCTCAGTTCAATCTGATCTGTCTGTCTTTACCCTCCCATCACCACCACTGCACAACTTGGCCCCAGCCAAATCTTGAGTTCAGGCTGCACCCTCTACCTTTAGTGAGGTAATGATTGAGGTTCAGCTGGGATTGCAGGGGCTGGGTTTCAGGACTCAGAAGCCCTGACTGTCGCGTCCCAAGTATGCTTCTTGTGACCTTGAGCTAACTTGTGACTCTTCACCTTTCCTCATTTGTGAGAAAGACAAAACTCATAAACCAGAAAGTATGGTTTATGGGAGGAAGGACTTGACATTTCTTCACTACAAGTTCAATTCCCAATCAGCCCCAAGGTGAGCTCTGGGGAGAGGGGCCCAGGAAAGGGTACAGAGATAGACCATACTCCCAAAAAAGGGAAAGCAACCCGAAGGAAACTGAGCTGTGACCTTAACAGAGAGCACGTTTGATCATAAAGAGAGGGGGAGTCTGATGTGGAGAGATGGGACGTTTCAGGAGAAGGTACTAGACTTCTGAGGGACCCTGTCGTGATCTGGCAGGCAAAGCCATGGAGAGATATGGAATGGGAAGACTTTGGTGGGGTATGGGGTAGCCCTGTGTCTGGGACTTTGTTAACACCAACCCCAGGCTATGGTTAGCCAGTGCTGCTTTGGGAAATGTGCTGGTGGCTGTAGAGCCTTAGAGAAGGAGAGAAAGCCAGGGTGCCTCAAGTCAGTTTGGTATGGCCACAGAGCTAATGCCCTGTGGATTCTCTGACCTTCAGAGGGCATTGTCATCATCCTGTGTCTTGCCATGCCCCTCAAGCAAAAAGGAGCCACTGTCTCCTCTGCACATCTCCTAGACCCCCTGAGCATGCAGAATCCTACAGGAACTGGTTGGGCTCACTTTCCAGGTTTCACATTCATTATTTGTTTTTTGAGCCATCCATCCCAACACATATTTTGAGGGCCCTATTGGATGCTATTAGCATTTAGGGGGCAGAGTAAAGCACTAAACAAGAGTCTGGCATAGCCCTGAACTTGAGAACACACAGAAGGTCCTGGATGTAGGGAAAGTGAGAAGCAGCACAAGTCAGAGCACAGTCCTCTCCCATCTCTAACGAAGGCGTGTGCTGGTCTCCGAACGCACAGACTAGTGGCTTTCTGAGCTCTGCTTACAGAGGTGCTTGGGGTGCAGATGCCTAGCTATAGCAGATCTCACCCATGGAGAGGCTGGCTTTCTAGCTTTCCAGCTTTCCAAAACAATATAGCCTGCCTAGTGTCAGGTACCTCCTTTGTGTGTCTCTGGAGCAGGTGGTTTCCCCTCCCTCGGTCTCATTGCAGAAGAGCATGGGGCAGATTCTTGCTGCATCTGCAGAGGTAGAACTTTATGATTCCTCATAGAGGTGGCAAGGTGCTTGCCTAATAAAAGTGATTTATGCTTCTGCAGATCCATGCTACCAAGCTCCTTCTGAGTAAGCTGTTGCAGCCTTGTCATACTGGGATTTTTAAAACTCTTATTTTGTGTTTTAGAGACTTATTTTTCATTTTGTGATGCCAGAGATTAATCCCAGGGCCTCGTACATGCTACATAGGTGCTCAGTACTGAGCTACATTCCCAACTATTTTTTGTAGACTCTTAATAAAGAATATTACACCTGGGGATTTAGCTCAGCAGTCTAAGCGCCTGCCTGGCAAGCACAAGGGTGTGTATTCGATCCCCGTTACCAAAAATTAAAAATAAATAAATAAAAATAAGGAATATTACAGAAAGTTAACATGAAATAAAGATGAATCTTAAGGCCGTTGGTGGCCTGTTTTGTATGGTTCAGAATCTTGTATTTAGACTTTTTATTTTCAAAGACAGATGGGCTTCTTTGGAGCCAGCGACAGTTGGGTTTCAGTACCTACTTATGAGTAACAGAGCCAGCAGTTTGGGTCAGGGGCAGCAAGGGTGCTGCCTTCTCTGCCTTTCATAGTGTTCACATGCACGTGCTGTCCAGCAGGGAAGCTCTGCAAGTGTTAGGACCCACATACGTAGAAGCACTGCTTGAAGCCATGTGCCATACCTTAACATTCATCTGAAGAGCCTTCCAGACCATCACCCTGGGGAGACATGCATGAGCATTGCCTCATGGGTGCTGTGGATGCCCACATTTTAGCCAGTTTCCACCAGGATGAGGTCTGGACACTGAGAATTTATCTTGTATCTTTGAACTCAGTGAGTTCTAAGTGAGCCTTCTCCATGACTCAGGACTCTGCTGCCTTAGCTTATCTTATGTACCTTTTTTTAACGCCTCAGCCTCAAGAGTACTGAGTGATCTTGGGTATCCCAGCTTCCAGAAGATGTCTTTCTCAGTGTCTATGGGTTAGGGTTTTCCCAGCTTTGCCCACATCTGGAAAGTATGACTAGCCAGTTGTCTTTTTGCTCTTGCTGGCCTTAGGCCAGGAGGGCATTGTCACAGCCTGGGAGCCTCTTGCAAGTTATAGGCAGACCTGACCCTTTCCTCGTTGGTCTTGACAGGCCTCTCTTCCTGCCACTCAACTTGATGAGTGTGCTCGTCTCTAAAGAAAGACAACTTTTACCCCTTGAAGGGAACCGGTCCTCATGGCCTCCCCCTTGTAGAGAAACTAGACCTGTGCTTGATCATGGGACCCAAACTTTCACTGTATCTGCCTGAGCATTGCAGGACCTGGGCAAACAGGGAAGATGGAAAGAGGAGCCATTGTGTACCCTGGCATCCTGGGTATGGCAGGGGTGTCCACTTAGGAGTCAGTTACTTCCATGTTTGTGGACACATGTACACTGTGTGCAGGCCAAGAACAAGGAGATAGACTTGCTTTCCAGCAGCAATTAATTCTATGGTTCTAAAGTCTGTCCTTCTATAAGCCTGATATGCTAGTGCCCTGACCCACTGTCGTCCTACTTGCTGTGGACAAGAGAGATCTGGGTCCTCCTTATTCCTGCTTCTGCCTACTCAGGGCCAAAGGGACCAGGCACTCAATGACTTCTTGAATGACAGGGTGAACATTTACCTCAAAGGGCAAAGAGTTATTTATTTTGTAGGTGTTACTAAGAAAGTAATAGTGAAAAAAAAAAAAAGCATTAAGGTCTCTTTTAAGACAAGTTTCAATTTTAACTGGTGTTAACATCTGTCCATGCTGTAGGGTAAGGATAGTAGATTCTGTCTATCACCTAGCCAGGACCCTGTCCTGTATAGGGTGATTTAATGTGTGTCACATAAGAACTTGGCCATGTGGCCTGTGCTCTGACCCTGCCTGTGTGTCTTTGGATTATAGGCGAGCCCACACCTTAACTGTGCTATTCATCCTCACCTGTGCATTGGGCTATGTGACTCTCCTGGAAGAAACACCTCAGAACACAGCTTATAACACGAAGAGGTAATGGATGCCTGGCATGGAGGGTGGGGCATCTTTGTTGTCCATGGGCTACCAGGGCTCCTTGCCTCCCCTTGTGTGTCTGAGGTACCAACTGCCACAGCTACCTGTTGTAGTCAGGTTTTACAAGAGAAAAGATTTAATATAGGACACATAATTTATAGGATTATTTTATAGTGTTCACCCAAAGAGTCAAATACAAAAGAATGAGGGAGCTCTGTCCACACACTGGAGACCCAAAAAATTCAGCTGAGGGCCTGGATCCCACAGCAGTATCCTGCATGAGTCCAGCTGAAGACCTAGAGCCCATGGCAGTGTCTTCCACGATGAGTCCAGCTGGAGGCCTAGAGCCCTTGACTATGTCTCATGCAAGTCTGTATCAAGGATCTGTACTGGGAAAGTCCAGTGATTAGTAGTGGAAGCCAGAAAGTCTGTGCCAGCAGGATGAAGGATCTGTGCCAACAGGCTGAGGGATCTGCACTGGATCCAGGAAGTGACACTCAAGGTAAGGACCAGAGTTCCCTTGAAGATAATCACAGCCATCCACAGTGACAAGGACCTGAGTTCCTCCAGTGATGAGAACAGTTGAGTTCGTATCAGGAAAACCAGCGTTTCAAGCTTCTTTGGGAGAATCAACAGTGCACCACCTTTTCCCCCAGTTCTCTTTTTATGCTGTTGGCAACAACCCTCAGATGGGCCTTTGGGCCTTCCATACCCAGCACCACACTGTTTCAGTTCAGCTGGGTGTTACAAGTTGACCATAGTTAATCTACCATACTACAGTTGGAGCCACCCGGTATTTTCTACCCTGGAAAGGTCAGTAGAACCCTGGGCATGGTCACTTCCTGAGTGACCACAGCTTGCACTGCAGAGACAGTAATGTTCTGTGACACCTCCAGGGTGGTCCCTCAAGTTGGCACTGTTCTAGAGAGGTATTGATACAAGCACTTTTTAATATTTAAACCGTTCTAAGACACCAGGCAGACAGCCGATGGCCACCTGTGACCTCACTTCTCAGGATTCTCCATGCCAGACCAGTCACAAGAGTGGACTTTGCCTGCATTGCATGGTCCCTGAGCCCATTCTCTAGTGTTTGGCACTAGAGAGTTCATGTTTGTGCTGAGCTTTCTATCAGACTAATCTGTCCTGTTGCTCTTCTGGTTCTCAGCCTTGGTGCTTCCTGGCATCAGGAGCCAGACCCTGCTAATCTGGTGGGGACAGAGGTGGAGCAGTGTGTCTGAGACTCATCAGTGTGACAGCCATGAGGCCTTGGTTTGTGGCCCCCCCAGCTTGTGGGACATGCTCATGATAGCTCTGGATCAGCTCTTTGATTTTGAACAGTGAAGGCCTTCGTATCTGTCATAAGGATTAGGTGGTATGGTCAGCAGGTGTGATGTGGACTTATGGGTATAGTTGACACCCTGGAATTGATGAACTGTGAGAGCAACTATAACTTAACCACACTGCAGCTCACCATGAATATGCTAAGTTCAGGGACACGAGGTACTCCACCTGTCTGTCTACCACAATGGAACTACAGAGATCACATGCTTGGTAAACCAGGGCTTCTGGTGCGAAGTTGCTGTCAGACTACTCAGGAGTGGCCAGTCCCCCGCCCCTCTGCCCTCCTCCTTGGCATGGACTAACAGGCATCTGCTCCTGGCCTCTGCTCGCTGGGTTTTCCTTCCAGCTTCCAGTCAGCTTCTCTGGCTCTTCCTACTTTTCCTGCATCTTAGCAGTTTTCTCCCAGGCCATACCATCTCCCATGTCCAGCTTCCCTATGCTGGGCCTCATTAGCAGGCTTACCTCACACTGTCCTTTCTCAGGTGAGCCCTGAGTTATAGACAGCCAGTAGTAGATGTGGTGCCTATGTCTTCTCACCCCGGCTCTGGCCTTGTTGCACTGGTGCCTGTGGAAGGGCCAAGAGGAAGGACTTAACCACACCTCAAGAGGTATCTTCCAGGAACAAGGGATATAGCTCAGGTTCTGGGCCAGTTTCTAAGCACCAAAAATAACAGAAGCAAAAATTAGAATTCTCCGTAAGGCAAGTGAAGTTGGTCAGAGATGTGAGGTTCCAGTACCACTGGGCCTGAATTGTCACAGGAGGAAGCTACCCTTCCTTCCTCGGAAGCTCAAGCAATGATCAGGGTGTCCTGGGAAAGCCTCTAAGGATACCACTGGACTCCTGCCAGATGAGTCACAGAGCCAAGCCACCCCTGGCCTTGTCCTTAGCACTGGGGAAACTAGAGGTAGTTGAGACTCCAACCCCCTAGCTGCCACGGCTCTATGTGAGCATGGTCCCCTCTGGGTCTGCCCTCCCTAGGAGCTCTGGGGCACTTTTTACCTGATGTCTGTGTTCTGGGGACACAGAACATCTGTCTGTCACATTCACTGCCTCCCCATTTCTCGTCAGGAGCACAAAGGACCATCTGTTCTGCTATAATTCTAAGGGTTATGACCTAGAACCTGCTCTTGGCTCCTCCTGGGATATACTGGTCACCCCAGCTCACACTGCACTGTCCGCAGCACCGCTGCCTCTTCCAGTGAGGTCACCTTGGATGCATCTGTCCTGGCTCCATTCTCATCATCTGCTCTGGACCCCCAGGCTTCACACTGGAAGCCTATGGCAACCATCGGTCTCCTGCCAAGGTGCTCAGAACACCTGGAGGTTTCCTGTAGAGAAAAATACTTATTTTGTCATGCTGAGGATCAAACCCAAGCTCTCATACATGCCAGGAAAGTGCTCTACACTGAGGTATGTTCCTGCTCCAAGATTTTTTTCCCAATATTGGGGCTTGAACTGAGGGCCATTGCAGAGTGAATCGGTCCTTTTGTTTTGCATTTTGAGACAGAGACTCACTAAGTCACTGTGTTGCCCAGGCTGGGCTTGAACTGGTTTTTTTGTTTTTTAATGAAAAAAATTTCATAAAACAACAATAATAATAATTAACTTATTGTGTATTATTATCTTCAAAGTAGTTACTCAGAGTGCAAAACATAAACCAAAAAAATTCTTAAAAAAAAAAGAAACAGATGGCTGGGGATTTAGCTCAGCAGCACAAGAGCCTGCCTGGCAAGCGGGAGGTTGTGAGTTTGATCCCCAGTACCAAAAAAAGAAAAGAAAAGAAACAATGTTTCTTTTCAGCGATCCAAGATAAACTAGTAGTATAAATGAAACAAATTAGCATATATCAAAATATTTTTGAAGTAAGTTATTATGCAATTTGGGGAAGTAGTTAAACTTCTTTATATTTCCTACTTATATCTTCTATTTTACTCTTTATTTGTATATGTTTTGTGTTTCTCATAGAAGAGGAACCATCTGATGTTTGAGCTTATGTGTCTGGCTTGCCTCACTTAACGTTATGTTAAGTCACATCCATTTATCTGGAAATGCCTCAGGTTTTATCTTTTTTTATGGAAACATATTACTGAATAGCTTTTATCCTCATGGTGTGTTACTACCACAATGGACATACACTGTTTCCAAGATCTATCTTTTATATAGATTATGCTGCTATAAACACGGGTATGCATGTATCCTTGTAATATGATGCTTTTAACTCTTTGGGGAAGCTACCTAGAAAGGTAGCTGGGCGAAATAGAATTATATTTTTAGTTTTTTAAAGAATCTGCATACTAATTTCCATAGTAGTTATACTAATTTGCATATTTACAGCAATGTAATTGGTTCTGTTTCTCCCCCCCCCCCCATATCTCTAGCATTTGTGTTAGATTTTTTGATGATGGCCATTCTTTCTGAGATAAGTTGGTATCTCAGTGTAGTTTTCATTTGTATATCTTTACTGGCCAGCTGTGAAAAACAGTTTTCCTTGTATTTATTGACTATTTTTACTTCTGAGAGTGCTTATTCATTTCAGTTGCCCATTTTTTTGATGAGATCTTTTATTTTGGGAGGTGAAATTTGTTTGAGTTCTTTGTATATTCTTCACATTAGTCCTCTGCCCATGGAGTAACTGGCAGAAATACTTTCCCGTTCTATAGGCTGGCTTTTCACTCTATTGGTTATTTCCTTTACTGTGTAGAAGCTTTTTAATTTGATATGATGACATTTGCTGATTCTTGATGGGCTTGAACTTGGGATTCTCCTGCCTCAGCCTCCCAGAATACTTAGACTACAATGTACACCACCATCCCTGGCTCCAAGAATTTTCTTAAAATCATTATGTATGTTTTTGAAGTTAAAAAATTTGGGAAACAAATTCGTTTTCATTGAACTTTTCAGTTTAAGCTTCTTATCATTGTTCTTTTTATGAATTACTGGCTTGCTACTTGGGTTTGGAGGAGAGGTTCGGGAAATTAAGACGGACTCATCATGCAGCCCAGCTGGCCTTGGACTTGTTATCGAGCCTAAAGTTGTATCATGAGTTCTGACAAATATGCAAATTTGTGCCCACCACCAAGTGGTGACCTAGAGAGTTTCCTTCACCATCTGTGCCACAGACCCTGCTTCAGGCCAGCAGCACAGGTTGTACTGTGTTACATTTCATAGGAGTGGAGCTGCTGCATGTCCTCCCATGTCTGTGTGTCTTCCCTCCAGAATAATGGCCACATGACATTGAATGTTGTGTTTCTGGATAGGCATGCATATTTATTTGTGTGACAGGTTTCCTCACCTTCATCTAATTTTCTGTTGCATTTACAAATTTAGTAAACTAGGCTCTGTATGCATTGTAATCTTGTCAAGTAGTGAGTAACACACATATAAATGTGAATAAAGTATCGATTATTTTTGTGTACCTATAATACATATAAAGTCAAATACAGGCCCAGCCATGGTAACACACACTTGTAATCCCAGCACTTGGGAGGCTCACGGCAGGAGGGTTGCTGTGAGTTTAAGGCCAGTCTGGGCTACATAATGAATTCAAGGCCTGCCTGAATTACATAGCAAGAACCTATCTCAAAAAAACAAAAGTTGAGTACACATTGTGATGATAGCACTGGACACAAAAGCAATGTGAGAGATGAACACTATCAACCTCAGTACTCCTGAGATGGACTTTGATGCAGAGCAGACCTCCACAGGAACGACCCCTGGCCTGCACCTGAGGGACCAGGCTGTGTAGTGAGGAGGGACAGTGTCAAGACACCAGCTTCTTCCTGTCTCCATGCACAGAGCTTTCCAAGATGGAGTGTAAATTGGCCTAAATGCAAAATTATAAAACTTCTTAAGGAAATCACAAAGTGAGGTGGCCCTGGACTTGGTGGTGACTTATCAAAGGGTGCCACCAGGGGCGTCACCCATGGGAGCAGTTGGTGGGTTGACTTCATTAAAATTAAAATCAGTGCTTTGGAAAAACACTGAGTAGGGGCTGGGGATTTAGCTCAGTGGCATAGGCGCCTGCCTTGCAAGCAGGCAGTCGTGAGTTCGATCCTTGGTACCGATAAAAATGAAAAAAGACAAAAAAAAAAAAAAAAAAAAAAAGAAAAACACTGAGTAAATGAGAAGACAAGCTGTAGGTGGTTTACAATGTGTTCGTAAACATATCTGATGCAAAGAAATCATAAAGTGGACTAATAAAAAAAACTGGACAAGCTAGTTGCAGTAGTGAAAGTTTATAGTTCTAGCTACTCTGGAGGCTGAGGCAAGAGTATTCACTTGAGTCCACAATTTTTGAGAGATGAATCTGGGGAACATAGCAGAAATTTGCCCCCCAAAAGAAATTTAAAAAAAATAAAACTGGACAAAAGACCTGGCCAGATGTCTCACCAAGCAGAATGCACATTTGAGAATTGCAAATTAAAAACTATGAGATACTCTTAACGCATACACTTATTAGAAGGGCTAAAATTAAGCCACAGGGGCACTGGAGGATGGGAGGCCGAAGATCAGGCTCACTGCTCATGGAGAGAAGTGATGTGGCCACAGAAGGAAGCAGCTTAAGTCTTCTGCCAAACCATATGCGCGCTCACTGTGCAGTCCAGTGGTCAGGCTCCTAGGTGTCCAGCTGGCATGAAACTGATGTTCACGCAAACACCACATGTGCATGTCTATGGCAGTGTGCGCATAGTCGCCAAAAAGCAGAAGTGACCGAGATGCCTGCCTACTATGAGTGCCACGGAAGCTACGATTCAAGAGTTCTGTTCAACAGTAGAAAGAGGACCTTTCAAGTTGTGTGCTATGTGGCCCCTGTGTTCTTAAAGAGGGAAGGCAGGTAGTGGGAAGGAAAAGTGAGAGGAACAGGCAGAGCGTGGGGCATTTTTATGGCAGCAAAACTGAAAACCAGTTGAGGCTGCTGGGGACCCCAGGATGCAGGCACACTCCTGAGAGAATGTCTCTTCCATATACACTAAGACTTGTACTGAATCCCTGGGAGATGTTTTGTGGCTCTGGGAATGAATGGCAGGATCTATAAGACCAGGCAAGAGAGTGACATAGAGCTTGAACTAGCTGATGGCCCAGCAGCTGTGGGTAACAGTTCTGCTTGCTGGAAGTTTGTGGAGCTACAGGCCATCAAGGGGCAGGGATCCAAATGAACCACCGTGGTTAGTGATACTATTAGAGATACCAGAAAGAGCTCAAGTGTAGCTTCATGTGAATACCTATGGGTTATAAGAAGAAATATGTATAATATTTTGGCTTTCCCTATATTTGGGTTGCAAATTTTTTGATTCAACCAACTTTAGTTGAAGATATTTGAAAAAATGCATCAGTTCTAAACAAATACAGACTTTCTATCTTGAATAATACATGGTAACAACTATTTACATAGCAGCTATACTGTATTAGGCATTATAAGTAATCAAGATGATTCAAAGTATAGGGCAACATTTTCTGGCCTACATGAAAATACTGTGTTGTTCTATAAGGGACTTGAGTGTCTTCAGATTTTGGTGTCTTCAGGAGATCATTAGATCAATACCCCACAAATACTTGGAGCGCTTGTAGAATAGAGGTACCCATTAGTGTAGTATAGACAGGTGTGGTGTTCTCTGTGACCTGAGAGCTTGCAGCCAACCTCAGCTCAGTGGCAATGAGCACATCCAGTCCCCAGCTTCCAGCCTCTGACCTTCATCAGTAAAGGTCAAGGGCACTATGGAGAAGTGGCAGAGTCCAGCACCAGGACTGGACCTAAGATGAGCCTGGTGTTTCCTGTGGTGCCTGAAAGTCAGACGCTCAAAAAAGCAAAGCAAAGCCCCAACGCAGGGTCATGTCAAAGCAGTGCAGGAGTCAGACTAAAGAGCTCTCGTGGTCAAAGCTGGAAAAAGTTAGAGCAGCAAAGTCAGTAGTATTGGAATAAAACCAAGTATAACATAAATACCCATGAGTCCCTGCTGATGTTAGTGACTAAGTTCGTTGATTGAAGAGAAGGGACAGATGTCCCATGCACAATTCCAAATGCCTTCTCTAGACACCATGCCCTGGGAGGAGGAACCTAGGTCCCCACCTCAAATGCGACTGTGCACACCACGCCAACCCCTTCCAGGGAGGGAGGGAGGGAGCTGCAGTGGAGACCCAGAGGTACTCAGCCAGGTGCTCATGGTCAGCATTCACAGTTACAGCCCTGTGAACAGTGGGGACCCTGGAGGGCATGACAGGGTTGCTGCCCCAGGGGTTTCCTCTCCAAGCCTGTGGCCCAGTGTATGGTGAGGAAAACATCAAACAAATGTGGATAGAGGAAAATCCTATAACACAGCTACCCAGGTCCTCAGAGACAAGAGCTGGAGCCAGGTATGGTGGCTCACGCCTGTAATCCTAGCTACTCAGGAGGCAAGTTTGAGCCAGCCTGTGTAACTTAGCAAGACTCTGGCTGAAGCTTAAAAAAATAAAAAGAGCTGGGGATATAGCTCAGTAGTGGAGCATTTGCTGTATTTGGTCCCCAGTACTACAAAAGGGTGGGGATGGGGATCGGGGCCTCTGTTGTGGCCAGGAAAAGCAGCAGAGACTGAGAACTGAGCATCATGGGGTCCTGGACAACAAGCTGGGGCCAAAAAGGACATTGAGGAAAACTGAGGAGATACGAAGCATAGACTTTATTTAAAACTTTATATGAAAATATATCAGGTTTCCTTTAAGACACTTTCTTTTCCCAACTGCACCCTGGTACTTAGGTTCCGTGAAATGCACAGATCTTCCCTAGAACTTAAGTTCTTACAAACTGGCGATAAAAAGTCATTGCACACATGGGATATATAGCCGCAGAGACCCACATGACACCCCTGAGAGTGACTGAGGCACCAGGATGGCCCCAGGCAAGTGTGACTTAGGTTCCTGTCAGGGACCTCAGGCAGTGGCCTCCCTTGGTCAATGTCCTCTTCACTGGGGAGGGCAGCTGCACCAGGCCTGTAGGTCTAGTTCCCTTCAGTGACCCTGCCTGGTGCTGTCCCTACCTCATCCTGATGGAAGTTGCAGTGGCAGGCATGGGCGTGGCCTCATCTGGGCACAGGGGCTTGACATGGGACCCAGTCCAGATATTTGCATGTGCTATTGGGTCCTTAAATAGCCTGCCAGGGCTGGGATCCTTAAACCTGGGCCAATTCTGAGCACTCTGGGAGGCTAGCAAGAGGATCATAAGCCCAAGCCCTGCCTGGGCACCTTAGTGGGGGTATGTCTCAAAAGTAAGAGAAGGAGATGCAGCTTAGGGCAAAAGTCATGGGTTCTATCCCCAGTATCACAAAAACAGCACCAGAAGACAAAACAAATGAAAACTAGGCCAAGAACTGTCCTGGCCCTGAATGACCAGGGCCTGGTATGGCTGTGGAGTATAGGCTGGCAGCCCCGAGTGCTGCTTGACCCCAAAACCACGTGGAGTAAGATGCAGTAGAGGATGCAGGATGGGGTGGGGCTGGCCCCTGGAGGCATCCCTTATCCTGTCCCAAGAGCTCTGCTCCCTCTGTCCACTTGACACTGCCCTTTCCCGTGTGTTTTGCTTCAGTGTTACAGTGCCTTAGCCTTCCACGTGATGGTTGCAGGAGCCCCATCAGTGTTATAGGAAGTGACGCCAGTAGGGCAGAAGGCTCCTACAAATCCTGTGGGGGGCCTCTGTTAAAACAGACAGTACCCCCAAATCTTATGGGGCTCTAGGGAGCCCTGATCATTACGTAGGTGCTTAGGGCTTTCAGTGTTTACGAGTGGGGTGACACAGACACTGTCAACAATGAACAGCCCCTAATTACAGGGACACTTGATCTTGGTGCCTCGGCACAGCAGAGCTAGAGAGGGGGCTACTGGTTCTAGAGGTAGATGCCACACAGCCACCTTCCTGCTGCTGTTGCCAACTCTGTCCTGAGCCGGGCCTCCTGCCCTGCCCTGGGTGCCGGGGCTGCCTACCACAGGGCTCCCCAGGCTCTCTGCCACCTCTTACCTCTGCCTGGGAGGCACTTGCACACACTGAGGGCTGTTTGTTCTTTGTTTACAGAGGTATTGTGGCCAGTATTTTGGTTTTCTTATGTTTTGGAGTCACACAAGCCAAAGATGGGCCATTTTCCAGACCTCATCCAGGTAACTCACCGTTTCTCTCTCCATATATGCCCTGTGGCATTCTGTCCCAAGCACTTCTCTGCATCTGTGTCCTAGATGTGAGCATCCTGCTGCCCCTCCCAGCTCCTCACCAGCCTAGTCTTGCTCCCTGCTGCCTTGTGGCTTGCCTACCCCTTTTCTGCAGCCCAGGGTGATTCAGACCTGCAGGAGGCCTGGGGCTCTGGCTGGGGTCTGGGGTGACTGGTCCCCTGCTCTGCCTCCATCTTCCACCCTGACCTCTGACAAGTCTGGGACCACACAGCCCCTTGATGATCTGAGCAGTGAAGGGCATAGGCCCCACTCTTTCCTGCACTGGCCCCCAGCTCCACGTCCCTGGAAGGCCAGCTTAGCCACTGTGGCATGAATTGGACTCCATCAAGGGTCATTGCAAAGGAATTAGAAACACCTTTGCTCTCTGTGTCAATAGAGGTTTCAATTGTGGAAAATACCAAAAAAATTTTTTTGATATGTTTATATATGTGTATGTAGTTTCAAATACTGTAATCAACTGTATATAGCTCTTTTTTTTTTTTTTTCAAAGACAAGGATCTTACCACATTGCCCACACTGCTTCAAAGTGCTGAGCCCAAGTTATCTTCTGTCTCAGCCTCCTCAGTAGCTGTGACCCTGGGCATGTGCCACCATGCCCTGCTGGTTCTTAGTTATTGTGGCAAATTAGGCTGTGAATGTTTGCATATAGTTTCTGTGTGCTTCTCTGGTTATTTATCTGATAAAACATTCCAAAAGAAGCACAAGATTAAAAGCTGAGCCTGCCCACTCTGTAGGACAGACACATCTGCCCAGGGTCACAGGGCACCTGTGCCTAGCTGGCTGCCCTTGCCAACCATCCTTGCCCAGCCCTGTAGGCATAGTGAGAGCTGCTGCACTGAGTCAGGAGCAGCCACAGCAGGGTCTACCCAGTCTTGCAGACCAGAACTGAGGAAAAGGAGGTGATGATTTAAAAGAACCAAGTCACACAGTGAGGCCCACATGGCAAGTGCCTGCAGGCTGACTGGAAAAGCAGCAGAGATGTGACCAGTGCCTGGCCTCTTCCTGGAGGCCCCTCAGGCCTTGCTAGGCAAGCATCAGATGAACAGGACCCCAGCTCCTTGGGCACCTGATGATGTAGGCCTTCTGTCTAAGAGATGTAAAAGCTTCTGAAAGCTTCCAGTGGGAAGCTTTGAGCTGCTTGAACGTTGCTCTGGCTTCTTGGAATGGGTCTCTGTCTCCTCCCTCATAATGGGAGAGTGTGCTTATTTCTGAGCTTTCTTTTAAACGCTGCTAGGCCTGTCTTCTTTCATTGTAGCTGGCTTCATAAACTCCATGTTCTTTGGCAGTCTCTGCCTGGTGCTCATGGAAGCCTGTCCTAGAACCACTTCACATCTTCTAACAGCCTTGGAATCATCAGGCCTGGCTTCCTGCAAGACACACATGCAAAGGATATGAGAGAGGCCACAATGAGGAGCATTGGGGGCTTCCAGCTCCATAGAGGTGGTCTATGCAGGGTTATGCTGTGCCTCATAAACTTAGGGCACAGACATCACCTGGCCAGGCTCCACACTGTGGCCATTAGCAACTGGGCCTCTGTGGAGAAGCAAAATGGAGGTTCCAGCTGGCCTGTCTGGGGAGTTCTTTATTTGGAAACTGTTAATTGGCTGTCGTTCGTTGGAGAAGGCCTCACTCGCTTCCTGGTGGTTTTGTTTTTTCTGTTGCAGTGTTGGAAATCAAGCCCAGGGCCTCATGGTTCTAGGCAAGTACTTCTATACCAAGCAACACCCAGGCCCCAGCTCTGGTTCTTACTTCCATCTGCAGCTCCCTCCAGAAGTGGTAGTAGTCACCCGTCCCCAGTTCTGCTGAGGCTGCCCCTCAGTGTTTTGTGGTGCTAATGATTGAACCCAGCACCTTTGCTGCAAGCTGCGTCCCCAGGCCTTCTCCTTGTATTTTGAGATAGGAGTTCACAGAGTTGCCCTGGCTGGGTTCAATCTTGTCATTCTCTCACCTTAGCCTCCCAGAGGGCTGGGATTACAGTCCACTGCACTGGACTCCCACTCAGATTCGGTGTTCAGAGTGCTAAGCCTAGTTGAGGGCTGGAATCCAGCAGCAGTACTAAGTGTTCTTGTCCATAGAATGATGAGAGACACAGAGGAGAATGTAGAGGTGGACCTAAAAGGTGGCCAGAAGTCAGAGATGGCCCCACTTCTGATGTAGGACCCTCCCTGGGAGGGACTATAGGAAAGACTGCAAATTGCTGGGGGTTCTCACATATAATCCTAGCACTCAGGAGGCTGAGACAGGAGGATGGCCTTGAAATCAAGGCCAGTTTGGGCTACATAGTGAATTCAAAGCTAGCCTAAACTCCATGGTGAGACTCTGTCTCAAAAACAAAGGAAAGATTGCAAGTGTGTAGCCAAACAGACATGGCCAGCTCAAAGTCACCTCAGACCTGGTAGGTGAAGCATCCACAGGGCTCTGTGGCCTTGAAGCACTGGACACTCCCAGACAGTGCCCTAGCAGGTTGCACCACAACCTCTGAGCAAGTGAAGATCTCTGTGCTCCTGGTGTAGAGTTTGGAGCCCTTGGATGTTTGTCTTGTGTTGAAGAGCCACATGTACATGTTGCCAAGAGCTTCCACATTCTCTGCCCAATGTGGTTAGTTAATCTTTGTGCAGCCATTGTGGCTGCTTCATGCCAGGTGGACCAGGACATAGGTCCTGCCCGAGCCTCCTGAGTGCTATGCTGGGTGCTATACACAAGGCAGGAGTGTAAGGTGCCTTCACATGGAAATCTGTTAATATGATCACTGCATTAGTGTATTTTAAGAACTCTGTTGTCTTAGATGCAGAAAAGCAAAAGTTCATACCTTTTCATGATAAAAAGTATATTAGATTGAAAAGCTTTTGTTTGTTTTTTGTTTTGTGGTCCCAGGGCATTCATACTGAGCTACATTTTTTTAATTTAGTTTTGATACAGGATCTTGCTAACTTGCCTAAACTGGGCTAAAATTTTCAGTCCTCCTACTTCAGCCTCCCAGAGCACTAGGATTACATGAAAATATTTTCTTAGCATGATAAAAGGTATTTATCAAAAGCCTGTTCCAGACCTAATACTATAGGCCAGAGGAGTGCTGATAGATGGAGGACAGAGATGTTGCCGTCACTGCTTCTCCCCGACAGTTGAGCTTCCTGTGCCACAGTGATAAGATGAGGAGCAGAACAAATCAATGATGTAAGGGCTGGAAAGGAAGAAAATGAAAGAGAAACATTCACATTTCAGAGAGAGACCATGTGTGCCCAACCTGAGTGTGACCTTGTTCTACACAGGCTCTGCCCAGGCTTCATCAGGGCGAGACAGATGCCATGTCCAGGAGCCATAGGCTGGGCAGAGCCTGGAGACCAAGCTGGAACCCTGATGCTCCTGTTTCTTGTCCTAATAGCTTACTGGCGATTTTGGCTCTGCGTTAGTGTGGTCTACGAGCTGTTTCTCATCTTTATCCTCTTCCAGGTAAGTGACTTTTCTTAGACAAACTGGGAGCAGGTAACAAGAGGCTTTGCACACTTGGCCCCAGACCACTGGTGGAAGCCAGGCTAGACCCAGCACTGTGGTACAGGGGTGCAGGACTTCTAGTGGGCCTTGGGTGTGGGTGCTGGTGGAGCAGGCTGTTGTGCCCAGAACAGGGGAGGACAGTGGGCCTGGTTCCTGAGTCTGTTGCATGGGAAAGCATTTCTGGCTGAGTGTCTGACTCACTGGAGCATTCTCCCTCCAGCCCCTGTTGTGCAGGAGGCTCGTGGGATAAGGAGCTTACGTCCCTGTCATCTCCAGCCAGAGTATACTGCCCTGATGGTTTGTTTGTTGAGCTGCACACAGCTTTATTGAAGAAATATATACCATGATGGTCTCAGGCCACAGAGTACTCTCCTGTTGAGGCCTCAAAACCTGCTGTTGTGTGGCTGGGTTGTTTGTGGTACAGATGTTCGGGACAAGTGTGCAGTGCTGCAACTCTACACACACACATGTCCCTCTGCAGTGGGACACAGGACAGTGCCATCTCCCCCCAAAATTTCTCAAGGATCCCTTGATGTCCCCTGCTCTGGGGATGTCTCATCTTGCCTGCCATTGCTCTCCCTCTTAAGAATTTCTCCCTCTATGCGTGGAGCCACACAACAGGCTTCCTGCATGCACTGTCAGCTTATGCAGAGAGGCATCTACTTGCTCCCACGTGGGGCCATTCCCTTCCAGGTGCTGTGTGGATGTGTCTGCCTTTGGCTAGAGACACGAGCTCACTGGTTCCACCCCAGCTGTGCGTTTCCAGTTGGCGCAACTGTGCATCTTCCTCCAGTTACCAGCACTGACATGGAGCTCCTGCCACTTTCCATCCTAGCTCTGTGCTTTTATGTGTATCCAAGGGTCAGCAGCTGGGTCCTATGGGCTCTGATTAGTAACAGAGCTGCTGCTGGGTATAGGTACTATGTCATTGTTGTTTGATTTGCCTGGGATATGACTAAATTCAAGCTTTATTCACTTTTCCTTAGTTTTTACTTAATGTCTATTTTCTACCCAGGGAATCCCCTCTGGGTCACCTTCTGGCACCTATCGCACCTTCTCAGGCTCTCTGAGTCATGCACTTCTGACTGTCACTGTCCCTGATAACAGGGCAGCTCTGAGGAAGTCTGTCCAGGTACCTAGTACAAGGTCACACATTGGAATTGTGATGTATGAGTCCCCAACTTTTCTTCTTCTTCAAAATTGTCTTGGCCTATTTGGTCTCTTGAATGTCAAGTCAATGCTAAGAGTACCTTTCTGGCGCTGTAGAAGCACAGGTAAATTTTTTTTTCTTTTTTTTTTTTCTTTTTTTTTTTTTCTGTTTCATGATGCTAAGATCATGCTCAGCAAGCACTGACCCTCAGCCCTAGAGGATGCAGTGTTTGTTGGTGGTGACTCTGATTGCATCAGAGTCATGGATAGGTTTTAGGAGACTGGCATCCTAACACCATTACATCTTTAGTATATGAGCTAGTTTCCATTAGTTTAGGTTGTCTTTCTTTTTTTTTTTTTTTGACCATGTTTTGTAATTTTGAGTGTATGTTTCATGCTGTGTTAAATTTATCTCCCAGTGTCTTATTCATTTTGATGTTATTGTAAGAGGAATTCTTTTCTCAATTTTATGTTTGGATCACTCATCACTAGTGTATAGAAGTACAACCTAGAGCAGGGTGTGGTGACACATGCCTATAATCCCAGCACTCGGGAGGCTGAGGCTGAAGCGGTGAGTTGAAGACCAGCCTGAACTACATCATGAGACCCTGTCTCAAAAAGACCAAAAAAAAGGAAGAAGAAAAAGAAAAGAAAAAAACCCTCTGTTTTTATACTGAGTTTGTTTCCTGAGACCTTGCTTATTAGCCCGGTAGTCCCTTGGGATTTTCTGTGTCTTGGCCTCTGCCTCCAGCACATAGAGGTGGTTTTGCCCTTGCTTCCCCCTCTGCTGCCTTCTGTGTCCTTCTCTCATCTATGCTGGGCTGAGCCCCCAGGGGACTGAATGACCTCTTCATCTTGTTTCTGATCTTAGGGGCACCTGCTGTCTTTCCTCATTAATTGTGGGCACTCTGGCTCCTCCTGGATGCCCCTCATCAGGTGGAGGGAATTCATTCAATTCTGTTCCTAGTTTGCCAAGTGTCATTATCCTGAGAACTTGTTAGATTTTGTCTTACCTGGAGCAAGTTGGTTATGTGAGGTTTTTCCCTTCTCTTGATGTGACATTGCACTGACTGACTTTCTTATTTCCAACCAGCTGTGGTTGTGGTATATAACCCTGCTGACATATGTGAGATTTGGTTTCCTAATGTTTTGTCTGGTATTTTTGCATTCATGTTGATAAAACATGTTGGTCTATAATTTCCCAGAAGATCTGTTCCTGGGTTTGCATCAGGGTACATGTGAGCTGTCCAATGTCTTCCCAGGATTTGACGTGGGTAAGGCACACTACATGGTCTAGCGCAGGAATGGCGGCACCTATTCCTGTCTGGTTCTCCACTGTGCCCTTTGCATACTGCACTCTGAAGGAAGTCACTGATGCTTCCCTTGGGGCAGGAGGGATGTGGTAGCCCCTCCTGAGGGCAGAGCTACTGCATATAATTCAGAATTCCTCTGCAGGGAGATTTGTCCCCTCTCTACTACTTGTCATTCAGTCATTTATGTGTATCAGCATGCACTCAGAACCCATAGTCGATACCAGGATTATCTCTAGCATTGTCTTTATTGCAATACATGGATTCCTTAGGCCATTGGCAGGTGTCTCATGGTTCCTGCATGCTTGGCACACCCTCATCTATAGGGGTCCTTGGTCTTTTGTTTTTCAGAGCCCTTCCTATCTGTGGTGCTACAGGCTGCTCAGGGCATCTGTACACCCATCCCAGCCCTAGAGTCAGTTGTTTCCCTGAGGGCAAGGGTACCTTCCTGTAGGATGGTCTGAGGCTGAGATCTGGGTCTTAGGTGATGGGTGCTGGCCGTATCTGTATGTGATAGCATCTGTTCAGAAATGATGGGCACCAGGGTTCTGCAGCTCTTTCCCTGCTGCTTCCTATTCTCCAGGGGGCCAGGAGCCAGGGGTCAGGGATCTCTGACCTTTCCCTAGAGAAGAAAACTCACAATCTTAGGCCCATGCAACTAAATAGGGGTCAAACTGCAGCTGCATCTGGGTCTCAGGAGGCACTTGGGTCCTAGGGTCAGGAGACCCTAGATGCCACTAGGGGCAGGTGGCCCTGAACTTAGGAGGCTGTGCTGCAGGATGGAGCTTCTGTACCCACCTGTGGCCCAGATCACAGGAGGACGCCATTCCTCTAGTGTTCCTGCCACAGACTGTCTGTGCTGTCTGGCCACCTGTCCCTAATGTGGCTATGTCCTATGCTAAGCACCTGTTTGTTCTCACTCTTGCCACCCCCTCATGGACCTTGATTTATATTTGGTCTTCAGGCTCTCAGCATGCAAGCTTTCCTAAGGTCCTTGGCTGGTGGCCTGATGAGGGGCACCTCCTTTGCTAAGTTCTGTCCCAGAAACTTTCTTTGAATTAAGGTTAGAAGGAGCTGCCAGCAAACACTGGCATCTGCCCGATGGAGAAGACCATGTGTCCTCATGTCACTGAAAGTCAGTGGCATACCACCGGGGTGGCCTCTGTGAGCATGAGGCTGGAACACAGGGCTAGCAGCATGGGGCTACCCTTGTTGAACTGAGGATACAAGTCCTGTGCCTCTGTCTAGTGTGCTCCACCAGCACCCAGGGCTTGGGCCCATGGGTCTCCAGCTTGTAGAGGAATGGGAGCCCCTGTGCTGTGACAGACTGACTGAGACAGAGCCACTCACCCTGAATCCCCCACCTGACACCCATGGCCTTACAGACAGTGCGTGATGGCCGACAATTTCTAAAGTATGTGGATGCCAGGCTTGGGGTCCCGCTGCCTGAGAGGGACTATGGGGGAAACTGCCTCATCTACGATCCTGACAAGACTGACCCCTTCCACAACGTCTGGGTAAGAGTGCCACAGGGGTTGTCACCCATGTGTGGGGTCTCATTTAAGGGGCTCCCTGTTCACTGTCAGGGTGGGTTGTCCCAGGAGCTCTCAGCATGCAAGCAAGACCCTGACACAGTTGACAGAGTGGGATTTTTGTGCCTGAGGACCATTCCTGTCACCCACAGGACAAGTTGGATGGCTTTGTTCCTGCACACTTCATTGGCTGGTACCTGAAGGTATGGTACTGTTTGCCTCAGCCCCTTGTTTCAGCCATCCTGTGCTCTAGCCATCCCTGGCTACAGGGTGATATGGGGGTGGTGGTGGGTGAGCCTGGCAGTGGGGTCTGTGCTCATAAGTGCATGTGGAGCCACCCAGGAGGGCCCCCGAGGGCTCTAACAGGCCTTGACATGAGGACACATGGTTTTCTCCATCAGGCAGATGCCCTATCAGATCTGCTTACTGGCCCTAGCATTGTGGTAGCCAGGTGGGAGGACAGAGAGGGACAGCAAGCAGGAAGCCACATCTCTCCAACTGCCCATCCCAGACTCTAGGCACCGCTTCTGCACACAACCTCGGCACCTAGGGCAGGGCCGGCCTTCCCTCAGCACCCAGTATGGACACCTCCACATACTGAGAAGCTAAACAATGCAGCTGCGAGAGGGGCAGTTGCCTGTTGCCGCACTCCCTGGTGGCTGCTGGGCATGGGTAACTCCATGCCACTGTGGACGCTGCTGTCCCATGCAGACACTCATGATCCGGGACTGGTGGATGTGCATGATCATCAGTGTGATGTTCGAGTTCCTGGAGTACAGCCTGGAGCACCAGCTGCCGAACTTCAGCGAGTGCTGGTGGGACCATGTAGGTGCTAAGGGGCCAAGGTGGTGGGCAGGGCCTTCGCATGATCCTGGGGCTGGACCTCATGTCTCTTCTGCCTCCTGCACAGTGGATCATGGATGTGCTGGTCTGCAACGGGCTAGGCATCTACTGCGGCATGAAAACACTGGAGTGGCTGTCCCTGAAGACATACAAGTGGCAGGGCCTCTGGAACATCCCCACCTACAAGTGCGTTCTAGGAGTCAGGGACCGGGGTCAGTGGGTTAGGGTTTGGCCAGGTGCTTTATCATGTTTGCTTTGGGATTTAAACAAAAGCAGCAAAAAAAAAAAGTTAAAAAAAATATATAGGGCCTGGGATTTAGCTCAACAGCATAAGCACCTGCCTTGCAAGCAGATGATCGTGAGTTCGATCTCTGGTACCGGGGGAAAAAAAAAAGTTAAAAGCAGCAAAGCTAAGTACAGTGGCATACATCTGTAGCACCCAGTTGCTTGGAAGACAGGAAAATCTCTTGTGCCCAGGAGTTTGAGATAATCTGAGCAACATGGCAAGACTTTGTCTCATTAAAAAGAAGAGAAAACAAGAGGCTGCAAAAGGCCTGGGAGCAGTGCAGAGAGTCGGCAGCCCCCAATCCTTCTGAACAGGGCAGGGTGTGGGGCCGGGGCTGCACCCAGGTACCAAATACCAGCCAGCCCCCTGCCACAGCTAAGACTGGGAGCAGAGCTGGCACCAGCAGATGTGGGTAGCTGTGCTCAGGCCTGGCTCTGTTCCCAGGGGCAAGATGAAGCGCATAGCCTTCCAGTTCACACCCTACAGCTGGGTCCGCTTCGAGTGGAAGCCAGCCTCTAGCCTTCGCCGCTGGCTGGCCGTGTGCGGCATCATCTTGGTGGTAAGGTGGGGGCACCTCATGGCTGTGCTTGCCAGGCACCCTGAGCTGTGCTGACCTCTCCCATCCCCTAGTTCCTGCTGGCAGAGCTGAACACCTTCTACTTGAAGTTCGTGCTATGGTTGCCTCCGGAGCACTACCTGGTCCTGCTGCGGCTGGTCTTCTTTGTGAATGTGGGCGGCGTGGCCATGCGTGAGATTTATGACTTCATGGATGATTTGTGAGAGCTGCTGCCAGACTGAGGGTGCAGAGGGCAAGGGTGAGATGGGAGGCATCCTGGGGTTGGGCCTGGGTGAGCACACAGCTGCTGCCCTCTCCACAGGAAGCCCCACAAGAAGCTGGGCCAGCAGGCCTGGCTAGTGGCGGCCATCACAGTCACCGAGCTCCTCATTGTGGTGAAGTACGACCCACATACACTCACCCTGTCCCTGCCCTTCTACATCTCTCAGTGCTGGACACTTGGCTCCGTCCTGGTGCTCACCTGGACCATCTGGCGCTTTTTCCTGCGGTAAGTGGACCCAGGAGCATCAGCCATTCCTCCTGCCGACTGTCCCCACCCTGTCCCCCATCCTGTGTTGTCCCCAACCCCACCCATGGCTCACTCAGTGCCTTGTGCCTCCCCATCATCTGTGTCCCTCATGGGCTCCTCCAGGTGACAGTGTTGGGTATCCACCAGGACTGCAGTATACAGGTAGTGAGGTGGCCTTTACTCCCCCAGGGACATCACCTTGAGGTACAAGGAGACACGAAGGCAGAAGCAGCAGAATGATCAGGGCAGGGCAGTCAGCAGCAAGGATGAACACCCAGGGCTGGATGATGATCTGCTGGGACCCTGGCCTCCCAAGAAGGAGGACGTCACTGAGGAGGGCATGGCAGCTGCCTCATGAGACTCAGTCTTCCTGCAGGCCTTGCTCCTGGGGCTCTTCCCCCTCCTTCCACACTCTGTGTACCTGTCCACCCCAGTGCACAGACATGTGCACAACCAAGCTTGTGCACATGTGCGTGTACTCATGGGGCCACTCTAGGATCAACAGCTGGTGGCGGCAGCTGGGCCTTGCCCTGGAGCAGGGTCCTGTCCTTCCTCTGCCTGCCTAGCCAGGGCCTCTGCCCACAGACTGTCCAGTGCCTAGTCTCAACGAGCCTGGAAGGAATAGTCTGTTCCCTTTCTCCAGGTGGCCCTGCAAGACCTGACATGCCCACCATTGGCACAAGGACAGGACCCACGCTGTGCAGCACCGGGCCACTTCCCACAGGGTCTCTGCTAACCAGATTTTCCTGGGTAGAACAGGAGGGGTGAAGGCTGCCAACCAGACCCCATGAACATGCATACCATGCACAGATTCCCAGACCAGGGCTATAGTCTGGTCACCAGGGTTGTGTTGTTCCATAGCTCAAGTTTAGGGTGTCTCCTCAAGCAGACAGAACAAGTGATGATGAAGGTCCACGCCTCCAGTACTCCTACCCTGCAGACCTTACTGATACAGGAAGCTGCATAGGATGCTGCTCTTCTGCAGCTACCAGGAGAGAGGAGCAGGCCCAGCCGCTGCTGGGGTGGGGCCAACAGAGCCTCCCACAGCACCACCATGCCCAATTTTGCCTTTTGCAGGGGACAGGGCCTGTGACTGCTAGGGAGTGGCCAGAGAACAGGAGCAGGGAGTACTGGGAAGGGGCAGCTGTCTTCTCACTTGTTTGTTTTTTCCCCAGGTGGTAAAGTAAAAACTTTAAAGATTTTTCATTTTTGTGGTTCTGGGGATCAAACCCAGGAAGTTTTCAGACACAAATGAGAGGAAAGTGCTATGATTCCAAGTCCCCCCACCTTGGTGAGGGTGAGGCCCCCACTATGGACACAGAAACCTTCTCTGAGAGGGACAGAACCCAAGGCTGGGCACCAGCTACACCTTCTCAGCCTGCAGGGTCCAGGCTTCAGAAGCTCTTAGTGTGTACTTGCTGAGGACTGCATCCAAGGCCTTGTGCAGCCAGGCAAGTCTTCCACTACTGAGCTGTACTCCAAGACTTCTACTACTTCCCTGTACCTGTTTTGAGATGAGCATGGAGTATGTGAGGCCTCCACCCTGGAGACAGGGACATGATGAGCCTACTCAGTACCCCTGGATTAGGTTGCATTGTCCCTGCCCAGCTGCACATTCTGTTCAGAGCTGTCACCATCTTCCACGCCCCCATAATGCTTTTCCCCACAGGGACTGCTGCTTATCCTGGGGCCCTGGGTCACCTGTTTCTGTAGAGCACCCTGATTCTTCCAAGCAGAGGGCTCACACATGTAAGCAGAGATCCTGGGGCCCTTTCAAGGGCTTTATCTTAGACTGTGTATGTCCCTTCTCCACCTTGTGGTCCACCTCAGCCAGTGGCGGGATGAGGCCCTCTGGACATAAGGGAGCCCTCTACCATCCTAGACTGACTGGGCACTAGGCTCTGGGCAGCCAAGGGCTTAGGGCTTAAAGTTCAGAGGCCCAAGGCTCAGAAGCCGCCAAACACAGGGGAAACTCTCCTTGGACACTATCTTGCAGGACACCACCATGTACAGGGACACAACTGGCAGCAGAGCCAAGGAGAATCCCCAAACAAGGGTGGGCTTGGGCTACAATCCTGAAAGTCATCATCCTAGTGTTGAACTCAGAAATGATTCAAATTCCCAAAATACAATTCCAGAAAAAATTATTTTTAAAAAGGGCTGGGGATATGGCTCAGTGGTTAGAGTTCTTGCCTTGCATACACAAGACCATGGGTTTGGTCCCCAGCAACCACAAAAAAACAACTTCTTTAAAGCCAAGCATGATGGCACACACTTATAATCCCAACACTGAGGAGTTGAGGCAGGAGTATTGCCCTGAAATCAAGCCCATCCTGAATTAGATAGTAAAACTGTCTCAAAAGACAAAGTAAAAAAAAAAAAAAAAAAATAGGCAGACTTTCTGAATATAAACACTAAGGTATACTAACATGGATGTAACATTACAGAGCAGAAAAACTAATCAAGAAGCAAAAATGGTATAGTCATGCAGCTGGAATCCCAGTTACTAGGTAGACTGAAAGTTTGAGCCTAGCCTGGGCAGTTTAACAAGACTGTTTCAAAATAAAAATTTTGGGGATAGACCTCAAGGCTAGAGCACTTCCCTGGCACATGTGAGGCCCAGGATTCCATCCCCACTTTGTTTAAAAAAAAAAAACTACTACTGCACAAACAGTTGCCTAAAGAACCAAAATCTTAGGAAATTTCATCTTTAACAAATGCAGCTGGAGATATAACTCAGTGGCACAAGCACCTGCCTGGCAAGCACAAGGTTATGAGTTTGATCCCCAGTGCAAAAAAAATGCAGATCTACACTAAGAACATCTCTGTGTCTCCATCCCTTCATGTACTAGGATAACTTTTTTTTTTCAAGACAAGATCTCACTGTAGTTCAAACTAGTCTTATACTTTGTAGCCCAACCTGGCCTCAAAATAACAGCAATTCACCTGCCTTATCCAGAATTCTGGAATTACAGGCACGTGCTGCTGTGTTAGAATTAACTTTTTTTTTTTTTTTTTTTTTTTTTTTTTTGTCTTTTTCCTTTTTATTGGTACCAGGGATCGAACTCACAACTGCCTGCTTGCAAGGCAGGCACTTATGCCACTGAGCTAAATCCCCAGCCCCAAATTAACATTTTCTTAATCAGGATTGTGATAAACTGGATGTGGTGATGCATGCTTATAATCCCAGCACTTGGGAGGCTGAGGCAGAAGGACCATTGCAAGTTCAAAACCAGCCTGGGCTACAAAGTGAGCTCAGACCAGACCCTGTCTTAAAAAGGAAAGGAAAAATAAGTCAAACTTGCCAAAAATGCATTAACCAAATTAGAACTCTAAAGTCTACATGGTTTATACCTCCACTGTTGTAAATTATACAAAGATGAAATGCATATCACAGTACCATGTGAGCACCATGCTGGTGATTTCATGGGGAAAAACTTAAGTTCAACATTGAAGAAAATGCATTCCCAGGATGGACCATGGGTGGAGCAGAGGGGTCCGTGGGGGCTGCCAACCCAGTCCTTGGCTTCAGGTGAAGGCCTGTTGACAAAGAGTTGTTTTTCTTTAGGGTGTGGCTGTCTTTTAGGAGATGTTCACCCCCATTTTCTACCTAGTGCTACTCTTTGAAATCACTCGCCACTCCGATGTACACCAGCTTAGCTTTGCCCTCTAGAATTTCCTGTCCTCTGAGTCACACTCTCGTCATCCCATGTGTGCTCAGTACAGGCACATTTGGCAGGAAGAGCGGAGCAGTGGCGCAGTAGCACTGCTCCTCCCGAGCAGTGGTCTTTTTTGAACCAGTAATTTCACTGTCTTCTTTGGGCAAATGCACATTTGGTTCATTAAGAGCTAGAACTGTGTCCATGAGGAGGGTTGCCAATATAGATAAATGACCTGAATTCAAAAATTATTTTTAAGGAGGCTCAGCAGCATAAGCACCTGCCCAGCATGCACAAAGTTGTTAGCTTAAGTGCCAGTACCAAAAAAAGCAGCTGAAAAGTTTTTGACAGAAATTGTACATATTTATGGTAATCATATACTATTTTGACACATATTCATACATAATACTCCAATCAGGACAGGCTCAGCTATTTTTCCATTTGTTTGTGGCAAGAGCATTCACCTTTCCTTTCCCTATGGCTTGGCATGTAAGTACACTGTCATCTGTATTTCCCTTTGTGCCCTATGCATCTGTTCCCTGGGAACCACCATTCTCCTCCCGGCCGCTGAGAACAACTGTTCTAGGTTCTAAGAGTAAGATCAGGTAGTGCCCAGTTTACTCCACGGTGATGTCTAGGTCTGTGAAGGATTTCACTTGTGACCAAGTAATGTTCCTGTGTGTATTTACCACTTCCATTTCCATTTGTTGGTTGATAGCTTGTTTCCAGTTCTTGGGTATAAACACTTACAGTTCTCCCTTTAACATACTGATTTCGGGGATTTGGCTCAGTTGCCTAAGTGCCTCCCTGACAAGTTTGTGGTCATGAGTTAGATCCTCAGTATCAAAAAAAAAACCAAACATACTGATTTCATTTCCCTTGGATATATACCCAGCATGGAATTGCAGAGAGTTCTATGGTAGATGTACTTATACTTTCCTGAGGAATAGCTATCATACTGCTTTCCAAAAGGCCTGCACTAATTTACATTTCCACCAATACTGTATATGGAGTCCCTTTTCTCCTCAGCCTGGCCCACACTTGTTACCTTTTGTCTTTTAGACAGTGGTCATTCTTACTGTAGTGAGGTAACACCTGTTGTAAGCTGTGATAACAGTACAGCAGTGACACTGAACACAGTTGCATACGCCTGTTGACCATTTGTAAGTCTTATGTTTTTGCTGTTGAGCTCTTTTGAGTCCTGTCAGTATTGATTATAATCCTGTCAGGTGCATAGTTTGCAAGTATTCCCCTACCCCATAGTTGTATCTTCACTCTGATTGTTTTCCTTCCTGTACATCTTTTTAGTTTGGTATAATTCTGAATGTCTGTTTCTGCCCTTGTTTCCTGTGCTTTGGGGGTCATATCTGTTAGATCCTCCATCTAAGAGACAGCACAATCATGGCAGTAGTTCAAAACTGTGCTCTAATAATGCACACCTTCTTCTTCCCAGAAGCCCTATGGTTTCTCCCTCCCAAAGTCTGCCAAAGCTCAAGCATGTGAGGATTTACCCAATCCCCTGCACTTGCAAAATAAATCAGCTCACATAAGTCCCCAGAGCCCTTCCCCTATCAGAGCCTACATCAGGCAAAACCTGCCCTTTCTCTGCAGAGCCGCCACAGCCTTTTCTGTGGTGACTCCCTCCATTCCCCCACTCTGTTTTCTTATCTACTTGCCCCCTCTTTTTTAATATTCTGTGCTGCTCCTAGATTGAATACAAATTACTCAATATCCAAAAAACTCTTTGCCCCTTCCAGTTGTTGGGGGCCACAAATTAGTCTAGGGGACATCCAAGCTTGTCTTGTCCAGCCCTTTGAGCAAGACTAGAATGGGGAGACTCCCTGGTCTTTTCTGGTCACAGCTGGAAGCCCTTGGGTTAATGACTGCTGTGTTGCTCACAGGACAGATAAACCTGCTGGAGATAATGAGGCACCTTCTGTCTTGTCCTCACAAAAATGCTTTGTTCTTCCTAGCCCACTATAGTCTGCCATTACTGTACCTGGAAACACCCACTGCCCTTCACCCATTGTCCTTGACGCAGATGTAATGAACAAATACTAAGGTTCTGGGTGCCCTGTGGCCTTTTGTTCCCAGAGAGCAACCAACCCCAGATCCCTGCTACACCCATTTTTGTCTCTTGCTCTTCCTTTGTTTCCCAGTGTGGGTCATAACTTCAGACAGGGGACTGAGGAGCCACTGAAGTAGCCCCCAATAACTGGCACCAGGGAAAGTATCTCCAATATCCAATGTCTTTAAGCTTTCTTCCAATAATCCATGACTTTAGGTCTAAAAGTCAGGCCTTTGATATACTCTGAGTTGATGTTTCTAACCAGTGAGAAAAGGGATCTACTTTTATTCGTCTGCTTGTGGTGATTGGATAACATTTTCAAACTTGGTAGTTGCCCTGTCACAAGGCCAGAATTACTAGATGGAGTCAAACCTCTATGCTAGCTTATGTCATCCTCTTTTTTAAAGTTATAATAAAAAAACTTACGGCTAAAGGAAGTGGTGTTAGTCCCATATATTAATTGTGCTGTGTATGTTCTATGTGGCCCAAGACAGTTCTTCTTCACTCAGTATAGGCCTGGCAAGCCAAAAATGTGGACACCCATGTGCTAGGATTGTGTTTTTTAACATTCTCAGCTTTATTTTTCAGCGAAATTTTGGAGATTTCAAGTTTCAGGATTTCAGCTCTCGGGACTTTATCTTTTAGAGATTGTGAATGCAGGGATTTTTATACTAAGGTTTTTAATTTTTTTTACTTTATTTGATTTTTTTTTGGTACAAGGGATCAAACTCATGACCTCACGCTTGTCAGGCAGGTGCTCAACCACTGAACTATATCCCTGGCCCCTATACTAAGGATTCTGTTGTCTTGGGATTGTGTATGTGGATACAGGTGCAAATGGCAGGTGAAACCCTGGGCCTTGCACTTACTGAGCACATGACCCACCACTGGGTTGCCCAAGACCTGACGTTTCAGTGTGTGGAAGTATCCTTTGGGGTTACACTGGGCATTGCCAGAGTGGGCAGAACACAGACTTCCTGTCTATGGGCAGAAGCAGCCAAGACGACAGGTCACCTGGAGGCTTGTCTCACCATCAGAGGAGGAGGGCTCACTCCAGGACTCCACAGGCGGCCTGGGCACCACAGCTGGTCCCAGGCAGAGGACGCAGTGCTGAGCTGCTACACTGCTGATTGGTTACAGGAGAAGGTATACACTTAGCTGCACAGGGAACACAGGAAAGGACAGGATCCTGCCTACCAATAGAGCCCTTTAATAACTATACAAAGAAGCAGGTTGCACAGCATCTCTATTCAGTCACAGCCAGGACACCCGCAGAGGGAGCCGCAGAGAGCAGATTCTGTGAGCCTGCAGGAGGAGGGGGCCTCAGGAGATGATCCTCAGGGGTGGCTTCTCCTTCTCCAGAGCCTCCAGCTGGTCTCTCACCTCATCACTCACGTAGATATCGAATAGGCTGTGGGCAGAAGGGAGTGCCTGATTTCACACCTACCACTCCTCGGGTCCCCCCATCAAGCCCCAGGAGCTCACATCACTCACAGCAGGCACTCTAGGGTACAGGATGGCTGCCGGAGGCTCTCCACCAGCTGTAGGACACCAGGGTCCCCCAGGCCATTGTTGCTGAGGTCTAGCTCCCGTAGGCTGTGGCAGGCCAGCAGGACCAAGGCCAGGTTGCTGCAGCTGCTATTGGTCAAGTTACAGTCCACCAACCTGTGCAGGGTCAGGACAAGACCAGCTGATGGACTGGCCTGTGCTCCCACCACACCATGGGCTGGTGAAAGCCCATAGTCTAGATGCCACAAATCCTGAAATAAGCCTGCCTATGGCAAGTCAGGGCCACAGGGGGCCAACTCTTCAGTCCATTCCATCTCTTTGGTCCCCTCACAGTCCCTTCAAAGCCCCAGGCAACATCCCTGCAAAGACAGGGAAGGAGTGGAGACACCACACCTTGCTTCCCCCATAACCAGAGCCTGTCTGGGCTCACACAAAGGCACAGTACAGGGGGAGATGTGAGGGGCAGGCAGGCTCCAGAGAAGCATGGTGGTCAGGCCCAGCACCCACTCCCACAAGGACAGGCCCAAGGCAGCCCTGGTACCACACAGTGGTGCAGAGCCACACCTGCTCTGTCTCCAAGATGGGGGTGAGAGCTAGCACAACCCCTTTTGAGAGCAGTGGCGACCCACCCTTCTGTTCCTCTCCCACCCGGCTGTGAGGGTACCACAGCCTTGGCAGCTAGGACTGTGACCCCTGAAAAGGAGACTGCAGGGCTGTGCTGCAGGCTGCCAGTCCAGCTCTTCAGATGCCCAGGATGCCAGCACCAAGCAGAGCTACCTGCAGAAGCTACAGACTGACAATAACAAAGAACAAACATCCAAGAGCAGAAAGGAAAACTTTGGGAGACTGGTCAGAAAATGAGAAGCTCCAAAACTATAACAAGGAAAAAGGAAGAGCACACTGCAGGACCAGCCTCTGAGACCCAAGCACAGAGTCCTGGGCCCTCCAGGAAGAAGAGATACAGGACAAAAAGCGCATTTGCTCAAGACCAAGGCCTGCACCGAGGAGAAGCACACCCAGCCCAGGATACAAGGCCAGACCTGTAAAAGCTGCTGGGGGAAGAGCACAAATCAAGGACAACAGAGCACCCCTTGTCCAGAGAGCAACAGCAAAGAGGAGGCCCAGACCTCCACCCCTGCTAAGTGACTGCAGCATGGGCCACAGTGCTGCAGAAACTTCCTCTAGGGAAGCTGCTAGAACATGCTCAGCAAAATAGGTGGATCAGGAGCCTCCCTCCCTCCCAGCTGCCAGCCTATGAAGACCTCAGGAATTGTGATCTGTGAGCTGGGACTTGCATGTACATACTCGAGCACCTGCAGCACGGAGCCCGGCTGGCACAGGGCCTGGCACAGCTCCTGCACACCAGTGTTACCCAGGTTGTTCTCACTCAGCAGCAGCTCCGTAAGAAACTTGTTCTGGGCCAGCACCTCCCGGAAGTAGGGACAGCAGGCAGCTGTGAAGCCACATTCCTTAACCCTGCAGGACAGTCAGCAAGGCATGAGCTGGACCAGAACTCCCTCCAGCACCCTGTCTTCAGGGCTCACCAGACCCAACCCTATGGGCCCCCAGCTCCTCTCCACGCCACACTGCATGATGCAGTGCTCCTGTGCCCAGTAATCTGTGTGTAGATCCCGCTGTCCTGACAAGGGGCCTGCCTCCCAGCCCAGACCCTCGCCCTCACCACAGACACTCCAGCTGGCAGGTGGGCTCCCGCAGGGCCTCACACAGCAGCCGGGCGCCCTCATCACCCAGCCTGTTGAGCATCAAGCTGAGTGCCTTCAGGCTCTGCTTGGCCATGAGGACCTGGCAAAGGTTCTTGCAGCCCTCGGTGGTGATGTCGCACTCCCAGAGCCTGCAGGACATCCACATTCTCTGAGAAGGCCCAAGACAAGACAAGGCACACTGCTGCTACCACTTGGTCTGGGTACTGAGACTCACCACAGCTTCCTGAGCCTGCAGCTGGGGTGCAGCAATTGTGAGCACAGCACCGCAAGGCCCGCATCACCCAACCTGTTGTTGCCCAGGTCCAGATCCTGCAGGGAGGGCTTGGCAGCCACAACATCACACAGATCCTTGCAGGTGGCTGCCGTGACACCGCAGTTCTCTAGCCTGGAGACAGTGCCATGTCTGAGGGGGGACCCTGAACCCCAGCCCCACCCCTCTGTCCCTGAGGCCCAGTGTATACCAGAGTGTCTCCAATGGACAGGCAGAGTCCTTCAGGCCACTGAGGAGCATGCGGATGCCAGCCTCATGGATGTCATTGTTGCTCATGACCAGCTTCTTGATGTTGGTCTTAGCCCTCAGCATAGAGGCTAGAGGCTCGCAGCTGGCATCCGAGAGGCTACAGTAGTCCAGGCTGTGGGCAGGCAGGGTCTCAGCCTACCCCATGTCCCCGGGGAATCAAGGAGGGGCAAGATCTGCGGCTGTGTCCTCTCCCATCCCTCCTGGACTTCCACCCTCTCCTGCCTCAAGCCAGGGCTGAAGGTCAGAAAACCACGAGCACCCAGAGCCTCCAGACACACTGGATAGCCGTTCAGGAAATGCTCTGAAAGCACAGCTCAGTCTGGGATTCTCCCAGACCCAGTGAGGCACCATGCTGGGCTGTGTCACCTTGGTGTCCCAAGTCATACCAGGCTCAGCTGGCAGTCCCTTGGCAAAGGGAAGGGACACCACAAGGGCTCTAGGATCCTACATGGTCCTCAGAGCTCTGGTGGCCATGGTGCCAAGGCTGTGTATGTGCCCAGCTGGTGGCCATGTTGGGCAGTAGGGAGCCCAGAAGTCCCTCAGGACATAGACTCACTGCAGCTTCTCCAGGTGGCACTGGGCATCCAGGAGGCCCCTGGACAGCAGCCGTAGGCCCCCGTCCCCCAGTGAGTTTCCACTGAGGCGCAGCTCCCGCAGAGTGGGCATAGAGGGCAGCACACTGGGCAGGATCCCACAGCCAGTCTCCGTCAGGCCACAGTACGGCAGGCTAGAGCACAAGACCCACAGTGGCCCTCACATCCATTAGACCCCAAGAAGTCCCTCATGGAACATGGTGCCACCTCTTCTGAGCAGCACTCTGATTTTCCAGGCTGAGGCAGAGGTGGGGGCGTGTGGGGCCACAGTGGGACAAAGGCCTGGGACAAGACCAGAGGGTACCTTGTCCCCACATGGCAGTTACCTCCCCTGTGTGCCTCTGGTTGGAGAAAAGGGTACCTGAGGATGCCACCCATGCCCTGCAGCCCCTGGCAGCTCCCCTCACCCCACCTGGCTGCCCAGCAGGCTGTACCAGATCTTACCTGAGACTCTGGATCTTGCATGTGGGGCTCTGCAGGCCCTGCAGCACCAGGTGCACACCAGCGTCCCCCAACTCATTGGTGCTCAGACAGAGCTCTATCAGGGTGGGATTGGCTTGCAGCGCAGAGCTGATGTCTCTGCACCGTTCTTCTGTGAGACCACAGTCCTGCAGCCTGGGGACAGACCATCAGAGTCAGTGGTCAATGCCAATCTGAGGCCCCGTGACCCCTCACACACAGGCCGAGACCCACCAGCAGCCCAGTAGATCTAAGGGTGACCTCTAACAATGACACTTAAAATGCAACAGAGAAGAGAGCAGCAATACATGAATGTGGCGCTGTCATATTCTTTGTGTCTTTCCTAGTACACGGGCTGTAACAAGCCCTGTGTGTCTGCAGGGAGGGACTGACTTATGCCAGGAGATGGCTATGAGGCTTGTCAGAGTGACAGCAGGTCTGGGGCTTCGTAAGAGTTCCAGGCAGGCACCAGGCTGTATGTCCAGTCCACTCTGATTCATATGAGTATGTGAACTGATGGAGGTGGGAGGAAAGCCAGCTCTAATCAAAGAAGAGTGATGGTTGAGAAAGTGGGAAGAATGAAGAAATGACAAGATGCGCTGCCATGATGATTTCAGATGGAGCCACCAATGAGGCTGAAGCCAGCACCAAAACTGAGCAGAAACAGGACTGAGCCAAGTCTCAGCACATCATCCTGGATGTTGGTCACTTGTGAGAAAAAAATCACAACCCAAGGAGAAGTCAGCAGCTGTCACCACACATCACCACCCCACTCCCAGGACACAGTGTGCCAGATGGAACCACAGCAGCTCCATGTTCCTCCCAGAAATGGGCACCTATCATGAGAAGACCCCAGACAAGCCCAGAGGGACAGAGCAGGACATCCAGACTCAGAGTCAGGGCACAGGGACCCTCACAAGGCAGGGAAAGGACATGGAGCAGAGCTGCTGACTGTGATCAGCCGGGCTGTGTGTCTTCATGAGACTGTCATCAGGAGAGGCTGGTGGAGGCCGAGGGGATGCCACCCAGCCTTCCTGACTACTGCAAAATTATAAATAACAGCAGAAGGGAAAAGACAGCTGAATGGCACTGTTTCTTGCCCAAGGCCTAAGATACCCTGGGCTGGTGAGTACCTGAGGCCAGAATAGGTCCTAACTCCAACCCCGACCGGAGTTGGGTCTGAACAGGCACAGTGTCCACATCACCCAACCAGGAACCTTGAGCCCCATTCTGCCACTGTCCCCAGAGGAAGACAGGGACCAAGGAACAGATTCCAGGCTGCCTATTACCAGCACAAGCTGCACAACTGACCCTGACACTGCCTTCTGCCTCCAGGCCACTCTACAGAACTGGTAGTGGTTTTTAGACAGGTGTATATATGTGCATGTATACAAACATACATGCCTGTATACACACAGGTACCTATATATGTATATACACATGCACATATAAATATGCATGCACAGGCATATACCATGCAATTTACAAATACATGCATACAAATAAACATGTATGTGTGTATATGTGTATATACATACACCCATAAGCAAGCATGCATCCACATGTGCACACACTGAACAGCATATACAAATACACACATGTAAACCCAGATGCACATATACATGCAGGTACATATAAATACATGCATGTGTGCCCATATAAACATACATGTGTATATATGCATGTAAATGTGCATTCACACACACCGCACATAAACACACATACACATAAACATGCACATGCACACAAGTACATGAGCACGAGTGCACAGACATGTCCTAACATATATGTGCAGACACAGATGCATATGCACACACATAACACACATGCATCTACAGATACACTCACATAAGCACATGCACATATGCAGACACACATGCATCATGCAAATATACACATAAATTTGTAATTTTGCAGTGTCAGGGATGGAACCCAAGGCCTTATACATGCCAGGCAAGTGCTCTGCAGCTAAACTACATCCCCAGTAGTTTTTAATGTGTTTTTTTGAGATGGTCTCACTGTGCAGTTCAGGCTGGCCTTAAATTCACTATGGAGTCTAGGCTGGCCTCAAAATCACAGTGATCCCTGCCTCAGCCTCCCAAGTGCTGGGATTACAAATATGCACCACCATTCCTTGCTCCAGTGGTTTTTATATTTTTTAAGGGTTGAAAACCAACCAAACAATAACATGTTGTGCCATGTATACTGAGATTCTGCACCACGATGAGCCCCTCCAACCTGCCCCCCTTACCTCATGCTGACCCAGCTGCCCGTACCTGACCACTTGGTGCTGCTGGATCAGTGGCAGGAGCTCAGTCCACCTGGTGTCACTCAGCTGCTCACAGCGGATCTCAAGACTCATGGCAGGTACACAATGTTGTCTGGAAAGTAGAGGAAACAAAGCTCTTAAGAAACTCTCACAGCTCTGCAGGCCACATGTTCTCATCACATGGGACATGGGGCTCAGTCTGGGAAGAGTATATTCTGCCACCATCCTTGACCCTGGTCACGTTGGCTTCAGGAGCAGATAGGGGTTGCTGGACCCTGGCTCCATCACAGGCAGCAAAGTTTGGGGAATACAGCTGTAGGGTACAGAGGCCCCACAGTGATGCCTCCTGTCTGAGAGAGGGTGGGACAGTAAGTCTGGCCTGGGGAGTCCCTACCTCTTGTCTGCTTGAGCAAGGATGGAGTGTAGGTAGTCTGGGCACCCAAACAGAAAGTCCAGGCTAGAGGGCCAGGGATTTAGTTCAGTTGCATAAGCATGAGCCTGGCAGGCACTGGGTCATGAGTTCAAACTCCGGTATAAAGAAAGAGGAAAGAACGAAAGAAAGAACGAAAGAAAGAAGGAAAGAAAAAGAAAGAAAGAAAGAAAGCTAGCCAGTCAACCCAGGCTGTCTGTGAAAGCCCTTGATGTCACCCAGCTCATCCTGCACCAAGTACAGACCAGGCTGGCAGATGGTATCACATCCCACACTGCGGCACCCTGATTCACCTCCTTGCACAGCCCCAGCGTCGTGGTCCAGAAGCAGCGCAAGGTAAGGTGCCAGGCAGTATGGGGCACTTGGGCTGATTGGTGCGCAGTCATTCACCTTCCATAACCATCCTGGACCTGGCACTCCCTGTCCTCCCCATGTGGGGCGCTCCAGGGCCAGACCAAGGACAGGGCAGCCTGTTAGCCAAGCTGGGAAGCACAAGACCTGTGCTGGCTAGGCTGGGACAGGCCCAGGTCCCAGGCCCTGAAACCTAATAGGGACAGGCACAGAATGTGAACACACAAGACAGTCACTACCTTGGATAATGGCTACTGAGCCCCTGAGATTGTAGCACAGTACGCACTTGTCCTGAGGAAAAACAGAAGTCACATCTGAGGAACAGCCACCCACATATGACCCCACAGGTTTCCTGAGTGTCTGCTAAGCAGACCAGCGGGAGCAGCATGTGGCCACCCAGAGTGCACCCTGGAAGAAGTGTCGAGGCCATTAGCTCCGTGTGGGAGGAAGCCCAGTGCATTTCTCTCCTGGAAGTGATAGGCTGGCTGAGCTCTCCAAAGGTTGGGATGACAAGTCAACACAGCCCTGAGAGTCTCCTGAGACCATCCCAATCCTGGTACAGCCCTGCTGAGGGAGCTGTTTCCCAGTTCTAGTTCAGGGACCACAGCAGGGAAGAGGTCCCTTTGTGCCAACCAGGAGGACAGAGCAGCTACATGTTCAGGGGAAACTGAGGCAAGGGCAAGGTTAACCCATGGTAGTCACAATGCCAACCCATGCAAGAAGGTATCTAGAATCATGCCTGCCCCTGTGCATAAGGAGTGAGCAAAACCAGGTGGGGCTGGGAGCCAGGTGTGTCACTCAGACCTGCAGGGCATCTCCAGAGGCACTGAAAGAGGGCAAGGAGGGCCACCTGAGGGCCTCCAGCTGCCCCAGATCTAGCATATGCTGCACCCAAAGGGGTACCTGCTGTCTTTCCCCTGGGGCACAGGGCAGTGGGCTTGGGTTGGCCAGCTAGTCCTAGTATGATGGCAGGGTAGGGATAAGGGTGGGGAATGGACATGACAGCTGAATCCCACCTTTAGCCTTGGTCAGGCCCCACTGTATCCTCTGGGAATATCAGGATGCTCCTCCATCTCTGTAGCCCACTGACATTTTGAAACTTTCACAAAAACCTGTAATGGCCCCAAAACACACAGAACGAACTACCTGTATACTCTGGAGAACCCACAAGCCTGGCCATCTAGGGGTCAGAAGGAGCCTTCCTAGGTGAGGACAGGCTGCTGGTGACTGGGTGGGGAGGGGCACACCCACCAGCCCACAACCACATGGCCCACTGAAGGGGTAGATGGCAGCAGCCAGGCCAGCCTCAGATCCAAGGTGGGCAAAGAGTGCCACTAGGTCACCTCGAGGAGATACAGGCCATAGGCTGGAGGCATCCGGGAACCCTACCCATGCTCTTTTCCAGGTCTCTCACACCTGCCAGACTGGATGCTCCACCATATATTAAGAGCCAGAAAAGGAGCTGAGACAAGCACACTGGGTCAGCCTGGTGCCCCTGATCATTACTGGCTGCTCACCTGGCACCTACCAACCAAGGACCAAGCCACTACTGCCCTTTCTGCTCATTGTGAGGCCTCAAGCACAGGGAGGGCCCAGCTGTAACCTGCCAGTCTCACTTCACACTTCTCACTTTCACTTCGCCTGCTAGAGGTCCTGCCGTCTCTGCCGCTTACAGCTGCGGCCAGGGTCAAGGAGTTCCCCAGAACACAAGTAACAAGACCAACCCCAGAAAACCAAAGCTATGGAAATGGATGGGACGTATTTGCTGACCATTTCAGAATGGGTGCAGCCCATGAGGTTCTTGGGAGGGCAATCTGGCCAGTGTGAAACAGTACATTCTTACCTGCCATCAAGAGAAACATTCACAAGTGGGCTCAGGACAAGGCTCACACTGTGTCTGCACAACATTCTGTAAATCCCCATACCCAGACACAGTCTGAATGTCCACCAGCAAGGAAATGGTTAAATAATTTCCAGCACACTGTGACTGGCAAGAGTAGGTCAGCAACAGGATAGTTAGGTTTCATAAACATGCAAAACAAGCTGGCAGGGGCATGGACAGCCAGCAGAGCGAGGGCACCTCGCCCACACCCAGTCCTCCTCTTTCCAGCCACTGAATGAGCACCTCAGTGTGCAGAGCTCCATGGTGGGTCTCGGCCCTAAACAAGCTTAAACAATAAGGGCTGAAGTATCACAGACAGATCACTTAGGTACAAATGAATAGGCAGCCAGGGAGGGATCAGCCCCAAGTGAGTCACTGCCAAAGTCGAGACCAAGATTATAGCTGCAGGTACATCTGAAGGGAGCCAGGCCTCAAGGTGGAGCCTCGTGACCAGACCTGCAGCAGCTAAAGATGCCACTGTGATTAGCACCACCTGGTCCAGTGGGCCCAGATGGCTATGGGACACATTGGACCCATGTTAGAAGTCAGAGATAAACTGTCATTGCTGACACTGGCCGTGCACCTTTGCTGTGTGCCCTGCTTCTCTATTGGTGTGATATTAGCTGACTGGCTATACTTGTAATGCTACAGGCTGATTGTGGTTTGACCCATAGCTACCCATGTTGTGCCCACACTGTGATTTTGAATAAAGAACCTCAGGGGCAATCCACTTTAAGGACCCCTCCTGTCTCTCAGGAACTTTCTCTCAAGTCAACTTTTCCTAGTCTTCAGCTCCTTTGCCCTCAAAATTCCTTCTTCGATATTGGGAAGGCACCAACTGGGCACATCTGACATCTAACACTTTCCCCATCGTAGGAAGACTGCAGCATAGAAAGGAAGAGGATAGAAGGTGAGCACAGGTCTGGATACAATCAGCCCTAAAGAGAGGTAGCTGGCAGGGAGCTGACAGCAAAGAGGTGGGTTCCAGTGGTCCCTGCAGGCCTCACCTAGTTTCATGATCACGGGGACCACACAGTGCAGATGGGGACTCAGGAGCCAGAGGACAGGCCTAGTGGGCCAGTTCCTTTGCATTTCAAGGTGTAAGGTTACTCCACTTAGGGAAAAAATTGGGAGCAAGACCAGCCCTTGCTTATTTCCCTGACTTGCGGGGTGTCTCCAGAGAGGGTGGGGCTACCAGTAGAGGCCCTGGGTTCCTGAGAAGACAGGTGGTTGGATAGAGGTGGGACACACAGGCACAGAGAGTTCCCGGGAGCCTACCCCATCCACCTAGAGGTGCACAGCCAGTGCCCTGCAGCTGCTCCGGACAAACCGTGCAGTAAATGCCTCTTTTCCCCATGATGAGGAAAATGTGCTGCTGGGCTTCTGGCAAAGACTAGGCAGCCTGAAGAATGAGAACTCAGGACACAGGGGTAAACAAGCAGTGAAGCGCAGCCTCTTGAGCTGCAGCCAAGTCAGAGTGGATTCTGAGATGGAGTAATGACCCTTGAGTTTTCTGGGTAGATCCAGGGTCTTTGTAGGAAGCGCCACCAGGCCTAGTGCTGTACACCTAGAATCTCAGCATTCGGAAGGCTGAGACAGGAGGATGGCCATAAGTTTTCAGCCAACATGGGGTACATACAGTGTTAAAGGGAAGCATGAACTGGGACTGGGGATTTAGCTCAGCGGCATAAGCGCCTGCCTTGTAAGCAGGCAGTCGTGAGTTCGATCCCTGGTACCGATAGAAAGGAAAAAGACAAAAAAAAAGAAGAAGAAAAAAGGGTAGCATGAACTACAGAGACCCTGTCTTAAAAACAGTAAGAGGATGACAGCGACAAAGGGCTTTAAAGATGGGGAGGAGGGGACCGGGGGACCTGCCTCTAGACACTACAAAAGGCAGAAGCTGATTCTCCTCTGATGCCTCCAGAAAGAACCAGCCCCATCAACACCTTCATTTTCAACTCAAAACTTAAACAGAATAAGGCAGCAAATCTGTGGTAATTTTGTTATGGTAGCCAGTAAACTAACAAGAAAACTTCTTACAACTGTTCTAACAACCTTTATTTACTAGATCCAGTGTCATTTTCAATGGCTACACTGATTCCACTGACCCAACCAGTCTACAACGGACTTTCAGATTTCCTTTGTGATTTTTCAGGCTTCCAACTACTCTCAAAGGGCGCTTGCAAGTCCCTCCCACACACCATCGAACTGAACTTGAATTGTGGGCATCAGCTATTCCGGCACCCAGGTGGCACTCTGGCTGCTTCCTCATCAACGCCACAAAAAGCCTGGAGCCCTGACGCCACGCCGGCGCCGCAGGCCGGGTGATGCGTCCCTCCTCCCCAGGCCTAGGCCTCCAGGTGTCGAGTCTCCGCGGACAGTGTCACCGCGGAGGGACCGTGCATCCCCGAGGCCTTCCCCTGTCCCCCGACATTCTGGAGGATACTCATCCTGGGGTGTCGGTTGGAGGGGTATAAAGTCAAGGGTTACTTTACCCGTAGGGAAGTTTTGGGGGCCGTCTTGTACTAGGGGGATCGCGCGGAAAAAGGGCGCACGCGCCACGCCGGGCGACGTCGCGCACTTGCAGGAACCCGTCACGCAGGCGTGTCCCCGCCCCGCCACCGAGACTCCCAGCGTGCCCAGCGAGGAGCACCAGGCGATGACGTCCTCGGGACGCGGCCCATTGCGCAGGTGGCGCCGTCGCTTCCGCTACCAGGGGGCCGCGCGTCGAGCACTGCAGCCAAGCCAGCAGAATCTCCCAGGCGCATCTACAGGAAGCCCCCCAAGCAGCAGGCGGTAGGGGCTGCCCAAGCCAAAGGGACGTCTGTCTGGACACGGACCGGTATAGTGCGGGTGACCTACCTCGCAGCGACAGGGCTGTCACGGACTTGGAGACTGGGAGCAAGATGGCCGGCTGCAGAACGAAGAAAGCAGACGGCCGAAAGGGCGATCTCTCAGCGGCCTGTCAGGTTTGGGGCGCGTCCGAGTGGCGGGTGGGGCCTTGGGGGGCGGGGCCTACAGTCGGGCTGGCGCTTGGGCCCCAGCCGGGGGCGGAGAAATGGGCGGGGCCTCCTGGGAGAGGTGGGGCCATCTTAGGAGGGTGAGGGTCGGGAGTGGCCTGGCCGACCCAGCACCCCAGCGCGCAAGGCTAGTCCTCAGCGCTCCTGTTTTGATAGAGTCAGAGCCACGCGGGCAGGAGAGGCCAATCCGGAGCTGCGGAGCCATGCGGACTGCGGTGCTCAGCGGTACCCTTCGCGCTGGACTCGCCGCTGGACACCAGAGGGATGCTCCTCTCTTGCCCTCCACAAAAAATACGTTTTCGGGAAAGCCACTTAGTTTCTGGTCTTTGTTCTATACTACACTTCCTTCTTGGAATTCTCTTAAAGTAAGGGAATTTTCGTATGTGTTTGTGTGTGTGTGCTACAGCACTGAGCCATATCTCCAACCCTCCTTTATTTTCATTTTGAGACAGAGTCTAATTGCTAAGCTATCCAGATTGGGTAAGATCTTGGGATCCCCCTTCCTCGACTTCCCAGGGTGCTGACAGGAGCACCACACTGCCTGGCCAAGGATGGTGTTTGTGTTTTTATTGTTGATACTTCTTCATATTTTACAGGGTTTTCTCCTAGTGTAAGACAAGGATTAGCAGCTGTTTTTCTCATGGAAGATATGCTGTCTTCCTTAACCCCAGTTACTATACCTAGTGAGAAAGAGTAGGAGACAAAAGGAGGCAGCAAGTACACATTCCTTACACTCTTAGCAAAGCAGGACTGGAAAAAGAACTGGTGTGTCCATCCTTAGTGTCTAACAAGAATTGAGGGCTGAAAACAGTGCACACACACACCCCATTTCTTGTCCCCATGAGGTTTTCTGTCCTCTTTTGAGTTCACTGAAGTACCCTCACTTCTCCCTTTTTTGTTTTGTTTGTGGTACGAGGCATGGATCCCAGGATGTCGGGCATACCAGGCAAGCTATGCCCTAGGTCCACTCTCATTTTTATCCATCCCAGAGGTGGCCATTCCTGCCCCATTTTTGTTGATGCAAATGACGCTCTATTTCTTAGTCTTGCTGATCCAGACCCATTTGGAGCTCAAAGATTAAGGCAATTCTCCAGCCTTTCCTCTTCCCAAATGCCCCTCCTGGTGTCTCCAATCTCTTTACATTCCTGCATCCTGAAGGCAACCATTTGGAAACTGTTTTTGTCCTGTCTTCCATTCCTGTTAAAATGTTCTGAGATGGGACCTCTTAGTGACAGGAAATAGACCGAGGGACTAAAGGATTTATTTAGCCATTCAAGGAAAGCAGATGCTGCAGCATGTGGGAAGAACCTTGCCCAAATTGGGCCTTGACACTGAGCTGCCACCCACTCCTTTTTTATTTATTTTGACAGAGGGTCTTCTTAAGTCATTTAAGTTTCCAGGCTGGACTCCCGACTTGTGATTCTTCTACCTCAGCTTCCCATACTGCTGGAATTACAGGTATGTACTACCTTGCCTCTTGTCTACTGCTGTTTTTGGGTTCTTTTTGTTTGTTTTGTTTGGTACTGGGAATTGAACTCACGAGCTTGCACTTGCCAGGCAGGTGTTTATGCCACTGAGCTATATCCACGGTCCCTTTACATATATTTTGTTAGTGCCTATGAATTTTACAAAGTAATAGGTTTCAATGTTGTATCCTTACATGTATATATTTTTATCCATATAACACATTATGTTCATCCCTCCAGTTACCCTCTCTTCACCCTCTCCCCCAACCTTATCACCTCCTGAACTTAGGGTCTTCACACTACATCTTCAGCCCTTTTTTTTTTTTATTGTAAAATAATCTCACCAAGTTGTCCACACTGGGCTGAAACTTGCAGTCTTCCTGCCTCAGCCTCCCAGAATGCTGGGGTTACAGATACAGACATGTGCTCCTTCCCCCGCACACTGGGAATCTTAACTTGGGACCTTGCACTTGCCAGGCAGGCACTGTGCTGCGGAACTATATCCCCCCCTCCCCTTTTCCAATAACAGTCTCCCTTGTATTTTCATGCCATTTGAAAAAAAAAAAAAATTCCACATATTGGGAAAAAGACGTGATACTTGTCTTTCTGAGTCTGATTTATTTTGTTCAACATAATCTCTAGTTCCATCCATTTTCTTGCAAGTGATATAACTTTCTACTTCTTTAAAGCTGAATAATACCACCTTGTGTATATATAGCACACTTTCTGTGGACGGGCACCTAGGCTGGTTCCATATCTTGACTATGGTGAATTTTGCTGCAGTAATCATGGCCATGCAGCATGTCTGCATAGTCTGCAGTATGCTGTCTAATTCCTTCCAATGTATACCAAGAAGTGGTATCACTGGGCCCTATAATAACTCTGTTTTTTGTTTTCTAAGGGACCTCTCTACTGAGTTCCATAGTGGCAGGACAGAACAGATACATCCCTTTTAAAAGCTGCTTCTTCAGATGAAATATAAGGTCCCTATACAAAGTATGTATAGTGTGAGTGCAGGGCTCACAGCAGGATGCAAGAAGAGATAGCAGCTGACAAATGTTCCCAGGTGGGCAGCAACCCTGAAGGTTTGAGAAGCTAGAAGAAATTCAGCTGCATTCTCGATAGCTGCTGCTGCTTTTTTTTTTTTTTTTGGTACTGGGAATCAAACTCATGACCTCACACTTGCCAGGCAGGCACTTATGCTGCTAAGCTAAATCCGCAGCCTCTTGACAGCTTTTGAGAAGCACAGTCCACCATGCTGGAGGAAGGCAAAGAGTGGCCCTGTGCAGGTACTGAATGACCGAGTGGCCTCAAACCAACTGCCCCATCAGGCGGCACAGTGGCTGCAACACAGGCCTCCTGAGGCAGTGCCAAAATAACCTACTTTTGAAAAACAGGAAATGAGTTTCTTCTACACACTCATTGTTGGGTTTTTTTTGTTTGTTTGTTTATTTGTTTTGTCTTACAGATACAGATATAGTACACATTCATTATACAACACTTGAAAATACAGGTAAAATAATAACCTGTGACCCTACAACCCAAAGAGTAACCTTATTAGCATTGTGATTGATATTATTATTTCTAGACCAGGGACATCCAAAATAAGCATAATGTAGGCAACAAGCATCGTGTGTCTAATATTAAAAACTGTTAGGAGAAATGGCTTTGAAAAAGCAAGCAGGGCCAGAGATACAGTTCAGCACACAGGTGCCTACCTGGCAAGTACAAGATCCTGAGTTTGATTTCCCATACAAAAAAGAAAAAAGGAGCTGAGGGCTGGGGCTGTAGCTCAGCATTAGAGTTCTTGTCTAGCATATGCAAGGCCTGGGCTTGACCCCCAGTACTCTTAGAGGGCACAATGAAACATATCTGTAGTCCCAGCTACACAGGAGGCTGAAGAGGGAGGGTTTCCATTTCCAAGCAGCAAGACCTTGTCTCAAAAACAAACAAACAAAAAAAACCCTGAAACTCTTCTTGATATGTATTTACTTAAGCCAGTATGTCCAAATAACATTTTCGCATGAAATCAGTATTTTTAAAGTTTGTAACAAAATGTCATAATATGTTCACGCTGGCTCCTCCAAAACTCCCATGTGTGTTTACCCTTAGCTCAGCATGGCTTGTGGATGCCTTACCTGAATCCACAGTCATCTATGCATGGCAGAAATGCTGGTTTTTACATACAGAGAATTATTAAATTCTCATAATTTGGGGGAAGAGACATGGGTGAGCTAAACTAAATGAATGACAGGAACCAGCATTGAAGTTAAGGGGTTGCTGGTAAATACGCAGACAACTTCTGCTCTTGGGCTGGACACGGCTGGCAGTGCTTCCAGACAACATTGCAGAGAAACGGCACAGTCCCAGCCTGGCCTCATAGGGACCAGAAAGGCCAGAAAGACCACCTGGGAAAATCCTCCCAGGCTCTCAGATGCCACAGTAGGCACATGGGGCCACATTCAGGAATCAACCTTGGCCCTGAGTCCTATGGGTATGCGTGATGTGGAGGAATGCAGAGAACTGCAGAAAATCAGACCTGACCTGCCCACAGTCCCAGGCTGTTTATAATAAAACATCAATTTCATCAAGAACTTTTTCACATCTCTTCAAATAAGAATGATATGCATTCTGGCTGGGCATGGTGGCCCACCCCTGTCATCTGGGCACTCAGTATGCTGAGGCAGGAAAATCATCCCGAGTGTAAGGCCAGCCCAGACTCTCTAGGGAGACCCTGTCTCAACCAGAAATAAGAATGATATACATTCCAGGGGCTGGGGATTTAGCTCAGCAGCATAAGCACCTGCCTTGTAAGCAGGCAGTCGTGAGTTCGATCCCTGGTACCGATAAAAAGGAAAAAGATTTAAAAAAAAAAAAAAAGAATGATATACATTCCCAGAAGGAATTTTTAGAAAATGCATAAAAGTACCAATAAAAAGGGGCTGGGGATTTAGCTCAGCGGCATAAGCACCTGCCTTGCAAACAAGCGGTCTTGAGTTCGATCCCTGGTACCGATAAAAATGAAAAAGACAAAAAAAAAAAAAAAAAAAGAAAGAAAAGTAAAAACAATAATCCTGCTCATCACAGGATATGCCACACAATGTGTGTGGACAGATTACAACTGAACTTTATTCAGTTTTCAAACATACAAAAAGTGTTTTTAAAAATAAAGAACTCCATGACTTACCTCAGACCTAAAAAACATGAGCAGAACCCCTGAGGAGCCCTGGAGTCCACCCTGTCCTCACCCAGAGCCAGCAAGGACCTGCATTTAGTCTCCATCACTCCTATATTTTCCTTCCTGTGTTATGATGTGCGTATTGATTTCAGAAGAATACAGACTTGGGTTCTATGCTTCGCACAATGTTATAAACATGTTCCTCTTCCCAGTTACTTGTCCTGGTCAATGACATTTGGGGTGAAATTTGTCCATGCTATAGAATGATACTTACTCTTTTTGATTGCTGTACTCTACAGCATAAGCAAATCAACAGTTATTCATTTGTCTCTGCTCTCGTGGTTCTGATTTTTCCTTTCTGCTACAGTAGCACTGCTACAAATACATATTGCATTTCTGACCCTGGACACCAGAGGAGGTACTTTGTGGACCATGCCATGAGCAGTCTTACCCACTCACCCCAAGTGATATAAGATTTTACTTTAGCAAAGGTAAGTCTTAGCCCAACAGAGTAGAGCACATCTGTAATTCTAGCATTTGGGAAGCTGAGACAGGAGGGTCACCTCAAAATTGAGGCCACTGTGGGCTACAGACTGAGTTCAAGTGAGACTCTGTCTCAAAAAATAAAACAATAGCAATGAGAAAAGCAAATCCTAAGATTTTGCATAGCTGAATATCTTCAACAATCATGGACAGTCGTGGTAAATATAAAATGGGACTATCACGGATTTCCTCACAATAGCCCACCCTGTTTTTTCTGAGGTGTACTTTTATCTTGCTTTTTTCTCTTTTAAATCCCCCAAGCTTCCTCTCCAGAACCAGTTTCTCCCTCACTCTTTACTTCTACATTTTCAAGTAAACTTTGCCACTGCTTTTTAGGGAAAAAATATATAATCAGACAGCCATGGTGATGCATACTTGTAATACCAGCACTCAAGAGGCTGAGAAAGGAGGAGTGCTGTGAGTTTGAGGCCAGTCTGGGCTACACAGTGTGTTCAAGGCCAGCTTGAACTACACAGCAAAACACTAAAAAAAAAAAAAACTTGGTATCTCTTTGGAGAGAGAGAGAGGAAGGGGAGGATCAAAAAGAGGGAGGGGGCCAGGGGTATAGTTCAGTAGTACAGCACCTACCTGGCAAGCACGAGGTCCTGAATTCAATTCCTGGTACCAAAAAAAAAAGGGAGATAAGAAGGAAAGGGAAGGAAGAAGTGGCTCAGAAAAAAATCAGCAAGGAAAAAAAAAATCAGCAAAGACAGCGAGCAGAACCATCAGCCAGCACCGAGGTGGTGCCTCCACACCCCACCCAGCACAGTGAAGGCAATGTTAGGAGAGCACTGGATATTGGCTACTTCACCGCTAGTGAGTTCAGGAGTCAACGAGTGGCCACATGTCATGACACACACTTGGGATCCCAGAAGTTGGGAAGCTGAGGCAGGAGGATTGCCTTGAGTTCATGACGAGCGAAAACTAACATAGCAAGACAATGTCTCAAAAAAAGTTTCAAAAGGTCAAAGGGTAAGTCTAGCAAATTATAAAATATTTTGCACTAAACAAAATATATTTTATAGAATGCAGATAAGATGGTACTTAAACAGAAATTGATAACATTAAATGCTCACTAAAGGATGATAATGCTCAAGTGAATGTACCCTTAAGAACATAGGCAACAGGTTGGGGTTGTAGCTCCATGATGGAGTGTTTGGTTAACATGTATGAAATCCTGGTTATTCCCTAGCACTGGAACAAAAAAAGGGAGAGCCAAAGAAGCCACAATGAAAACCAAAAATCAAACCCATAGCAAGTAGGTTGAAGGAAGCAGTAAAGATAGGAGACGATATAAATAAAATTGAAACAACAGAGAAAAATGTCAAAATGAAAGCTGAAATTTGAAAATGTCAATGTATTAATCTCTAGGAAGACAGGCAAAAACTAAGAGAAGAGACAATTTTCTAACACAAGACAGAGGGATCTTACTACAAACCCTGATGACACAAAAATGGTACCAGGGAAGTGCACACAACTGTCCACATGTAAATCAGAGGAGATAGGCCCTCACCTTCCAAGCCCTGTCATGATGAGACAGAGTTGGAAAAACCTAAAGAATCTAGTTGAAACCACCTGGAGGAAAACTCCAATCTCAAGTGGTTTCCAGGTCAATTCTACCAAACACAGAACTAACAGCCATCCTCCTCTGTCTCAGGAAAAACACAGAAGGCAGCTGTTTCCCTCCCCACCCAGCAACTGTGTGGGGTCCCCCTGGGAGTGCATGCTCTGTTCAGAACAGAGGCTATCCTTGCTCATAATGAGACTCTCAGAAAAATGAGAATAGGAGAGAATTTCTTCAGCCTGATAATGGACATCTACAAAAACTTCATGAGACTTACCACCCTTGATGGTCAAAGACTGTTTTCACCTGAAATTAGGAACCAGACAGGGGCCACGCTAGTCAGCTTTATTTCAGAAATCTCACCTACTTCAGGGAAAGGAAATAAAGTGCACAGGTTGGAGAAGGAGAAATAAAACTCCTTGTTCATAACAGGATAGGGGGAGCACCAGCCATTCCGTATTGTTCCAACGGTGGGGCACACTGCCCTGATCCTGGTCACATCTGTGCACAGGTCACCTTGCTGAGAAAGCCCCGGATGGCTTGTACCACCCACCTCAGGTGGCCTGAGGGAGGAACTGAAGTCTAGACCTTGAGCCCTTGTCTGCTTTTTCACCGCATGGGGGAAGTCCTCATCCTCAGTGCACCTGACCTCTCCCAAGGCTTCACAGCACCCATGCTGGACTCTGCTGAACTCTGGCACTCCAGTCTGCCCTGGGCTTGCCCTGGGCCTGCCTTGTGGCAGATTCTTCCCCCCATAGATATTGCTGTAGCTACAAAGCCCCTTGATAGGTACCAGGAAAGGGGTGGTCCCTCCTGCTGGAGGTCTAGAAGGTGAAGGGCAAGAACCATGGCAGACACCAGGTACAGCATGCACATACCAGGCCTGGTCAGAAACCCAGTCTCTATCAAGCAAGAACATGGTGGTGTTGGGGGTAAGGGTGAGGCTGGGCACAGCCTGTCTTGTAGCCTGGGTACAGAATCCTGCCATGGTGGCAGCCTGAAGCCCTCCTGTAGCCACATTTCTCTTGGCAAGAAATTTGTCACCAAGCCCTGTGCACACCTGGAAGGACAGGAATTGGGCTCCACCTGGTCCTGGAGTGAGCACCCTGGTGTGTCTAGGTGAGGGCTGGGAAGCTTGGGACAGGCACAGCAGGACCCAGTAGGTGACTGTGGAGGGGACAGTTAGATGGCCCAGCATGGCTACAAGCAGGCTGCACGCTAGACGAGAACTGCCCAGCCTTGCCCATCACCTGGGTTTCAGGAAGATGTTTACAAAAGCAAAATGACAGTAAACCAGAAATCTTAGAAAAGAGAAACAAAACCAAAAACTGGTTATTCGAAAAGGCCTTGTTAGAGCTAAGCTTTTCCCCAGCCTGATAAAGGGAACACAGAGAAGCTGCCATGTAGGAACAGACTTGCTCATGGGAGAAAAGAAAGGTCTTCACCAAGGGACACAGAGGCAGTGACCGGCACATGAAGACCACCAGTGAGGGACAGGCCGAGAGCAGGCCAGAGCCACATGTCTGACTCTCAAACTCCAGGGAAGTAGAAAGCCCCCCCCCCATGATTTGATAAAGCTGTAACCTTAAGACCCAGACCAGCAAGGTAACGACATAAAGGAGAACCCAGATATCCATGTCACACATGGCCATAATGCAAAATCCTAAATGTAATATTCAGAGGTCTGTGGGTGTTGTGGCTGTTGTCCAGATGTCCCCAAAAGCCCCCATGTGCTTGAGGTGGGGCTTTTTTAGAGGTGGCTAAGTCTAGTGTGTGGTGCTGAGATTGAGTGTGTGATGCTAGAATCAAGGATGTACGATCACTAAACAGTCCGCTGGCTGGCTTGGAGTAGTTCTGGCCTCATAACAGAGAGGCGCACCCTAGGCATGAGGGCGACTTCCCGAAAGACCAGTGACCTAGAGAGAATATAAAGGACAGAAAGTCAGCTACTGCCTTTACTTGTTACTTGCTACTTTTGCTGCTCCTACCCACCTTCCATGGCGTGAATGGTTTTTCTCTGTGATGCCCCTCTGCTGTAGCACCCTACCTTGGAGCCACCTGATTATGGACTGAAACCTCTATAGACTGTGTTATGTATTTAGTCTCGGCAAAAAGAAAAGTAACTAAAACAGCTGGGCAAGGTGTTAAAGACACCTCCTCCCGTGAAGGTATACTAGAGACCAAAGCAGCACCACGGATTCCATCAGCACCCCCAGAGCAGCAAGTGGGGGAGAGGCAGAGGCCTCAGTAGACTGCTAAAATCCCTGCCAAATAGAAATAAGTCTCTAAAACTAGGAAAAAAAAATCAGTAGCATTTGCACAAATCTTTGGCAGTGTGAAACACAGGAGCTATTTCCAGAAGACTTTAGGAAGAAATTGCAGCATCTGCTCTCACAGCTGTAGGCAGATGTGTGGGTTTAACACAGGTAAGAAAATAAGTCATTTGATTGAAAAAGAAATACAATGAGTGCCTTTGCAGTGTATTCCAGGTAAATCTTTTTTGCATCAGGGTCCTGCTATGTAGTTCCAGCTGGCTGAAACTAAGGGTGACCCTCCTGGCTTAGCTTCCCTGTGGAATGACAGACTGCACCACTATGCCTGGCTAGCAAGTCACGTGCTTAGAAAACTGTAGAGAAAAAAAAGTTTAAAAAAGGGGCTGGCGATTTAGCTTAGTGGCCTAAGTGCCTGCCTGGCAAGCACAGGGTCGTGAGTTCAGTCCCCTCCATACCAAAAAAAAAAGTTAGAAAACTGCGGAGAGATTGCTCAAGAATCTTTTCATCAAGATTAGTAGCTTCTCTGGCTGTAGAAATGTGGAGCAAGAACTCTGGGAGGCCCATCTATAGTCCAAGGAGACCTGAGAGTGGGCTGTCAGGGCTATAGGGCCCAAAGCTCCCTAGCTCTACCACCTTCAGTATCGGGGAACAGGGCATGGGCTCTATAGAGGCCACTGCCTGCACCCCCAGGCTCCTCTCTGGGCTCCAGGACTGGCTTCCCTCCCTTCCTCACTTCCCAACTCAGCAGGACTCAGCACCCAGGCCAGCAGCCCCATCCTGGCACCTGGGATCAGGCACAAACTGCCCTCCCTGCCCAGAGATGGGGTGGGCTGCCCCAGGGGCAGGTCCTGGAGGAACACTGCAAGCTCGGGGCAAGACACCACAGTCATCCCTAGGGACAGGCCTTCCTCTGGAAGAACAAGACAGTAAATGAAGCATGCAACTGCCCAGGAAGAGGGGTAGGAGGTATAGCTGGGAAGACTGCCCAAGAGCAGGTTAGAGGTGACCTCTTGGTCAGGCTCTCCCTAGTCAGGACTGCTACAGACAGTGCCACAGGAACTAGGCAAAGTGCCCCTTCTAGCCTCAGAAGCCTGGGAGGCTTCTGCAGGGAATCCCCTCTGTGGATTGCCACAGGGCCCAGAGCAAGTGCCTCCTCTGGACTATGCTCCAGTCCCAGGAGAGCAGGAGCAGTGGCTGGAAATACAGCAGGACCCCTTTTGAAGCCTCTGGGGGTTGGTAGCCTGCTGGGAGGAAGGGAAAGGAGGGATATGCAAGTGTCTTTGGATTTCTGGGGGACCTGGAGGGATGGGGAGCCCCAAGCCTGGCAGTGGGCTAGCTTAGGTATAAACTAGTCTCCCATGAATGGTTACAGTGAACCACAGTGCTGCCTAGTGAAATTCCGAAGATCAGGGTTGGCCCCAGCAGGGTCTGAAGACAATGTACAAAATGAGGGACCCCTGGGCCTCCACAAGCCAACCGAGACCTATGGTAACCTACAGGGTAACCTGGAGCTGACCATGATAGCACAGGGCCTGAGCAGACCATCTCCAGACTCCAGGGTCTTTAAGATACTCTGGAGGGAAAAAGTAAAATTAAAAAAAAAGAAAAACTCTATGAGAGGGCTGGGGATTTAGCTCAGTGGCATAAGTGCCTGCCTTGCAGGTCATGAGATCAATTCCCGGTACAAAAAATTAAAGTAAAATTGAAAAAGGGGGGGAGGGAGCTGGGGATTTAGCTCAGTGGCATAAGGTTATGAGTTCAATCCAATACCAAAGGAAAAAAAAAAAAAAAAAAGGCCGGGGATTTAGCTCAGGGTATAAGTGCCTGTCTGGCAAGATCGTGGTTGAGTTCAATCCCTGGTACCAAAAAAAGGCTCTATATGGGTAGCATATTTAAGACACCCTGAAGGGGGTGGGTTTCAGGGTGGGAATGCAGCCTGGCCTTGGGCTAGAAGGAAGAAGTAGCCTGTGCTATGCTACAACTTTTTTTTGAGACAGGGTCTCCCTACTATCTGACCTTTAGCTCAGTAGAGGACTCTCTCATACGGGCAGTGTGGAAAGGGGGAGGGGCTCAGGCTCCAGGCGGCCCCACCCCTCCCACTGTCAGAACCTTCCCTCCTGAATTGGCCACAGTGAGGGTTGGTCTTTGAGGGTCCCAGACCTGGACCTGCCTGGAGCCTGGCATCCCAGCCTCCCCAGGCTGCAGGAGCCACATAGCGCACACCCCTTGCATCTGCCCTTCCCAGCCTGTGTGTGGACCCTTCAAGAGCTCCTGCTTGGATCCATCAGTCCTGGTGCCTGGTGAGAGGAGAGCACAGAAGCCATGGATCCTTGGATCAAGCCCCATTGCAGGATCACAGCCCTCCAGGCAACCTTGGCTCTTTTGTCTTCTTACAGCCAGGGCATTGATTGAACCCAGTGATCCTCCACTACCAAATTATGCTGCTGGCCTTTTTTTGTATTTGTTTATCTTGAGACAGGGGTTAAGTTGCCCAGAAAGGACTGGAATTCGAGCTCTTCTTGCTTCAAAAGGAGCTCCTCAAAGATCAAGTCTCCCTGAGTACTAGTACAGGCTTATGTCACACACCCCAGTGACTGGTCCTTGTAGGAGAGTCACTACCTGATGTAAGCCAAGTTGCTACTGTCCTGATGATGGTCCCCAAATGAACTGCACGTAAGTGGACAACAGCCCAGGTGACTCACACAGCCAGGTCAGGTGGTGGCCACACTGGTCAGTGAAGCTAAGTTAAGCCACCCCACTTGCTTTCCCTACCAATTCATCCTGAGCCCCCACAGAGGCTCCCTGAGGGCTATGGGGGACAATCTGAGCTGGACCCCTCCTACAATCCCAGTATAGGCCCTGTGAACTCCTCCCTATACCACACTCACTTCCCTACTACGCAGTCTAATTTGTCTGGTGACTGCTGAGTGACAGTAAAAACCACCCCCACCAGCTGGCTGAACCCAGGAGACAGTGCATACCTCTAGCCCTTTCCCCCTCTCCCACAGCTATATACAGCCCTGGCCCTATGCATGCAGCCTTCCCATTGCTAGGCCCCCCTTCACTGCCTTAAGATGCCTGGAACCAGCCCAGGACATCGTGGGGGAGCATGTCTGGCCAGGCTCAGGTGGCATGCCCTTTCCCCTTCTGCCTCCTCCAAACCACAGGTTTCTGGAGAGGTCTCCTTGGGACCCCATGGCATCTCCAGGTCATCCTCCGACTCCACCTTCCTGAGAGCAGTAGCAGCTGGGGAGGGAGAAGCCCTATGCTCTACTCTTAGGCCTGGCTGTGCAAAAGCTGAAATAGAGTGATTTTTAAATCTGCTAGGCACTGAGCACTATGCTGTCAGGATGGCTGGGGATATCCACTGCTCGAGTTCAGGTACTGGGAGCCCCTTTCTGTGGGGCCATATCCCTACTCCACTGTGCCACTCTGTGAGGAGCTGTAGGACCACCAGAGGTACCTTCTTGGGGTCCCTCCCTATGGCCCAAACCCCATCCTGGACACCAGGGCCCTCCTATGCCTGCTGTCCCTGAGGAGTGCTGTAAGGCTCTGGGATAACTGCACAGGAGTTGGCTGTGGGCCCCTTGGGTACCTAGGGAACACAGTATAGACCCTGGCCAAGTAAGGATGGTGTTCCTACCTCCTATATACCCCTGTTCAGCCTGACAGAGCCAGTCTAGAGACCAGGGTCAGGCACAGGCTGAGCAAAAGCATGAGGTCACATAAGACATTAAGCCCGCACCACAGACATGGGCAGAAGGGCACCTCATTGCTGAGTCTCTCATAGGTCACACCTTCTGTGCACCACTAGATGTCAGGGTGAACACCCGATAAGAGGAGCTGGGGCCAGAATCAAGCCTGGGCCCTGACTACAGGGCCCCATCTGATGCCTGCCCATGTACCATGTGTGGGCCTTCACATACGTCCCAGATTTGATCCTGGAGAAGGACATACTTCTGAACTGCCCTTCGGCCTCCATGACAAAGCTCTGAAGGACAAAGTGTGACTTACCTCCTGGGGGACTCTGGCACAAGGTCCTCTTCCAAGCAGAGAGCCCCAAACTTCCCCAGGCCTACCATCTCCTGCTCTAAGATACTTCTGGAAGCCAGGACAGCTGCGCCTCAGTCAGTAGCCACCTCTAACCTTGAGAGCCAAGACCCCAGAGAGCATCTCCCAAGACCAGAACAGCAGGCAAGGGGACAGATGGTAAGGCTGGATGTTTCAAGGCTGGGTAGCAAGGCCCCATGTTAGGTCGCAGGGATGACTATGGGACTGTCCCACCTAAGCCCTCATGCAGGGCAGAGGCTGAGGCCTGAAGCAGGGTGAGGCAGGTGAGGCAGGGAGCCCCAAGCCAGTGGGCCAACGGAACTCAAAGGCCGTCCAGGAGCAGCCCAAGGTGCTCGAAAGCCTCAGTCTCAGGTCACACATGCTGCGGAGGCCTCCTTGGTGTCAGCCCAGTGTGGCTGCCCAAGGACAGCAAACATTCCAGGCCCCACATGGCTCAAGGTAGAAGCTGACCTTGACTGGGAGCCAGTGTCCCTGCCAGCACCCCAGTGCAGAGACCCTTCCTGAGGCCAGCCTGGCCACCAACCCAGTGGCAGCAGCCCTAAGTTGGGAACCCAGTCCTTCCCAAGCCCCCAGCCAACTCCCCTGGGGGTGAGGCTAGCAGCAAGACAAACTGCTGCAGGGCCTGCTCTCTGGTATCCCCAGACAAGCCAGGCCACAGGGCATCTGGCTACTTCAATGGAATTAGCTCCTGAATCCCAGAGACCCACATGTACCCTATCCACCCTAGGCCTAAGTCCTACATCATCAAGCCCTGTCACTAGGGCCTACCCAGCCCACTCAAGACCCAGAGGTGGAACAAAAGACACCCCCAGCATGCTGGCCCCAAAGAACCAGGGTGGGCCCTCAACCCCAAAAGACATCTCGGGAGCCCTGGATCCCAAAGGACAGAGAAGCCAGACACTTCCTATTAAGGGAGAGGTCACTGTGGTCCCTCACTGTCCTAAAGCTACCTAGTAGCAGACCCCACGTCCTCCTGCTTATAGGATAGACATGTACAATACAGGAGTCTCAAACCCAGAGGAGCCAGCCTGGCCTCAATCCAAGCCCTAAAGAGGACAAAAGGGTCAGTCTGGAACACAGAGCTCTCTGACTACAACTTCTCCTAGACATGGCCCACACGTCTCAAGAGTAACGTGGGCTACACAGTAACCACAAGTGACTAAGAACAAATTGCATCCCAGGGAAGGCAGGGCCACTGCTACCCTCAGACATGGGAGCTGGAGGGCCAGGCTCCTTGGCCAAGGAGACAGAGGTCCGAGGCCTGGCAGATATAGCAGGTTGCTGTGCCCCAAGTCCAAAGGCTATGGCCAGATCCCTCACTCTGCTGTCCTCATGGAATTTCAAAGATCCAAAAGGGTGTCACCCAAGCAAGGAGGATCCAAGGAAGGGGCAAGAGTCACTCTGTCAACTCAACATTTCCTAAGGCCTCCTCATGGGGCTTCACACCCACCCCTCATGAAAGGACAATAAATTCCTATCACCACCTACATGCTCTTGCAATATGCAGAGCTCTCCACAGGAAATGTGAACAGGGAGGAAAGCACAACACAGTCTATGTTGTCTGGTTAGCCTCCCAGGCAGAGGCAACAGGCTGCTAACCTACAGCTGAGGTTCCCTACACCTCACGTGAGGCTATAGGCACTGTGGCATCTTACTTCAGACAATTCTGGAGTCAAGACCATCAAATAATTTACTGCAAATCAACCTGCACCTGTCAGAGGCTGGAAAAACTGGGAGGGGAGTTAGGGCTGGGAGGCCAGTGGTGTTTGGGACAGTTCATGACAGCTTGCAAAGCATCCACAGGAGGGTCTGCAGTCGCCTCTATCCACCATCCCTGGGCTGGCTGGACTCCAGTGGCACTTCCTTCCTTCCTTCCTTCCTTCCTTCTGTACCTCTTCCCCACATCTGGTACCTCTGTGTCCTGAGCCTGGGCCAGGATGGAGCATGAAGGACGCCACTGATCGTAGACAAGGGGACCAGCAGGTTCAGGAAGCCCAGGAACATCAGAGTAGATGTGCAGCTTAGCTGGCTGGCCGGCTAGGGCTGTGGCTCGGGGAGCCAGCTGGGCCCTGCTCACCTGGATCAGGATAGCACACATTTGCAGCTCATGCACCCTGGCCCACTCTCATCTGGTGGATTCAGCTTCCGCAGTTTGTGCTGCCGGATCTCTCGAACTAGTGTATAGAAGGCGTCTTCTACTCCCTGGGAACAGAGAGTCTGCATTAGCAGGACCCTGCCTGATGGACTGGCAGGGAAGGACACTGGGGATCCTTGCCTAGGTAGGGACCCCCTGAAGGTCACAATAGCCCAGGACTCTCCTGGACCCCAACCTGGCTCAGGGCACCCAACCCAGCTCTCCTCTGAGTTGTGGCCAGGGTCCCTGACACCCCTGCTAAAGGCTTGGGACTAACATGCCCATGGGACTCTTGGGACAGGAAGGGCTGGCCCTCAGGAAACCGCTCCGGCCTGGCTCAGGGCAGCTCTCTCCATGGACCTCCCACCTCCCTTGCAACTGTTTCAGCCCAGGACTGCAGGGCATGAGCCCAGACCCCAGCCCTCACTTCTCTCACTGCCCTGCCATCTGGGGAGACTTACAGCATGGGGGCCGATGGGTCACATGGATCCCAGGGGTTCCCAGTGGGTCCCGGAGCTGAAGCCAGAGCCAGAGCGGCTGCCCTGTGTTGAGGGAGAGGGGCATGAGCGCTGCTCCCTGGCTGGGGTGGGGCAAGGGAGTCCCTGGCCAGCTGTGAGGAGGGGAAGGGGCTCACCTGGCGGGTCTTGGCTGATGTCTCAATGTAGGGAATGCCGTAACTGCGGGCAAGGTCTTGGGCCTGCCGAGACTCCACGGTGCGTGTAGCCAGGTCACATTTGTTTCCCACCAGCACCATGGGCACATCATCTGAGTCCTTCACCCGCTTGATCTGCTCCCTGAGAAAAGGGAGGATGACAGCCGTGATGGGCAGGCAGACGCAAGCATGGCTGCATCCAGGACATGCACAGAGAGCTCCTCTGCCCTGTGGGCTTGGGGCTAGCCATATGGGTGGCTCACCTGTACTGATGGATGTCCTCGAAAGATTTGGTATTGTTGATGGCGAACACACAAAGGAAGCCCTCCCCAGTGCGCATGTATTGGTCCCGCATGGCACTATACTCCTCTTGGCCAGCTGTGTCCAAGATATCCAGCAGACAGGTCTCCCCATCAATGACCACCTGCTTCCGGTATGAATCCTGTGGAAGAACTGAGCTCAGCAACCCACTCTTCAAGTTGTGAGTTTGCAGGAAATGCCCCTCCGTGCACCTCTCCTGCCTCTCGGTGGACAGGGGAGCCAGACCCTTGCCACCTGCAGGGCGGAGGAAATTCCGAGGGCCAGTCCATGACCAGGGCTCACCTCTATGGTGGGGTCATATTCGTCCACAAAATGGTTCTGGATCAGCTGGATAGTCAGGGCGCTCTTCCCCACACCTCCTGCACCCACCACCACAAGCTTGTACTCCGTCATGGCTCCTCCAGGGACTGACGCTCAGGGCACTCGGGGGCTCTTGCCCCACCTGTGAGGAGGACCAGCTCAGCCAAGCGCCACCCAGCGGAGTGGCTGGAAGGGCGCCAGCCAGGATGGCGGCACCTGTGGCACCTCCAGCGGGCTGAGGGTCTCACCGCACCCCGCTGCACCTCGTGGCCTGTAAGGAAGCAGGGGCCGGCGCCGAGGCAGGGTGACAGCTGAGCCGCTCCCAACCAGGCACCCAAATTAGAAGTTGCTGGGTAGGCAAAAAGCCTAGGTCATAGGCACCTGCTGGCGGGGCCGCCCGAACAGGTCCTTGCCCGCCGGCGGGCGTGTCGAGGCAGGCAGCGTCCCGACAGCCGCGCCTACAGCGGCGCAGGCCCGTGTGCGTCCACAGGCGCCGGCTGCACGCGGCGCGGGGGAAGGGCGGCGGGGAGACGCGGCCCCGGCCGACACGTCCCAAGCGGTCCACGGAGCAGCGGCTAGGGGTCCAGGGCGCAGGGGACAGCGGGGGAGCGCGGGCGGCCGGGGAGCGCGGGCGACAGGGAAGCGGAGCTGGACAGAGACGCGCGGCGTCCCGCACCGAGCGACATGGCCGCGGGCCCGCGTCCCCGAGCCCGGGCGGCGCCTCGCTGAGCGCCCGGCCACAGCTGGGGCCCCGGGAAGCGCGGCACGCGCGCAGGGCGCAGCTGCCCCGCCGCAGAGCCCGCCCGCCGCACTCACCACTCGCTGGTGCAACTGCCCCCGGGGCCGGGGCGGGGCGGGGGCGCGGGCGGGCGCTGGCTGGGCCCGCGCATGGGCTCCGTCCGCAGCGGGTGCGGCTCGGGCTGCGGGCTCGCGGCGCGGGCGGTGGGGACTGTAGGCCCAGTGCTCGCCCCGCCTAGGTCCGCCCCGATCCCGTCTGTCAGCCCAGCACGACCTACCATTGGCAGCGCTTTGACGATCCCCGCCCCAGAGCCATCTAGCCACGCCCTACTGCGGTTGGCCGAGCGACCCGTCAGTCAGGCGCTGCTTCCTGGAGCGGTGCGAAGGGCGGGCCCAAGTCCCGGGGTGCGAAGAGTCCCCAGCTTCTTCGGGGAACAGGCGGACCTCGTCTGGATTGCGGGACACGCTTGGGAGCTGCCAGTGGTGCCAGCGCCCCAGAAGTTCAAGAGCCCAGAAGGCGGGAAGCTCAGTGCGGCGGGACAGCCAACACCACGGACGCCCCGGGCTAGGGCCTTGAGGCTCTTTCAGAAGTGTCCGAACCTCAGCTTGTGCAAAATACCCCAGGTTCCATCCTCCTGCAACTCCCAGTGCACCCCTTAAGTCCAACCCAAGAGTTGCCACCAGCAGCAAGTGAAGTTTCCCTTGAGCCCAACACTGACGCTTTCTCTATAGTGTTTTTAACATTTTTGAATTTTTAAAATGTCCAAGTACACACTGCATCAGAAATCCAAGGAGTGTTACCGGAAGGCCGCGGCGGTACTGCAGCGCGCGCCTACATGCAGTCCGGAATCTGAACCCTGCTCGCGTAGATGCAGCCAGGAGGCAGATACCGAGAGCCCGCTGGGCGTCCTGGGTCCTCGGTCCCAGGGTGTGCACTCCGGGTAGCCGCGAAGCAACCCGCCTACTTAGAAAGTGCTTTGGAGTAGTAGCGCCTTGCCAAGCTTGGGACGCTTGCCCCGGTAACCGTTGCTAAGGGGCGGGGACAGACCCTGAGCACTAGTGCCCTTTGCTTGAGAATGTTTGGATATTCAAATAAGGTCCCGCCCTCGTTGCCCTGGCGCCCAGACCCGCGGCCGGAAGAGCAGCCCCGAGTGAAGAGAGCACCCTCAGCTGAGGGGCCCTGGGCTGGGGTACTGGAGCCCATCCTGCAGGTGAGAGCCGCACACAGCCCGGCTATGTCCCAGTGCCCAGCCATGGCGGGACCTGGTTAAACCGCCCACCTCCCCTGGCCCTGCTTGGAGGAGACACCCCACCCTGCCCCTTTCTGGACTACAAAAACCTCAAGACCTCCCCTGGAGATCATAGGCAGGGACAGACTCGACCCAAACTGTAATCCTGGCCCTCAGCAGAGAGGAACGGAAGACTATGAGCCTGAGGCTCGCCTCACCCTCTCAGGGTGTGGAGCCTGAGAGTCCCCCGGTTTCCAACTTGGGCTCAGAGGCTTTCAGAGGAACAGCATATGTGGGGCTATGGTACGCTCCAGCCAGAGCATAAGTCTGGGGTCTGCGTTGAGGTTAATGGGGGCTTTGAGCCCACAGCCACCCAGTGAGCCTTGGATACCAAGGCTGTGGCACTCAGACCCACTGGCCTACCTTTGGCAGTACCTGACTAGCTGCTGTTGGGCACAGACCCTCCAAAGACAGGGCCGACATATCCGGAGGCACATTGGAGTGTCCTGCCTGGCAGGACTTGCTGCAGTGTAGAAAATCAGGCCGAGGTCGAGGTGCTGGCTGGAAATCCATGAGACTCTCCTGTGGGCTTTGATGTATTGCTCATTTTGTCGCCTTGGCCCCTGAGGCCCAGAGCCTGGACACCTTGTCCCTCCAACTGCTCTGCCATAGCCCTGTTGGTCACATCCCTATGGGCTGCAGACGTGAGGAACAGAATGAATCGTTTTAATAAATGAAACAGGCAGCACATCACATTCACTAGTTCCTTTACAGGCATTTTAGTGCCCTCCATTTCTGCCCTGGCACACAGCTGGTAAATGTCCTGCCACATGGGTCAGTCAGATCACAGAAATAGATCTGGGAAGGGTGGGTCTGGATGGGGAAGTAAGAGGTCAGCTGAGCCGGGATAGAGGGCAGAGAAAGAGGGGATGCCAAGCCTTCTGGGAAGAGCTTTGGCCTAGTCAAGTCCCTGTGTCAGGGCTGAGCATGGGATTTTGTGTTTGTTAAGGAGCCTGGCACAGGTGAGCAGAGCATGTAAGGCCATTACTGGAGGCTGGGCACAGGAGGGACAAAGTACAGGAGGGGCTGGCATACAGGAGATGCCCAGAGCTGCACTGGGGACCCCTTCAGAAACAGGTAATAGGATCTGGGTGAAGACCAATCTTTATTTGCACCCAGGGTCACCCCTGAATCTGAGCCTCTGGGTCATCCCCTGTGACTCTGTCTTCTTCCTTCTCAGCTGGAGCATCACAGGGAGCTCGGAGGCAGGCCCCACCCCACCTCCTCTGTATCCACTTGCTTTTGGGTGCTGGGCTCAGTAACTTGGCCGGGAGCCTAACCCAATCTCTGACTCCCAGGTGTCACCTGTGGACACATGCTGACCCCATGCCCAGATGTTTGACCCACAGTGTAAGGCAGCTGCCTGCAGGTGAGGACCTGGCCAACATGGGGAGGAGCACAAGACCCTGATCTTGAGCTCTGGCATAGAGCATTGCATGGAGAAGGACCTAGCCTGGGGTGCGTGTCAGCAACTGCTGGTCACCATGGGCAGCTGGTCTAGCACACCCAGGCTCACAGCCTCCGGGCCCAGTAGAGAGTGTGGAGCCGACACTCATCCTGTGGCACCAAAGGAAACGAAGCAGAAATGAGAGGCACTGGGAGGTTCAGGCAGCTGGGACCCTTCAAGCTACAGTTGTGAGCAGTAGCAGCAGACAAAAGGCCCTGCCCTCTGCCCTCCCGGCAGGTTGTGCCTGGATGGACCCAGCCGGGAATGGATGCCCAGGGCTTCGGCCAAACTCAGCCAGTGTCCGGGTACGGGAGCTGATCTGGCAGGGCCTGCATAATCCCTGTCCACAGAGCAAGGGCCTGGACAGGCCCCAGGACAGCCACAGGGAGCGGCAGATAGAAGAGCCCCTCTCCCCTGTCCACCTGGTAAGTGCAAGGGCCTGCACTGGGTGATGTCCAAGGTCCCCTTTTTATATATCTGCAGCTACCCTCAGCATAGCCCCCCACAGCTGGGTGCCCTCCACCTCCCTCCCCCTTGGGGACCCTACGAGGCCCCAAAGCACCAGTAACCCAGGTGACACAGATATCTCCAAACACTGTCACACTAGGTTCCAAGAGTACTTGCTGAGGCCACTGTCTTGGAAGCAGAGGCCACAGGGTACTGGGCACAGGGGTGCAATATAGTGAGGCCATATCTGAGGCTTGACTGCATCTGGGAATTGGCATAGCCTTCCCCAAACCTGCTGTGGGAGCCAGGGTTCACCCTCTCCTGAGGCCCAGAAGTTCTACCCAGCCATACCACAGAAGCAGCAGTTCCCGGCACCCAGAGTCTGCTGCCTATCATAGGCCACCTGGGGTAAGGAGAGGACCCTGTGGGTGTAGGAACTCCCTGGATGACCCATCTGGCCCATCACATGCCCTCCAAGGTGCCCACTGATCCTGGGCAGGGGATACAGCGTCTAGAAAACTACACATTTCACATGCGCAGAAAAGGCACTATCTGGGAGGACTGGGGCAGCAGGTGACTAGGATGCCTCTGGGCTCACAAAGGCATGTGTCCTTGTCATGCCCAGGTAGGCTGTGACCTTTGGGTAAAGGCCTCATTTGGAGGCCAGCACCCAGAAGTTCCAACCTCTGCTCAGATGGTATCCACTTGTGCACTGCTAGCCAAGTGTCCATGGCCAAGACCCACACAGATGAGGCAGGGGATGCAGGGAATACTGTGCCCTGCCCCAGAGCCACCTCTGAGTCCCACAGCCAAGGGCATGGGAGAATTCAGGGGCAGGGAGTGACAACTGCTGATCTCTGCAGCAGGCCCTGGCCCGGGTGGATGACCTCCAGAGTGTGCAGGTGCTGGAGATGTGTGTGGATACTCGTGAGCACAGCCTGGGGAACTTCGGTGAGAGCTGCCTAGCTGCCCCACCCTGCATCCTTTCCATAGGGTCAGTCCAGAACTGAGTCCATCCTTGCCGGGCACAGGCAGAGGATAAGCCCATGGTCCGTGGTTCCCAGCTGCCCTCCAGAGGGACTCTGTGCTCAGGGCCATACCTGCATCACAATAGCAAAGGTTGAAATGGTATCCAGTCAGGTATGGTCAGGCAACCCTGGTGTTTATCTTGAAACAACTTCAAATTCATAGACACACAGCAAAATTAGTACAAAGAACCCCATGAACTTTTCCCAGAGACTGCTTTATCCACAGCTGCTGCTTGTGTGAGCTTCGTCTTTCTCCCTGTCTTGTATGGACACACAGGTGCACAAACAGGCACATAAGTGGGCACTTATTTTTCTAATCGTTTTGAGAATCTCTAATGCTATTCCCATCAATACTAGCCTGCCTGCATGCCTGCATGCCTATCTTCCTTCCTTCCTTTCTCAAGACAGGGTCTCACTGTGTAGTTCAGGCTGGTCATGAACTCACTATATAGTCCAGGGTACCCTCAAACTTATGGCAACCCTCCTGCCTCAGCCACCTGAGTGCTGGGATTACAGGCATGTGCCACCATGCCCAGATTTGGTGGCAAGTACCATGACCTTGATTAGGAAATGACACTGATACTTGGCTTCTATGCTGCACACCTTATGCAGATAGCACCAACCATCCCCACAGGAAAGAATCTTGCTGTCCAGTATTGCTGTGGGCTCTGTTTGCATTTCTCAGATTACTCATGGGGTTAAACATGTCTCATTGTAATTCATCTTGTTTTCTGTTTTGCAACTGACCTTCAAGTTTTTGACAGTTCACCACAGCTCCTGCATGCACCCTCTTCCCTGCCCAACCACCCTGCACCCTTCTTTCCTTGGTACCTGGTCCAACTGGGACTGGGGCTGGATTGTCCTGCAGTCTGTCCCCACTGCTGCATATTAACGTGACTGCAGACAGTGGAAAGGGCACCTGAGCACCTGTGGGTAGATTTGGGGCAGCTCAGCCCAGCCCCACCCTTGCTATCCTGGCTGTGTTCCCTAAGCTGGGTCCTGGAGATCAGTCAGGTAGCCCTGTCCCACAGCCCAGGTTCCACAGGGACAGTTCAGTGCCACCTGCCTGAACAGTGCACCTTCTCTGTCTGGCAGGGTATTAGAGGGAGGGGGCCCTAAGGGCAGCACACTCTAAAGAGAAAGGCCTGCTAGTGGTCAGTGAATGGCCCCTCTGATGCCTGCCAACCTCTGGGTGGCATGGAGAAAGGTGTCTGCCCAGAAGAGAAGGCAGGGAAGTGGGTGCCTCAGGGCCTAGCCAACCCTTCTTCCTATGCCCTAGGGGTTTACCTACCCAACCTGAGCCAGCTGAGGTTGACTGGCAGTCGTCTGGACTCCCTCAGGTAAGTGTAGTCTGGCACAGGGTCCTGCCCTGGGTGGGGTCGGGGCCCCTGCTCGCCCTGATAAGAATCTGGTCTCACCTTTGGTATTGGGAGGGTGGGTGGCAGTGAGGAGACATCTGAACCCTTTGCTCCAGATGGGGGTCTCTCTCCAGGAAGCAATTTCTTCTTGCAGGCCCAGCATCCTGCAGCCTGCCTGCAGCCTGACCCCCTGTAGTGAGAAGTACCCCCATATAGACCCAGAGATAGGACTAAGGCCAGGGTGGTCCCACTACCTCTTGAGGCCGAGTAGCCTAAAAGGTGCTCACAGACCTCAGGCAGAGACCCCAGCCAGTTGAGGGGCTTTTGGAAGACACTGCAAAAGCAACTAAGGTGTGGGGATTCCTGGAGTCCAGAGTGACAGCTGCATCATGAGGGTGACAGACTAGGGTAGCTGATGACCCTGGCAAGAGAAGCAGGTGGCCTCAACCTTCAAGGTGACAAAGAAATGCACAAAACCTGCATCTCCTGAAATAGGGCCTTGACGACTGAGAAAACTCCGCATTCTCACATCAAGGCTTCTTAGTAAGTGACCTAAAAGACAGCCTTCAAAACTAGAGACAGCCTGTCCTAGTTACTTTTCTCTGGTTGCTGGGACAACCCAGAATGAAGGAAGGAAAGATTTATTTAGCTCACTGTTTGTGGAGGTTTCAGTCCTTAATCACCTGGCTCCAAGGCAGGGTGGCATGGCACAGGGGCAACACTTCAAGGCAGCAACCAGCAAAAGTGGAGGGAAGAGCAAGCCTCTTCTCCCTTATATTGTACACAGACCCCATCCAGGCTGGGTGTAGCACTCACAAAATCTCCTTGCACTCCTCTTGCAGAAGCTGATGATATTTACAAAGTAAGAACCCTGATTCCCTACTGAGTCTCTTAGTTAAGAACTAAAGTTCTCAAGTTGACACAGTGTATCAACCATAACAGAGCTTCATGATTCTTAGCTCCTAGGCTACAGGGAACTAAGCTGAAGAATGTTAGACTTTATTCTAGGGAATCCAAGATAAAAGGGTCTTACAAAAATGCTGTGGGTGTAGCTGGGCACAGAGGGCATGCCTGTGACCCAGCACCCAGGAGGCTGAGACAGGAGGATTGCAAGTTTAAAATCAGTCAGGGCAACTTCGTGACTTAGCAAGACCCAGTCTCAAAATTAAAAAAAAAAAAAAAAACATACAAAAGAGCTGGGGATGTAGCTCAATGCAAAGACCCTGGGTTCAATCCCTAGCAAAAACAAAAACTACTGGTTTTATGTAGCCTGAGCCCAGCAGCACATGGCAGGGAAATTTGACTCAAAATTCTAGAATTCCCTGCTGTTTGAATTGGGCCTTGAGTGCCTGTGTCATTCTTTCCAGGTAAGGTGATAAAGGCATTTTTAAGCAAGTTCATTTTAAATAGTATCTTGATTTTCCTTCCTTGTACTGCTGTATATAAAACAACAGTCAAAATTCAACAAAATGTGCAAATCTGGAAATGAAACTGAAGCCAACCAGAGACAGACTAGAATGGCAGGGCGAGAGAAGGATGAAAACCACAAAAGGGAATAGGGAGTGCCTATAAAACCAAGACATATTAAATATGACTTGTAACAGAACAAAATAATTCCAAGGGAAATGACTAGATGGTAACCTTTATGAAAACATGTGCAAGTCTTTGGTAGCAGCATCCAAAACACAGTGAATTGTCATATGCTTCCAGTGACCCCGGAACTGGGCCAAGTGATGGTGTTTACAAACCTCCACGGGTTGAAAATTTGTAAATGAGAGCTGGGTGTGGTGGCTCACGCCTGTAATCCCAGCACTCAGTAGGCAGAGGTAGGAGGATCATTGAGTTCCAGACTAGCCTGGGATACAAAGTGAGCTCAAGGCCAGCCTGAACTGCATAGTGAGACCCTGTCTCAAAAAAAGACAAAAAAGAAAAGAAAATTTGTAAATGAAAACCCATTAAATAGGCCATTTCCATAAACAGAGCTGGTATTGGTGGTGGGCCCCACCACACCTTGAGGAAAGCTGCTGTTGTAACCTGGCTGACTGACCCCAGAATCTTGGGGGTTTTAAAGCCTCAGGCAGAAGTTTAAGAGCTGGGAAGAGCGTTAGCATTGTGGCTGTCCACATTGTGGCTGTCTGATCTAGAAGCTAAAAGGATTCATTCAGAAACTGCCGGTGTGAAGACAGATATTTGGAACACGCGTGTGGGCCACCATCAGCAAGCAACCACCAGTGGGCGGGCAAGTCCCCAAGTCTTGCAGATCCCTGTCAGAGGGACTTAGCACATGTCCCTGGCAGGGGCTGGCATGTGAGAGACCCTCTCTGCCTCTCTGAAACTGGAAGTGGCTAAATGGACACACCATGCACTCTACACCTACCCTGCTCTCCTCACAATCTCTGTGCTAACTGTCCAGGTAGCTTCTGTCCTTTTCCTGTTTGTTTCCGGGTAGTCTTTGAACAACCTGAGTGTGTGTTACACTTGGCAACCGTGGCCTGGGCACTTTCACCCAAAACCCTTTCCTCCTGAGGTCTATTCTTTTTTTTTTAATTTTTTTTTTTTTTTTTTGGCTTTTTCCTTTTTATCGGTACCAGGGATCGAACTCACGACTGCCTGCTTACAAGGCGGGCGCTTATGCCACTGAGCTAAATCCCCAGCCCCCTGAGGTCTATTCTAACCAGTGCTTTGGAGGTAATGGGGAAGATGATCCCTACTGCAGGCCACAGAGAACTTCACCTTTCTTCCATACACTTGTGGGCTCGCTTGACTCTACAGGCCTCCAGCCCACCCACTGCAAAACTTCATTCCCTGTGTAGATCCTCCTGCCTCAGTTTCCTAAGAAGTTAGAATTATAGGCAACCACTACCACCACGCTAGCAGAACAGTTTTTTAAGACTGGTTCAGATCTGGAGATTTCTGGATAGCTATCAGTCTAGCCAAGTTTTCTGTTTATTGTCAGTGCCAACTTTGGCTGGTTTCAAAACTGTCTGTGGGTACTTTACATTGAGTGGCCTTCTGTTAGTGGACCTGGCTGCCATGCCTATTGCTATTCCTCTTAAGCTCTGTGTCTGCCTCGGCATTGTTTGTCTCTCTGTGTGTTCCTGACACCTCGCAGAGCACTGTCTACTAGGAGAGGCAGCCCTGGGCTCCATTAGTCTTTTCTTCAGCCACTGCTTCCTCCCCATCTCCATCACTCCCTCCTTCCTGGTCTTGCTAATTGTGTTTGTTTTCTGGCTCCTTGAGCTAAGTGCTCGGCTCAATTGTTCTAACCCTTCTGAAGTATCTTAGTTACTTTTTCATTACTGAGACAAAATACCCAACACCCAAAGTTAAAGAAGGAAAGGTTTATTCAGCTCATAGTTTTGGAGGTTTTAGTTCATAGTCAGCTGCCTCTAAGATAGGGCGGCATCACAGAGGAGAAACAGTCCATGGTGTACAAAAGCAGCAACTGACTATCAACTATCCTCTTTTTGTCTCTTGTATTTTATCCAGGCTGCCTACTCATATAACACATCCTTAATCCTACCACTGCATCATGAATCAATCTCAGCATCCCACACAGGATCCAGCTACCTCTAAGCCCCACCTATGACTGCAGGAGGCTTTGGGGGGGATATCTAGACATAGCCTATACACAAAATTTTGATAAATCCATTTAAAACCTTGATATCTGTCCATGTGTAGCTTCAGGTGAAATGCCATCCTGTATGTTTTGCTTTTTGTCATTAGTTCTAAGAATTTTTTAATCTTTCTGTAAATCTCCTATCTACTCTTGGAGCATCTTCAGACCATGCCTTGATACTTACACCCCTGTGGCAAAAGGGATCCACACCTGGCTGGGCTTGTGGCCCCCCAGAGACGAAGAGGCTGCAGCACCCCTTTGCAGCAGGATCCAGTCCATACCTGCTGCAGGCTACAGGGTGACTTCTGAAAAGGAGTGGATCACAGAGTACACCACAATGGGGACAAGAACATCTCTGAAGGCAGTGCTGCAGGAGACAGGAAGGAGGAAGTGGAAAAAGTCAAGGGAAATACAAGAGCAGACTAAAAGGAGGCTTGTCAGGAAGAAGAAAGAAGAGAAGAGGAGAGAGGTGGAAGGAAGAGGGAGGTGGAAGGGAGAGGGAGGGGGAGAAGAAGGAGAAGGAGAAGGACAAGGAGGAGAAGAAGCTACCTTATATCTACAAACAGGAGAAAGGGCTCAGCCCCAACCCCAGCCCCGGATAAAGATCCTGATTTCCAGGTCAGAGCAGCAAAATGAGCAGCCAGGAAATGAGGCAATGAGGTCAAACTGAATTTTTTCTTTTTGGTGCCAGGGATTGAACCCAGGTCCTCCATATGCTAGGGAAGCACTCTACCCTGAGCTACATCCCAGCCCTTTTTTATTTTGAGACAAGGTCTCACTAAGTTACCTAGGCTGACTTTTGATCCTCCTGCCTCAGCCTCCTGAATAGGTGGCATAACAGGTGAGTATCACTGCACCCAGTCCAAGTTACCTTTTAAAGATAAAAAAAAAAGCAACACTTTCCTGACTTCTCCACTGAAACACTTGAAGCCAGAAGTCAAGATAGGAAGATGGTAGGAGCCCAAAACCTTATACCCCAACAAATGGCCACATGAGCAGAGGCTGCAGACATCTTCGAGCAGCTAGAGAGGAAGGAATTTCCATCAGCCACCTGGAGAAATCTCTGGACACAAATCCCAGCCAGGAGCAACAGCAGGACACTGGACAGGGAGAGGTGAATGAGTGGCTGAGAAACAAGCAAAGCAGGTCATGAGCTGGAGGCAAACAAACTAGAGGAACTTGCAGGTACTAAGCACTAAGCACTGGGTGTGGGGTTCAGGGATGCCCTGCAGCTGCAGCAGAGGCCAGGCAGGGAGGCCCAGGTTACCCAGAGTAAAGGCAGTTCCTTGGGAGCCCAGGCTGCCCAGCATTGGAGGAGCTGAGGCTCCTCTAACAGCAGCCCAGACCAGGAGGCTGCAGTAGGGATTGGGGCCCCTTTCCACACCTAGAAGCAGACAGATGCAGTGTGCCCTGCCCCAGGGTGGCACTAACCAGCTGCCCCTTCCACAGAGACCTGGGCACCTCTCTCAGCCACCTGCAGGTGTTGTGGCTGGCTCGCTGTGGCCTCACTGACCTGGACGGCATTGGCTCCTTCCCAGCACTGAAGGTGGGTCTGCAGCCCCTGGTGCAGGGAACAAGTGTTGCCAGGCAGCCACTGAGACCCCTCTGTTCCTAGGAGTTCTACGTCTCCTACAATGACATCTCAGACCTGAGCCCACTGTGCCTGCTCGACCAGCTAGAGGTACTGGACCTTGAGGGCAACAGCCTAGAGGACCTGGGGCAGGTGCGCTACCTGCAGCTGTGCCCACAGTTGACCACACTCATCCTGGAGGGCAACCTGGTGTGCTTGCAGCCAGCCGCTGGCCCAGCCAGCAAGGTATGGGAGCTAGGCACCCAGGCAGCATGTGCTGGGGGGCACCTGGCCCTGGGTGCATCCACTGTGAGCTCAACCTAAAGGCCCATAGTCAGTGTGTCGATTAGGGCCAGACTGAGGGGCCCCTCAGACACATGTGCACATGGTGCCACTCACCACCATGCTGTGCCCCAGGAGGCCCATGTGAGAACCATACCTGCCTGGCCCATTGTATAGAAGCACATGCATGTGCACCCATACAGCCATGCAGGCCCATCCAGTGCCAGCTTGGCCTCCTGTAGGCCTGTGGGTCAGTTGGGATACATTCACACATCAGCAGCACCTGTGTATCCCATTTAGGGCTGTCACACCGAGGCACTCTACGGGATATGGGACCCTGCCTCTGAATTTCCAGGTGTGCCTTGCACTTACACATGATACCTGTCCCAGGTTTAGCACCCACCCAGGGCAGAGGGGCTGCTCCACTAAGATAGACCCTGAGATCAACATAGCCCCACTGGCCAGAGGGTATCCCTAAATCCAGGAGAAGGCCAGAAAGTGGAGAGGCCACATGTCCCATGGACTGGGGGCAGGGCTAAGTGAGAAAGATCAGGACCCAGCAGGCCTGAAGGGGCCAGGGACCAGGCCCACTGCCTCTCTTTTTTCCTGCAGGCCCCTGGGTGCTACAACTACAGGTCAGAGGTAAAGAAACTCATCCCTCAGCTGCGCATCCTGGATGAGGTGCCCACCACATGTACCAACCTGCCTGCGCCCCGGGAGCTGAGCCAGGACTGGCTCATGGTGAAAAAGGCCATCAAGGAAGGCAGCATGCTGGACAGCCTCCTCCCTCCGCTGGGTAGGGTAGACACCCACACCTGGAAGCCTGGCCACTGCCCCTATACCCAACTCCAGAAGAAGCCTGGCCCTGGTTCTGGAGGCAGGGAAGCACCAACCCCAGTTCCCAGGCCTCTCCAAGGTGAATGGCTGTGCCTTATACCCTGCGCCTTGCCAGGATGTGAGCAACACCTAGGCTTCTCCTTGGTCTTCAGAGAGAAGGGTCTGGGCTTAGGGTCTGTCTGGAAGGGAAAAGACTGTCAGATATCAGCCTTTTAAATTTATTTATTATTTATTTTTGAGACAAGATCTTTCTGGGTTGTTCAGGCTGGCTTTAAATTCAATATGTAGCCCAGTCTGGCCTGGAACTCACAGCAGTCCTTCCTCAGCCTCCTGAGTGCTGGGATTACAGATATGTGCCACCATGCCCAGCTAGAGGCCAGTTTTGAGCCACACTGCTCCTTGGTGGCAGAGTCATGCTCTTGGGACAAAGTCTAGTATTCGTCTGACCTCTGGTTCTGACCCTGGCTAGATTACACTCACGGAGCCACTCTGCAGAAATGTGACCCAGTGCTGACCCTGCCTGAGACCCCACCGTGGGTCTTGTCTCTGCTGGGCCCTGGAGGATCCCTGCCTGAAGGCCTGTTCCCCAAGCACCCAGCCCCTGAAGACCACACCAGCAACCTCACCCATGGTAACTGATCTACCCCAGTCCAGATTTAGCTCTGCAGCTCCAACCCCAGGCCAGGCTTAGCCGTATTCTCTTCCTTAGGTGCTGCTCAGGTCCTCTGTGGGAATCCCACCAAAGGCCTGTGGGAGCGCAGGCACCAGTGCCAGGTATGTCTGCCCCATGCCTAAGTGGGCCAAGACTCTAGCCTAGAGCAGGGACTGGCACCCAAGTCTTTCTTCCGCAGAGATCAATCTCTGGCAATGACCTGTTCCACAGCCTTTCCAGCCAGGGTCTTCACCTCATCCTTTTCCTCTCCAGGCCCGGGCACTGCTGGAGCAGCTGCACCCACCAAGACCAGGTCCGGCTGCTGTCCCCTCTTCCGTAGGGCCTGATTCCACAGATGGCTGTGATCTGGTGGTAGCTGGGCTTCCAGCCTGGAAAGAACTTGGCCTGTGGTAGGTGCCCTCCTCTTGAGCCCCACTTCCATGTGTCCCATCTGGCTTGGGGAGTTTGGAGCTGGGGAAGCCTTGGATGAAGGGTCACCTGGTCTCAGGTGGACCAGAGGAACTGGTGGTGGGAGCCCTAGGTTGGTAGGAAAGGCCCCAGCAAGACTGGACCTTAGCTCCTTCTTCTCCTACAGGCTGATGGGGACCCAGCAGGAAGGGGATGCAGCCCCCCAGGATCCTTGGAGATGCTTTGAACATCAAGAGGACAATGCTAGACCTAGGCCTTCCCCAGGCTCCCCAGGTCTGGCCTCAGGTACTGTCCCCCACATGGAAATAGAATCCCTTACCTCCACCTACTAGCTTAGAAGGGCTGTGCTATACCACAGTGCTGTTCTGGTGGTAGAAGGGCATATCCCCACTAATCTCCATCAAAGTGCCCAGTTCTTGGGGCAGAAGATCAGAGACCACCAGGTTCACTGGGAAACCAAGGCAGGACATGTGCTGGACTCAAGGATCTAGGATCAAGTCAGGCAGGATCCCTTTAAGGGGAGGCAGAAAGACCCTAATGCAGCCTGGCAGGGAAGCCTAGGAAAGGACACTGCCAGTAGGGTAACAGGAATAGGAACTCAAGGTCAGCAGAGTAACCCTGGGAGGCTAGGACAGTACAGTCTGCCTGCTGCCCTGGGGGTGTGACTAAGAAAACCACTAGTGGCCACCAACATATACCTGTGGACAAGGACTGCAAGGTTGAATGGAAAGCAGGCAAGTGGCCAGAAGAAGGAATGGCTAGAGTAATGACAAGACAGGAACACTTTAGAAAAAGGGATTCTGCAGCCTCTTGCTCTAGCTATCATGTCCAATAAGGCCCTGGATGACCCCAACCAGCTGCCTCACTATAGCAGAGGTTTAGTTATTGGCCTGGAGTAATCAGCCTTTGAGTAAATCCTCCGGGATGGTACCCCAGAGCCAGGGTCTGGGCCTTTAGGCCTCTGTCTGCCCTGAAAGTGGCAGCCAAGCAATGGTCAGAGTTCAAGATCCAGGGCCACAGCCTCTCTGGGGATTGTAAGAAGTGGGTCTGGGGAACAAGGTTGCTGCCACCTGGAGGGCCACAACAGACACTCAAGCCTTCTCTGGCAGTGACACCCCCCAAGATGCCCACCACCCCCAGGCTGGAAGACTGGTGGAAAGGGCCCCTGCATCTGTGGGGCCTCTGTGACATGCTCTTTCCTTGCTTTCCAGAGCCTTCTAGAACACTGGGCTGTCACCTAATCCCCTCACCACCAAAAGACCCAATGCCATCTGACTCAGCCAGTAGCTCTCCTCGGGGCTCTGCTGACCTATGGGTCAGAGGACGGCGGCTCAGAGCCCTGGGCAGCATGAGGCCTGGCCCAGGCAAGGGACTGGCCCCAGTGACTACCCTGAGAGCCCTAGAGGTGGCCTCAGGTTCCACCCTTGAGCCCAGCGACATCCAGAACCAGAGCCAGCCCTGGACCCAACAGCCAGACTCCCAGCCCTTTGCTGCCTGTGGTACTTGAGCCCTTTACCCCAGGTCCTCCCCACCCTTGGGACAAAGCCCACCACCGCTAGGCTTGCCTGGATAGTGCCCATAGGGAACCCCTGCGGTCCTGGAAACCCCTGAAGGCCCCCTGGTCCCATAGACCCAAAGTACCTGGGCTGGGAGGGTGGGAGGTGAACCTAGCCCTGGAAAGATCCCTCTTGGTAGAAGGGAGACAGGGCTGGGACCTGGCCTTCCTGGGAGCAGTAAGCGAGGCAGGCTTGGGCCAAGTGGCTGGAGTTGGCCTGGGCTTTCTAGGGGCCCAGGGTCTAAGCTTCTCACCCCACCAGGCCTCCTATCCCTGGTGGATCTGTGGAGCTTCCTACACAGGGGCAAGTTGCAGTTCCTCTTGGGGCAGGTGCCCCAGCAACCAAGTGAATCATTTCAACTCTTGGGTGCAGATCCAGTTTACTTTGTAGGCCATGGTGGTCAATAAATGATGCAGCCGGCTCCCTGGGTGGCTACATCTGCCTCAGTTATAGGTGCAAGTCAGTGGTAATGGGTGGGCAGCAGAGGAAGCGGAAGCCAAACCGGCTCTCTGCCGTGCTTTGTACTGACAGGGCCACTATAGGGCAGCCCAAGTCTACACCTCTGCGGCATACCTGAGGGTGGTGTCAAGGTCTAAGTGCTCTGGCCAGTGGCACGGGCACCACAGGCAGGTGAGGCAGGCTAGGGTTAGGGTCAGGACGCGTACTCACACTGACCCTGCGCTCCTTCCCAGGCATGCCTTGCTCCAGATCTTGGGCCACCTCTGCCAGGAGGAGGGAGGTGGTCAGGCCACGTGCACCTGGTCCTTGTGCCCTCACATCTGGCACCTACACTTACCTGAGATGGTGGGCAGGGGATCTGACTTCATGGCGAGCTTGGTGCCCTCCAACTGTGCTGGCCCCTGCCGCAGGTGGACAGACTTTCGGGGACTCGGAAGTGGCATGAGGCACCGAGTCCTGTCAGGTGGGCAATCGGGTTGTAAGGTGGGTTCCCAACCCAGAGTGAGGTGCAGGATAGCACTGGGTCAAGGCAGGGGACTTGGGGAACTCCAGGCAGGGCATCTGGGAAAGGTCTTATGGTGCCCACCCCGGCCTCCGGTGCATGGATTGGGCCTCCCTCCCCCGGCCCTGCCTTGGGGGCCGAGGCCAGCACTGAGGCTTCCCAGTGTGGGCCCCAGCCCCAGCCTCAGGGAGCGGGAATCGGTCGATGGACCAGTCCGTGTTGTCTGCGAAGATGCCTGAGCCCGAGGTCACACGGAGTGGTGCCTGGTACTCACTGAGGACCTGAAGGCCACAGCAGCGAGTTGGCCACCCTATCCCACCAGGCTGGCCACCACCCCACAGGGAGTGTAATCCTAACCTGGCCCTCAGCATCCAGGAGGAGCGTCACACAGCCCCGACCACAGTGAAATTGGAGGGGGTCCTGGCCAGAAGGAAAGGGCGGCTGCTGCTGGATGCCACCAGTGCCTTCACCCCACACCTAGAACCCAAGGCACAGGATTAGGCTGGGTGCACAGGAGCGAGGAGGGGCCAGGAAGGGGTGGGGAACCTGGATCGCACCGTGAGGTGGTGCTGAGGCTCTAGCACAGTGCCTTTTGGGAAGCAGAACATGCGTACTGGGCAGTCATGTACCCGCTGTTGCAAAACCAAGCCGCCCAGGTCGGCGGCATCCTGCAATGAGCGGTTGAGGATGCGCACAAACTTCTCCCGTTGGCTCACAGCCACTATCTGCAAGCTGCTGCTGATCCGGCTGAGACAGGAAAGAGTATTGTGTGGTTGAGAGCTCCCCCAGTGCTTGCCTACCATGCTACCTCCATCCCACTGGGCCACCCCTCACCTCTCTGTGTGCCCGGTGCTTAGGTAGCAAAGGTCTGCAGTGGGCTTCAGCAAGGTCTGGCCAAACAGGTGGGAACCGAATTTCTGGAGATCTAGGGAAGGTAGCCCTTTAAAGAAGGGGGTCAGCCACCTAGCATCTAAAGGGATGTCTCCTAGGAGACCAGAATAGGGTTGCTGGGAGGGACAGGGAGGACCTTTAGGGTGGAAGGACCTGATTTAGGGGTCTGGATGGAGATGGAGCGATGAGGAGGCCCCCATGGTCCACCTTCAGAGTCTCCACTGAATCTCTTTGTCTGCACTGCAGTCTGCTCGTAGGAGGCTGTGTCTGCTGCTGGTGGTGGGTGCCCTATCACCCTCTGCACTCGGGGATGCAGAACCAGCTGGCAGCTGCTGGAGTCCGAGTCAGCACCTCCCGAGCTGCTGGTGCCCGCGCAGGGCAGAGTGCTCCACTCCAGGCTCTTGTGCTGCCTCTCCACAAGCTTTCGAGGGGAGTCTGAACCTGGCGAGTCCAGCCCTGAGGGCAGCTGGTGCTGCCTGAGACCACGCTCAGCTCACTGACTGCCCTTGCTCCCAGGCCCAGCCCCGTGCAGCTCTGTTCCTACATACCCAGGACACAGATCCCACTGCTAGCAGAGCTAATGGCCCAAAAGTCCCTTCCCATCCTCCTTATCATTCTACACATCAGAGCTGAGGATGGAGGAGTTTTGTGACTCCTCTAGGGACACTGAAGGATAGAAATGGGACTCAGTCTACTCCTGCCAAAGCAAGCCCTCTGCCCCCAACCTCTGCCAGGATTCCTCCTGCCCAGCACAGTTACTTTGGCTCTGAGCTGGAATGGATGCTGGTGAGGAGGTTGGGATACCGCTGAGCAATGCTGTTCCAATCTACATCCTCCAACCGGAAGCCCTAAACAGAATGCAATAGGCACACAGTGAGAACCTAAAGAACCCAAAGACTCAATCAGGTGGGGTAGACTTCACTCACCTCCCCAGCAGTGGGCTCCTGATTGTCCTCCGAGTCCCCGGATTCCATTAGAGTCTCTGCAGTGATCACCTACAGGAAGGGTCCACAGACCAGTGGGCAGGGACTGGTGGAAAGGCACCCCTTGACCTTACCAACAATTTGTGTCAAGTGAAAGGGGCAGTGGGCCAGAAGATTCCCTCACTGGCTAGAAGCCCGAAGAGACACCTGCTTAGATGAAGGCTGATGGCTTCCCTGGAGGTCCAGGGAGGATTGGAGAGAAATGCAGAGGAGGAAAAGGGCAGTGGGCCAGAGGATGAGCTCACCTCCACACTGCCAGTCTGTGACCGAATGATGCGGCCCACCCAGGAGGACTGGGCCAGATGCAAGAGGCAGGACTTCTGGTAGGCCTGCAGCTCAGCCTCCAGCTGCTGCAGCTTGTCTGTGGTCTGTGCCAGCTGTGCCTCCAAGCACTCCCTCTCCTGGGCAGGAGTAGCAGGGAGTAAGGGATGCCCCTCCCAGGGCCTGCCCAGCTCCCATCCTATACCCTCACCAGCTGGGCTTGTTCCTTCTGTGCTCTCAGCTCCAGAGTCAGCTTCTGGACCTGATTCTGCAGGAATGTGTCCTGGCTGTGGGAGCTCCTGCGAGGTGGAGCAATCTTAGTTATCCTCACCTCTGGGTCAGCAGCAAAGGAGGGGCCCACTGCCATCATATACTGCAGTGCAGTGCAGCAGGCCAGGGCAGATCAGACCCAGCAAGTCTGGGTAGGGGTCAGTATGCCCATGTAGGGTTGGTTTCCAGCTTGGAAACTAATTCAGGGTTAGTGTGGAACATCAGGGCAGGTGAAGCCTAGAACTAAAGACCAAAGTCAGGGTGAAGGCTGACTCAACTATCAGGGCAGCACAGGAACTGTGCAGAGTTAGGCTGACCTCTCAGGTGGGAGTCCTGCCACCTCCTGCAGGATGTGATGGTGCTGGGCATGTTGGCCATGTCGGATGGCCCACCTCAGAGCCTGGATCTCCAGTTCTCTCTGTTCCCACAGCAGCCGTAGGGTACATGGGTCCAGGGTTTCAGGGGCCAACCTAAAGCACCAGCACCCCCACTGCACCATCAGACCTGGTCTTCTGGATGGCCCAGCCCAGGAGGCTGACCCCCCACCCTCCTAGTCTTACTGTGTGCTGATGGAGCCTTCCCCTGTAGAGGGGGGCCTGCGATTGCGGGAGCACGAGGAAGCCATGGTGTCTGTAGGTATGGTGGTTGGAGGCCCTGAGTCGTTGCCAACTGGCTGTCTTCCTGACAGGGCCAGGGGTACCTGCTCCTCTTCAGATTCCTGGCCCGGCTCAGGGGCCATGCTAGAAGTTGGTGGGAAGTTGGGCAGTTAGGCAATGTCTGCCCCATCACCCAAATGCCATTGGATTCTCCTTCTAGTATGGGGACTAGGCAGCACAGCCAGGTCACAGGGGGTCCCTCCCCAAGAAGGCCCAAGGAGACGGCCAGGACATGGGGCTGCCAGTCACACTGGTGTCCCCACTTCCCCTGCGGTCTTATGTCTTCTGTCCTCAGCCTAGATGAAGATCAGAGGTTCTGCCCCTGTGCCTTTGACCTTTTTTTGTGTCCTTCCAGCCCAGGCCTTACCCCCCCCCCCCAGCTCACCTGAGGCCTGAGCTCTTAGCAGGCCTGGTGAGGGAAGGGTTCTATACGGTTGCCCTGGCTACAGACACCCAGGAAGGGAGGGGCCGTTTATTACCAGCAGCCTCCAGGGAGACCCCAGGCGGTGAGCAGAGATGCCAGAGGCTGTGGCACTGCCCAGCTAAGCTGAGCCAACCAGGGGGCCACTCGGCTCCAGTAGCCCTGGCCTAGCCATTGTGATCGGTGGGTATTTGGGGCATTAATGCCCTGTGGGGTGCCCAGAGTGAGTGGAGGTGTGTCCCAAGATGGCAGGGCTCTGAGCTGACTTGGGGGGAACTGAAAATGGTGATGAGGAGTGGTGCTGAACCCCACATGTGGAGGTCCAATCTCAGACCTCAGTGGCTGGCACTCAAACCTTTCCAACTCATCTTCACAGCCTCTGCGAACCTCGAGAGCCTTGGAGACATTCAATCCCTCTGCCCATGACAATGTGGAGCACTCCAGCCTGTGCCCCCTGTCCCAATCACTCACACCTTCCACCTTTGTGCCTGGGCGGGTTGGGCCCCCTACCCACTTCAAGCTTTCCAGGCGGACTTGAGTTTCTCCCTTTGGACAGTAGGGGAGATGGCAGAGGGGTTCCAACCCCCTTTGACAGTCGAAGGCCTGGGCACCACAGCTCAGGAGGGCGCCTCAGATAAAGAAAGAGCATGGGACTTTGTCCCTGCAGGCTCGGGGCGCCCCCTTCCCCACCAGGGCTCCAGTACCCAGCAGTTTCAGCCCAGGAGCTCTGTGGGTCCTCACAGCTCCGCCTCCCCGCGGACAGCTCACTATTACCCAAACCCGCATCCCCCGGCCGCCAGCTCTAAAGGAACAGGATCAGAAGTGCCCAGCCCTTGCGAAGGTGTGGGAAAGACCAGGAAGGAGAGGCTCCGGCACTGCCGCCCTGTGGACGTACGCCAGGGCTGTGAGATCGGGCCCGGCACGCCTTCCCTGGTCCAGGACCCGTCACACTGGCAGGCTGCAGAGAAAGTTGGGAGGGGGCAGGGCACCTGCAGCGGTTCTTCGCTCGGGGACCACTTCAGTGGACGCCCCTACCTCTTGTTTTGGGGCGGTGCGCGGCCTTCTCAGGTCCCGCCCCCTTAGCCTAAGCCCCGCCCACACCTGGGCGCTGCGGGAAGGGGCAGAAGCAAGCCAATAGGGCGGGGCGGAAGAAGACAGCCAATGGGCGTGGTCGTAGGGCGGGAGGCCTGAGCCATAGGGCTAATTGGGGTGCTCCGGGGCGGGGTTTGCGGGCCGAGGGCCAATGAAGCTCCAGGGATGTGGTGCGCCGGGCGCTAGAGCGGCAGGTTGTCTGGGCGCCTGAGCGCTCTGGGTCGGAGATCCGCGACTGTCCAGGTGAGTGAGCTGGGTTCACGGGCAGGACAGGGCTCCCGTGGAGGGAGGAGAGTCTTCCGTGGGACTGGACGGGCGGGACCGGGGTCCCTCCAGCCGGGGGTCCCGGAGCGGCGCTGACTTCCGGGGCTAGCGCACTCCCCAGAGCGGGAGGAGCTTCGAGCTAGGTTGGAGGTTCATAGGTACGAAGGTCGGGTTTGGATCGTGAGGCGGCTTCTCCGGGGCCAGAGAAGGTCTCTTCCTGGAGGGGTTCCCATGGCTGCGGACGAAATCCTTTGTGGGAGCGCCCTTGGGCGCTTGGGATGCCACCTGCGGGAGGGAACAGTGCCCTTTGAGCCAGGTGGCGCAGAAGGTGGCGAGTGGACAGGAAATCCTGGACCTGATTAATGATTCGCCTTGTTCCGAAGTGGGGACAGGTGAAGTGGGAGAAGCCAAGGGCCAAACTAGTTCCCTGGCCTCTCCAAGAATGCGTGGCCTCCGGGTGGGGCTGGGCACTGGAGGCTAGGGCTGGTCTCTGAGAGCCTGAAACTCTGAACCAGACTTGACTTGTCGGCTGGGCAGGGGTAAGAGGGGAGGACCAGGCAGAACCTGACCTATGGCCTGTCTCCTCCCTACAGGGCCGGGATGGTTCTGGGGCTGTCCACCATGGAGCTGAAGGTATGGGTGGATGGCATTCAGCGGGTAGTCTGTGGGGTCTCAGAGCAAACCACCTGCCAGGAAGTGGTCATTGCATTAGCCCAAGCCATAGGTAAGTCCACTGTTGCTAATGGGCTCAACAGGTGAGGCAGGGGTGGGGTCACCCATTTTTCAGTTGACCTCTTCCTCTTCCTCCAGGCCAGACAGGTCGCTTTGTGCTTGTGCAGCGTCTTAAGGAGAAAGAACGTCAGCTGTTGCCTCAAGAGTGTCCAGTAGGTGCCCAGGCCACCTGTGGACAATTTGCCAATGACGTTCAGTTTGTCCTGAGGCGGACAGGGCCCAGCCTGGCTGGAAAGCCCTCCTCTGACAGCTGTCCACCCCCAGAACGTTGCCCAGTTCATACTAGCCTACTTCCCAAACCAGGGGTAGCACCGGGCCGGGAGTCCCACAGAGCACTGACCTTTAACCTGGGGTATCCCAGGCTGGCCCCTAACCACTCATCTTCTGAGCTTCCAGCCCCTGTGGTACCCAGCCTAGGTTGCATGGAAGACCTACAGGGCATGGAGATCAGGGTGCAGAGGAATGCAGAGGAGCTAGGCCACGAGGCCTTTTGGGAGCAGGAGCTAAGGTGGGAAGAAGCCAGGGAACGAGAGGGGCAGGCACGTCTGCAGACACTGAGTGCAGCCACTGCAGAGCATGCTGCCCAGCTGCAGGCCCTAGATGCACAGGCCCGTGCCCTGGAAGCTGAGTTGCTGCTGGCCACTGAAGCTCCTGGGCCCCCCTCTGCCACACTGTCTGCCACTGAGCGCCTACGCCAAGACCTGGCTGTCCAAGAGCGGCAGAGCGTGGAGGTACAGGACAGCCTGGCCATGGTGAGCCAGGCTCTGGAGGCAGCCGAGCGTGCACTGCAGGTGAGCCCAGGAGACCCCAGCCCATGCCACCTCCCCAACCTGGGTAGCTAGGATTTGGGGTCTGACATAGGATCAGACCAGAGAGAATGCCTTGTAGGCCATGAAGCCCCCAATACTGGTGGCCTTGCTCCTGAGGGTCCTGTGTGTCCTAGGCTCAGGCACAAGAACTGGAGGAACTGAACCGGGAATTGCGTCAGTGCAACCTGCAGCAGTTCATCCAGCAGACGGGAGCTGCGCTGCCAACACCCCCGCAGCCAGGCAGAGCCTCCCCTGTCACACAGGTCAGAGCAGTTCTGGGAAAGGTGGGAGGGTACGGGTCCAGCCACTTGGCTGACCTTTACTCTTCACAGGACCTTCTGTCTTCAGCTGGAGAAGATCCCTTGCAGGGAGCCCCCAAGACCCCCGTCCCAGTGCCCACTCTGAGCCTGGAGGGTAGGTCCACCCTGTGGCATGGGCCCTCTCCAGTTCAACCTGTATCTTCCCTACCCTGTGGCATGGGCCCTCCCCAGCTCAGCCTCCTCAGCCTGTGTCTTCCCCACAGTCACTACCATGAGGCAGAGCTCCTGGAGGTAGCAGCTCCTGCCCTAGACCAGTGCTGTGGAAGTGCCACGGAACATAGACGAGCCAGGACAGTCAGACAAAGCGCAAGGACAACAGGAGTCTGATCAGAGATGCCTTTCTGGTGCCTTAAGTTTGTGCTTCAGGAGGCTGGGAGGGGGGTGCCCTAGTCCTTGCCAAGTCTGACAGGCCCCCTGGAGAAGTAGAGGATGTAGCTCAGAACTTACCAGGCCTCAGAGACCACTACTGCTATTGGGGATGGAAGATGTGTGCACAGTGGACTCAGCTTATGGATGTGTGTGCTGCCTCCCTTACCCTGACTATGAACCTCAATAAACTGCCCATAGTGCCTTGAGTGTGTCTTGACTCTGCAAGATTCATGTGGGAGTGACTTAAGGGACCATTGCATGGTAGGATCCAAGGCTGGTTTGCTTTCTTGCCTCTGGACAGTTTATTTTTTGTTTTTGTTGGTTGTTGTTTTTGAGTCTCCTTTGTAGTCTCCTATTTACTGGCTCTGTCCTGACCTGGGCTTGTCTGGACCCTTCTCCTACCTGGCTTCCCCTAACCTGGCCTATTCCTGAAGAGCTGCAGGAACCCAGGATGCCAGGACAAGCTAGACTTGCCTATCAGGTTTACTGTCTCCCAGAGAACTCACAGGGGCGGGTCCTGGACTCCTCAGTCAGATCCAAGGAGCTTACCCTAGAGGAACCTGGCTACCTCTGGGGGAGGAGTGGGCATGGTATGAAGAGGGTCTGTTTCTCAAAGGGTGGATTCCAGGGTTGGCCATGGCCTCTCCCAGGGCCCAGATCTTCAGACAGACTGCATACTCCCAGCTCTGAGAGCTGGGGCTGGAGATCTTGGTGATAAGCAGAATTTGGAGCCCTATATAGCCATGGGTAGTACTGGTAGATGGGATGGGGTCACCCTAGACCAGTTGTGGTGATATGCATGCTGCAGCAGGCTGTTTATCATTGAAAGCTCTAAAAAGTTCACCATCACTGCCCTAGATCATGGGTCCTTTAGCTGGATTCAAGGAAAGGGCATATATGAGATGGACTCCTGAGCCGGAGTCACCTGAGGGTCCTGAGCTGGGTCTGGTATGCACCACTTCCTTTGGGGTAGTAACAGGAGAAATTGAAATCCTGAACAGAAATAGCAAGAAAGCCACCTGTGAGTACTAGGGAAGGCTCCTCAAAGGCTAGGGCATTTGGGAGCCTACTGCTATTTGCAGCAAGCAACTGCATATTTTCTGCCAGAGGTGGGGAGCTGGGAATCTAGGTTAGGTAGCAGGAGGCTTCCAACCAGATGTCCAAAGCCCAAATGCCCTGCTGGTTTCCCCTACCTGCATCCTTGCTCAAAAGCCTGCTGCAGCCTACACCCATGGCTCCAGACTGGTGGACACATGGCCATAGAGCCTCAAGTGCAAAGGCTAGCTGGACCTAGGGGTTTGCTCCCTTCATGCATTCACTGTATTCCCTGTCCACACTCAGAAGGACTGGATACACCTCTGGACATTAGTCCTAACCCAGTTAAGGACATAAGTCAGCAGAGGCCATGGCTAGTCCTATCCAGAAACCTTATCACAGAGAGGCCAGGGGCCCCTTGACCGTGTAACTCCAGGATCTGAGCTTCCAGGTTCCAAGCCAGCACATACCACACACTGCCCGTCTTCTGAGGGTCACCTGTTTGTTCTGAATCTACTGTGCAGGCCCTGTCAGGCTCCTGGCCCTGAAAAAGGCTTCCCATTAGCACTGTGTTCAAGTGGGGTTGGAGTAGAGCTCTTTGCTGACAGTTGTTTCAGGTAGAAGAGCCCCATATCCCCCTAAAAGTTGCCAGAGTGCTTTGGGTCACGAAGCAAGCAAAACTTTCAGTTGCTGCAAAGTTTACTTTTGAGTTTTAAATTTTACTTTGAAGACAACAGTGTGAGTTATGTGAAGTATGGAGATGCCGAGATCCCAGTCCTCCAAAGGTCACCTTCCCCTGCAAGGCTGTGATAGGATCCTGCAGCTGTTGGTGTGGGGCAGTCACTGCCACCCTCACTACTAGGCAGTCCAGCTGAATGATGAGGCCAGGCTGTGCTGTAGACAGTGCTCTCACAGTTCCCGCTCATGCCCAACACTGAAGTGAGAACCCCAGTTCACTGAGGGTCACCCACAGAAAGTGGCTGCAGGGAGTAAGTTAGTTCTCCTGGTTCTCAGCCCCAAGGCCACATGGTCTCCTTTCACCTGCAGAACATGCTATGGAAAACTACTGTGATAACAGCACAGGGTCCCTCTGGAGTGCTTGTCCTCTTTATAGAGACCTGGCCCTGCCCCTGAAGGGCCATTGCAGGTGTTTCGCCTCCTATGAGTTGCACTAGACATACTCCTGATACACATTTCCATGGTGGACTTCTGCGTGTGGCCTTTCTTGAACTCCACAAACAGGCCTACTGTCTTTAAGAGGACTGCCTGTAAGAAGTGGCAGAAATGACAAAGAGAAAGCAGCAGCTGTCATCCTGTAGGGAGTCCCAGAGATGACCCTCAGGAGGCAGGTCTTTTTTTTTTTTTTTTTTTTGGCAGGTCACAACACCTGCGCTTGCCCCAGGCTTCCCTGGGCTTGGTCACCTGCCATAGGAGGTCCTAAGGGCTCTGCACAGCCTGGCACCTTGGAGTATACAAGAAGAAATTTCCCTCCAAGAGGGTACCTGACCCAACCTCAGTCCTCCCATGTGGAGCCACCCTGGCTCCGACAGGCCTCCCATGGGACAGGCCCCTCCCTGGCCTGCGAGCCCCCTCTTCTCTATGTGGCCACCTGCCTGCCCGCCAGACCAGGGCCACTGAGGGGCCAAGGGCTCGCGCTGCCCAGGGACAGATCAGCCGCTGTCACACGCACAGTGGGTCGGGAGCAGCGCAGTGTGCGGTGGGCAGTGGCTGCCCTGCGCCTGGAGGGGCGGCCCGGCGGGTGCACGGAGAAGGGGCTGCCCTCCGCCCTGTCCTCTCCAACTTTGGCATCCAAGCCGCGTTGTCCTTGCCCACCCGCCCCTCCACAGCCCCCCAGCGGAGGGCGTTTTCGAATGTGCGCCCCGCCCGCCAGCCTGGGACCCCTGGGTGTCACCTGCGACCCCGGCACGGGGCCTTCGCGGGTTCTCGGACCAACTTCAGCTGCAGCCTTGGCCACCCGGGTGCCCCTGGCTGGCCCAGGCTGGGCCCTGCAGCTCCGCCCCATATGCAAACAACTGGGACAGCAACCAATGGTGCGCCGATCGGGGCCCGCCCTGCCGCCCCGCAGCCAGTGGGCGCGGTGGGGGGGGGCAACGCGTCCCGCCCCCTGCTGCGGGGCCCTTCGGCGACTCTGCAGGCGCGTTCCTTTCTGCACGTCGGCCTGGGGAGGGGCCACCACCTGCCGGGCGGGGCTTGCGGAGCGCCAGGCCTGGCAGCGACCCCTACAACCAAGCAGTGGTACGGCCCGGCCGCCCCGCGCGGTGGTACAGCCCGCCACCCCAGCAAGCTGGATAGAGTTCTCGCTGCTCTGCGCTGTGCGCGTCCACACGTACCCAAACAGTGACCCAGAGTTCGCTTGTGGCCCACACGAACGTGTCCAATGCCCTCCCAGCCGAGGCTCCCGGGGGTCGGTGCCGGTCACCTCCGAAGCTAGAGCCTGGGCGCAGGGCGTCGAGTCTCGCTGCGCTGCTCTGGGCTCGTTCCAGTCACGCAGAAGCACTGGCGGGGCACTCAAAACGTCCACTCTGGGGAGCAGACTGTCACCTTCCTCAGCTAGCCGGGGGCAGCACCACAGACAGCGGTCCGACTCCTGGGCTCTCTGGCCCTGGTGGCCCTCAGCGAGGGGCATTGGCCCCTGAGCAGCAGGGGCAGGAGGGTGCCTGCACTCTTTAAATTATGTCCTCATAGTTCTTTGTTCTTCCCTCACGCTAACTAGACCCCCTCCTTCCTCCCTGAGGCACCTATTCTGTTCCAGGCACCTCCAAAGATCCCCTCTGTCCCAACAGTGTGGTAGCCACCTCAACCTCAGCCACTGTCCTTGGCTGTGCTCCCTGGGCTGGCTGTGTTCCTAAACCCTGTCATCCCCATCCCTATCCCATGGCCCCCCTGCATCCGGCATCCACATAGGCCAGACTGAGGCCTGCCAGATACCCCAGTCAGACAAGCAGTTGAGTTCTAGGGCCCCAAGAAGACATGTGACCTCAGGAACCTGAATCCCAGGGATAAAAGCCAAGTGCAGGTGTTGTGCAGTGTGGTCATCTGCAGCTGGGGAAGGAGCATGGAGGAGGCAGGAGCCATCTCAGACACACTGGCTATGAGAGCACAAGGGCTCAACAAGGTCTGGGACACTTGTGTCACTGGGGATTGGACTGGACTCAGGCCTGATTTATTTATTTATATATTTATTTATGGTGGTTTTTTCCAATCAGAATTTATTGGTACATTTTAGATACATATAACTGTCACATTCATCATTGAGAATTTGTATTTGGTGTGTGTGTGTGTGTTTTGTTTTTTTTTTAGAGGTCTCTTATGCAGTTCAGGCTGGCATTTAATTTACTGTATAGTCCAGACTGGCCTCAAACTCCCAATGGTCCTCCTGCCTCAGCCTCCAAAGTGCTGGGATTATAGGGATGTGCTACCATTCCTGGCCCTAGTCCTTTTTAAAAATTTTTAATTGACACAGCATCTTGCCAAGTCACTAAATTGCCCAAGCTTGGCTCAAACTTGCAATCTTCCTGCCTCAGCCTCCCAGAGAGCTAGATTACAAGTATGCACCACCAGGCCCAACTGATATGGATCTTGCAGAAACCAGTTCAGATTGCTGGGATTCTGGGGAAGGCCCACACCTTGAGGTCAGGACATAGGCTCAGTGGAAGGAAGTCAAGGACCAGCAGACAGGAGAAACTGAGCTACTGCTTTCACTGCTGGCATTACGCCTACCTGTTCCAAGTCCTCACAATGCACTTCTTCTCATCCTCTGGAGGAGGCTAAATGTCGCCTCCCAAAGATATGTCCATATTCTAAGATCTAGGATCTGTGAATGTGACTTCACTGGGAAAAAAGTGTCTTTGCAGATGATTTTATAAAAGATCTCATGAAATCATACTGAGTTACCTGGGTAGGTTTACATTCAATAACAGTGTCCTTATAAGTGACAAAAGAGAGACAAACACAGAGGGAAGGAGATAAGACAGGGGCAGAGATCAGAGTGCTGTGGCCGAAAGTCAAGGAATGACTGGCATTCTCCCTAGGGACTCTGGAGTGTGGCCCTGCCAGTCTTAAGATCAGACTTGTAGCCTCTGGGACTATGTGAGAATAAGTTTCTGTTTTAAGTTTTGTAGTCAAAGGACACTCACATACTGCACCTGCTTACTCTAGTCTAAGAAATCAGTTTGGCTGAGTGCCCCCTCCTTTAGCTCTATGATTTTCTACTGGCCTGTTCTGACACTGCTCACCTCTTCTCCTATCCATGCTTCAGCCTCTTTCCTCCATCATCTACTTGGCTCCAGGTTCCTTGCCATTGGGATGGGGCACAGGGGACTATGTGCAGGTGGAAGGGCAGGGTGGGGGCAGTTGTACCTATAGTGAATGCCAGACACACACATCTATGCCTGCTTGAGGCAAGAGCAGCATGTGCCATCAGCAGGGCCTCCAGGTACAGTGCAGGGCTGTGTCAGTGGGAGGCATGTATATGTGTGTGTGTGTCCTCCAACAGTCCCCATGAGGAAGCTGTTGGGGTGGGTAGGACAGCCCAGTCACCTCAGCCATAGGCTGTTGGATCTCCTCCTTCTCAGGAGCCCCCGAATGTGCCGGCTGGTACCTGTATCTAACAGTCCTCAGCAGGCAAGAACATGTGCTTCTGCTAAGCTCCAAGCAGAGAAGAGGGACAGGTGTCTGGTGCAGGTCAGGGGGTAGCATCGCAACCCTTTACCACCATGCTGGCCCCCACAGGATGTTCTCACTGTGCTCACCCATTCAGTTCTCACCATGACCCAAGAGACAGGTTAACATCTGAATTTGCAGCCAAGGACACTGACACCCAGAGAGGGCAAGGAACTCTTCCAGTTCATACAACTGCCACTCAAGGGCCTGGGTGATGCCAAAGCCACTCACATCATTCAGATCCTGCTGTCTAGCTCATGGAGGAGAGGGAGCATACTCCAGAGTCCCTTTGTCTGGGATCACCCTTTCTTCCGGATGTTTCTTTTCTTTCTTTTTTTTTTTTTTTTAATTGGTACTGGGGATCGAACTCATGACCACACGCTTGCAAGGCAGGCACTTATGCCACTGAGCTAAATCCCCACCCCCACCCCTTTTTTTTTTATCTTTTTGAGACAGGGTCTCTATGCCGTTCAGGTTGAGCTCACTTTGTAGCCCAGGCTGGTCTCAAACTCACAACGATCCTCCTGCCTCGGCCTCCCAAGTGCTGGGATTACAGGCATGAGCCACCATGTCCAGCTAGGATGTTTCTTTTATAACAAGCAGAACAAACAGCACTCTGGACTGACTTGTTCTCTGGTTTCCCACTTCCCTTCCATTCCCAGGCAAATTATATGGCTGCCCCAGTACCTACTCAGGCTTCTCATTCTCTCTACACTCCCAGGGACCAGTGGTGCTGTCCAGGGCCTCAGCAGACCCCACCTTACTCTCCTAATAGATGTAGTTGCTTCCTTTGGTTTCCAACAGCAACTCTCCTGTTTTCCTGTGCCTGTTCTTTTCCAGTCCCCCTTTGTGGCCTGCTTCAGTTCCTTTTGATATCCTTTGAAGATTCCATACTTCTTCACCTTTGAGGTCTGGGGTTTAAGAGTGGGTTCTGCCCCTTTCCCTGAAAATCTCCATCTAGCTTATCCTGTCCCTGGGACTTCCACACACAGCCATTTCCACATTTCCCCATTCTCAGCCGTTTCTGTTTGTATCTTCCCTGTCATTCCATCCAACCACTCATCATGTCCTACCAGCTGTCTCCCACATCTACCTTGCAAGCCACAGTGCTTCCCTGGCCTGGCTGTTATGCACACAAGGGTCTGGTGCACCAGCACTAGCCCTGCAGGACCCCTGCCCCAGCTGCCTGGTCCTCACTTCCTCCTCAGCACTATATCAATGACGCCCAGTTGCTCAGGCTCCTGACCCTGACTCACTCATTTTTGGATTGTATAGATGCTGGGGTGGAATCTAAGGCCTTGCATATGCCAGCAAACAGACCACTGACCTGCAGACCCAGCCCAGCCTGTCTTTTTGTTGAAGCAAGGATTGCCTTCTCCCATGCCACACTGATTATATTTTGTTTTGTTTTTTGAGACAGGGTCCTGGGCCAGGGATATAGCTCAGCGGCACAGTGCCTGCTTGGCAAGCGCCAAGTCGTGAGTTTGATTACCGGTACCAAAAAAAAAAAAAAAAAAATGCTTCAGAGACAGGGTCTTGCTATACGTTTAGGCTGGCCTCGAACTAGGGAAGATCCTCCTGTATACTGGGATTACAGGCGTCCAACACCATTCCTAGCCCACACTATTGAAATTCTATTCTACTTATTTTGGGTACTGGGAATTGAACTCAAGACTTCACAGTTGCCAGGCCTCTAAAAATACTTTTAAAGACAAAGTCCAATGTAGATCAAGAGGGCCTTAAACTTAATATATGTCTGACTGGTCTGGAACTTGCGTTGATCTTTCTCCCTCACCTCCCGAGTGCAAGTGCTGTGATTACAGGAAGCTGACGCCTCTACGGAGTTCATAGTATTGTTTCTCTATCGCTGCGCTAGGCAGAAAGGATTGGGACTCGGGCTCGTTCTCTGCCGCACCCCACCCCTCAAGGGTCTGCACACAATGTCCATCGTGGCTCTATGCAGGCTCCTTGTAGGAAACGCTGAAACAAAGCTGCCCGCCGGGAAAACAGATGGGCACACCCTACAAGAATAGCCGTCGTGGAATGTGCTCGCTGACCTGGAAAGCTTGGAGTTGGCGCGACAAGAGGGTGGGGCGGGCTGGCCGACCCGCAGGAGCAGAGCTTCTCAGGCTGTTCCCGTTTGCTCTAGGCAGTAGGCGGGTTTAGGACTGCACCACCTGCTCGGGCGGGGGTGCATGTTGGGTCGGCACAATGGCGAAGAGTTAGCAGAAATTCTTCCGAAACATTGGTCTCCCTGGGCAGAAGTCCTGCATTTTCCAGTGTTTTCAAGGTGTAAAGTAGGTTTCTCAACTCCGGCCTTGGATTCCTCCCCGCCGTGGTCGCGGTGGTTTGCGCCAACGGGCGGGGCCTAGGGCCCCGGAAACCAGTCCGAGCACTTCCGGGTTGGGGAGCGCGAGGCAAGGCGACTGTGGCGGCCGCGGTGGGGGCCGTAGGGCCTTGTCGCAGTGTCGCTCGGGCGGCGGCTGGAGCACCCGACGCTTCCAGGGGGCAAGAAGTTCCCGGGTACGTAGGGGGCACGGGTCCCCAACGCTGCGGTCTTCGAACTGCCTGTGGGCTCCTCGCGCTTTGTCTGGCTGTATGGCGGGTGCGGCCTCCGCTGCGCGAAAACCGAGGCGGGCCTCGAGCCTCGTTTCTCGTCCCAGCTCCTGGTCCCCGCTTCTGGCCGCTACCCCTGCAGACACCGGAGCTGGGGGAGCGGCGCAGCTTTCCTGTCTCGAGCGTGGCATCCGCGCGGCGCTCGGAACGGAGGGCGCGTCAGTGTCCCGGACGACATCGGCGCCAGAGAAGTCGAGAAGCTCTCCTGGGCCGCCGGGCGGCTGGAGTGGGAAATCCTCCCCCGTCCTCTGTTGTCCTCTCCAGGGAGGCCGTGCCATAGCGTCACTATGAAATCTGCGTTTTTGCAGCACAGAACACTCAACTGTCCGGTGAACCACGATGTGGCTAGGCCAGGTTTCATGCCGAGGCGGACCCCGCTGTGTGACGACTAAACACCCACACCTTTCAGTGCCCCGCTTTTCCCAGTGGAGAAGGTGTAGCTTTCTCAGCAGCACTGTGCCTTGGTGTCAGGACCAGGAGAGTAGGGACGTTGGTGAACCATGGTGTTGACTTCATGTCTTTTACAATTGTGAGGTCTAACGATCTTGTGGGGCAGGGGAAGAATGGAGAAGCTGAACTCTGTTGCAGGCTTGTTCTGTGCTTTGAGGGCTACCCATGCTCTCTGATCTCACATTCAGCTGCTACACCCCTGCGGCTCTTGAGTTTCCTTGCAAGAGCATTGATTGCCCTGAATTTGTTGGGATGTTTGTTTCGTTTTTTTTTTTTTTTTTTTTTTTTGCTTTTTAAGACAGGATCTTTTTTTTTTTTTTTTTGTCTTTTTCCTTTTTATCGGTACGGGGGATCGAACTCACGACTCCCTGCTTGCAAGGCAGGCGCTTATGCCACTGAGCTAAATCCCCAGCCCCTTTAAGACAGGATCTTATCATGTAGTTCACACTGGCCCTGAATTCTCTACGTGGCCCACACCGGCCTCAAACACAGCAACCCTCCTAGTTCAGTCTCCTGAATGTTGGGATTGCAGGTGTACACTATGCTTAACTTCCCCAGAATTTGAAGAGTCACATAGTGTTTCTGGTTTTCTTTCTTTTCCTTAATTTCTGAAAATCTGGAGGCTGAGCAGGTGAGCTGTGACCACCTACCCCCTCACACCCCCACCTCACCTCTGGTTTACACTGCCCAAAGCAGCCAGCAGCAGGAAGGGCAGGGTGCTGCTGCAAGAATGGCGGCCTGGCTGGGATATGCCCAAGCTGTGGCTACTGTTGGGACCAGGAAGTTCTAGACTGAGGGTCCTGGGGAGTTAAAGGAGGCAGGGACTGCCAGGTTGTGGTCTCATTTCTGCTGCTGCCCTGAAAGTACCTCTGGCAATTGGCTAGTTTCTTGCTCCTCTCTGGCCAGTTGCTGCTGTGGTTGTGTTGTGTGATGTTTCTGGGAGGGAAGTGGTTCAGTCTAGCTGTCGTTTTTGTGGGGCCTTTACCTGCAGTGTACAGGTAGACAGGGTCCTTGGGATTTAACCCAGGGGCAAACCTCAGCTGACATCTGCACTGAGTGCATTCCCTCCATGATCCTCCTTGGCATCTTCTGAAAGTGGCCCTCTATCACAGTTCATCTGTCAAGCCAGGGGAGAAGCCATATTTTGTATGTGAAATATATCCTCATGGTTAGGATTTGTTCTTGGGTATCAGACCCCAAAACAGTTTTGCTGTTATCCACTAGTGTATCCACTAGCAGTTATGTTTTTTTGGTTCTTGGTGGATTCCTGTGTATCTGCAGATTGCCCCTCCTTGTGCTGCACAAGTCACTAAAGGGTAGGCCCTGGGAAACAGAAACCCCCTAATGACATTGTGGTCAGTTTTGGAGTGGGTCACAGTTCTGGCTAGAGAGTACAGCTTCTTTTATCAGAGATGTGGCTATGTCGGGGACTCATTTCATCTCTGTGTGCCCAACAAGAAAGATGTACCTTTCTGGATGGGCCATGGCACTATCTCCGTACTTCATGCCAGAGCTCATGTTTCTCAGCAGGGGTCTGTGGCTGGGACTCATTCCTAAGTGTGTTCAATAAGCAGCCAAGTATAAGCTCTTCACTGAGGGAATTCATGACATTATTATAATCTTAGAGCAGCAGACAGAGGAAAAGTTAGTGATAGGGCAAAAGTACTTCTCGGTTTATTATTTCTGGGTAGTAGCAGTGTCCTGCCTTTGGCAGTTTTCTCAAGTTAAGGTACCCTCAGTATTCAGAAGACATCAGCCAGAATCTGGGGGATCTGAAGTGCCTTGTCCCCTGGGGTGAGGCCATCCTGTCTTCAAGTTGGCCCTGCCCCTGTCAGAGAAGGGTAGTTTTGGGAGGTTGCCTAAACAGATTCCTGGATGAGTTCCTCCAAAGAGGTGCTTCCCCCACAGGCTATCTGAAAAGGAGGTGGCAGCACCAAGTCTATGGCCCTTGTGTAGATGAATCGGGGTCAGATGGAACAGCATTTTGAGGCCACTGATGCAGATGGTCCATGTTGTCCTTAGAGTGGCCCACAGAGAGGCTCAGTAGGGTTCCCTGTGAACAAGCCAAGAGAAGCCAGCCCTTCTGTCCTCCAGCGTGGGCATCATGGGGCTCTGCAGGCATGTGATGGACGGCCCTCAGCTGGGCCTCACACGCTTTTGAGTGGTCAACTTCACCAAGAGTGACATGCCCAGGGGCAGGTTAGGCTCTTTAGTCTTAAGTTGAGAAACACTTCTCTGCCTCAGCAAAGGATGAATTCTTTTGGTTTTGAGACAAGATCTCACTATATAGTTCAAACTGATCTTTATTTTATTTTACTTTTGGGGGGGGGGACCAGGAATCGATCACATTTGTCATCAAACTGATCTTGAACTCACTATATAGTCCAGCCTGGCTTCAAACTCATTGCAATTCTCCTGCCTCAGCTCCCAAGTTTTAGGATGACAGGTGTGTACCACCATGCTGTCAGGATGAGTTTTTTTGTTTTTTTGGTTTTTTGTCTTTGAGATAGGGTCTTACTATGTAGCTCATCCTGGCCTTGGGCTCACTTTGTAGCCCAGGCTGATCTCAAACTCATAACAATCCTCCTGCCTCAGCCTCCCAAGTGCTGGAATTACAGGAGTGTGCCACCATACCCAGCAGGCTGGGTTCTTTTTGTTTGTTTCTGCAGTGTATTCCTCAGAAGCCTTGCACAAAAGCATCACTAGTTGTCAGGAGCTGGAGTCTGACTTTTTGTGTGGATGTCTTCTCCTCTAATGACTGGCATTTCACTGTGTATGTTGTCTCATAGCTTGAACCCTCCTGTGCAGAACTGTTCGAGGCATCAAAGAGGTGATGTGGGACTGATTATTCTTTCAGGGGGTTTGCAGTTTTGTGCTGTTTTGGAATTACCTGGCTCTGTTCTCTTTCAGGGCTGAATTCTAATGTGCAGCAATGGATAATGACAACCTCGATGAGTTTGTGGCCCAAAGCCCAGGGCCAGATGGATGTTCCCGAGTTGTTCCTGCAGACCTGGCCAGCAGTTCTGGTGAGCTACCCAGTGCTGGGAGAGGCCCCTGGAGGAGCAAGATCACCTTGTGTTTTCTGCAGACCATTGGCCACCCTTGAGAGATAGTCTACATGTCAATTTTCAGTTTTCAGTGTTTTTAAAAATTTGTTCTTTGGTTTTATTTATTTAATCTTTTTGAAACAGGGTCTTGTTATGCGATTCAGGCTGGCCTTGAGCACACTTTGTAGCCCAGGCTGGTCTCAAGCTTGCAACGATCCTCCTACCTCAGCCTCCCGAGTGCTGAGATTATAGGAGTGTGCCACCACATCCGACTGCTTTTTAGTTTTAACTTATAGAAGTATAGTGGATTCATTCCTTTTGTCTTTTTGTTTATTTTTATTTGAAATGAGGTCTTGCTGTGTTGTCTCTACTGGCCTTACAATCCCGAATTCAAGCAATCTTGCCCTCTCTGTCTCCCAGGAAGCCGAGTCCCTAGGTACCTGCCACTCTGCATAGCTTTTTGTCACTATTTTTAGTGCTGATGACACAAATGCAGATTTAAAGCCACCCCCTTTTCCCTTTAGCCCCTCTCCACCCTGGGGAGTGGGTAACCCCCAGCAGGAGCCTTAGCTGTGATACTATTCCTGAGGCCTATGCGTTTATCACTGGTGGTTTAGAAGAGAGCAGCGATGGTCAAAGTGGAGACTCTGAGGAAGACACAGGCAGTGAGCATGGAGAGGAGACAGAGGAAGAGGACGAGGAGAGGTCATCTGAGGAGGAAGACCCAGAAGTCAGATCTGGTAAGGTTTCTGGACTAGCGTGTGGCTGTGTTGGTTGTTCACAGCTGCCTGACTATGATGTGAGGAGAGCTCTCTGCATGCTGGCCATGTCCTGGCTGCTGTCTTCTATCATGACTATGCTAAAACAGTGACTCATTTGATATAGTTCCATAGGTCTCTCTGCCAGTAGGAGTAGAAAAATGGTGTTCCTGGAGAAAGTGACCAGCTTTAAATTTCTGGTGTGATAAAGAGAGGTCTCTGCCAATCCCTAACCTGTCCCTGTGGCACCCAGGTGCTGTCCTCTTCAGGTGCTGGGCAGGCAGTCTGCCAATGATTGTGTAGCCAGGGATAGCTGGCCAGGTCACAGAGCACATTGGCAGGCCCATCTGTGGCTTGGTCTCTGCTTGCTCTAGAACTGAGAGAATGGCAAGCACTGTTTGGCTTTATTAGGAAACTCCCAGCTTTTACTCTGGTTGAGGTTTGTGCCTATAAACTCCTAGGGAGGAGTGCTTCTCTTGCTCACTGGGGTGCTTTCTCTCTATTCATGGCCATCCTAAGCTGCAAGGTCCTCAGGCAGTTTCCCCTGACCTGGCCCTACAGCAGCTACCTTCCTGTCTAGGTCAGCTTCCACTAACATCCTCTGATGTGGTCCTTGGGCCAGGAAATTGTGCTCCAGAACACATCCTGTGGCCTGTGGATGTCACTGTTAGAGTGTCCCAGACTGTGCTCATAGAGCACATACCATGAACTGGTATGAGCTGACAGCCACTGCTACTTGTAAGGTTTAGATTTGAGTCTGTCCTGGGTTCAGGGTCACTGATGGGGCTCCTTGCTTGTCCCAGCATTGTCCTGTTGTGCAGGTCTTGGCACGTGTGCTGGTGTTGCCAGGGCTAAGGTCAAAGGTGAGGGGTGCTGTCAGATCACTCCCTCTGTCCATTCTCAGGTTTTGAGGCCTGTTGGATGCCAACTCTGAGGGCTGGAGTCAAGGTGGGGCCCACTCAGCCAGGATCCTCCTGTCTTAGAGCTCGTTTATTGTGGAATAGTAGTCAGGATACATGATGAGATGTCAGGGGCCTCAGGCATCAGCAGGGAAGGGCTCAGGGCTCCAGGCTCTGGAGGTAAGGGGAAACTTCCAGAAAAAGGGATATTTAGGCCTAAAGAACCGGTGATGACCAGTGTCAGGGTTGCATGTTCTTGAGGGACAGGTGGCACAGAGTCTCAGCCATGTGCAAGAAAAAGAGAGTGGAAAAGCACTGGGAGGTCTCTGCGTTGCACTTGGTTCCTTCAGTGTCAGTGCCTTGGCAGCTAGTTGGGACATAGCCAGCATAGGAGAGGAGTTTCTCTGCTGCCCTGGTGTTTCCTCCCAGAAGCCATGTGCTTTGCTGTGTTCCCAGCTTGAGTAGGTTTCTCAGCTGTCTTCCTGAGCACTCTCACTTTTCCCACCATGTCTCCATCCCTGGGCAGCAGGAGGTACTACCCTGTGTTGTGCTTTGTGCCCAGAACTGTGCTCTTTCAGAGTGGTCACTGTGCATGACCTGCTCTTTGAGGGGATTTTTGTCCTTGGCTGCTGCAGGCTGCTGTACTGGGGTCAGACCAAGTCCTGCCTCCCTAGGGTTGGGCCTCACTTGTCCAGGTGGTACAGGGGTCCTGCTTAGACCTTGTCTTCACCTGTCACTTCTTCTGTGCTCAGGGTCCTTTGTCCTTCCAGGTACTGAACAGGTTTCTCTGCCTATGGCACTGCATGGAGTGGAAGTGAACTGGGGTGCTGGTCTGCCTTCCAGTTGCCATGGGAAGAGTCAGGTCACTGGTGTCTTCTGTGCTTTGCAGGCCCTTTCTTTTTTTTTTTTTTTCCTACCCCTCACCACCTGCATGCCCTTTCTTAGCCAACAGGAAAATGCAGTGAGTTGCCATTTGGCTACCTCCCTGGCATGTCCAGGGCTTTGTGGATTCGTCTTACGAATTTTACCTTGCTGTGTAACAAGTCACCCCAAACCTAATAGTGTGAAACACCACATTTACCACTCTGGTGTTTCAGGAATGGAGCCTAAGGACAGGTCAGCTGTGTCTTGCTCAGCTCTCTCCAGGTGGCTCCAAGGTGTTGGTTGTACTTCTTTTGAGCCAAATCCTCATCTGGAGTTCTACCTGTTCAGAGTCCTTAGCTGAAGGACTGGAGCCCCTGTTTTCCAGCCAGCATTGGTAGGGCCGCCCTCTGCTGTAGTTGGCTGTCTGTCCTGGCAGGGCGTGTCTTTCTGATTTCTTTCCCTGTATGCTGCTGAGAAAAAAAATCCCCTCTGATGCTACTTTGAAAAAAATCACCTGGTGGGATTGGGTGGCAGGGATAACTCATTGCCCTTTATAGGTAGCAGCAGGCCTTGGAGAAGGTCATCCAGCACTACCACTGCATCTCCCACAGCGTGGAGTCCAGGAAAATCCTGCTTCCTTGGTCCACAAGATTAGGTCCTTTATATCTGTGTTCAGTGTGCAGGAGTAACGGATGATGAATGCGTGTGCTAAGGCTATGTCCACTGAAAAAATCTCACTCTTCTGCTGGCCAGGCCCCAGCCAAACTGTTCAGAAATTGCCCATATCACCATAATATGTTTTTTTTTTTTTTTTTTTTAAGATGACCTGAAAATAGAAGGGAGGTTATTATTAAATAAGAATATATGTAGGGAGAGATAAGGGGGTAGAAGGATGGATGGATCAAAACATGCTGTAGGCATGTATGAAAATCCCAATATTTATAAAATTAAGAAGTAGTAATAAACATGTATTAAAAAAGAAATTAACCATATGTGTTGTAGCTGGTAGCCCCATTAGGAATTGTATCCCACAGGGGAAAGGATGCCCAAGAAGGAGGTGTCATCCGTAGCAGATGAGTGGTTGTCATAAAGAAGTGTTAGAGGTCCCTGTGGCTGTGCAGGGGCTGCCGTCCTGAGGGGCACACTCCAAGGATAACAGTGCTGGGCCCTGGGGTCTCCTTACCCCAGAGGCTGCTATTGAGGAGGCTTCAGCTAAGGGCAGAGCCCTCAGGACATGGCCTTATTGGTGGCCTGTGAAGTAGGTCCTGCAAGGAGTTGAGATTGAAAAGAGGCCTGCTCATGGCTAGTGCTCCTTTTCACACAGCCAATCCTGTCTTGCACTAAGGCTGTACCACTTTCTCCAGGTTCTGAAGATTCTGAAGATGAAGTAGAAACTTCAGAGGCAGCTGAGGATTCTCAGGGGAAGCTGGAAGCCAATGGTACACTCAATTCTGATGAAGATGCAGAGAGTTGCCCGATTTGTCTCAATGTGTTCAGAGACCAGGCTGTGGGCACACCAGAGACCTGTGCCCACTACTTCTGCCTGGACTGCATCGTCGAGTGGTCCAGGGTGAGTTGGCCTGTTCCCAGTCACTGGAATCTGGCTTTTTGCCCCAGAAACCAAGACAGGGTTGACGTCTGACACTGCATTAGTGAGGTTCCCTGGGGTGACGAGACTGGACAAGGGACACCTGAATGACAGGGGAGTGTCACAAGGTTATGTGTGCTGCATCTGAGGGCAGGAGCTGTCTGACACCACACCCTTATAGACACTTAGGACTGTAGGTGCAGCTCAGCTAGCAACAAAGAGACAAACATGGGCATTGTAGACTCACAGAGAGCCTTTGGAAGACTGGCTTCTCTCACACGTGAAACTCCTGTGAAAGCTTTCTAACAATTAGAGTAATGCATGGAAGTTAGTGAGGACTCTACCTTCCCACTCTCATGTCACCTCTCTTAAGTGCAGCACAATCTGGAACAAGATCTTCCCCAGCAGGGTCAGCAGCCATGCCTCTGACATGATCCTCCTCTGATCCGTGTCTGCAGGTAGCTCAGGAATGTCTGTGGAGTTTGTTTGAAGCAGAATATAGACTTTGTTCATGGCTCCATGTCATCACATATGTCAAATGTGGCTCACTAGCTGTCATTTGAGTATCTCTATCTCTGGACTGCCTGTCCTGTTCATGGTGGGCCAGCCCTGATTAGATCCATCTTCATTTAAATTGAAGAATGAGAAGTCATGTTTTGGTCTGGGGATGTAGCTCAGTGGCACAGGCACCTTCCTGGCAAGCGTGAGTTTGTGAGTTTAGTACCAAAAAAAAAAAAAAAAAGAAAAGAAAAGAAAAAATTGTGTTTTGCCAGGCATGGTGGTAAAAGCCTGTAATCCTAGTATGAGGGAAACTGAGGGAGGAGGATTGCTGCAAGTTTGAGGCCAGCTTGAGCTACATAGTAAGTTCAAGTCTACCTTGAGCTGCATGATGAGATCCTGTTACCAAAAAAAAAATGGCATACTGGCCAGCCTATGCCACGAGTCCCAGTTTCCTTTTGTAGTTTGGACTTCTCTAGTTCCTGAGGGTGGGGATTGTCCCTTTTTGGGCACCAAATACAGGAGCCAGCCTGCAAGCTTGTATCTGACTGAGGGACAAGGATGAAAAAGAGACAGACTAAGGTTAAAATGTCTCCGTTGACAAAGAGCCCCGGGTGACAGGCATACCCTACTTTTATTTACCAGACATGGGTACAAGCAATTAGAGTAACACACAGTTCATCTGCCTCAGCCCAGCCATGGTACATGTCCAGGTAAACAACAAGGTCTCCACTGTGCTAACTTTTTCCTAGAACCTGCAAGCGTGGCACGCTTATACCTTGCTTTCCCCTTAGTGCTCATGGAGGTGACTGATTAGGTTTTAATCTTACTATCTGGTCTTCTATATTTCCTATTTGATAAGTATTAGATAATAGGAGAAAAAAGATATAAGGATTAGGTAGGAGAAGGCATTTCCAGGTAATGTTAGTCAGTAAAAGAAAGTATTGAACTGCTCTTAACAAAATTGCTGAGCACAAGATATAGTAAAGATTAAAAATTGGACTTAAATCATAGAAAGACGCATAGAACATTTAAAGAAGTTTTCTGCAACAGTTACATACTGAGATGTGCAAAGGCCCTTGGCTGGAAGGGAAGCATACACTAATAATGGCTCTCTGTGGGGGCTGCCTCACAGCACTTGACAGACTGGAATTCTGGTAGGAGTGTGAAAAAACAAGGGCTTCAGAACAGGGAAAAGTTGCTTTTTGGGTCCTGAGATCTATAGAACTATAGCAACCCAACTGGAATTGGTTCAGAATGGGAGCCAGACCTGGGGAGTGCATAGGGTTTCTGCAGGAGACTGGGACATGTTGGGCACGTGCCCCTGTGCTGGGCGGCTCTGCTGCCATGGAGGGTGGGGCTGACAACCAGGGCACTGGGCTTGCACCACGCACACACCTGAGGAATGTAGACTGGAGTAAAAGGGAGGCTCTGGCACTCCTAGAGGGTAGGGGGGTTCCTGAAAAGGTCAGCAGTTAGAGGTGAGTATAAGGGGCTTAACAGCATGGTCATGGGCAAACTGGCCTGCTAGTAGACACTGCAGCACACCCACTCCAGTGGCTGAGAAGACAAGGTAGAGCTCCAGACTCAGACTTGTAGGGAGCACAGCAGGACAACATCCAGGTTCATCTGCTCCTGGCATTTACCACATCGAAAGATGCTCCCATTTATGTGGGCCCTGGGTCTGGACCACCTGTTCAGTGCTTGCTGTGACTCCATCTGTCAGAAACTTGGGACATAGAAACTTGGGACAAGAATGGGAAGGGAGATCAGGGTGCCAGCTCAGTGGTGTGAATGTGCATCAGAACCACTAGGATGTACAGCTAAGTATAAGCGTGCTGTTTTGCATATGTCTTGAGTAAAAGCTATGAGAAGAGAAAAATATTTGTTAGCAAGGGTCTGATCAGCATCCATGCTGTGAAAACAAATATCAAAGACCCCCCAAATAGCACTGTATCTTGGGAAAGCTGAAGTTTTTTTGTTTTTGTTTTTTGGGGGGGTTTTTTGTAGTTCTTTTGAGACAGATTCTTGCTACGCAATTCTGGCTGACCTTGAACTCATTGTGTACTCAGACTGGACTCAAATATATAGTGATTCTCCTACCTCAGCCTCCTGAGTGCTGGGATTACAAGCATGCACCACCACACCTGACATATAGCCAAGGTTCATAGGGATAAGCACAAACTGTCCCAGCTAAAATGCCAGCCCTATCCCTTTCTGCTCCTTCCCTGCCTACATCCCATGTACAAAGTTCTAATTGTGAATGGACCTGCACACAGCCTGCCTTACTCTCTTCCTTGGTTACTGCCACAGCCCATGGGGCAGTGTTTGTGTTTCTGTCACTGCTTTGTCCTTAGCATGTAACACCGGGCTAGGCACAGAGACACTTAGTGGTGTAAAAGGAACTTTTGATATCTAAGTGAATTTTTTATTTTGAAGAAGTTACTGTTAGTGAAAGTGTTCTCTCTAATTTTTCTGACACAGGATCTTGATATAATTTTGTTTCTTACAGAATGCAAATTCCTGTCCCGTTGATCGAATAATATTTAAATGTATTTGTATTCGAGCTCAGTTTGGTGGTAAAATCTTAAAAAAGGTAAGTGTAGATGCTGCTCCCTTGTGTCCTTGTTTATGGCAAGAGTGTGCTTTTGCAAGTTGATTTGCTCTTCCTGAAATGAGTGGGTGGTGATTGGGTGCTTTTGGAAATGGATTCGTGCCCTTTGTGCCTGTGAGTCTGGAGCTGAGGCTGGAACTGCTTGTCTGGGCTGTGGGCTTGAGTGGGAACAGTAGCCAGGATGTTGGGGCTTCCTGAGCCTCCACTGCCATACTCTCAAGGACATGTTGACAGCGCCAACTAGCACTTCTGGTACCTGGGCTCTCTGCAGTAGACCTCTGAAACTAGTGCTGTTGGAGATGATGTAGAATCCAGTGGACCCAGGTATAGGACTGTCTCCACTAGGAGCAAAGCCTGTTTGCAAGCTGCACTGCACGGCTAAGGGAATAAAGGCTGCTCTGAGAGCCTGGTGGGGAGATGGGCATGGCATGGGTCCCCTCTTGAGAGCAGATGGGTCATAGACCTTGCACACTCTGTCAACTGAAGAGGGTGTGCTCTACATGCTCGGCTATCAGCTCTTGATGGAATTACACACCAGTACATCATTTTGAATATTTGCCTAGTTGTTATTTGTTGCTGAGCTGTGTGTGCAGTGCTAGGGGTAGAGCCCAGGGCCTTCTGCAGGGTAGGTGGATGTCCACTGCTGCACTGTGCTCCTGCCCAGCCTCTGAGCTCTGATGTATGCTGCTTAACTCTGCCCCTGTTCTCCACTCTATGCCTGTCTCCCTCCACATCTCTTCATCTCTCTGTTCAGCTTGCTCTCTGTTTACCTGTACAGGGCTGGGGAGAATGTAAAGGATTGTGTGCATATCCTGTTAGGATTCCACCCCGTGCAGCCTGGGTGGATTGTAGGCCAGTAAATGGTTCTGGGTTAGCTGTACACTGCTACTAGCTAGTCCCTGGGGTTCGAGCGTGTGTCTGGAGTGTGACCAGCAGTTCCATCTTCAGATGCCAGTAGAGAACACCAGAGCCTGTGAGGAGGAAGAGGAGGAAGACCCTACCTTCTGTGAGGTGTGTGGCAGGAGTGACCGTGAGGACCGGCTCCTACTCTGCGATGGCTGTGATGCTGGGTAAGGTTGGTGTGGCCTGTCCAAGGGGCATAGGATGGGGCTGCCAGGGTTCCCCCAGTCTGGCTTGGCTTTTTGTGTTGGGCACTGAGCTTGCCTGTCTCAATAGCTGTATTGAGACCTGTAGATAGTAGTCACCACAGGATGTCTGTGCTCCTGCTGTCTCTATCGCTACCTTTTCCCAAAACTGCTCTGAGGCTGTTCACATAGATGACAACAAGATGGGCTATGGCCCTCCTGCAAGAGAGGCCCAGCAGGGGCTGGAGATTTAGCTCAGCGGCATAAGTGCCTGCCCTGCAAGTAGTTCGATCCCTGGTACCGATAAAAAGAAAAAGACCAAAAAAAAAAAGAGAGAGAGAGAGGCCCTACAGGAAGGGTTCCATGGCCGCACTGTCCTGGCCACCTCCGTCCCTTAGGTTTCTGACCCCTACATGATCCCAGGCTGCTTCCAGATGCTCTGCATGGAGCTAGGACTCAGGGGGGTCAGGCTCCTGCTCTGTGCTAGCAGGACTGTGGCCCAGGGCCTGCCGGTGTCCCTGTTGGTCTTTGGGGTTTCACTAGATTTCCTGCCTCCTGCTGCAGCTTGGAGCATTGATTTGAAAAGTTTTTCTGTGTGGCAGTATGGTGAGAGGGTAATGGGGCTGTGCCCAGAGGGTATTGAAGGTATGTGGAGGCCACAGGTCTGGGGTGCTCTTGGGCTGAGCTGGGACTCTCAGGGAGCTCCCCAGCGTTGTACACACACACACACACGCACGCACGCACGCACGCACGCACGCACGCACCACTCTTTGCTCTTGGGCCGAGCTGGGACTCTCAGGGAGCTCCCCAGCGTTGTACACACACACACACACACACACACACACACACACACACACACGCACGCACGCACCACTCTTCATACTTCCCTACACTTGTCTACTCTTGTTCCACTTGCGTACCCAGCCATGTGTACAGAGTTGCCTAGCCTCCCACTGGGTGGGGTTCACTGTACAATGCTTACTCATCTCTGTGGGCCTCCTGGGGCTGTGGGCACTAGGCCTCTGCAGCGTCCCCCCACCCTACACCATCTTGTCTCTCCCTGCTCACTGGGCTTAGCTGGAAGCCACATGTGGTCGCAGTTTGTTGGATGCCTCAAGCCATAGATGTTTACCTCTTCAGGATTCCTATGTGTGTTCACTGTAGATTGCTCGTTTTGCTATGTAGGGTTGTTTTGTTTTGTTTTGTTTTGTTTTGTTTTGTTTCATTATATGAGGTTGCCTCAGAGTGGATCTTCCTGCCTCAGCCTTTCGGGTTGCTGGCATTACAGGCACACCCAACCACACCCATCCTTTTTTTATTTTGAGAAGGGGTCTTGCTGTGTCACCCAGGCTGCCTTGAACTCCTGGGTTCAAATAATCCTGCCTCAGCTTCAAGACCAACAGTGACCACAGGCCACTGCAGCTGGCTCTGGCATGTACTGATTTTGTTGATGAGTGTTTGGAAGGAACAAGTACTATCTAAGAGGTCCTCAGAAACTTAGTCTAGGGCACACATTGGTACACCATTTAGTGACTTGATTGCTGATTGCTGGTGTGAGTATTAAGTAGAAAGCTCAAAAAGCAAATTAGCAGAGATGGAGGCTGTGGTAGGGGCTTAGCGCTCAGAGCTCTGTTCACACCTGAGATAACTCTTCCTGCTATTGTGGCTCCCCAAGTCGTTTACTTATTTAATCTAGTAACCTCTCCGTCTCTGTCATCTTTGTCTTCATCTTCATCTTCGTCTCCTTCATCTCTCCTCCTCTATCTTCTTCTTTTCCTTCTCCTCGACCTTTTTCCTTTTCTTCCTCTTCCTCTTCCTTCCCCTCCTCTTCTCCCGCTCCCTCCTCCTTTCTGCTGCTTCTGTTGCTGCTTCTTTGATGTGTGATAGTGAGTACTGAGCTCCAGAAGCACTGTGTTATATCTCTACACATTTTTATGTAAGATAAGGTCTCAGAATTGCCCAGGCTGAACAGTGTTTGATCCTTCTGCCCAGGTCTCCTGAGCAACTGGGATCACAGGTGTGTACTACATGCCAGCTCCAGTAAACTTCTAGAATTGTCTCTAGAGAGTTTTACAACTTTATTAAAACTTTGTATTATAAGGTTCATTTGTAAATTGTGTTTTTTCAATTGAATTGATTTTATGTACTCCAGTTATTCAGTAATAAAAGAACTCAAGTGCATAAAATTCCTGATGGATCTAAAACATTCAAACTAATTACCAGACATGGTGGCACACACCTATAATCCCAGCATTCTGGAAGCAGAGGCATAAGAATCACTATGAGTTTAAAGCCAGCCTGGGCTACAAAGTGAGTTCTAGGCTAGCCTGAACTATGCAGTGAGACGTTGTCTCAAAAAAAAAGGAAAAAAAAAAATTAACACAGTATTCTTACATTTGTACTTAATGGCATACTGTAATCATTTGCAGTTAGCTAAATTTTCTTATAATTAAGACTTTCAATTCAGAAGACTAAAATTTGTCCACTGTTCAAGCAGAGTCGGAAAACTAAGATGCCCTGATGTCTCATGAAATAAAGTGCAGATGGTCTCTGGTTTGTAAGATTGCAGCCCAAGTTAAAAGTGTGTGAGCTGGACATAGTGGCACATGCCTGTAATCTCAACACTTTGGAGCCTGAGGCAGAAGGATCATTGTTAGTTTGAGATGAGCACAGGCTACATAATGAGTTCTGGGCCAGCCTTGAACTACATAGTGAGACCTTGTCTCAAAAAACAGAAAAAGAAAAAAAAATTTTTTTTAAAGCATGTGTTTCAGACTGGCTTTGTAAAAGGGTCCACCAGCCCTGGCTCTGGATACTGTCACCCTGGGGAAAGACTTTCACGTGGGAAATTTAGGGTTCTGACTCCAGATGTAGGAATCCTCCCCTCAGGTCTGGTCCTGTAGTCCACAGCAAGTCTGCTGTGCCTACAAGGTGTTGGCAGACCCTCAAGTGAGGGTTCAGTTGTCACCTACACTGAATGAGCAGCTGGCTGTCCGCCACTCCCACATTCCCTCTAGGGAATTCAGTTACTTTGCTGGAGTAGCAGCCAGAACTGAGGGAAACATCTATGTTTACCACAAGGAGAGGCTATGGGAGGCATTGGGAGGATGGGTGCCTCTGTGCCCGGTCTGGATACTACTCCTCCAACCCCTACACACTCACTCAGCTATCCAGAAACCCCAAGTCCCTTGCATAGGCTGGATTAATTGAGGCACAGGAAGCATGTAGAAATGAGGCTGGACAGAAGGGACATCCCAGTGGCAACAGAGTCCGAAGTGTCCTACAAGGCCCAGCGGAGAAGGTCAGAGCCTTTGGGGACGGAGTTCTGCACTGGCATCTGTGGATGGCAACCAAAGCATGTACCCCTCGTGTCCTAGGTGGCACAGTTAGTCCCTCACAGGCACGGTGCAGACCCATGCACGCATAGATGCTGTCTCTCACTTGTCTACTTTCGAGGCTGTGGGCTGGGGCTGGTACAGACACCATACCCTCTTTATTGCAGGTACCACATGGAGTGTTTGGATCCCCCGCTCCAGGAGGTGCCTGTGGATGAGTGGTTCTGTCCAGAATGTGCTACACCAGGCACTGGCCCTGCCACTGGTAATGCCCATCTGTCTCGTCCCGCAGGTGGGGTCCTGGAGGAGGCTAAGAGGCAGGGCCTGGGGTGGGGGGCCCTCTGGGGCTCATTTATGCTCTCATATGGGAGCTGGGGAGACTCAGCATTGCTGAGCTGTGGTGGGGTCATGGATCTTGGGGCACTAATCTGTAAGGCCTGGAGAAGCAGTTCTGGGGCAAAGCCCATATCATGTCACCTGGCCTGGTGTGCCTGGCGGCCGCAGGGTAAACCATAATATGTGTATCTCTTTGTAAGATGTGGCTCCTGTGAGTGAGGAGGAGGTCTCCCTGCTCCTGGCCGATGCAGTGCCCACCACCAGCAGGCTGCGGCCCCACACAGGCCGGATCCGGGCCATCGCCAGAACAAGGCAAAGTGAGAGAGTCAGGGCAACAGTGAACCGGAACCGGATCTCCACAGCCCAGAGGGTCCAGGTGGGTGGCATTACTTGGATTGGTCTCCAGTCTAGAGCTGAATAGAAGGGTACAGTGAGCATGTCATGGTATAAGACCTGTGTGTAGCCAGCCCTGGAGGGACTGGGACCTTACTGTGGGCCAGCATAGCTTCAGAATAACTGGAGCCCTAGTCAAGGTATGTGGGAGACGGGTTGACTTTGGGGGTCCCCACCCTGCATATATATATATATATACCACCCACATACTTCCACCCTTGGGTGGAAGTATGGCCCACACTGGTGCTTCGTTGCAAGTGTGCTAAGTATCCCTCTGCATTTGCACTCCTGGGCCTCTGTGTTGGCTGCTGTCTGTTGGCTCTACTGGGTAGGGTGGCTGCACCTTTTTAGGGGAGGTGTCTGTCTGTGTCTACACAGTGCAAGAGCAGCTGAGTTGCATGTGGGTTGGGAAGACAGGCCCTGCCCCACAGCCTTGCCCCATTGGTGCCTGTACAACACCCTGCTTGTTGAGAGCCACTCTGGCTCCTTTCTGCTTCCCTGGTGTCTGCCAGGTATGGGTAGCTGTCAAGTTGATTCTCCTCTGCTGTCCACTCACTTCCTCAGTTCTACCTGGCTCCCATTGGTCTCCTTCCTGCCCCTAGGCTGAGGTCCACCCACCAACTCAGTTTGCCATTCACTTCTCAGAAACCCAGTTGGAAGTCACTGTCCTCATGGCCCTGCTGGCCCTGGGCTCTGCAGAGGAGCCAAAGAGGTGGCTTCTGTTGATCTTGATGGACTCTGTTTAGGGCTCCATGCATGGTTCTGCGCAGGGTTTCTGCTATGGAAACATGGTCACCTGTTCTGCATCTGCTGACCCTTCCTGCCCCTTCCTGTGCAGCATGTGCCGAGGTACCTGATGTCCTCCCTGTTAGATGAGACAATTGAGGCAGTGGCAACTGGTCTGAGCACGGCCGTGTACCAGCGCCCCCTGGCACCTTGGATCCCCACCAGACGGAAAAGAAAGACAGGTAGGAGCAGGCACTGTACCCCTGCTGGAACTCTACCCTAGAGTTCAGAGCCATGGTCACCTCTGCTGCTTTCTGGCAGCCTAATTTTCTCAACCAAAATTATAGTTGGTCTTCATACTCATGGGTTCCCCATCTGTTGCTTCACTCAACCACAAATTGAGAACATTGGGATGAAGTTGGATCTGTGTTTAATGTAGGTAGACTTTTCTTGTCACTGTTCTCAAAGCAGCACTGTAACAGCATTTATGCAGCCTTTATGCTGTGTCACGTGTTAGAAGCACACAGAAGATGTAAGTATGATACATGCAAGGGCACTGTGTCTTTTTTTTTTTTTTTTTAATCCATACTGGGGATCGAACTCATGACCGCCTGCTATGCCCCTGAGCTAAATCCCCAGCCCAAGGGCACTGTTTCATACAAGGGCCTAGAAGACCTGGAGGTCTTAGTATCCTGAGGGGTGTCCTGGAACCCCCACCCCACAGCTAGGCAACTGATCTGGCAGAGAGGCGGACAGCCTGATGTCGTTATTGTCACTACCCATCAGTGTAGAGACTGTTGCTGACATCGCAGTGTCTGAAGGTGTCTGGTATGTTTGGAGTCACCTGTCTGGTTGGTGTATATGTTGCTAAGGAAGAGTCTAGCAGACACATGTGCCAGTCTGTGGACCCTGGGTCTGCTGATAGGCCCCTGGGTTGTTTTCTGTCGTAGCTCAGCTGTAAAGCTGTCTTGAGCAACAAGTGGGGGATTTGAGTGCCAGGTGAACATACATTTAATCGGAGAACAGACCAGGTATCTTCCAGGTCCTGCTACCATTTCCTGTGGGTATTAGCAACATATGAGTGGCCTGGTCATTCCAGGCTCCTGCCAATCCTCAGGTGCTTGGAATTTTGTTTCTGCTATTCCTGTGAACATGGGGATCAGGTAGTCTTTTTCATCCTGCTCTGCTGTTGCCACAAAGCCCAGGGGCCGTGTTTTTTTCCTCCCTTTAAAAAGGGCATGCTGGGCCAGGTGTGGTACACACGTGTAATTCCAGCAATTAGAAAGTTGAAGCATGAGGATCACCAAGTGAGTTTCAGGCCAACCTAGACCACATAGTAAGACCTTGCTTCAGAAACAATGACTTTTTAAAAAATACTCTTTTTTTGGTACTGGGGATTGAACTCACAACCTCATGCTTGCCAGACCGGTGCTTATGCCACTGAGCTAAATCCTTGGCCCTTAAAAATATTTTTGCCAGGCATCATGGCACACACCTGAAGTTCCCGATACTTTGAGAGCTGAGGCAGAAAGATCACAAGTTTGAGGTCAGTCTGCACAACTTGCAAAATCGCCCCAAAGTTCTTAAAAGGCTGGGGTGTACCCCAGCATGTCTACACACAGACACACACACAGACACAGACACACACACGGTTTGGAGTATAGCTCAGTGGTGGAGTAGTGTGGAGGCTTAAGCCTGTAATCTCAGCTACAAAAACAAAATACCATCCTTGCGCCCTCCCAGAGGCCCACTGTTCGGGGTGACCTTGCAGGACCAGTAGCCCAGCACACAGCAAAATGCATCCTCTTTTAGGGAGGCGGAAGAAAGTGCCAGGAAAAAAGAAAACCCAGGCCAGGCCATCTGTGAAAAGTAAGAGTGCGGGTACAAGATCCAAGAAACGTCAGCATCGTGTGAAGAAGAGGAAAGGAAAGATGATGAAGGTAGCACCATGGCGGAGGTCTCTGGACCTCACCAGATCCAGTGGGAGGTGGTGGAGGGGTCCCTAAGCCCTCTGGAGCAGATGTGCCCTTGGTATCAGGCCACCCCATGGTAGTCGCTGTTCAGGGTGGGCAATGCCCTGGAAAGGGTTGGGCAGTAGTGGGCTGCCCAGAGGGTCACTATATACAAGCAGCCTGGGCTTCCAGACGGGCAGCAGGTACCATGCCTGCTGGGACAGATGCCTTTGCTAGCCTTGGGAGCCCCTGTTTTGTGTGAATAGCCCTGCCAGAGGCCCTTTTCAGTTCCTCTATCCTCATTCAGAGTTTCAGTCATTCACTACACGTTTGTTGTACCTTCATGTGAACTGGTACCCAATATCTCTGTCCACTTCCTAAGCCGTATGGTTCCTACAGTGTTCATTTATATAAAGGTAGGGCCTAGTTCTGATAGAGTTGGAATGTGTGCTGAGTTTTCCCTGAGCCCAGAGTGTGGGCACTGTGGGCAAGGGCTATGGGGCAGTGCCCAGAACAATCCAGGATGTTCCTGAGCTCTCCCAGTTTCCCTGCTGTTTCTGCCTGTTTCCTGGCCTGCTCTTTCTCTGGTAGATGGAGTCTGGGACCATGTCTGAGCATGTAGGGTGTTATGATGTGGGATTGTGCTACCATGGGAAAGGTCTCCACTAGAGTACCTGGGATCTGGAGGAAGTAGTTATTTTTATTTTAGCAATTTAGGAATAATTTTAGCTGAGATATTTAGGATCCACATCTGTCTGCTCTTCTAGTTCTTGTTAACATAGACCTGTTGTTCATTGGTTGATTTTTTTTTTTTTTTTTTTTTTTTTTTTGGTTTGTTTCTGTGTGGATTTTTACTCAGAATACCACATGACAATTAATACCAACCAAGTACCTACGGAGTCTATAACGTATAGATGTCAGTGAACTATCAATACTGCTCTGGGCCCTGCTCAGTGCATGGTGTCTTTGGCCTGTGCCAGGAATATTAAACTTGGCCTGGCTAATCCACTCTCCTTTCCCTTTGCTGCTTCTGTCCAGAAGGAAGTCACAGCTCGCTCTCGCATCGCTCGGACACTGGGTCTCTGCAGGCCAGCCCAGGGCAGCTGCATGCCATCTATGTGCCGGCCAGCAGACCCCTCACTGGGGCTGATGCGGGCAGATATCGGAGCAGCTGCTCTTTCACTGTTTGGGGATCCCTACGAGCTGGACCCGTTTGACAGGTGACTGCATGGGTTGCACCTGCCAGCTCCTGTTACCCTTGTGGGCTCTGGGCAAGGGTCAGCCTTAGGTTTTGAGTTTGTAAGATAAGAGTAGTGCTTCCTGCCTCGGGTCCTTCTCAGATTCACCCAGGCAGTGCACAGAACTTAGCGGTCACTGTCCCCTTGATGTGCATCTCCTCCAGCAGTGAAGAGCTGTCTGCAGACCCCCCTTCTCCTCTGAGTGCCAAGAGGAGGGCTCTCTCGCGCTCAGCCCTGCAGTCTCACCAGCCTGTGGCCAGGCCCATCTCTGTGGGGCTCTCAAGGTGCGTGACACCAGTCTTGGGGGGCTTTGGCTGGGTCCCTGTTACGGCTCTGAAGACCTCAGGGAGCATAGCTGGTCACCCTGCCAGACTCACCACTTGGCCAAATTATTAGGTGCGACTCCTTTAACAAAACAGCAGAGTAGGTAGAGGTGCTCCCTCTGATTCCTGCTAGCAGTGGAGCCAGTGTCCAAGTGACTTTGCCCAGTATCTGGTGTTTTTCACTGCTGGGTAGGGGACACCCCACCCACCCCACCCCACCCCACCCCCCTGGGAACACAGACCAGGGCTAGGGGCAGCAATGATAGAACTGGAGGTGGCGGTGGCAGTGAGTCTGTGCCCACAGGAGGCATCTCCCTACTGCGGTCCCAGAGCCAGCCATAGAGGCAGCCCCTGTCCCTGACCTGCTGGGCAGCATCCTGTCAAGTCAGAGCCTTCTGATGATGAGCAGTGCTGACATCGTCATCCACCGAGACGGTTCCCTGAGTGCCAAGCAGGCAGGTGAGGGCCCATAAACTTGTACTGTGATCAAGGCTGCACGCGTGAGTGTGGCCAGTGGTGCAACATTGCCAGGCACTGGACACAGGGATACAGGGTTAGATGGTGCCAGCATTTCCAGGGCATCTCACAGACCCTCCTCCTATGGAGCTCACAGCCAGCATGGTCATGGGTGGGGCACATTCCAGCTCAGATAGTGGCTGAAGAGCAGAAGAGAAGAACTCAGCCAGGAAGGGGTCTAGGTCCCTTGGGGAGTGGCATTGGCAGTAGGATCCCAGCTTCATGGGCAGATGGGACAGAGCAAGTGGGTGGCTCAGCCTGTTGAGAACAATCACAAGATCACTGAGCTGCTAAAGTGGTAGGAATGGCTACTTACTGTCTGACCTGTCTTTTTCAGCTCCAGTCTCTCTTCAGAGAAAGCCAGGGGATCTGTCTAGAAGGGAAGAAGCATCCAGGCTTGGAGATAGCCTGAAGCCCAGAGTGCCAGCCTCTGGGAGCCCAGCTGGGAGAATTAGGGGAGACCATCTGCTGGACTCTGGGCTGAGCTGCAGGAGTGGGTCGACTTTGCCCCATGTGTCTGCCTTTATGGAGCCTCCCTTGAAGCAGGACTTGCCACCAGTGCCGGACTCTCAGCAGAGCCTATCAGATGGCAGCGGGTCTGGCTCGAAGCAGAGTGGTGCACTCAGGTGTAATGGCATCAACAGGCTGAGTATGCCTCCTGGGTCTGCCTCAGCTAAGAGTTCCAGTGGCCCCTCTAACTATCTACCTAAAAGGGTAGCCCTAGGACGGACCCTGAAACCAGCTCCTAGCAGAGCTGACATCTCAGAGCTGCCCAGAATACCAAAGCTCCACAGGGATTGTGGTGGCAGCAGATGGGACGCAGCCCCAGCCCATGGGCAGAGTGTCGAGATCCCTAGCACCTGCATCAGCCACCTGACAGGCAGGGAAGGCTCTGGGCAGCCTGGGCGAGGCCGGGCAGAGGGCAAGCCCAGCAGCAGGGGTCCCCAGGAGCCCAGCTCTAACACAGGCAGCTCCCAGCCCTCAGCCCCCAGCTCTCACAGCAGTTTGGTCCCACTGGGGATTTCAAGAGGGAAAAGTGTCGGATCAACCTTTGAGAGTTTTCGTATCAATATCCCGGGGAACACAGCACAGTGCAGCCGGTTGTCCAGCCCGGGCTTCTGTAACACCTTCCGGCCTGTGGACAGCAAGGTACAGAGGAAGGAGAGCCCTTCACCCTTCTTCTCCATCAAGAAGACCAAGCAGCTCAAGAGTGAGATCTATGATCCCTTTGACCCTACGGGCTCGGACTCCAGTCCCCCAAGTAGCAGCCCTGAGCACCTTGGTCCCAGTCTGCTGCCTTCTGAGATTACAAGAACCATCTCCATTCACAGCCCCAAGGCCCCTGCATTTCAGGCTGTGCGCTGTGTCACCTCTTACACAGTGAAAGGCCTCTTCAGGACAGAGCCTGAGTCCCGTGGTGAGACTGCATTCCATACGCACAAACCCCAGGGAGGGGGCGCTGCTGAGGGCACCGCTACCACAGAGAAAGCTGAGCTGGGGAAGGAGGGGCCCACAGAGAGTCAGGACCTGGGTCCCCAGGGACACAGGCCATCCACACTGGACCCCTGGAACGACGAGGACGAAGCATCTCATAGCACTTTCTTCAGCTCTGAGGAGCGGACAGTGACCTGTGTGACTGTCTTGGAGCCAAGTAGCCCTCCTAGTCTGAACACTTCACAACCTACCACCCACAGGATCGTGGAGCTTCGGGCCCCATCCCATTCCCGCTCCCCCTCCAGCTCCAGCTCCCGGGGCAAGAAGAAAGCCAAGAAGAAGAGGGCCAGAGAGCATCGGAGGTCTCGCTCAGGCTCTAGGGCCTCACACTCTGTGTCACCCAGGGCGGGTGAGCACTTCAGGAGGCACTGGGCTAAGGCCAAGGGTTGGAAATCTTCTAGCGACCGAGCCAGCAGCCAGGAGCGAGCAAAGCGGAGGAAGACCAAGGACCGGGGTAAGGACCAGAGATGGAGCGTGTGGGACCGGGAACAGAAGTCTAGGTCACACTCCTGCAGTTCAGGAAGCTCCCCCTGCGAGAGCCATGAAATCAGAAAGAAAAAGAGGCACCAGTCAGGATCTCGGTTTCGGGGTTGGGACTGCTCCACACCCAGCAGCTTGGAGAGGTCCCGACGGCACAAGCACCCTCGGGAAAGGAGCCGTGAGCGGCCAGACAGGAAGGAGAGCACGGCTCAGCCACGAGAGAGGAGGAAGTGGAGCTCCTGCTCACCTAGCTCTGAGCACAGGCCACAGGAAGCCCAGCGGCCAAGTGCCCATGATGAGCAACCCCACTCACCAGAGAAAAAGGGCCCTCTAAAGGAGTCCTCCCCAGGACCCCTTTCCAAGCAGCAGCCTAGGCCAGGAGGAGACCACCCAGGAGGGCCACCAGCCTTGCCAGAGGTATGCATCACACCAAAAGGGATCCAAGCCAAGCAGGCCCTGCCTTCTCCGACTCCTGTACCCATCCCAGTCCCTGAGGTGCCGGCCCAGTGTGCTCCTGAGGACCTAGATTATGGTGATTCTGTAGAAGCTGGCCACATCTTTGAGGACTTTTCAAGTGAAGCCTTCTTCATGCAGCTGGATGACATGAGCTCACCCCCATCCCCAGAGAGCACAGACTCTTCCCCAGAGCGGCCCCTCCTGCCAAACCCTATGTTGTTGCGTCCCAGCCTGCTGCATGACACCACCCTGGCCACCATCCAGAGGGAGGTGTCAGCAATCCACTCCGAAGACATTTTGCAGCCCCTACCCCAGATAGAGGGTCTTCCAGGGCAGCACCCGCCCAAGCAGGATGTGGCAGAGGCAGTTGCCAGGGATCCTGGCTCCCTGGGCATGTTACCCACTGGCTTGGATGGCCCCTCGGTAAATGAGAGGGCTCCTGAGGCAGCCAGGCCTGAAGAAGTAGGGGCACAGGCACCCTTGCTGCGGTCCCGAGCCCTAGTGAAAAGGGTCACCTGGAACCTTCAGGAGGCTGAGGGGAGCAACCTGACCCTGGACAGGGCCCCAAGTGAGTATATGCTTCTAGAGACTGTTTGCTCTTGGGTGTTCCTGTGGGCTGGGGCCAGGAAGCAGCCACCCCAAAGCCCTCACTTCCCCTGGCTCCACTCTTGAGTCCAGCTCCTTGATCTGGGGTTCCTGGGCTGGATGTTTTCTTGGGATTTTCCAGCTAGGAAGCAGCATAATGGCCAGGGCAGGACATAGGGCACTGACCTGCCTGTGTCGGACCCTCAGGGACACCACTTCACAGGCCACAGAGACCCTGGGAAGAAACCTGGGACACACAGGACGGGACCCCCACAGGGGCCAGGCATGCACTGTTCCCTGAGCCACCCTCTTCAGTCCAGACACTCTTGGAGCCTGGGTTCCCCAGCATGGATCCCTCTCAGGTGGGTGCTGGGCTGGATCCAGGGACACCATGACCTTTGGCCCAGCCCTGTGGACTTTGGGAGTGGGGCTGCTTAGGGCTGTACACTCATAGGGTTGTCTTTCCCAGGTTTATAGCCCCAACATGCCTCCTGTCCCGGCTCAGCCCCCTGGCATCCCACCCTATGCCCTGGTCAGCCAGCCATCAGTCCAGTTCCTCCTACAGGGCAGCTTGCCCTTGGTAGGCTGTGGGCCAGCACAGAGCCTGGCCCCAGTGCCCACCATGCTGACCACAGCCTCGGAGCTGGCCAGCCAGACTACCACCAACAACTCAGAAGAGAGGACTACCACTCCCAGGCCAGCTGGAGAAAAGACTAAGAAGGAGGAGGTAAGCGTGCCTGGCCTGTCTCACTTTGATGCCCAAGGTTTTTTTTTTTTTTTTTTTCTTTCTGGCAGTAGTGGGGACCAGACCACTAAGTTACACCTCAGCCCAAGATCTACCTTCCTGAGATAAGTGCAGTGGTAGGAAGTACTGGTATTGCGCTTGGTGACCCTGGGCCTCAGTTCAGGTCTGTCCTAGCTGCCCAACCCTCAGTCACATGTGTGTCCTTGCTCCTAGTACATGAAGAAGCTGCACATGCAGGAGCGGGCAGTGGAGGAGGTGAAGCTGGCTATCAAACCCTTCTACCAGAAACGGGAAGTGACCAAGGAGGAGTATAAGGACATCCTGCGCAAAGCTGTCCAGAAGGTGGGCTGGCGGGGGGGGGGGGCGGAGCTGAGGTCCCGTGCGTGCGTGTGTGTGTGTGTTGTGGAGCTGAGGTCAGGAACAGCTCATGTCCTGCATGGGATAGATCACTGCCTTTTCATTCAGTGGCAATGGTCTCATCTTCCCTGGCTGTAAGGTAATAAAGAATGTGTTTAGGATGGGCGGATCCACACCCAGCCTACAGGAGGAAAGCAAGCCTGGGAGGAGATGGGCTATGAGACAGGTCTCAGGCTTCCTTCTGACGGACACAAATGGGAACCCTCAGCAGGCCATGTGGTGGCAGAGCAAAGGATGGATGGTGTGACCAGGCATCAGGGTGTCCATCTTTCTCCAGATATGTCACAGCAAGAGTGGCGAGATAAATCCTGTGAAGGTGGCCAACCTGGTGAAGGCCTACGTAGACAAGTACAGGCACATGCGCCGGCATCGGAAGGTGGAGACCACTGAGGAGCCACCCACTCCAGGGACGGAGGCCTGAGACATTGCAGTCTTGCCTCCTAGTCCTAGGCACAGAACTGTGGTACCAGCCTCCTACTTGTGGGGTTCCTGTGACAGCATCTACACTAGTCTTGCTAACTTTAAAATTGGACTTTTTTTATATGTATATTACAGATACATGGTTTCCATGGTGTTTTAATTTATCAAAAATGGCTTATCTTTAGAAAGCTCTGTGGACTCAGTACTTGAAGATGAAGCCTTTGCAGGCCGCCTGGCTGGGGAGCGGGGCTTGGACCCATCCCTCTGGCCTGCACCCGTCCTGCATGGTCGATTAGCAGTGCACTGATTGCTACTTCCCACTAACTCATGCTCCTGTGAATACCTGAGATTTGCGCTCAGCTAGCAGCTGCCCAAGAGGCAGAATTCAGAGTGTGGGACCTGGAAGCTTGCGGGGGGGGGGGGGGGGGGGCATAGGACACATGATGTTGCTTCTCTTAAAGTGTATGATTTAGTTCCCCAACAGGAGGATAAAGGGGTGGGGAGGCAAGGAGCAGCCCAGACCCAGAGACCCCCAGTCAACACTGCCTGTCCCCACAAACTCCTGAGACCACCCAATTCGTGGCAACACTGGCTCTTGGCTCTTTATTGGGGTCCGAGGTTCCAGCCTAGGCTGGCTGCTCCAGCTCCATGAGGAAGCGCTCAATGTCATCATAGAGACTGCTGGTGCTTGACAGGCACAGGCCCAGGCTGCTGCTGTCCAGGGAAGATGTGCCCTCACGCTGTACAACCTCCAAGTATGTCCGGCACAGCCTTGGCTCCACCTGCAGGGAGGTCATCTGTCAGAGCACCCCAAGGCCACAGAGGCTGCACGCCAGGTCTACCTGCCTCACCTTCACCAGGACCAGGCTCTTCTCCTTGGGCCTCCTAGCTGACAGGTCCTGCCCAAAGCCCAGGTAGATGGTGTAGTGGGGTGAGCCTTGACGCCGCCTGGCTCGGAACTCCCCCAGCTCTGCAGGAGGGGGTGGGTGAGTGGGGTAGGGGAGGTCCCAGGACTCTCCAGGCAGGCCCCTCAGCAGGCCTTAACTGACCTCGAAAGAAGATGCTGAAGTCAAAGATTGGGGTGTTGTAGTTGCGCTCCAGTAGCCGGGCTGGGGTGGAGGGGCTGGCAGAACCCTGCGAACTGCCCACCTCCCAGTACACTTTGCACTTGCCCATGCGCCGGGCCCATAGTGCCACACCAGCCAGCTCCAGCTGCAACCCAGGGGCCACATGCTGCAGCACCTCCTCCGTGTAGCGCAGCTGTTTCTGGTCTGGCAGCTCAGCAGGGCTGGGGAAGACCACCTGCTGGGGCTGGAGAACCTGGCTGCCCACTCCTGGGGGGTTGTATAGGAATACACAGCTGGGATGCCCCACCACTTTCTGCAGCACTGTGCGCCCTTTGTACATGATGGTCACATCCAGGTCCCCAGGACTGGGTTCTGTTGTCAGGGCCAGGGACTGAGGCCTAGGGCAGGGCGCAGGGTCTACTGCCCATGCTGCAGGCAGCTCCTCAGGAGGTTTCACTGGGCCTGTGGTGATGAGGGATACTCAGGTTGCCCCACTGTGGCCTGCACAGATCTGCCAGGCCACTCCTTCATGATGCCCCAGCCCTCAAGTACCCTCACATTCTTCTCAAGGGTCAGTTCTGACCCAGGTCCTCCCTACCCCTGCCCAGCCCAACCACCCCCATTGCACAGCCCCTCACCAGGAGCCTGTGGTGGGGCAACTGGGTTTACTGCCATCAGTGCAGCTTCCTGCAGGGGATCTCCCAGGAGAGACTGCTGCAGAACCTGGGGCAAGAGGTCCCCTGTGCCACCATCCTGGATGGGTAAAAGCTTGGGGCTGTGGGCTCAGCATCTCTTGGCACAAGCAGCCCCATGCACCCACCCTGCAACAAGATGACAATGTGAGCAGCCCCAGCCCTGCCACCCAGAGATAGCAGAGACTACCTGTGTGGGCAGGGCACCTCTGAGGGCCTCCTTTTCTCCCTGGTTCATGGCTGAGCCTTCTGGTAGGGGGAGAGAGGGGACGGTATGAGGGCCTGTTGCTGGCCCTAGACCTGCATCTGGCCTCCTCAGCCCACTCCCCAGAGATCTGACACCTGAGCAGCCCCGGGGTCTGGTAGCTTCCCAGGCCATTCCCATACCCTAAATGGAGACAGGGCATAACTTTGGGCCCTAAACTGCCCTCCTGTGTGGGTCAGAGGTCTCTAGTGCCAGGGTTCCTTTGGAGCCCCTAACCCACAGCCCTTCCTGCTACAGCCCTCCGCGGGGTCCCTCACCTCTGCATCCCCACTCCAGGCTGACTGCATACACCTTGTGGGGGTCAATGGGGTCCCCCGAGTTGTCCTGCAGCATCACGAAGCGCTGTGTGCTGTGCAGAGCACAGCGGAAGTTGGTTTTCCATCCGGCTCGTTCTGCAGCCTCAGCGTCAGGGGGCGGTAGGCCACCCCTACAGCTGCTGGGTGGCCACCTGCCTCGGGCTACCGCCCAGGCCTGGGGAAAGTGATGGAGAGCGTGGGCGGAGCAGGGCCTCTGGGGGCAGGGCCTCCGGGGGCGGGGCTGGCTCCCACCTTGAAGATGTGCGCATCAGCTTCACCCAGGTCCTTACGCGCAAAGTGCTTCCACGGTACGCGGAACACAGTGTGTGCCTTGTCCAACCACCGCAGCCCCTCGTAGCGACCACTGCTGACCTCGCCCAGTAGCCACTCTCCGAACCGCACACGCTGCGCAGTCCTGCGGGCGAGGTGACCATCGTGGTCAGCAGGGCGTCACGCGGGCACAGAGCCGGCAGGGAAGGGACGGGTCTCACCTCTCGGGGGCCGTGGCCATGGTGCCTGCTGCAGCAAAGTCCAGGCTGGGGGCGGTGAGGGGCAGTGGCTTTCACGGCAGGGGATGCCGCGGTCCTGACACTTCAGCTGCCAGTGGTGGCCACAGGTAGTGTGGCCAGGTGTCACAGGTGTGACCAGCTGTATAGGGTCACAGATGTGTATGAGGCTTGGCACCACCTCAGCGTGGATTCTGGGGCCGAGGTGGCTGCGGATGTGACTTCAGATGCGGTGGTGTGTGCACGTGAAGACACAGATGTTGGCCCAGCGTCCGGGCCCGTACAGTAGTGACAGGCAACAGGCGGGACCCTGGTGGAACAAGGGAGGCGGCGTGGAGGGGCGGGCGCAGGCCGGGAAAACGAAACTGGACCCCGCAGGGAAAGCGAAACCTACCGTATGTTGCGGTGCCTGCCTGCTTCTGGCCCCACACCCCAGCTCTGCCCATGGTCCGCTTATTCCCCAACCCGTCCGGCCCAGGCGTTCTGGGCCGGGCCCCAGGTACTCTGCCCCGACTCTACGACTCTCTGCGGCCCACCGCCCTCCGTCTCTGTGGCCTTGCACTGTCCTTCCCAGACGTTGCCCGCGGAACGGATGAGGGCTCCACGGGACTCCGCGGGGCCAGCCCCCTCTCCTCCCGTGGGTCAGGGGTCGTGCATACCTGGGTACAGGAGCCGTGCTGGGATGGGATGTACTAACTCTGAGAGGAAATGCCGCACTTTATTTATATCTGGGCTGGGAGGCGTGGCCTGGAGACGGGTTGGGGCGGGGCGGGGCGGGGCGGGGCCAGGGCTTGCAGGTGTGTGAGATGTGGAGCGCTGGTGTTCTGGGGGCGCAGGCACCCTTGGCCATGCGTAGACGCGGGTGGGGATGCAGTGGGACAACCAGTATCCCCAGAAAGAGAAGAACCCAATCCCAAGCTGAGCCAGCCCCTTTTTGTGCCTTCAAATGTGCACAGGAGGTGGAGGAAACAGCAGCGTCTGTTGGGTTGCATTGAGGGAGGCTTAAGTGGAACATCCAGCGCCCAAAATGAAACTTTTGGGAGGAACTGGGACGGTGGGGCTGCCTGCCAGGTGACACCTGCTAGAAACTCCCCAGAGTAAGGGACAACCCGGCTGTCAATGTCCGAGAGCCATGGGGACCAAGACCCTCCCAGTGCCCACAGCGAATTCTAGATTCCATGGCTCTGGGGTCCAAATGGCCACTTTATTCTGGGGGAGGGGACACCAGGGCAGGCAGTGCTAGATGTAGGTAGAGTCGCACAGCTTGTCAGGGCAGGCAGTGTTAGATGTAGGTAGAGTCATCCAGCTCATCAAGGGGACTCTTATCCTGGTCCATGTCCTCTTCGCCACTGCCCTCAGAGTTGCCATCCCTGTCCTCAACAGCCTCGGGTGTGTTGAGGACCACGACATCGGCCTCTGCGCCAATGTCCTCCCCAAACCACACAGCCTTGTAGCCACCTTCAGGCCGCCGCTCTTTGGTCAAGATGGACCTCACAGCCGAGGGGCTGTCCCCAGCAGCTCTGATGGCCACAGGGGGCTCAGGGCCACTGGGCTCTGGGGCTTGGAGCTCAGAGTTGGGTGACTCGGAGCTCAGGGGCTCAGGATCCAGGGGTGTAGACGATGTCTCCACAGGTGTGGGGCCTGGCTTGGGGCTTGGGGCAGATGCCTTGGTGGCCTCATGGTCATCCAGGAAGGCCTGGTTATCAAAGCCATGGGACTGGGGTTCCTGGGGGCCAGCAAGGGCATCAGGGACAGTGTCTGGGCTCCGACTCCCACAGTTCTTTGTAGGTCTGTCTTCCAGGTTTCTCTGCTGTCCTGCCTGCCTATCCCTCTGTACTCATCCCTCTCCCCTGTCACTGCCCCAGTCCAGCCCCTCACTCCACCTCCCCATCTCTCATTGCTCTTACTCGCCACCCCCCTCATCTGTCCCTGTGCCCTTTGCTAACCTGCACCCTTGAGCCCAGCCCCAGGCTCACCGTAGCTTTGCTGGAACAGCAGTGCCACCGGTACCCATAGTGCTTAGTGAGGAGCACAACCAGGCCAATGAGGGCGAGCAGCAGCAGCGCACCCAGCACCCCTCCCAAGATCGCCATGTCCACTGTGGAGAAGTGCTTGTCTTCCTCAATGGTGTCTTCTGGTGTCCCTGCAGAGATCCCGTGGCCACTTAATGTTGGAGGAACATAGTTCTGTCCTCACCAGTCTGCACCAGTCTGGGCACCCCGAAAATAAGTCAGGCCAGGACTGGTCCCTACAGCTGAGTTTCTAGGGAGCGAGTACTTTGTGCTGCCAAGAGACTCTTGAGGACAATAGGGCCCAGGAGGCTGCAGGAGGGCAGTGGACGAGCCCTTAGGGGAGGCTCTCTGTGGCCTCCACACCCACTCACCAGTGCCTCACTTAGACCAGATGCGGGACCCCCATATCTGCCCAGTTTCCTTACCTCTTTGTGTGTAGTAGGGCATTGCCCCTGGGCTTTGTGAATGTGTCCCAGTGATCATGCCCATTGGCGTCTACACCAGGGAACTGGTCTATTTACCTCGAGCCCACCAAGGCTCCCCTGAGGAATGGGTTTGGTTTCCAGCCTGGATTCCAGGAAGGTGCTGGCCATGGCCACCACACACAGGCTTGTGTGGCCTCCATGTATGCCAATTACCCCTGGTCCTGTCAGTCATACCATCTTTTCTGACAGGGTCTCAATGTATTGTCTGGTCTACCTCAAATTCAGGGCCTCAAGTGATCTTTCTGCTTCAGCTTCCAGAATAGCTGGGACAGCAGGAAGCATACTGTACTTGCTTATGCAATTTTTTTGGCTGTTTCTGTTTTTTGAGAGAGTCTCATTTTGTAATGTAGGCTGGCCTTGAACTCACTATGTACCCCTGGCTGGTTTGGAACTCCTGGTAATCCTCCTGCCTCAGCCACCTAAGTGCTGGGATTATAGGACGTGGGGTGGCCGAGGTCCAGGACCACTGTGGCCATGTCCTGCTATTATACAGTCTTCATCTAATCCTTACAGGAGTGCTTTCCATTTTAAGACCTAAATTATAAATAGCCCTAGAAATCATAGGGTTCACTGAATCCCAAATCCAGCTGCTGCCCCTACATCTCCTCGGGTCCTTGGGTCCAGCTGCCCCAAAGATCCAACCCCTCCTTGGGTTCCTGGTGTAGGCAGACTGGGTCAGCCTGGGTGGACCCTGTCCCAGAGCATCCTCCATAACCACCCAGGGCCTCAAATGAGGAAGGGCAAGTAGAGTAGGGACTACCTGAGACTGGGGAGGTCCTGCTGGACCCAGGCGGCCTTAACGGAGAGGTCCCTGGCTTCAGGGTCTGAGTTGAGACCCCACCAGTGGCTGGCCGGGTGGAGGAGCCGGTTGCCACCCTGGTGGTCGTCAGCCAAGAGGTCCCTGGCTTTGGGGTCTGAGTTGAGACCCCACCAGTGGCTGGCCGGGTGGATGAGCCGGTTGCCACCCTGGTGGTCGTCAGCCGAGAGGTCCCTGGCTTTGGGGTCTGAGTTGAGACCCCACCAGTGGCTGGCCGGGTGGACGAGCCGGTTGCCACCCTGGTGGTCGTCAGCCGAGAGGTCCCTGGCTTTGGGGTCTGAGTTGAGACCCCACCAGTGGCTGGCCGGGTGGACGAGCCGGTTGCCACCCTGGTGGTCGTCAGCCGAGAGGTCCCTGGCTTCGGGGTCTGAGCTGAGACCCCACCTGGAATGGATGGCCGAGTGGTGGTGCTGGCTCCTAAACCAGGGAGCCCCCCAGGTGTGGCGGGGATGACAGGCCTCAGTGTTGTGCCTGAGGATGGGTGAGGACCAGTGGTCACCCCAGGGCTGATCATAGGGGGCTAGTGCTGGTCAAGGACCTCATTGTTCTCCCGGTCTCGGGATGGGGGCATCTCTGGTGATCCTGGGCAGCAGGGCTTGCCTCCCCCTACTTGTCCCAGTGGAGGAGCCACCAAGCTGAGGGATCCCAAGGCTCACCTGTGGTGGGGGGTACCTGCTCTGAAACCCAAATCTCAGCAACGGCAGTCGTTGTACCCCCGGTCACGGTGTTTGTAGCCTCCACCTGGGGCAGGAAGGGGGCTTGATCTTGCTGAGACTTTCTGCACCCCCCTTCCACAGACATGCCCCCCACCTCACCTTTGCATAGAAGATTCCCTCATGCTCCAGCACTGTGGCAGTCAGCACGGCCTCCCCCTCCATCCGGAACTCAGAGCAGTTGGTGATTTGGTATATGATGGCTGAGTTGAGGTCCTGGACATGGCCACAGTGGTCCTGGGCCTCGGCCACCCCATGTCCATCCCAAGCCACCCACACAGTCAGGAATCCAACCCAGGGACCCACTCAAGTCTCAGAGTTCTTACTGGGGCAGAGCGGGTGCATACCGGGAAGTCAGGGTGCTGAGCCTGGATCCTCAGAGGCTGGGATGGTGAGGCTGCATCCCTGACAGCCACACCAGCCCGAGAGCCAGGTGCCACAATGCCACGATACAGGTTCTGGGGAAAGTGGGGCAGGCTGCCAGTGGCAGAGCGGGCCTCCACAGTGACCTGGGTCACTGAGTATCGGACCCTGTCAGCCTGGTCCCCCTAGGGAGACAGGGAAGCAGCAGTGACCACAGGGGCTTGAAGGTGGCACTGAGCCTCCCATGGGCCACTCCACGCTGCACCCACCCTGATTAGCAAGATGAAGGTCATGGGACTGGGGACGATCTTGGCCATGGTAAGGTTACCAGAGTCTGGGTCAATGGCAAAAGTGTTGTCCATGTTCCCTGGAAGGGTATGCGGCAGTCAGGGCTAGCTCTGGTGACTGAGCTTCAGAACCCCAGCTGGGCTGGGGCTTGGGTGGGTGCTGTGGGAGTGGGGCCTGGTCTTCACTCACCCCCTACAATGCTGTAGATGATGGGTGCATTGATGGCCCAGTCCCCATCCACAGCATAGATGGGTCCAGGATGCAGGATGAGGGGAGATGGCTGCGGAGACAGGGAAGCTTGTGGGGCCAGTGCAGAGAGGCCATTGTTTTGGAGGGGTGAGCACTTGGAAGAGGTAGGGTTCCCACAGCAAGATATCTGCCTGTTGGCACAGCACAGACTCCAGGGCTCCTCTGTCCCCACCCACAAGGTGGGCCAAGAGGCAGCTGCCTTGGGGCCTGTGATGCCACATCCTGGCTGGCCTTGCAGGTTCCTAGGCCCTCCTGGGCTTTCCTTATGTCCACCCAGCACCCAAGCTGGAGACCATGTTCACCAAGAAAGAATGTGCACATCAGCTTTGAAAGCAGAGCCAAAATTGCTTCAGTCCCCCAGTCTCCACCTGTGTCTCCTGACACCTATTCTAGACTCCAGCTGGTCCAGGCTGCCCCTCACCAGAGCCCTGTGGGGACAGCCCTCCCCTGGGACCCCCGTTACCAGGGTGTGCCCTGTGGGGACAGCCCCATTGTACTGGGCCTGGATGCAGACATAGCCATCTGAGTAGGAGCAGGGTAGGAACCAGGGGGGCCTCAGATCAGCCGGCAGCACATGCAAGACCAGGGTGGCCGTGGCTGTGTGGCTGGGCTCCATGTCCTCCTCCCGAGTGTCCTGCAAGAGAGCCCTGCTGCCGTGTCAGGCTGGAAGCAGCTTGGATGGGCTCCTGGCAGGGCTGAGGTGCAGGGTACCTGAGGGCCTTACCCGGACCAGCAGCTGGAAGGTCATGTTCTGCGACTGGTAGTAGTCCAGGGACCGGTCCAGCCGCAGGGCTGGGCGGTTCATCCCCTCCAGAGAGAAAAAGCTGCTGGCGTTCTAGGGGCGAAGAGAGGAGGCACTGCCTGAGATCCTGGCAGGTGAGGATGGGGCAGCCAAGGGCTCTGTGTTGGGGTCAGGGCAGGACCAACCGGGGTCACTTCCTGGAGGGTGTAGAACAAGTTGTCCTCTTTGTCCTTGTCGGTAGCCGTCAGTTTAGCCTCAGGGATAACTGTCGAGTTCACTTTGGTATCCTGGACAGGGAGGAGCTCAGCTGGGCCAGGTGGGCTTGTGGGCTCCAGTGATGGGGTGGATTCATACCCACACACGTTGGGCCCAGATGGCACCAGCTCTGGCTGCCCTGACTCACCTCTGCCACATCCCACTCCTGGGTCTCAAAGGGGAACTCTGGGGCATTGTCGTTGACATCCAGCACGGACACCAGCACTACCAGCTGTGTTACCTGGGGACCACAGCCTCTCAGCCTCCTTCATCCTCCAGGCGATGTAGCTGCCCTCCTGGCCCTGTCCTTCCTCCCCTTCCTCCTCCCTGCATTCACTCATCCCTTCAGTCATTCATTCCTTTCAAGGCCCACCCAGCAGCTGGAACTGCAGAGCCTGCCCTGAGGTCTCTGGTCCTGGCCGGGGCTCACAAGGAACAGAAAGTGAGTGGCAAAGTATGGCAGAAGGGACAAGAGCTCTGGGGAGCAGATAGGGTTGGGAAGAAACCAGCAGGATCTCCTGAGAGATGGGACACACATTTGCTCATCTTCAAGAACAAATGCAGTCCAGTTTCCTACTGGACTGACCCATTTAGACATTTTTGGGAGTATGAGTCAGGATGTCAGGTGGACTCTGCTTGGGCCTAACTCAAACAAAACACCAAGGCTGAGTCTCCCAGACTGAGAGTAGAACCTGGAGCTTGGTGCACACCACATGCCAGCCCCCGAGACCACATTTAGGCAGGAGAGGTCCTTATCTGTTAGGGACACAGACTGAGGTCTTGTAGGTGACATGGTGAGCACAGGGAAGGGGAGGAGGGATGACGCTTAGTCTCAGTGGAACCTGTCTTTGCACATTTTCCTTGAGAGAGGCTAGGAGAATGGAGCAGGCTGCGAGTGGGTCGGCACCCTGGCACCCCAGGAAGGAACGCTTCCATGCAGGACAGGGCAGGTGGGAGGAGCGCATCCCAGGCTACATTCACATTGGGCTTCAACTCCAATTTGGGAGGCAGCCTGGGAGCTCTGTGGGGCTGGACTTGGTTTTACAGCTTCTCTAGACTAATCACACACAGGGATGGGGTGGAGCAGCAGGTCGAGGGAAGGTTCAAGGGAGCATGTGCTGCAGCTGGGCCCTGCGGGGACTCAAGGTGAGAGGGTGGGTGTCAGGTCCACTTGTCTTGCAGGACGTGCAGGGGGAGGGATGGGGCAGAGGGACAAGGGCACCATGGAACCACTCAGTGCCCGTGGAGGCCCTGCAGGTATGGGGCTGGGGCCTGGATGGTGCTGGTAGATGTGGGGATGGTCCTCCGATGGGTGTGGGGCCCAAAGCTCAGGGCAGAGTCTGGGCTGAGGTAGTGTGGGTGGAGTTGGAGATGGACATTCGACAGTGACCCAGAGTAAGGTCACTCAGGAGCCACCTCAGGAACTGTGCCAAGGGTAGGGAGGACTCACCATTGTGTGGTCCCTCCTGCACTCCAGGTGAGCCTCCAGCATGGTATTCTCCTGTAGGCCACACAAGTCTGTGACCCCCAGTTCCATGGGCAGGTGTCTCCTGGAGTGCCCATTACCACTATCACTCTCGAAGCCCCGTTCCATCCCACACAACCCAGACCCCAGCACTCTCTCCAAATACTCTCCATAGGAACCCCAGCCTGCTGCCTGTACCTCGTAATCAGGGATCACCTTGAGGAACAGCTGGTTCCCCAGGATCTGGAAGGTGGAGGGGGTGGACAAGGGCCCCAGGATAACGTCCTGGCCATCTGGGATGGAGATGTTCACCAGGGGTCCAGTGATCTCTGTGTTCTCCTTGACACTGATCAAGGTCTTGTCCACTGAGCAGACTGGGGGGCAGAGGGGACAGTTGGTGCTGGCCAGCCCCTCCCCTGTGTTGGCCCCCCTCCCAGCCAGCACCTACCCTGGTCCTGGGCTGCCGCCCCGGGGAGTTGGCAAGGCAGCATGCAGAGCAGCAGCAGGGGGGCCCACAACAGGGCACTAGCCCCCATCTTGTCGGCTGTCACCTGCCGGAAGGTCTGGTAGCCTGCAGTCCAGGTCTGGGCCTTTCCTGCTTCAGAGACGAACTTGAACTTCGCCCTGCCAGGCACCGCCCTGCTTTATGGCCCTGATGACGGCTCCACCAGGGGGGTTCCCGCAGGCCGGTCAGGCTAGGCCACTGCCCAGGAGGGGACCTGGGTGGCATTCAGCCTAAGTCAGGCCTCAGTCAGGTGTCCCAGGAAGGGGCTGCTCAACAACACAGGGTATGAAAGAGCTGAGGCTGCTGGGGGCCATAGGGCTGGGACAGGACCAGTGACGGGACCTGGGGACAAGGCTGGAGGATAGGGCTGGTACTGTGCTAGACAGGGTTGGAGTGGCTGTAGAAGGTGGTAAGTCTGAGCAGATCTATCCTTGGCTTTGAGTTCACCCCCTCCTTACTGTCACCTGCTCGCTACTGTTCTCAGGATCCTCTGGGCCAGGTCCCCAAGGTCTGTTCTCTGGGTGCACATCCCTCTTAGAACTCTGGCTCCCCTGGCTGAGGGATAGGCTCTGGTGTGCTAGGGTGCCCCCTGCCTGTCAGAAAACTCCAGGTGTGTGAAACAGGTCACAGAAGAGATGGAAAGGCTTGGGCACCTGGGTGCTCCTGGGACTTTGGTGGGGCTCTTGGCCTCCATCTCCCTCTACCTTTCCCTCAAACCCTGAGCTAGTGTCAGGCGGGAAGCTCTTTCTGGCCCCCAGACTTCTGTGTGGCACTAGTGCCCATGGGGCCCCTGGCCACTTTTAGTGCGCCACCACCCCGGCTCAGCTGCCTGCTGTGGTGACAGCCCTGTCTCCATTCCCAGAGGTGGCGACAGCACCATTCCCATGCCATAAGCTACTCAGCCAGCAACATGCAGCAAGACATCCTCCAGGGCCTCGAACTTGGGCGTTCCTGGAGACCTGGATGTGTACCCTGTGGGCACCCAGCCATGCAACTGGGGACCAGAGCTCCATGTGGAAGGAGATGGGTGCTGGGCATGTAGCCAGTGGACAGAGATGAGAGTAGGTGCCCGATGGCCCAGGGTTCAAGGGCAGATGCTGAATGGGGGGCAGCCCCCTACCTGATGCCTGATGAGCAGAGACGGAGCTGTGAGCTGGAGCCCTGGGAACTTCTTCCTTTATTGGCCTCAAGTACAGTCAGCCCCAGCCCCAGCCCCAGCCCCCGCCCCTTCCCCCGCTCCTGCTCCCACTCCCAGCCAGCCTCCGGACTCCTCCTCCTCTTCATCAGGGCGCTGTGTGGCTCCAGCCAGCTCTGAAATTTCAGCCTCGGGCCTGGGGTCAGGAGGCAGCCATGGAAATGGTGCATGGCCAAGGGAGTGCCCCAGGAGCATCCTGCAGAGACAGTGCCTTAGGGACCAGGACTGGCACCCAGCCCCCTGGCCTTCAGGATGGACTGAGGGTGCTCACCAGGCCTGCAGAGTGCTTGTGTCCAGCCACAGCAGGCACAGCGGGCTGTCCACAGGTTTGGACCCAGTGGTGCTGTTCTCTGTGTCCTGATCGCTGTCCCCCAAAATCAGAATCAGGCATCTGTCCCTGTCCCCCACTTGCCCATCCTTTTGCAGCTCCCCTGGTCACTCACCTGCGCTTGCCCACCAGGCCCTGCAGCAGGCGCTGCAGCCGGGCACTGTCTCGAAGACGGCTGAGCTCACTGGTGAATGTCCCGTCCGAGTGTCGTGCGGCCCTAAGGATGGGTTGGCCCTGGGTCAGGTGAGGTGGGAAGGGGGCCCTCACCTGGGGCCTCGAGGCTCACCTGGGTGGTGCAGGGTGTGCAGCTGGGCCCCCGAGCAGCAGCAGCAACATCAGTATCAGTGGCAATGGGCAAGGGGCCATGGTGGGTGCAGTGCCAGGCACTGGGGCCCCAAATCAGTGCTATGTTTTATAGGGGCCCTGGCGCCACATAGTCCGGATGCATCGACCGAGAGGGAAGGTCAGGGCCACCCCCCCAGCTGTCACTGCTACCTCCTGCCCTTCTGTCATGTGGGAACGGCACCATGGGCAGGTCCACAGAGCCCTGGGGTGCGGCCACCAGCTGGTGCTCAGGCAAGCCAAGGGGACGTGGTGGCGCCAGGGCGAGGGGATTGGGACTGCAAGTAGGAGGCAGCCTGGAGACCCACCAGACTCTGGCCAGGGTCGCAGTTGCCAGACCTGGCAGCTCTGGAAAGGCTGGCCAGGCAGTCAGAGCAGCAAAGGAAGAGAGACTGAAGGACTCAGCAAAGTGACATTAAGGCCCATTTCATGAGGCCAGCTGACTGTTACAGACCAATCCTCCTGCTAAACCTCAGCGTGACATTTGAAAAATAACCGAGAGAGCTGGCTATGGTGGTGAGGTCTGTGATCCCAGCACTTGGGAGGCTGAGGCAGGAGGACTACTTCGAATTTGAGGTTAGCCTGGGACAAAGGGACTTCAAGGCCAGCCTGAACTACACAGTGAGTACCTGGTCTAAAAAAAAGAAAGAAAGAAAGAAGAGAAAAAGAAAAGAAAGAAAACAAAAAATAGAGAAAAATAATTTCAAAATGTTTTAGAGCAGTTTGGTTTACAGAAAAATTAATTTGAAAGTCAAAACCCTCTTTAATCTCACACCCCCTCACCAGTGTTCAGTTATCTTTTATGTAAAACATTAACACTCAAACCAGGCATGGTGGCTCCCAGGCTGCAGCCTGTGCCTGAACACCACTAAAAGGACTGCGTGCTCTTTGTAAGGATGCACAGTCTTTTCTTTTTAGTTTTTGATACAGGGTCTTGCTATGTAGTTCAGGCTGGCCTTGAACTCACAACGATCTTCCTGTCTCAGCCTCTCTAAGTGCTAGGATTAGTTATTCTCCATTGGTATGAGATAAGATCCAGCTCCTTCCTTTTCTTGTAGATTGACAGCTGTTCCAGCGCCAGGTGTTGAAGATGTTCTTCCCTATGCACAGTTGGGCACCTGCATGCATCAGCTCTTCGTTTCTGGGACCAAATGCCTGATTTACTCACTTGTCAGCAGGAAAGGTTCCCTTTGGCTCACAGCTTCAGAGGAGCAGGTCTATGAGCAGGTATAACCAAGGCAGAGGCAGACAGGGCAAGAGCCAGAGAAAAAGGCATCAGGAACCAGATACTGTCCCCAGAGTCATGCTCACTAGCCACCCCCATACCCCACACCAATACATCTCTCAAGTCAGCCTTGTGGAAACATCAGCTGTGATTTGGGGTTACCCCAGCCCCTCAATTCTGTTCCACAGAGCTGCACACCTAGCCTTGTACTGTACCACCCCCTTGATTCCCTTTAACATATTTTTTAGAGCAGAATATATTTATTGAGAGAAAGAAAGCTTCTGTCTGAGAGAAAGACAGAAGGAGTCCCAAGTGGGTTGCCTGAAGCTTTAACATTTTGAAATTTTGAAGACTTTTAGTTTCCTTTTTCAGAATTCTTTTGGTTATTTGGGGTTCCCTACAATTCCACATGAATTCTAGGATCAGCTTTCCTATTTCTCCCTGCTAGTCCCGCTCCAGCCTTTTTGGTTTTCCTGAGACAGTATTGTGCTTTTTAGTACAGGCTGTCATCAAACTCCCTGTGATCTGCCTGCCTCAGCCTCCCCAGTGCTGAGATTAGAGGTGTGCACCTCCACCCCCACCCCAGCCTCTAATTTTGCTTTTTAGATTCAACAGGGGCTTTCTTGGGATTTTCTACAGATAAGATTGTGTAATAAGCACAGAAACACACAACGTTTTCCTCTGCAGTACTGAGTGTCTCTTGTTTCCTTCACCCATTTCTTGGTGGAGAACTTCCACAGACAGAAGGCACACACCAGTCTTCACATCCTTCTCCTGGTCTCCGAGATGTGGGTAGGAGTGGCAGTGAGATCATCACAGGTTTTTCTTCTGGTTCCCAGCGTGCAGATGGTCTGAATGCTGGGGTGGAACTCAGCTATCTGGGCACACACGTATTCCCGTCCGTCAAATGCTTTTGCTGCACTCACTGGGATGATAGTGTGGGATTTTCTCCTCATTCCATTAGTGTGGCTGTCACATCCAGGGATTCCCGTCTGGCGCCACATCTTGTCAGTTCCTGGGTCAGGGTTTATAATCCTTTCAAACTGCCTGCTGGAGACTGTTTGCTCTCATTTTGTTGAGAGACTTTACGTCTAGATTCAGAAGAGTCATCACTCTGGCATGGTTCTTGAGGTCATTATTCTTGAGTTTGGAGATTCTTTATATATTTTATAAAGACCATAGATTGTTATCACTATATATGTACACAGTATTTGCTAGGCATATGATTTGTTAATGTGTTCTTCCATTCTGAAGTGGAAGTTGTAATTTTGACTGACTGAAGTTTATCATTTGTGGCTCGTGGTATTAGTGTTGACTCTAAGATTCTGCCTAATTCCAAGTCACAAGAATATTCTCTTCTTTTTTTCCATAACTTTTCTTTACAAGTTTAAATTGTGCATTTTTGGGGCTGGAGATTTAGCTCAGCGGCATAAGCACCTGCCTTGCAAGCAGGCAGTCGTGAGTTTGATCCCTGGTACTGATAAAAAGACAATAAATAAATAAATTGTGCATTTAAAAATGATTCATTTGGAGCTGGTCTTGTGTGTGTAGATACCTCACAGCAAATCTCTAAGACACAGGATCCCCAGAACCAGCCTGGAGGAAACTGGCAAGAAGAGGGAGGCGGCAGCGTCCCGCACCCTCATCTCTGCCCTACTGTCCCCCCCCCGCGCCCCCTGTGGTGACAGTGGCACACATGTGGTGGGGTTTTTTGTTTGTTTGTTTGTTTGTTTGTTAAGACAGGGTCTCACTCTGTAGTTCAGGCTGGCCTCCTGCATCAGCCTTGTCAGCCTCGGGAGTGCAGGGGTTACAGGTATGAGCCACCACGCTCAGCCTCTCCAACATATCTGCCAGCTCAGCCCATCCCTTGACATCTTTGATATCAGGACCCTGGATTCCTGGAACGGCCCTCCCTCGGCTGCCAGCCTGGTCCTGAGCACTCCTGCACTTCTCGGATGGTGGAGTGTAAGGCGAGGGCTGGTGTGAGCCTGGTCAGGCTCGGAGCCCCCTTGCAGCAGCCCTGCAGTGACATCTGCAGAGAGCAGCTCTCAGCAGGGTCACTTGGGGCTTGCGGACCCAGGATGAAACTACTCTCAGGCTGTCCTTGTGCTTCCTTCTCGCGCTTTTGGAATCTGCAGGCGTGGAGGCTTCTGGCCCCTTCCCGCAATGTCCTGTGAGTCCCTGGCTCATCCTCTGCCAGCCCAGCCCACGGAGCCCGAAGCGTACGTCTAGATGGGGCCTGCGGTGAAGCTCAGGACTGCAGCTTCTCACCCCACACAGGAGGACCCGAGGTCAGAGTGGGCCTGGTGCTGGCGCCGACGCCGAGCCGGCTGCCCGCCATGACCCAGGTGGGCTAGAAAGCTTGGAGGCGGCCGGCATAACGAGGTGGGTGGCCGGGAGCCTCAGGAGGCGGTGCCTGAGGCTGTGGCCGCGCCTACACCAAAAGGCGAGCGGGGCGCCCGCTCCTAGTCGCTTCCAGGTGCCTACAGTCCCCGTTGGGTCCACGGGCTGCCCGCCCCGTGGTGTCCCATGGTGCAGCCCTCAATGCCCTTCCCCGTGCCGCCACAACCTCGAAACTGGGCTTGCGGGGTGGCGATTGCAAAAGCGCGGGGTGCAAGTGGTGAACACCGCGGGGCGCCGGGCCACCCCATCTTCTGAGACCCGGCTGAGCTCGTGGGGACTGGATACGTCGTGGGCGGGGCCTATAGGTGGGCGGGGCTGCGGGAAGGAGCTCCGCGGGTCACCGGAACCAGACCCCCACGCGAGCGCGTGGGCCGCGCACCATGGGGAACCGCAGCGCGGCAGCCGGCGGTGGGCTCCTGGCGGGACGAGCGGCCGGCACGGGGGCTGCGGGCGCGGCGGCGCTGGCAGGAGGCGCGCTGCTCATCTGCGCGGTGCTGGCGGGGAACTCGCTTGTGTGCCTGAGCGTGGCCTCGGAGCGCGCCCTACAGACGCCCACCAACTACTTCATCCTGAGCCTGGCAGCCGCCGACCTGCTCCTCGCTCTGCTAGTGCTGCCGCTGTTCGTCTACTCAGAGGTGAGCGGGCGCCCGCCCTGCTCCTGCGGCCTGTGCCCTCCCGTCCTCGCCCAGCGCGTGGCCTCAGGAGCTGGAGCCCGGGCAATCTTAGGCACCTAATCTCCCTGTCCCCCGGGCTTTTGGTTGTCCCTCTGTCACCTCTTCGTCTTGGCGTCTGCCACCCAAAAAGCCCTTGTTCCCTGAGCCAGGAACCCCAGAAACAGATGATTCAGCCCGTCCAATGCGGCCCCTCATCAGCTAGACTGACGGGCAGATGGAAGTTCGGGCTCCCCCACTGCCTCAGGGTGTGCACACCATGAAACGCGCCACGGCCACGCACACCTCTAACACAGTCGCCAGCCCGTCCCGCACATGCCACAGCCCCGGCTAACGGACCTGCGGGCAGTGCGGGTGCAGGGAGTTGAGCGGGCAGGGTCTGCTCTCCGCGTACCCACCGTGGCGCCCACGCCTGAGCCGAGGTTTGGCCCGAGCAAAGCCGCTTAAGTGCTGGGCTGGGACGCGGTGTCCTGTGCCCTGGGGGAGGGGAGGCCGGCTTCTAGGTAGACACCTGAGGCCTGCAGTAAGGGCACGCTTGACCTCTGTTGCTCCCAGGCTGCGCACAGACGTCACCGTGACAATTCTTAAGCGCCTAATCGTCCCCATCAGCGGGATTTAGAGGGACGGCTGGCAGCCTCTTTGCCCTTGGGGGGAGATGATGCATGCAAGATCCTGGACTGGGCGCTGTGCCGAGGTCGTGGGGAAAAATGAAGTGACTTGTCCCAAGTTTTTTTTTTTTTTTTTTTTTTTTTTTTTGTCTTTTTCATTTTTATCGGTACCAGGGATCGAACTCACGACTGCCTGCTTGCAAGGCAGGCGCTTATGCCGCTGAGCTAAATCCCCAGCCCCTTGTCCCAAGTTCTGAAACAGGCAGTTTAGAGAGGCTGCTTCAGGTGTTTATTTCTGTCAGCTAGGGCTGGTGCTGTGCCCCCCGCGATGACATTAGGCCCCCAGGATCTCCCTTAGGCTTCGCGGGCCTAACACAAGGAGTCTTATACAGGGAAGCCCAGTGGGTGCCCCATGGACCTCAGGCCCCTTCCCTGTGATCCTTAACCCTGGATCCCCTAAACAGTGGGTCTTAGGAAGTCGCGGCAATGACTATGGCTGGAAACCTCAGGTCTTGTGTCTCCTGCTGTGCCCTCATGGCCGCCCAGGTCCACGGCGGAGAGTGGCTTCTGAGCCCCCGCCTCTGCGACGCGCTCATGGCCATGGACGTCATGCTCTGTACCGCCTCAATCTTCAACCTGTGCGCCATCAGCGTGGACAGGTCAGCACCCGCCCGTGACCCATGCGCCCTCCGCGGCCTCTGCGCTCCGCACCCCGCTGCTCTTCCCTGTCCCGGTATCCTGCGCCCTCACCACGCCCCCGCCCGCGACCCGCAGGTTTGTGGCTGTGACGGTGCCGCTGAGCTACGGAAGGCAAGGCCGGCGTCAGCTGCTGCTCATTGGCGCCACGTGGCTGCTGTCCGCCGCGGTAGCGGCGCCCGTGCTGTTCGGCCTCAACGACGTGCGCGGGCGCGACCCGACCGTGTGCCGCCTGGAGGACCGCGACTACGTGGTCTACTCGTCCGTGTGCTCCTTTTTTCTTCCCTGCCCGGTCATGTTGCTGCTCTACTGGGCCACCTTCCGAGGCCTGCGTCGCTGGGGGGCTGCCCGGCGTGCCAAGCTGCACACACATGCGCCCAGGCGGCCCAGCAGCCCAGCGTCATCCCCAGTGCCTGCGCTCGCCATGGGCACCTGCAACCTGGACCGTGCGGACTGCGCGCCTAGGCTCCCCTGCGTCGAGGACCCTGCAGACCCCTTGCCCGGGCTCCCCTACGCCTTGGACCCTGAGGACCTAGCGCCTGAGCTCCCCTGCGCGTTGGACTGCGTGGACCCCGCGACGGAGCACCTCCAGGACCCCTGCGGCAAGGACTGCGTAGCTCCAGGCTTCAACCCCAAAGTGGCGCTACCGCTGCACGCCCGCAATAGTCCGCGCGCCAAGATCACCAGTCGCGAGCGCAAGGCCATGAGGGTCCTGCCGGTGGTGGTCGGTGGGTTCCCGAGTGCGGGGAGGTGAGCGGAGGGAGGGACCAAGAAGGGGACCCCGGCCCTGCGCCACAGCGTCTGCTCACGGTGCCCATCCCTAGGGGCCTTCCTGGTATGCTGGACGCCTTTCTTCGTGGTGCACATAACACGAGCGCTGTGTCCCACCTGCTCCGTGTCCCCGCGCCTGGTCAGCGCTGTCACTTGGCTGGGCTACGTCAACAGCGCTCTCAACCCTGTCATCTACACCGTTTTCAATGCAGAGTTCCGCACCGTCTTCCGAAAGGCTCTGCACCTGGGATGCTGAGCCAGCGGGCAGGGGTACAAACCATGTTGGATTAAACCAATTCCTCCCGGGCAGGCAGTGGGTAGTGGGGTGCGCAGCCACCCGATCCCCACAGACTTTCCCTTCCAGGAAGAAGAGGGGATCTGGAGGGCGATGGGGGCCACTCCTGCAGGGAGAGACTGGGCAAGGGAACTCCACTGCCCTGTGCAGCTGTCTTGGCTCCTGCCACCACCGCACACAACCTCCAGCTGGGAAGAAGTGCTGGGAGGGACAACGTCCCTAGACTGTGGTGGCTGAGCAGGAGGCTCCAAATCCACTGTTGGCTGCTAAGAAATTAGGGGCTTTGAGGTCTGCGATCTGAGGACACCACCTCCCCGTCACAAGTTCATTGTGTAGTGGGGGTGCCCAGGAAGCCCCCAGCCTCCTCCAGTAACAGCCACTTGTCACACATCAGGAAAGAACTGAGTCACAGGTTCATGGGAAAGGGGTGACACTGTGGAGGTTGGGCTCCCTCGAGTTGTTCCAGGACCTGAGGGCCAAATGTGCTGGCTGAGCTGGCCCTGCCGAGCAGTTCTGTAGACAGAAGCAGCCACTGGAAGCACCCCAGGACCAATGGCAGGACTCCAGACAATGAACCTCGAGGAGAAACCATCAGCGTGAGCCTGCAGGCTTCATTTTAAAGAAAAAGGGATGGGCAAGATGCTCCCCAGACTCAGGAAAGGTCTAGTTGCAGGAGACCAGTGGTGTCTGTCCAGACTATCCTGTGTGAGGCCCCAGGCATCTCCCGTAGGCCACCCTCTGCTCAGTGGTGACCCTGGCAGCCCTCGGCCTGCCCAGTGGCTTGCTGCCACCCTTTGCTGCAAACCCCATGACCAGACCCAGCCCCTGTAGGTGCCAGCGGCCTTTATGTAAGGACAGAGGGCTGGGAACCAGTCGGCCCAGTCCAGCAACAGGCCAGCACAAGGGACCAGACTTGGCTCACAGATTGTCTGGGTGTAAAGATGCCAGAGGCTGGTCCTCAGAGCACAGATGCCCCCAACCCAGTGCCTTGGAGGCTCACAGCCTCTGAGGGGACCTTAAACACTGCCCTGTGGTCAGCCTGTGGGCTTGGAAGAGCTGTGGGTATGACAGGCCAGGCAGCTGTCTCCTCTTGGGCCCCTCAAGGGAGCCCTGCAGACAGAGCACTCCAGTGGCACCAGGAGGGTACAGCAGAAAAGCTGGGGAAGCTTCCAGCACATGGCAGCACTGATGTCAGCATAGGTCCCTGATGACCACACATGCTGGGGGAAGGACCCCCAAATGCAACCAGGTCCAAGGGTTCTGTGGCCTTGGGCACTACTACCAGGCAGATGTTCCATGAGCGCTAACTGTGCCACCACGGCACCAGGATCCCCAGGCAGAGGACATGTAGCCGACTTGTCCTGAGTTTGCCTTCCCCGGTTCCCTCCTCCCTGGAAGGGCTGAGCCTCCTTCTGTAGCCACAGCTGGCCAAGGCTGACATCACGACATCCCCTCAGAGGCCCTGCTCAGCTTCAGCAAGAGAAACGCTGAGCCCCAGCCCTGCCAAAGTGAACAGGGGTTCATGCCACCAGCACCATGAGGACTAACAGGAAGGAGCCCCTCTGGGTGGCTGAGCCTGAATCAAGCACTGGGTGGGGTGGGAACTTTATTTACAACTTTATTGACAGACACAACATATGTGCACGCATGTTGCAATACGCACCGTGGGTGACCACATGCCCATGATCCAGGTGAGAGCACCATAAGTGGGGACCTGGCCTGTCACCTGCCCCCAGCCCTTCCAGGCGCCCCGGCTAGAGCTCCTGTGCAAGGGCGCCACTGGCTTGGAGTTCGCGGGGACCTGTCTGCAGCTGCTCCTTGCTCCTCTGCATCACAGTCCATGGGGCCTCTGGCCTTGTGGGAGGCTGAGAAGTGCCTGGCTCATACGGTGACCTTCTCTATCACACTGTCAGAGACATGGACCTCATCGGCCTGGACGGTGACAGCTGCCGACTGGCCGCATACATGCTGGTGGTCTTTCCAGTCCTGCGAGGAGGTAAGGGTAACAGCCACGTAGCAGGGTAGTGGGGGCAACAAGACGTGCAGGAACTGGAGGAGGCAGGCCTGGCCTTCGCCCCCAGAGCTGCTGGGCCAGGGTAGCAGCCTGTGCTCCCCACGCCTGTTCAAACCCACTTGGGGTTCAGCCTTCCCCACACTCCTGAGGTTTCTGTTCAGGATCTGACAATCACCAAGATGGACTTAAAAACAAGATTCCCAGCCAGCCACAGTGGTGTGGGTCTGTAACCCTGATACTCAGGAGGCTGAGGCAGGAGGATTACAAGTTTAAAGCCAGTCTGGCAATGTATGGGGACCCTGTCTCAAAAGAACAAGTACAAAGGGCTAGGCATGTAGCTTAGTAGGAGAGCACCCTTGGGTTCCATCCGTAGCACTGTCAAAAGAAAAAGAAAAAAGGATCCAAACTGACTTAAAATGATTTGGGGCTCACAGGTCAAAAACATGTAGGGAACAGGGAGATATGGCTCCTCCCTAAAGGAAAGGAGCCAGGAGGGCATGGGGTGGGAGGCCAGGCTTCCTCAGACACCCCTGCTCCCCAGAAGTCCCAGGTCCCCACAGGACATGTGGGAGACCCACAGGTCCGAGGAGCCGTGGTCTTGTGGGAGGGGAGAGAGCCCCAGGGACAGACACAGGCAGGAGATGCTACAGGACGCTCCCCTGCAGCAGGCCCTGGACTGGTGAGAGAACATAGCAAGTTTGAGCTCAACCTGGGTAATTTAGCAGCTTAACAAGACCCTGTCTCAAACAATACATCCTGGTTTCAGTCCTCAGTCCCGCTAAATAATGAGTAAATAGTAATCTAAGAGCAGAGGCCCAAAATATAGGAAGTGAAAGGTGACAACACTGAAGATATGAGGAGGTAACACGACAGCTGTGACTCCCTTGTCCTGCTCTGGGTCCTGAAGAGAAATCGGCGAGGATAGCCAAGGAGCTGGGGCCAGGCTCTGTGGTCTCTAGACACAGTGCAGGTGGGAACTAGTGACAAACACAGCCTTAGAAACGAACATGCTTCTGGGGGCTGGGGATTTAGCTCAGTGGCATAAGCACCTGCCTTACAAGCAGACAGTCGTGAGTTCGATCCCCGGTACCGATAAAAAGGAAAAAGACAAAAAAAAGAAACTAACATGCTTCTAATGAAATCACAAAATCAACACTACTTTTGCATCACTGGGGGGCTGAGCCCAGGCTATGAGCATGCTAGAAGCTCTCGACCCCTGAGCTACACCCCAGCCCTTAGAGAAGAAAAAGGAAAATACAACTTACCAAGCTGTGCATCATAGTGCTAGGGCTGTGGTGTAGAGGGAACAGGGTGCCCCTTTAAACGTGTATATTAAAAAATAAACACGTATATTAGCAAAGATGACAGACATTGAGGTAGCAACACAACCTTTCACCCCAAGAACTGGGAAAAACAAGCAAATTAAGCACAAGAGGAAAGAAAAGAGCACAGCGAGGTAAGGGAAGCAGGAAACCAGAATGAAGACAGTGAAACCAAGAGCTGGTCTACTGCCAAGGCCCCAGAGTGGGTACTGGCCACAGACAGATTCACAGGGTCTTAATGGAGCACTATAGACACAGTGATGTCAACAAGTCCAACAGCCTCAAAGAGATGGACAGGTTCCCAGGAAGCTGTGTGCTGCCAACATCAATTCAAAAAGCAAAACCTAACTTCAGGTAGCAAAAGTTCTCCCTAAGCCAGGCAAGCTGATGCATGCCTGTAATCCCAGCACTCAAGAGGCTCAGGCAGGAGGATTGCTCCAAATTTGAGACAAGCCTGGGCTATAAAGTGAGCTCAAGGTCAGCCTGAACTGCACAGCAAAACCCTGTCTCAAACACACACACACAAAAAAGGGTTCGTCCACAGAGAAATAAAGGCCTGCCTGGTTTTGTGAGTGACTTCCAGTAAACCTCTGGAAGTGATCACCCAAATCTTTCAGAAGAGGTGCACCATTTTCTGATGCACCCATAGGCCACATGGACATCGAGGGGTAGAATGTGGACCGATCTCTTATGCACAGACACAGAAAACCCTCAACAGAATGGCAAACCGATTGAGCATATACAAGTAGGATGGTATCCTGTGACCAAGGGATTTTCTCAGGCAGGCAGGGTTGGCCTGGGAGGTCACTGCAGTAGATACTGATAAGACACATCAGCATCACTGACAACAGCTCAACTAGGGGAGCCTCGCACCCAATAAGAGACCGACAGGCAGCATCACAGTTAAGGGTGAAGGACTAAACTGTCTGCCCTTAAAATGGAGAACAAGGCAGGGATTTCTGCCCCTAACATGCTTCAGCATGGTACTAGATTAGAGGGTGCAGTGTTACAATGAAAAAAGAAAGGAAGAACTCTCTTCCACACTCTTCCTTGTGAGGCCACAAGGTCTCAATGGAACCACACAGTCTGAAAAGTGGTTTTCCTCTTTCCTACAATAAGCACCTGAAAATAAGACTAAGAAAATAATTCCAAACAGGCATCCATTGATAAGCTGCTCTAGATCAAAGCCAACAAGAGATGGACTTGTATATGCCGGATACCACAAAACCCCTGTGGTCTAGGCTGATTCTTCCCAGTAAGCCTCCACAAACTGCCGAGCTGTTCTCAACATGTGTAAAAAACATAATGGATCAAGATAGCCAAAGCAGTTGTGGAAAAGAATAAAGCAGAGGACTCACTTCCTGACTGCACAGCATATTCTGCAGCAGTGCTCACTGAGGTGACACAGAGTCTGGGCAGGGCCAGATGGAGAAGCAAGCTGCCCTTCCTCCTGCAGGCAGCACGCTGTCACCAGAGCCATGGAAGGGCTCCTTTCCAGCAGATGCTGGTGGAATAAGTGGGCATCTCTGTGCAGAAAATGACCTTGAGCCCCTCCTCCTATTGTCAATAGAAAAAAACTTATCATTACGCTAAACCTGAGAACAGAAATTATATTATAAAGGTTTTAGAGGCAAACAGAAAAAAAATAAAAATAAAAACCTCCCTAATCCTGGGTTCAACAAAACTCTTGAGATCCAACATTACAAGTCCCAGGATAAAATGCCAAAAGCACTGTCCTCATAAAAAGTTTTGATAAACTGGACACCATCAACATTAAAAACGTTTACCCTGCAAGAAACATATTAAGAAAAAAAAAAAAAAGAAACATTAAGAAAGTGAGGGACTAGGCTATTTGAGGCCCTGGGTTCAAATCCCTAGCACCAAAAACATAAATGAACAAAGCAGAGACAAGCCATAGATTGAGAGAAAATATCTGCAAAGCATGTATCTGATAAAGGACTTACGTCTAAAATAAAAGATTCTAAATTCTGTTAAGAGGGGCCGGGGACTTGGCTCAGCGGCATAAGCACCTGCCTGGCAAGCTCGAGGTTGTGAGTTCAATCCCAGGTACCACAAAAACAAAACTAAATAAATAAATAAATAAATTCTGTAAGAAAAGAAATAATCCAACTTAAAAAACAGGCAAAAGGCCAGGCATAGTGGCACATGCCTGTAATCCCAGTACTCAGAAGGCTGAGGCAGGAGGATTGCCAGGAGTTAAGGCGAGCATGGGCTACATAGTGTCAGCCTGAACTGCATAGAGACTCTGTCTCAAAAAAAAAAAAAAAGAAAAAACTTGTGACTGTTTAGTGAACATACCAAAGCTGCCCAGTCTCAGGAGTTGTCAGGAAAATGGGAATCAGAACTCTCACTAGCATGGATCCTCACTTGTTCTGGAACAACCTAGTCCCACAGCATGAAGAGCAGCCTCACATATGAGAGCCTGAGGGAGGCAGACAGCCAAACCCACACAGACAGCAGTTTACTGGGGACTCACAGAAGTGGGGTCTAAGCATCTGGCTGTAGAGCCCCACCCGTGTCTCTAGTGGTTTATCTCCTTAGGGTTTGCTGGCAAACTGCAGAAAACCCCAGCTAGGGTCACTCTGAGGTAGTGCTGGTGGCTGCAGTCAGGTCGAGGGGAGACCACACCCTCCATGGAATAGTCATGACCAAAGGAATCATGCTGGCGAGGATGCAGAGACAGGGTCCACATAGTGGTGGGAGCAGCATTTTGGAGAGCAGCCTGGAAGTGTCTTCATGACCTCCCAGGTGTCCACCCTGACAAGTGAGGATGCCTGTCCTTCAACAAAGCCTCTGGCAGCAGCATCCCCACCAGCAGGGACCTCTGAGGGGTGCACAGGCGGGCCACACCACTACAGGGGCACTGTGGATGGGCAGCCCCAGGGGCACGAAGCCTGGCTTGCTCCACAACACGGACAAGTCCTGGAAACACAGTGAGCAGAAACTGGATGTGGGGAAGGCTCCCAGCCAGAAACGGCTCTGTGGCCAAAGGAATGGATCCCTGACTGTGCTTGGGGAGGCTGAGATAAGTGCAGGGACACAGGGTAGGATTCTCCAGGAGCTGCAGGATGAGCAGGCTGTACACCCCTACCTCTGTGCAGCTGACAGCTCAGCACAACCTGCTGGTCTTGGGGGATGCCCTGGTGCCAGTGAAGCCCCTGGGGCCCTCCAAGGAACAGCGTCTTGTGGGGACGGACGTACCTTGCGCTGGCAGAATGTGGAGCAGTAGTTGACCTTGTGGCAGCCGGTGCACTCGCTCAGGGCCTCCCGGCCGCAGTTCACACATGACTGCTGCAGGGGGAGCAGGGCAGTCAGTGGCTCAGCCTGCGAGGCAGACATGTGAGGACAGATGGCCTGTGACAAGGGGTGCCCCCCCCACCCCAGCAATCTCATCCAGATGCCTAGACCCTGTTCCTGCCTTGGCATGTCTGCCCAGTGCTCAACAGCAGCAGCATCTACACAGAACACCCAGCTGGGAACAACAGAACCAAAATGCTCAAAGTGCCTCCCAAGCACATTTGATCTACACCCCCAGGGTCACCTGTGACCACAGAAGAGCCCCTATGTGGGAAGCTTTAGTGCAGAAGCTGCAAGGCAGCTTTAGTGCAGAAGCTGCCACCATTGAAAGCCTGGCCAGCAGCTCTGTGGGCATGGAGACCCCAGCCTTGGCACTCAAAAAGTGGAGTGCACCTGCCACCCACCACTGCAAAGGAGATTCGTTATCCTTGGCACAATGTGGCCTGAGTATAAACTCCCAGCATGTGGCATCATGAAGCCCTAGCAGCCAGGTGAGCTGTGCCACCGTCAGCATCACTGGCTGAGAAGGGACATGTCCAGAGGGTGTAGCATGGGAACCAAGCTGCTTTTGTTTTACTTGAGTTTATTTCATTTTTTTTTAGTGCTAGAGATGGAACCTAGCATCTTCTACATTGTAGGCAAGCATTCTAACACCAAGCTACATCCAGACCTTGTTTTATTTTGGGATGGAGCCTCACTAAGTTGGCCAGGCTGCCTAGAACACATAATCCTCCTGCCTCAGCCTCCCAAGTAACTGAATTTACAGGTGTGTGGTACCTCACCTGGCCTAACCACTTTTATTCAGGAGCCAATGGAGGAAAAAAGAAATCCAATGGAGAGTGTGCATGCATGCACGCACACGCACACACACACACAAACACCATTTTTAAAAGAACTACTGCCTGGGGCTGGGGATTTAGATTAGTGGCATAAGCATCTGCCTGGCAAGTGTGAGGGTCATGGGTTTGACCCCTGGTACAAAAAAAAAAAAAAAACTGCGGCCCCTCCTGTGAGTCAGCAGGGTCTGGGAGGAGGAGTAGAACCAGAAACCACTCTGCCCTTCCCATAAGCTGCTCAAGCCACACGGGGCTCAGGAAGAAAGAAGCCAGTTCACCCTTCCCATGACCTGACCAGTGCATGGAATCAAGAACAGTGCCCCCCAACACCGGCTGCCGGCTGGGTTGGAGGACAGAATGAGTCGATGACAGCTGAGGTACAAAGACAACTAAATGCTGGTGCCATCTGACTGACTTTGCAGGTCTAAGACTAGCAGTCTGAGCACCTATTGGGAGGACAACAGTATGCAATACAGCAACCATGGGAGATCTCCTTCTGACTTGTTTTTGAAATCCAATACTGTTCTTACTGTTTTGTTTTGTTCTGATTTATTGTTTTATTTAATGTTGTTTTGATTAGCTTTATTATTTCATTTTATTTGATTTTACTACATCTGATGGTATGGACAACTATTGGGAAGATAACAAGATACATTATAGTAGCCATTGTAGATTTCCTGTTACCCTGTTTTGAAGTTCTCTACCACTTCCACTGTTTTGATTGACTTTATTGTTTTATTTTGCTAGGTTTTATTCTTTAAAAATAAAAGAACTACTAGTTATTTATCAAGGATTACTATGCTCAGTACTGTTTTTATTATTTATTGAAGATTTTTTTTTTCTTGGTACCAGGGATCTAACTCACTGCACACTTCCAAGGCAGGCCCTTATGCCACTGAACTAAATCTCCAGCCCTTGTTTTTATTATTTATTCTAGAAATGACACAAAAGGTTAAACTTGAAAACTTAGGGGCCAGGCATAGAGTGGTGCACACCTGTCTCCATGACAACTAGTTGATCCTTCACCCTTGGCTCCTGACCTCTGAACCCAGGTTCTGTGACAGCTAAGTGAAGCCCTAGCCAGCTGCCCAGGGCAAGCGGAGCTGTTTCTGCCAACTGCTGGGAGCCTGGGAGCTCCTGGGGATGTGAGCTACAGGGACGGTGTGAGCTCTGTCCTCAGGACCATGGGTTGGGGGGAGCCCAAGCTTAAGGACAGAAGGGCACACTCTAATTACACCTGGGAGCAGCAGCTGGGGGAACTGGAAACTCTCACACCCAAGTGGAGGTTGGAGCTCTTAATCCGATCAAGGGATCAATCTAATGGCATCTTTTCCAGCTAGCCAGGGCTGTGACACCACCCAGAGAGATGCTGGCCACCTCTTATCTTGTGCTAGGGCAGTCTGCAGGCACTGCAGCTGGCATCTACCTGTGTTCTAGCCCTGTGCCTGTCACTGGCTGTCAGGCCTCTTCACGGTCCCCATGTCCTCATGGGCTGGCTTCCTGTGGTCCCAGGCCTGGGCTGACACTTGCAGTCCCCTCCCTCCTGAGGCTGAGGAAACACTGTGTCCAGGTGGCCCCCTGCTGCCCAGACAGGTGATCTGAGGACCATCCCAGGGATTTAGGGACAGGCAGTGCTATTAGAGCAGTCAGCAGTCAGCTCCCAAGTTCCTGTGATAGACACCAGCAGGGCCTGGGTATGTTTGGGTCACACAGAGCAGAGGCTTCCCTGCCTGAGCCACAGGGATGGGGCCCTGGGACGCTCCTCTCCCTGCACCTATGCTGAGCCACATTTCATTCCCACACAGAAAGCAGGGAAGGGGGCCTGAAGAAGGCCGAGACGGAGTAAGGAGTGGGAGGCATACATTGCAAGGACAGGGCCAGGACCAGGGCCAGGGCCGGTCTGAGCCAGGCCACAGTTGACCCAAGGCCCTGGGGCCACTCAGTGGCAGCTGGTGGACACTGTGTCCTTGATAGCAGAAGAGCATGTGCTCTTCTGCCCTGGTTAGCCACGGCAGAGCTAATTACACACACACACACAAACAATTTTCCACTAAAACTGCCAAAAACTTCCTTATTAACTTCAACTGGGTTGAATTAGTTCTCTTAAATTAAATTCCAAATAAAAGGTTAAGGCCCTCCATCCACGAGGTCTCCTGGGGTTCCTGAGGGAGGGCGGAACACCTGACTCTGCCTTTGCCACCTCCCTGAATCAGGTCCTCGGGTCTCCACATACTTGGTCCCGACCATCTCATCATCATCCTGCTCCCTGGCCTCTCAGGGAATGAAAATGCATTTAACACCAGCTGGTGTTCCCATAGCACTTCATGAAGTCCCTAATAAAACCATCTGGCACTTTTCATGCGGGAGAGGGAAGCCACCTATGTCGCACTCCACCCATGTTCCCTCCCCACCCTGCACCCCCAATTCCCATGGTGGGCAGCACTGGGGCACAAACACTGCTGACAGGGATTTAGCTCAGCGGCATAAGTACCTGCCTTGCAAGCAGGCAGTTGTGAGTTCGATCCCCGGTACTGATAAAAAGAAAAAAGAAAAAAAAAAAAAAAACACTGCTGACAACCAACATCCAATCCCAAGATGCCCGTGGAGCTGGCTCCCCAGGGCTCACAGCCTAAGCCCAAAACCCACCACTTCCCCAGGGCCCAGGGCTCATACTGTGCCCAGCCACACGCCCACCTTGTCGATGTGGTCTTGGTGAGGGAGGCCTATCACACACAAGGTAGGCCCAGGAGCAGGGCCGAGTCAAGGACCTTGCCCTTCTTGGGACTCAACCCCTAGACCAACATGGGGCCCAGCAGGTTGTTTTCGGTGATGTGGGTTCAGTCTTGCACCACGCCTTCATGGGCACATTGTCTTCACTGGAACCAAGAGATCACCTGCCCAGCACAGTGGGACAGCTGGGTCCCAGATGCTTGGGAAATGGAGCCAGGGGACACTGCAGTCCTGGAGTTGGGGACTAGCTGAGCTACACATGAGAACCCAGCTCAAAATGCTTCTGCTGCAGCCTGAAGTGCCCTGGACATCCGACTCTGCTCAGGCACAGGCTGCACCGGGTGGTCCCAAGGTCAAGCCCAGCTTAGTAGCTCAGCAAAACAAATACATGAAGAGGCAGAGTGTTTGCAGCCCCTGCAAGGGCCTGGGCTCCAGGCCCAGTGCCCCCTACCCCATCAACTGTAAAAAGAGATCTGGAAAATTCTCAGCTGTTTACAGGTGAAACATATTTCTCAACAATCCAGATCAAAGTACAAAAGTAGCCCTACATCTACACTGGGCTTTTCGGCTAATCCCAAGGCAGTTTGGGCAGAGGGCTTTCTCCTGAGGCTACAGGGAATCTTGAGGAAAATGAACCTCAAGTTCCTGAAACAGGATGTGAACAAAAGCAGTGATGCAAAGCACACAGCCATGTAGCTACCACCAAGCCCTATGGGGCCAGAACTGCTGCTGATGGCATAACCAGGCCCAGGTCCAGGTGGGGCAGCAGGACAGGAGGAGCCACCAGCCGGGCATCGTTCTATGCCCACAGCACATTCCAAAAGCCCACAGCCAGGGCCCAGGCCCAGGCACTCTAACAGACAGAAATTTACATTGGGCTTTATCCAGTCCAAAAAAACACAGGGACCTTATCTGTCATCTTTTGGCACAGGAATGACTGGCTTTGTTTTCCTTACACTTTTCTGTTTTCCAGATTATAGCATGAGTAGGTCTTAGTTTAGAATTGTACTTTTTGAAGCTTTCACTGTCTCTAAGAGTGGCAATGTTTTCTTTTTTGAAAACGAATTCACCCCCAGGCTAAGGTATCATCAGATCCTCCGCTGGTGGAAGGTGACATTCATCGGAACTGGAAAATCCAGTGCTGAACTTTCTTGCAGCCTGCAGCCTCCCACCAGCTCCTGCTCCACATGTCCTGTGATGCCAGGCAGAGTGGCCCATGTGGAATGATGCTGTAACCTCTCCACAAGCCACCAGCTGGCTCCATTCCCAGTCCCCATAGCACCTGGGAGGTTTTAGCCGTAAGCCACCTGAGACCTTGAACAAAAGGAAGCCAGAGGGCTAGGGGTATAGTTCAGTGGCACAGCATCTGCCTGGCAAGTGCAAGGTCCTGTGTTCAACTTCCAGTACCAAACAGACAAACCAAAAAGACGCCCAAGAGGCATGGGCTGCAGTTTGAGTCAGGCACCTGCCCTGGGCTCAGCCCCCAGTATGGGGTCAACAGCAGGTGTCTCTCTTAAAGGGAATCCTCACTGGTGACAACTTCCCAGACAGGCAGTGAGTCTCGGGGCCCGTGCCCACCTTACCTCTTTCCGCTCTGCGTCAGCCTGCATCCTGGCCTGAGACGCGGCAGCTTCACGGCAGGTGCTGGCCTGCTTGGCCTGTTCAAACAATGTCTTCAGCTGCTGCGCCGTGTTCAACAAATTGTTGACCATCTCTTCCAAGTACAGCCAGCTCCGAGGCTCTGTCATCTCCAGCCCACTGAGAGACGCCGGGGAGACAGGCTTGGTAGGGGTGGAAGGTGGGACGGCCAGGGCAGGCAGGGACGTGAGCACTAGGGAGGGACACTTGAGGTCAGGGCATCTTTTCTACACGGGCTCCTGAGCCCCACATGCCAGGATATAGCATGATGCCCGCCTGACCAGCCTGAGACCAAGGACACCTCCCTCCCATGTATCCACACCTGTGTACCACATCGCATTCCTAATGCTGCTGAAGCAACACTGGAAAAGTGGGGCACACACATGCAAGAGGGCATGTAAGCAACAGTGGGGTCAGACCAGGGCAGAGGCAAGCATGTGTGCGCGTGAGTGTAGGTTATGCATGTATTCCACCTTGTGGAGGCAGGCACAGCCCTGTATCCAGAATGCACTGTGACACTGACCTGCAGCCCTTGGGAGAAAAAGCCCCTAAAGGTCATTCTCTGGTACCCACTGTGGGCAGGAGACAGGGCCCAGAGAAGATACAAAGTATCATGAGGGCTGGGACCCAGGGCAGAAGCACTGATTGCTCCCAAAAGGCCGGGCTCCTGGAGGAACAGGAGACCCAGCGTGGTTGGGTCACAGAGCAGGGGTGTGTCCACGAGGGCAGGCAGAGCCCAGCCACGTGAACTCCACTGGTCAAGTCTGGGGCAGCTGCAGAGTGATGACAATGGTCAGCACCCACTAAAGCCTTGTAAAACGAGGGGGAAGCTCTGTGGCCTTGGGACCTAATAGCTACTTCCTGCCACAGTGGGAGACAGGGACTCAAGTCCTCAGCCAGAGCCCAGGTCACCTTCCACAGCCACAGGACAAGCATTGAGGTGCCCAAAGCTCTCACCAGCCCCTTCCCCATGTAGACTTGTGTGCCACTGTGTAGCCCTGGGAGGGGGCATCCTGCAGGACATCTCTCCAGGACAAGGGGTGGGGCAGGAAGACCACACAGATAGGGGACTAAGTTCAGGACTAAGCACCTACTTCCCTGACACTGGAGACCCCAGCCCCGTCCTGCCTTTGGGGCAAATACATTCACTGAGGAAGCAACCAGAATACCCTGGGTGTCACAGTGCTCTTGGTGGCCCAGGAGAATGAGCAGAGCCTAAAGTAGGATAGTGCCAAGCCAAGCAGGGCCAACAGTGGTCTAAAGAAAGCAGGATCTGAGTAGAGCCTGAAGATGGAAGAATCTGGGGTGGGAAGGGGAGAGGACTTGTTTTTCAAACTCAAGAAAGTATGCCTCCCTCACTGCCAGCCACAGTGGCACACGGCGCAGTGTACACTAGCCTAGTTAGCAGCTTGGTGACTACGTGTACCTTTGAGGTGCAGACACAGAAGTGGGTCCAAAATATGCAGGTAAGTGTGTGTAATAGAAAAGCACAGGTGTAAACTGGGTCCCACTGCCCTCAGCAGCACTGCCACTCTGAGACATGGTGTGGTAGGCTGTGCCCTCATGCACAGCTGGACTGCAAACACCCTCCTCCCAGGCCTGGTGGCTGCACTGGGCTGGGAACTTCCATCTATGTGGCACTTGGCCTCTGTGCATGAAGCAGCACACACATAGGGGCAGAAGTGGGTGGAGAGGCTGAGTCCAGGGACCCTGCTGTCCCCATTACCTCTGTGAGCACACTGCTGGGAAATCTCCTGAGAAGCCCCTCTGGCCAGGCATGGCTCAGAGGCAGAGTCTGTGCCAGGAGCCCAGAACCACTGTGCTTTCATCTGCAGCACAGCAGAAACCAAACCTCTCTGAGAACCAGGACCTGTGCCACACTCACCTAGCTTGGGGTGTGACGTTGGCAGTGCGGCCTCAGGGAAAGGTGCGATCTGGCAGCTGTCCTGGTAGCCAGGGTAGTGGGGCTCAGGGTGGCCGACCCGGCAGGGAGGCTGCACACCGGCCTCCTGCACTGTGGGTGAAAGACGGGACAGCTGGTGGGGGCACAGCATGCTCAGGCTCCAGCCAGGCTCTGCTAGCTCTGGGACACGCTCAGGAGGATGGAGCGTGTGACAGGAGTCCCCTTTCCCCCTCCTTGCTCTCCTATTGCAGATCCAGAGCACTTACCACCATATATGGCCTTACTTACCCGGGAGCCACCTGCCTGCTGGGCTTCCCTCAAATAGATGAGACACAGGGCCACAGAAACACCTAGTAGGTACAGGGACTGTCCTTGGAGGGGCTCACCTGTGGCTCCTGTGAAGACATCGCCCTGGGCTGGGCTCTCAGAGATGACAGCTGTGGCCTCCACGGTGGATGTACGGTCAAAGGTCAGTGCCCCTGAAGTGGTGATCTGCCCCGATGGTGTCACAGTGACTGCAAAGGCAAAGGGTGACTCATGCAGGCCAGGTAGACACAGGTGTCAGACAGACCCAGGGCCTGGCCGGAGCAAGAACATATGGGGATACAGCAAGGCCTGGGACTTGGGCTGCATGGACACAGCCATGCCATGGAGTCAGGCTGGGGACCAAGCACTTGTGCTGTACAGACAGAAAACAGAAGCATAAAAAGAATCTGGAAAGGCTTTGGGCCTTTCTTCAACACTGAGGATAAAAGCAGCCCACATCTGCTGACTCCTGATTCGGTCATACACTCAGTGCAATGTGGGCAGCAGCTCAGGTAGACAGTAGGAGGAGCCAGCTGGAGGGAGACTGAGTCAGAGATGAGGCCCCTAGCACATGCCCACCTCCCAGGAGAGACTGGTCAGAGTGCCCACGGCAGGACAGCATGGCAAAAACCACTGGAGCCACAGAACATGATGAGTTGCACCTGTAATCCCAGCCACTCAGGAGGCTGAGGCAGGAAGATGGAAAATTCCGGTCCAGCCTGGGAAACCCAAGAAGAATCTCTCTCAAAACGAATTATAAAGGGCTGAATCCCCACTACCAGGAGAAAAAACAACAAAATAAACCCTTTGTTTGGAAAGTGTCCAGGCCAGTAACTGCCTGACAGCTGAGCCTCTCACAGCCTCACTGGAAATGCACGGGGGGCCCTGGAAATGACCAGAGAGAGCACCCTTCTCCTGGGGCCATGCTCAACCCTGGGAAAAAGACACCAAGGGGCCAGAAAGTACCCAGCACAAAAGCAGCAGTCAGATGGCTGGTGGCACATCTACATCAGTGCAAAGCCAAGCCGGATCCCCTCAACTCACAGGTGGTGGCAGCAGTGGCCGGGAGCAGCGTGATGTTCTTGGGAGAGTCCTTCTTCAGCGGTGTTGTGGGCAGTTCGTTCTCCTTCTTTCGCCTCTTGTAGGGCACAAAGAGCCGGACCGGGCCACTCTGCAGGAGGAAGGCAGAGTGCACAGAGCTCACAGGTGGAAGGGGCCAGCACTGGAAGCTGGGCCATGAGTCTGCAGACAGACGGACAGCGGGGAGTGGGCACTCGGCATGGCTGGGAGGAAGCCAGCTCTGCACTCTCCATAGGTACAGACAAGCACGGACCAACAGCGCCACAGCAAATGGCACTGCTGGGGACTGGCATTGCAGGGGTTCCTAGAAAAAGGTAGGCCAGACCAAGTAGAGGAGGATGAGGAAATCCACAGCTGAGAAGGAGCCAACCCACACTGCCAGTAAGCTCGGAGTTCAGGAAGAGGGAATCGGGACCCGGATGTAAAGGAAAGAGGCCAAGCAAGCTAGCAACAGCAAAAAGAAATGGTCGGATCTCCCCACATCACCAGGCCCCCAGGGACTGGCCCTTCCCAGAGCTAGGAGACTAAGACTCCCCCCAGCCCAGTACTGTGTAGGGGAGACACAGGTCAGGGTTTAAGACAGTCTCTGCAGGTAGCCCATGCTGGCCTCAAACTTTGGATCTTCCTGCCTCAGCTTTCTGAGCAGTTGGGATTACAGGTGTGAGCCACCACACTTAGCTCCTTTCCTTCTCCTAATTCTCTGTCGATTCTCTCCCTTCAGACGCACCATTGCCACACCAGCCTCTTTTCCCAGTGGCCCCTCCATTTCTCCCTAGGGAGCTGTCCTGCTTGTCCCAGCCTGGCCAGGTCACATCTGCACACAGCTGCCTGCTCTCTGCCTGATGTCTCTGCTTGGGCACACATGGTGGCAGCTACAGGCCAGTTCCAGTGTCTCCTCTGGCACTGGGCCCTGCTGACTTCTTGCTGAAGTCTCATGCCCTGCAAGGTCCTGGCTGGGCTCTGTGGTCACCTGACACTTGAGGCTGTCTTGGCCCCTGTCCCCAGCCCTTCTGTGAAGCCGGGCTCCACCACTTTCAAGCAGCTCTGGGGCACAAGAGGCCCACGGATGCTGTTCAGGCAGTTAACCAAGGGCTCTCACAGTGGTGGCAGGAGCCAGACCAACACCAGCTCCTGCTCATGGCAGCTCAGCTCCTCCTGGCCATGCCTGCCTGGTCTCGGTCAGCCCCTGGGGAAGGCCTCTGAAGCTCTACCCCTGTGGCTGGCCTCTTCATCCCACAAAACCCCAGCATCCCGCCAAGGATACTCCTGTCACACACGTTGTGCTTGGCCCTTGCTGCGGCCAGGTCAAGGGCACATGGGCCAGAGCTGGTCCTTGCCTGTGACCACCCAGTGGCCCCAGCACAAGACCCTGCAGTGACCCTATATACCACAATGCTGACTGCTGTGACCACAGAATCCATGTGAGGATTCTGCCGAGTGTAGATCATTGCATTACCTTTTCCTTTCCACATAAATTGCAGGACCAGCCTGTCGCCATCTACAAAAGTCCTGGTGAGTTTCCTTTAACCTTCTAGGATTCTGAGTGTAATTTGTTAAGGCTGTGATGTGACTGGAAAGATGACCTCCTACAGCCCACAGGACTGCGGGCTATGGACTTGGTCTCCTCAGAGCCAGGTCTTCCCCAGCTGCTTTCGCCTGTGCTGCCTATACTTTTTCTCAGGTTCACAGCTGAGGGTTTCCACTGCTCAGAGCAACTGCCGATGATTCTGCCACATGTTCCCAACTTCCTTCTCAACCCTCACTGCTCCTCCATTCAAGACCCCTGGTTCCATCTGGTTGGTGTTTGGCTTTTTGAGACAGGGTCTCATTATGTAGTTCAGGCTGGCCTCAAAGTTACAGAGATTCTCCTACCTCAGCCTCCTGAGTACTGAGGTTACAGGTGTGCACTACCACACTGACTCTTATATTAGTTTTTCCAAATAAACTCTAAAATCATTTTATTTTCATGAGGTTAATATCCCCAGCACATGCACATTAAATTTACACATGAACTAGACAACTTAAAAAATTTGGTGTTTTGCCACAAGAAAATGGTATATACTCCAATATAAAAACCAACAAGGAAGACCTTACTCTTTTCTGATGCAGATAGATGTGTAAGGCAAGGAAATGTTGTAAGAACATTAACAGCAATTGTGGCCCTGCTTTTTGTGAATTCACACTGGTATGACACAGTGTTAGGGTTTACACCCACATGTCTCCTGAAACCTTATATAAACATAGGTAGGACTTTTGGGAGGTGGATCAGTCCACTAATGAGCTCAAGCTAAATGGGACATTGTAAGGTGAAGCCTAGTTGGAGGAGGTGGATCACTGGGGGTGTGACCAGAAGGGCTACCTCTCTCCTCTTCCCTAGATCGCCCTCTAGTTCCTCCCTGCCATGCTAGAAGCTGTTTTCCTCTGCCATGTCTCTCTGCCATGCCACTCTGCCTTGCAGCTGGCTAGGGACTGAAACCACTAAAAACTGAGAATGATCTTTCCTCCTTATAGTTGTGGATGTCAGGTATTGCATCTCAGCAAGGAGAAAGTAACGAAGACTCGTCATGCTAAAAGTACAGCATGTGAAACAGCACACGTACTTATGACTGCTTAAAGGGAATGAATCTGGCTTCTGGGCTGCACAGAGCCCTCCCCTGTGGCAGGCTGGCTGTGATCTTCCTGGACCACCCGGCAACTTGTCCTGCTCAGGAAGTGGAAGCAGGAGGGCACAGAAGGAAGCACCGATGTTCACCCAGGCCGAGGCTCATGAGAGCAGGAGAAAGCTGGGTCAGGCCACATGTGCTGGGGACTCACCAGGGTCATGTCATCACAGCAGGCTGCGCAGGTACAAGAGGCTGCATGCGGGTTCAAGATTCCATCCTGCAAGGCAGAAAGTGCTTCAGAGCCACAGCCAGCTAAGCAGGCTAAGACCTAGTACTTCCCCACCACTCAAGAAGGATGAGTCGCTTCCAGAAACTCTGAGCTGTGCAGCACCATCACCGGCGGCAGCAGGAAAGGGCTCTAGGACACTGCTCCTCAGCCAGGCTTGACTCAGTCAGGCCCCTTCCCTCTGGAAGAAGCAGCAGATGCACAGTTGCAAGCCACCAATGGGAGGCAGTGCCCTGACTTCCTCTTCAATTCTTTTTATTTTTTTGGCGCCACTGAACTCAGGGCTGACCTCCACACTGAACTCCACATTGACCTCCATCCCCAGACCCTTTTTACTTTTTATCTTGGGACCAGCTCTCAGTAGGCTGTTAAACTGAACAGGCTGGATTTCCAGTGTAACATTATGTCTGGCTTCAATTTGCTCTCTCCCTATGTCTAAAGTTCCCTGTGCTCAGCACCACTTCTGGCATGCCCTATAACCCTGCAGGCAACACCAGTGTTGTCCTGTGGAAAGCCGAGGGGCAGGTGCTACGGCCACCGTAATGCAGTGAGCATGGCCAGGCCCCAGAGGCCCAGGCCCACGCTCCTCCCACCGCTGGCCCCAACCCCAGCCTCCAGTCCCTGAGACAGGCCTCACTGTGCAGCCCAGTGTGCAGCGTACCTGGATGAGGCACTGCAGTGGCCGGCCGGCGTAGCGGATGCTTCTCTTCCAGTCCTTGCTGCTGGCTCTTCCTGCCATGGCCTCAAATTCTGTAGGGCTGTACCAGTTCTCCCCCTGCTTAATGCAGCGCCCCCGGCCCCCTGGGGTGAAGGTGTCCATCACCAGGCTGCACGTGCCCCCTGCAGGCCTGTCTTTCACTCTATTCCTCCACCTCCCATCGGCTCTGTAACCACATGGTCATCTTGAAGGCTGCTCAGGGAAAATCCCCACCCAAATTTCCTTTCTGGCAGTGCCCTGATCGCCCATCTGATCCTCCACTCCAGCCTGTGGTAGTGCAAGCTCCATCACATCCCCAAGCATCTTCTCCAAGTCGCAAGCTGACTAGTCCACATGGGTTGTGAGCTCAGCACTGTCCTCTTCCAAACCCAACTTGTGTGGGTTATTGGGCCCCAGTGACAAAGGTCTGACCCACCTTTGTACCCGCTGTGGCCTGGCCCTGCCGCCAGCTTCCTGACAGAGTCACCCAAGACAGACAATGCAGCCTCACCTGAGCCCAGCCTGCTTTTATAAAGCGTGCCACTGATGTTTCGGCAGCGCACTGGCAGCTCGCTGTCATACACTGACGGGTCCCAGTTGTACTTGGTGGCTCCTTTTTCCTGGCCAGGAGCCAGCGGAGTGGGAGGGGACTGAGGGCCTGGGACAAAGAGGAGCTGTGAGGACCAGGACCAGCAAGGCCAGAGCTTTACCTCTGGACAGCACCCTCTTCAGTTGGATAACTCTGCCTTTTCCACTCAGGTCCACTATCTGGTATTCCAAATTTACAGAGAAATGAACTCCAGAGAGGCTGTGCAATGGAGTACACATACCTGGGGTAAGAGGAGCCGCTGGACCCTTCAGGCCAGTGGTCTCCACGATGCTCCCATCTGTGTGGACGACAATCAGCGTGGCCTTCTCAGTGTTCAGGCTGTCCCCAATCTGTAGTGCGGTCCTGCCAGACTAGGAGAGAGGACGCATCCATGGGATCAGCTATGAGGACAGCCACAGGCGCATCACCTACCTCAGCAGGACATGGTCCTACAAAGGCTCTCACCACCATTACCAACTAGAGGACCTGACATGGTCATTCCACATCCACCACAGAAATGTCCCTCAGAGGCTTAAAGACAGAGCCAAGAAGAAGGCAGGCAAACCTGGGTCTGAGCCCAGCTGCAGCACAAACATGTACCTTGGTGCAGTCTCTCCTGCCTCGGCTCCTCACAGTCTGTCCCTGGCCCTGGCAGCTCCCAGTGGAAAGAGGCTGGTGAGAGGGCACCAGGAGAGGCTCCAGCCCAGAACATGTGTGGCCGGCCTGGGAGCATTCAGGAGCAGGAAGCCCTGGCCCAGGCAGTGTTTACAGTGCTATCCCTGCCCTTCCCAGCTAGCAGCTCACCAGGACGTGTCCTGAGATGGACGCAGCATTCGCCACCGATGTTGTGAAGACATTGTCCGCAGAGGCACCCATGTTGGCTACCGTTACGGTAGTCACTTCTGCAATGGAAGGAACCTGACTGTATGAGCAGTGAATGCCAGAGCACAAAAGTCGACCACTTCATAGCAGAGCCTGCCAGAGGCTGTACTTGGACCATGGCAAGACCTCTGCCCTTTGCTTCCAGGGCAGTGTTCAATCACCCACACCAACCCATCTTAATCGCCCACATCCTGAGGAACAGAGAGTGTTCCTCCTTCTCAATAAAGGCTCTAATTAATCTCCAAACTTTCTTTCTTTCTTTCTTTTGGTACTGGGGATCAAACTCATGACTGCATGCTTGCAAGGCAGGCGTTTATGCCACTGAGCTAAATCCCCAGCCCCTATCTCCTGACTTTCATTCCCAAGTCCATGTCTGCAGTGTGTAACATGCAGCTTGTCCCCAAGAAGAGTCAGTGCCTCTATGAAACACATCCCAATGGTTTCCATGCACCCCCAGCTCTTGATCCTCTTCTTTTTGAGAAAGATTTTTCTCCCTACTTCCTATTATCTATCTTTCATCCTGCTTCTTATTTATACTTTGAGTTTCTCACATAAGAGAAATCATGTGATGTTTAAGTTTGTACCTCTGATTATTTGATCTAACAATACGTCTAGTGATGTATCCATTTTCCTATACAAGTCTCAAGCGTGTAATTCTTATGGCAGAGTACTGCTCTGTTCACAAAGTACTTGCTTATACCTGCATCTTCACAAGTTTTAACTATCTTACCTTTTAGCAGATTCTTTCAACCACTACTCGACAAAGAAGTGTCACTCCCACATGCCCTAGCCTGGCTACATGGACTGTGGCCCTCAGTGTGGACAAGTGTTCCCCAGAGCGCATACAGTGGCTCCCTAACAGCATGCTAAACCCTGCCGCACTGTCAGCCAGGTGGGCTGGAGGCTACCTCCTCTCCTTACCACCACTGCCCTCCTCACCTCTGCAAAAGCAAAAGGTCACCTCTCTCACTCAGCACTCTAGAATGTTCACGCTGGCACAGTCTGGAACAAGCAGATGCTCAGACACTGGCTGGAGACCCCACACTGACCAGCTTATACCAACAGCATGCAGCTGCCTCAACCTTACCATCAAGCCAGCACTGAGCCTACAGCTCCACTCCAGAGCCCAGGTCTATACACAGGCCTAAAGAAAACTCAAGCAGCCACACGCCAAAGGCAGCCTCAGGAGGTAGCCTGCCCTGCTGCACCACCTGGTGACCTGACCTCAGTGATTCATAGTAAAAAATTTGAAAGCACAACTATAAAATTCTGCAGAGCCAGGCATGATGGTGCATACCTATAATCTCAGCACTTGGGAGATTTATGTTAAGGCAAGAGGATCACTGTGAGTTGGAGGCCAGCCTGGGCTACACAGTGAGTTCAAGGCCAGTCTAAATTACATGGCAAGACTCTGTCTCAAAAAACCAAGAAATTGGGGCTGGAGATTTAGCTCAGCAGCATAAGCGCCTGCCTTGCAAGCAGGCAGTCGTGAGTTCAATCCCCGGTACCAATAAAAAAGGAAAAAGACAAAAAAAAAAAAAAAAAAAGATGTCAAAAAAACCCAAGAAATAAAATCTGCAGAAAGGCTGGAAAGTAACCAAGTGGCAACATGCATGCCAGCATGCAGAAGGCCCTGAGTTCTAGTCCCAGCACTTGAAGAAAAAAAAAAATCTGTAGAAAAAAACACACAACATAAATTTCTCTAAAGTCATGAAGGGCAGCATACTATTTCTTTTTTGCACCCAGAAAAGTAAGTGCAAAAAAGGACAAAAACCACCATGGCCCAAAATGCCATCAAAGCAGCACTAAGAGTGCTGTGATGTGGCCCTGTCTTCTGTAAGTAGTGCAACAGACCACATGAGGACCAGCAGCAATGGGCCAGGTACAACAGGCCACCATGAAGACCCACTTGGGCCCTGACAGCTCCCCACACTGCTGCACAGTACCCCACTAAAAGCCTGCCAGGAGCCTACAGGAAAAGCTTGCTATACAATGAGACAGCAAAACACCATTCCTCCTGGCATGTGTGCACACATGGGAGCCCCAGCTGGGAAGGAATGTGGCACTTGAGAAGGGACATGGGGACCTAGTTCCCAGTGCCAGGAAAGCTGAGTGAAGCAGCAAGTACACATGCACAGCAAGGCAAGGCATTTGGTGGGGTGCAGGGCAGGGCAGGGGCAAGTGCACAGGGCAGGTAGGAGCCAGCTGGTTGACTGAGCAGGTGTGCTGGACAAGTATATGCAGGTGAAGGGGTGAGTATACAAGACAGACGGAAAGCAGGTGTACACAACAATTCTGGGGCAAATGTGGGACAGGTGGGATGCAGACCCAAGGCCAGTGTGGGCCAGATGTGTGGGGCAGATGTGCAGTGCAAGGCAAGTGTGTAATGCAGGGCCAGTTTGTAGGGCCGATATGCAGGACAGGTACGAGGTTGGCACATGGAGTAAGTCTGGGGCAGGTGTGTGGGACAGGTGCGGGCCTGGCATGCAGCAGGTATGGGGCAAATGTGTGGGTCTAGTGCAAAACAGGTATGAGGGGCAGATGTGCGGAGCAGGTATACAGGGCAGGTATAACAGGAGTAGGGCAGGTGTGACAGGTGCATGAGGCAAGCACGTGTACATCAGGTGCATGGTACTGTGCACGCAGGGCAGATGCATGCGGGGCAGGTGCAGTACATGCAGAACAGGATTGTGATGCATGTGGGGCGGTGTGCGATGCATGCAGGACAGGTACGAGGGGCAAGCAGGTGTGCACGACAGGTGGCCAGGGAAGGTGCTTGATGAAATGCATGTGGGACAGGTATGTAGCAGGTGCACATAGGGCAGGTGCGTGATGCACGCCGGCAGCTGCGCGGTGACCCACTTGCCTGCGAAGGCGGCGGCGGCAGCGGCCTCGTCGGGCCCAGGCAGGGCCTCGGCGCCCATGTCCATGTGCGCGGGCTCCGCCGCCATCACCGCCACGGCCGTGACCCGACGCGCCTCGCGCTCCGCCTCTGAGTCTGCGTCTTCCTCTGAGTCTTCGTCCCTGTTCAGCACCGGTTCCTCTGCCTCGCTCCCTGCCGCGGCCGCGGCCGCCGCCGCTGCCTCGGCCAGGCCCAGTTGCTTTGCTGAGGAGTCCGAGTCCTCCATCCGGACTCCGCCGAGCCCGCCCGAAGGCGCGTCCGGGCCCGCCCGAAGCAGGGCCCGAAGAGGTTGCCCGAGCCGGACCGAGGCCACCCGAAGCCGCCGCCCGATCAAGGACCGAAGCAGCGCCCTGCCTCCCACCGAGCTGAGCCGAGGCCGCCTCCGGAGCCGAGCCGAGCCGAGCGGGAGCCGAGCCGAGCCGAGGCCACGAGTCGGGAACCTAGGCAGAACGAAGCTGACCGAAGTGCTGACCGAGTCCTTCCGAATGGTTCCGAGCGTTTCCTTCACATTCCCCAGGAGGCAAAGTTGGGCGTCTTCGCCTGCGGACTTAAGCCGGCCAGCTCTAGGCCGAGTCTCGCGGGCCCCTGACACAGCTTGGCCTCTCAGGGAAACTCCTTCGCCACCAGCTTCTCCCGCCCCCACTGCCGACGGAAGCCGAGGCAGTCCGAGGCGGAGCCGAGCTCCACCGAACGTCCCCGAGCCCGAACCCGAACCCTCTCGAGCCTCAACTCCCGCCTCCTCCTGTACGAAAGTACCCGAGCGCTGCCGGACCGCAAGTCGGCTCAGCCTCTATCGGACGCTGCTCCTGGGCGCGGCGAGAGGAACGAAGATGGCGGTGGGGCGCGGCCGAGAGGCTGCCGGGATCGCTGCGGACCCGGCTGCAAGATGGCGGCTGCGCAGCCAGGTGAGCGGGCGGAGCTGTGCTCTCGCCATGTAGCTGTGGTCTCGGCCCAGAGCACAGCACTGGCGCCTCCGATGGTCGCCGCTCCACCTTACTGGTCCTGACGTCCCGCGGCCACCTTCATTCAGACATTTGGGGCGCATGCCCTGGAGCCGCGCCCGGGTCAGGGAGGGAGGGGCGTGACTCTGTCCGCTTGGCTGCGGATCTTCCCGGGCGCACCTACCGAGGCACACTTTGAGCAACCTGGCCGGGACGCACGAGGGCACCCTCCGGCCTCGCCGCTGCGTCCATCTGAAGCACACACCTGGAGCGCTCTGCACAGCTGTGGCTCAGCCCAGGCGCGCGCACTGGTGGGAGCTACTCCGGCCTTGGTGAAGTCTGCGGCCTGAGCCCTTGCAAGGCTGGCCGCCGGCGGGGTCCCTAGATGAGCAGCTGGGCTGGGCAGGCCCAGGGCCCGGCGGCCTGAGTGGGAAGCCAGGCGCAGCCATTGCAGGACTGTTCGCGTCCATTCCTCTGTACTCCCAAATGTTCCTGGGCGGAACACATGTTGGGGCTACCCAAGAAGCTACCACAGCACTGGAGGCTGTGACAAGTGCTCACTACTCCGTGTGGGACTAGCCTTGATTCCTAGGTAACTCTGAGTAACATTTATGATTGAAAAGACAACCCTTGTGTGGGATGGGGGCCCTAGAGTTACTGACAGTGCTAGTTTCATGCCTGCTTTTTCTGTTCTTTGCCCAGGGGCTGCACTAAGCCAGCGCAAGCCACCCCACAAAGAAACACCTGAATGTTAGTTTACACAGGGCTTCCAAATTGCCAGCCCTTGTCCGGAAGTTCTCTGCCAATTAGATTGATTTCTGTAATTTCATTTGCTAAAAAAGTTTGAGTTGGGGCTCTAGCTCTGTGGTAGAGCACTTTCCTGCCATACATGAGGCCTTCGGTCATTCTTCGATACCGCAAATATTAAAAATAAGCACTTATATCAGGTGGCGTCTCTCCAGCCTTGCCCATCACACTGGGAAAGATGTGTTCTCCTTTCCTTCACACTGTTGGTAATCACACTAATTCCAGTAAATCATTGGCAATAAGGGTTTAGACAAAATGACCTGCTTTAGATTGAAATTGTTAGGACTATGGGTACAAGTGTACCTACCTGCCCTTCATGTTAGTTATTTAGATGGTATGTCATGTGAGGTCTTTACACATACTTGTTCCCTAAGCCCCACAATTTTGATCTGTAAAGGTGTGCAGCTAGCTGTATGCAGTGTCACATGCCTGTAATCCCAGTACTTGGGAGGCCAAGACACAGAATCGCTGCAAGTTGGGGGCCAAAGTGAGTTCAACACCAGCCTGAACTGCACAGTGATACCCTGTCCCAAAACAAAACAAAACAAAACACCACACTAATGGGCAACTAGTAAATGCATTTGCAATGAATCTATTGCTAGTTTTTTTATTATTTTATTTTTCCCATTTTGGAGGTTGAAGCTGGGCTTCCCTCATGCTAGGTATGTGCTGTATCCCTGACCCACACTCCTGGCTCTGACCCCAACCTTTAAGAGAAGAATCAGAGGGGGCTGGGGATTTAGCTCAGCGGCATAAAGCGCCTGCCTTGTAAGCAGGAAGTCATGAGTTCGATCCCTGGTACTGATAAAAAGGAAAAAGACAAAAAATAAAAAAAAAAGAAGAATCAGAAGTGAGGAAAACCCCACTTAATGTGAAACCCCCAATTAAAGTGAAACTGACCCAAATAGTGGCAGGTATTTAGGTAACCTAGTTCAACTGGGGCTGGAAAAGAGCAGATCAGGTTTAGAGAGGACCTGCCGTAAGGTGATGCTGCGCCTTCACCCTCGGCTTCCTGCTTCTGCACGTGTGCCCTCTGGGAACCATGGCAGGGTCTGTTACAGTGTTTACTCACATGTGACTCCTGCCCACACTAGAGGCCACAGCTCTGCCCCAGGTGCCCCTAATTGTGCCAGAGAAGTTGGATCAACCCCCAAATCCACCAAGACAGGAATTTTTTCCTTCCTTCCTCTGGAGTCTGGGTCCTGATGTTGGCCTCCCTACTGCTCAGAAATATAGCCCTTTTTTTCAGTGCTGGGAACAAACCTATGGACACACACACTAGACAAAAGCTGTACTACTGAACTATACCCCAGCCCTGAAATGCAGCCAGTTACAGGTTGGAGCCCAATTCCATGTTGGCACGGGTACACACATACATACACCTCAGGCACTTCTCCAGTGTGTGGCTGTTGTGATCCTCTGAGACAGGCGGTCTGGTCTGGTCACATTCCCTTTCAGGACCAGCCAGAGGAAACCTCAGGATGGGTACTTTGCCTCCAGTGGGAGGGGAAAGATACCTGCAGCAGGGTGGGTGGAGCATTAGGACAGGTTCTCTCCACAGGGATATTCTGGGGAAATGAATTAAAACTCTAAGGCAGAACAACAAATGTCTATGACCAATTCAGAAAAAGGACACAAGGGAAAGTACAGGGCTGCAGCTGCATATTGTGCTGTGTGGAGGTCACGGGCTGAGCATCGCCCTGGATGGGCTTAGCCCCAGGGGGCTCTCTGAAGTTCAAGTCTTACTTTTCCTGTCCAGTCTGGCTAGGGGCTGGTGGGAGGTTCCACTTCTGCCCCCATGCTATGCTTCAGGGTACAAGCTGTCCTCAGGCTGTGTGCAGAGATGTAGTCCTCAAGGGACAAAGGACTGAGGCAGAGGTGACAGCAGAGTCTTAGCTTCAGGCCCTATAACGTTTACTTTCTCCTGTGACTGGGAACTCAGTGAAGTGAGATATCACCTTTCTGCATCCCATAGGACTTAGCATCACTGACTGCCCTTTCTCTTCCAGGGAGAGGCTCCTCCTCGGTGGTATCCTGCATCAGCTGCATCCTACACCCTCTGGCAGGCCCTGACTCTCAGGCAGCCAGCTCTCTGTCTTTCCTTTTGTGCCCATCCAGCCTTTCCTTATATGAGAGGGGGAAATGTTCTGACAGATTGGGAGAGCCGGTGAAACCTCTGACCAGTGCCTGGGCTCCATCACCCTCCCTGCCCCTGCTTTGTTCCTTTTGCTTGGCCTGTGTTCCAGGGAGGCTATACTCCCTGCCAAGGGCCACCAGGCAGAAAGATGAAAACTCCTCACTTGGAATGGGCACAGACTTGTAGCATGAAAAAGTATACAAAGTTAGGAAACGGGGTCAGGGATAAGGCTCAGTGGCACAGCGCCTGCATGGCAAGTATGAGGTCCTGAGTTCAATTCCTGGTATCTCTCACACAAACAAAGTTAGGAAACTGCAGGAAGACACTTTCCTCTCCCCAAGCTGAGAGATTGTTCTCCCTGAAGAATGCCACTATGCTACTCCTTTTCTGATTGAGGTTGCCAGAGCACCAGTTGGAGCTCCCACCAGTCTCCTCAGGGCTCTGTGCTCTAACCTTTGCTCTGCTGGAGTGGGAAGGCTCCTACCTTGCCCTTGTGCCCATCAGGAACTGGCGTGGCCATGGAAGCCCCCGACTGGGAGCTGGTGCCAGGCCTCCACGGCCACCTGTAGGTGCCCATCTGTCAGAGCCTAAACTGGACTTACTCGTTCGTGGCCACAGGACATGTGGCAGAACCAGCCCCTCTGGCTTAACTGCCTGGGCAGGTGCACCCCAAAGCAAAGCACTGAGTGTGTGGATCCTTGACCATGTGCCAGCTCTCTTCAGTTTTTCTTCAAATGCTGTTTCATCTCAGTGAGCTGTACGATGCCCTATATTTTCTAGCCATGTTTCTCATGATAGTATATAAAAGTAAGTCCATGGGTGGGAGTGGTGGCAGATCCCTATAATCCCAGCAGTCGAGAGGTTGACAGCCTGGGATACATAGTGAGTTAAGGCCAGTCTGGACTATATAGTGAGATCCTGACTCTAAAGAAAAACAAGTCACTGGGAGGCTGAGGCAGGAGGATCCCAAATTCAGGCCAGGTCTGTGTAACTTAGTGAAACTCTGTCTCAGAAATTTTTAGAAAGGGTTGGGGATGTAGCTCTGTGCAAAAGCTCTGAGTTCCATCTCCAGTGTGGGTGGGGGTTGGGCCACCAACAACACAACGGGGAACCAGCCACCACCCCTGTGAAGGCCACCAAATGTTCTATCCCCAGGTCAGGTTTTCAGCTATCCTCACGACCGTTTGGGCCTTGACCTGACGATGCTGTCCCTGATGGGGGTTCTGGAGGCAGCGAGACTATATCTGGGTGAGTCAACTGTGAAATGTGCTGGGGCCACCACCAGCCTTGGCGTCCTAGAGTGTAAGCACTTCGTCTTTGACTCCCGGCAATACCCCAGATGGTACACCGGGTGGGTTGCTGCGTCCCTTTACAGCGTCATTAACTATTAACTGTTTCTTAGAACAGTGACAGGTGACATGGCCACCACCCTCACGTCTGGGAACATATTCCACGATAGCACTGAGATCAGAAGCCAGCTCCAGGGAACCCCTACCCCCCCTCCCCTTTGGCCCATTGGGGTAATTTGGGGTCCTTGTCAAGGCCTGGTCCAGTTTAGGTTCCAAGTCCACTGCCACCTTGAGGTTCAATCCTCCTATAACTGCACTACACCTTCTCCTGCAGTACTCGAGGCCACTAGTAGGCACATGTGGAAACTTACCTCCTCCCCAGGGTGACCACTGCCCTGGCCTCCACTTGCCCTTTGCACTGTGCCCAGTGGTATGAGGGTAGTGACCCTGGTGTGGGGAGAGGAGTGAAATACATGCTACTGCCAAGCTCTGCCCCCAGCCTCTCCCCACTTCCTGTAACCACACTAGGATCCCATGCAGCATGGCTGGGGCTCCTGCTGCCCTTGCTGTGTTGAGTCTTACAGTCTCAGGTATGTGGGCTCCACAAACTCCCAACACCCCAGGCAGTTCAACTCAACTTCTGGCAGCTTTGAATTGGCATTTTCCATGATTGACCCACTTGTTTGTGAAATGTGCAGTTTTGGTTTTTATAAGCATTTGTGAGATTTTCCAGGTCTGCCTGAACCCAGGGTAAAATATTTTTAGAAGTTTTAAACAACCCCTTGGGGCCTTCGTGGAGTTAGCAAAGGTGGCAGATGTCCATGGTTTTAAAAACCAGCTGGCCAGAGGCTGGCTCCTGGGGGGCTGGCAGTGGACTGTGCCACCCAGGGTTGGCCATAGGTACTGGGCATCCTGTAGCCCTAGTCTCACTCTCCCTCTGTTTCTGCCCCCCAGGCACGAAGGGCAACCTGACGGAGGCCGAGGTGCCACTGGCTGCTAGCCTGGCCCTCACAGCGGGCAGCGGGCTGCTTTCTGTCCACTTCCTGCTCTGGCAGACCCTGGTGCTGTGGGCAGACTGGGTCCTTAGCACCACACGTCTGGTGCTGCACTGCCTGGAAGCTGTTCTGCAGGTGATGGCAATTGCAGCCCTCATCAGATAGACCCAGCCTGCAGGGACCCTCCCAGCCCCTCACTGTCCCACCAGTGTGCCACACATGGGTGCTTTATCTCTGTGGGAGGAAGGAACTAGGACAGCACAGCTTGGGGGGGGGCTCCTCAGACCCTGTAATGGTCACCACTGACCACCAGGACCCCAGGAGGACAGCCCGTCAGATGTGAGGCTGCCATGGGCAGCTCAGTGGTTCTGCCATGTCCCTGACCCTAAAGGACAGGCCCTCGTGTTTCCATACCCATCCCTAGGCAAGGCAGCCACCCATGCATCCCCTGTTCTCACACAGTGGCCTGGCCATACCCAATGCTCCTGTGCTGGCCTCATCAATGTCCTGAGACCTGTTGTGCTCTGTCGCTGAGCCTGGGCACCCCATGGAACACTCTACAGGCTGCTGTGTGTTGGCAGCTGTGTGATCCCCTCCTTCCCTGAGGGTGTAAGGGCCAGGGTGGATGGGAAATGGTTTCTGTGTGAGGTCTCTGAGCCGTGCAGCTCTAAAGGAACTGTGCTTGCTGCTGAGGAAACTTCATCTCACGCGTGCCTTGTGTCTGGCCTCAGACTCCATGTAAGTGCTGCACCAGTGTGGCGGTGCATGCATGTAAGCCCAGCCATCTGCAAGGCTAAGGCAGGAAGATCACAAATTCCATCCCAGCCTGGGCGATTTAGCCACCTAATAATTTAATCTCAAAATTTAAAAAGGGGACATAGCTCATTGCTCTTTGAGCTCATTCTCCTGTATTAGAAAAAAAAGATACTGATTTTTGTTGAAGGTTTCCTTCATTAGTTGTGTATTTTCTGTGATTGGAATAGCATTGTGTTCAAACTTCTACTTTTCACCATGTTTTTCAATAAATAAATGTTTATATCTTCATGAACCCTTCTTAATTATGGCCACCCACTTCTTCCATGGTGTTGGTACAGAAGATGCAGTCTTGCTGCCTCACACCCTGCCTGCCTGTTCTCCCCACCCCCACCCCCACCCCAGGTTATGATAAAAGCCAGGACTGAGACCCACTTTTTACTCCCTGGTCCTCACCGAGCTCCACACAGCATGGAAAACACTGGCATTCCTGGGGCCACCTCCCAGTTGGACACCTACTGTGCATATGTACCCTGGGCATGCATTGGCCAAGAACCCTGTTGCACATTACCAGATGTAAGCTCAAACAGTGACCCCTACTTTCCCTAGCCCCACACAGGCATCCGCTGCGTTCCCTAGGAGCCCACAGCACCAGCACAGGATGAGTAACTGTCTTGGAGTAGGGGCTCCACCCAGCTGTTTCTAAGACTGCCTGTTACCAGCTCTGCCCAGGCAGAGAGGGCAGTGGGTGACCCCTGGTGCTGGGCCAAGGTAGGGTCACTTATGGAGCAGGTTCTGTGAGATCAGCTATCAGGGCTGTGAACCAGGAAGCCAGCTGGCTGGGGCAGGTTTGTGCCTGGAGGACAAAAGCCACTTCCTGCCATCTCACCAAGTGCACCCCTGCACCAGGTTCAGGCTGGAAAGGGCACCCAGGAAGTGCTGTGTGTCCAGTGCAGAGCCAGCACCTGCCCTCCTGACAGCACACATCTTCTCTCACAACAGACAACCTGCCTAGGCTCTGTCTGGTGATCATCCCGGCACAGCCTGGCCAGAGTTGCCCTCTAGCCCACCACAACCTTCCTCGGGTCCAGGTGCCCCAGGCTGGCCCTTTCTGAAGGAGCAAGGAGGATAGAGCCAAAAACGGCAGCAGGGCATACAAAGGTCCTCAACAGACACCCCGGAGTGCAGTGGGAGCAGAGGGTCTTGGGAGATCCTGGAGTGTGCAGGTGGGACCCCATCCCACCCGCCGGTTGACTCGGCAGCATGGTTCCAGCTGCGTTCTCCTGACCCCAGAGAGGCCCCCGGGCCATCTGAGGCCGTGGTCACTGGCAAGCTCGCACTGTCACGCCCCAGGACAGAAGCCCCCTCGGGAGGGGTCCAGGACCCTGCGGCTAGCCCTGCCGTGGTGGCAAGGGCGGGGCAGTGGGACCCGCAGTCCGGGTAGGGTGGGGTGGGGCGGGGCGGGGCGTCCCGCACCCCGCCCCCGCTGGCGCCCAGGCCGGTGACTCCGTAACCTGTCGCTCAGGTTCCTAGTCCACGCCCGCCCTGCCTGGCAGCTCGGCTGCCAGGTCCTGCCCGAGCAAACGTGGAGAGCCAGTGAGCCTGTGGCGGCCTGGCGCGCACAGACTTGCAGACGGACGGACGCGGCGTCCCGGACGGCGAAGCAGGTGAGCGCCGCAGCCTGTTTCCTCGGGCGCGGGGATGCGGAGCTCTGGGTGCGGGCTCAGCAGAGATGGGGTTAGAGGGGCTGGGTGCCGCACAGGAGTGGCGCAGGCCGTGGCCTCCCTGGCCCTGTGCCCCACGACCGTCGCGGCGGCCGCCAGTACTCTCGGGTAGGACTGTGTGCTGCGATATTGTTAAGCAGTGGCGGATGAGTCACATGCCCCACCGCGGTCCCCTCCTGGCCCCGAGGACCATGGGGCTCCTCGCATGCCGTGGGAAGGGTCCTCTCCTCTCCTGTGGGCCCAGGGTCTCCTCTAGGGCCTGGCCTGGGGGCCGTCGGCCAGGAGACCTTCCCTAGCGTCCAGGCCAGAAGACAACCCAGGGCTGGCAAACGTCAGCTGGATCAGGCTCTGGGTCAGAGTTGGGGTGTGGAGTTTCAAGGGAGAGGAACCCAGAATGTGGTCCAAGGAGCCCTGCTAGGCCTCTCTAAGAGAATGAGCTGGCCGGGGCCTAAGGGTGTCCAACCTGTGGCCCTCTGGTTCCTGGTTCCTGGGCCAGACTGGGCTGCTCGATTGCATGCAACAACCCCAGTGGCAGGAGAAGAGTACCGGTGACCCTAATCCTGTCCCCTAACCCTCGGTACAGCCCTGGTTCGCCATGCTGGGAGGCAGAATCCTCTGGGCCCCTCTGGGGCCCTGGTCCTCTGCAGCTTCTCTCCAAGCTGGGCTGTTCCTGGACCCGCTATTCCAGGTCCTTGGGCCCGTGCTCCCACCTAGCCCTATATTCCTGGTCTTCTTTGCCTGCCTCTGACTCCCCAGAGTCATCCCTCCCTCTGTCCCTCCCTCTTAAGGGTACAGGGTGTTCCCCAGACCGTAGTTTCCAGACAGGGTGGCATCCAGGGACCCAGGGACTCCCCCATTCCAGAGTGCCCCACCTGGCTCCCATGAGGGCAGCCAGGAGCCCGGTGACTAAGCCGACCCCACCCCAAGGTCACCTGGTGTATAGCCTGGAATTTGAACTTGGAGCCAGTTCCTCCTTCCTTGCTGGCCTGCTGGAGCCTCTTACCCCTCCCCTGCCCAACCACTGCTCCACCCCCACCCCCCCTGCACCTAGCAGGCTGGACCTTCCCTTCAGACACTGGACTTTCGGTGCAGTAAAACCAAAGTGCAGCCTGGGCCCCAGAGTCTTGGGGCCAGCGCTGGGGAACCCCTCTCCACCCCATTGGCTCACAAGGCTAACCCTTCTCTCCCCTCCCTTTGCCCAGATACAATGTCCCTGCCTAGACGTCCCTCAGAGGGCTGCGTGTCCCAGCCTGTGCACACTGTGCCTGGAGGCCCTGGGCGGCTAGAGTTTGTGTTGCCCAGGTGTGTGTGCCTGGCTCCACGTGCCAAACCTTTGGTCTAGCCTGTCAGGAATCCCATTAAGCAAACACTCAGACTCACCCATTGAGCTCACAAGCATTCCGGACATTCTCCATGCATGGGTGGACAGAGGACTCTGGCCAGGCCTCCTCTGGCAAGCCAGGGCCCTTGTGGCTTGTGGAAGGTGTGCACCTCAGCCGGACCAGGGCTGTGGCCAAGGCTGGTGGACCCCACACCTCCTAGGAACACCCCCTAACCTGGTCAGACCAGAAAGTCCAGGGGACTCCAGCCTGCCCCTCCACCCAGCACTCTGCACACCCAAATGAGGCAGGGGGGACATCCTCAAGGGTGACATTTTTGGACCCTGGGGATAGCTATGAAGAGCCCGGGAAGGACACAGGGCAGCCAGTCTGGAAGTCCCCAGAGGGCACAGACCCATACCATGTCAGGCTAATCCAGGCCATCAGCTCTGCTTACACCCAAGGGAAGGCCCCAGGGTGCAACCCAGATCAGAAACCTGCTCATTTAGCCAGGTGTGGTGGTACAGGCTTGTAATCCCAGCATTCAGGAGGCAGAGGCAGGAGGATCACTGAGAATTTCAAGGCCAGCCTGAACAATACAGGCAGACCCTACAGAGAGAGAGAGAGAGAGAGAGAGAGAGAGAGAGAGAAACTTGTTCATTTTCACAGCTAGGCCTCAGTTTCCCCAAAATGCAGCTGGCAAGAGGTCAGGGCTGGAAATTTGGCCCCAGAGAGTGGCTATCCTGGGTTTGCCTGGGGAGGCACCAGTTACCTCTGCGAACCTCAACCCCACACCCTCCTTGTCCTTGACCTCTTCACCTTCCCCTCACCTGCACATCCTAGACCAGCTTCTGAGAACTCAGGACCTCAAGATGCCCTGCTGCGTGGTCCAGAGGGAACCAGGGCCAACCTGGGGCCAGGGGCTGTAGGTCCACAGGAGCATGCAGGGTCCTGATAGAGACCTGGATGTGGGGCCAGCAGCTGGGTTTCCTTCTGGGCTTTGCACACCCCCGTAGCCTCCCCTTTTCCTCCTCCCCTACTGGTTCCCATCCACCTCAAGGTTCCCCAGACCCATACCCAGAGCCCTTCAGGAGGGTCCAGAGCAAGGTGGGGCTTGTGGCCACAGCTGGGGCCTGGGGTAGGGGCTGTGCTCCCAAGGATCCCAGGAATCTGGTGAGGCGGCTGAGTTCCAGTGTCTGTAGCCTGGCCACCCAGGCTAGGAGGAGGCTTCCAGCCAGGTCTACTGCCTGTCTATGTCTTCTCAGGTGTGGGCCAGACACTGGGCCCAACGGGGGCCCCACTGAGTTTTGCCCTCTCTGACCAGCACCAAGGACACCATGAGTCAGCTAGGACCCATGAGCTGCTGCCCAGGTTCCACCAAGTAAGCCCCCACACCCCAGTGCCAGGGAGGGAGGAGTGTTGGCACTGCCCTCACCTGCCACTCCCCACAGCGGCAGCCTGGGCCGGTCTGATGGTATGGCCAGGATGAGCGCCAAGGACCTGTTTGGTGAGTGAGGTTTAAGGATGGCCTGGATGTGGGAGGCAGTCGGGGGCTGTTCCCGGATCCTGACCCCAGGGGAGCCCCAGCCTGGCAGCCCTGGGACTTTGAGGAGCCCTTTGGACCTAAGCCACTGATGGCTTCTGAGGTGCATCCCCAAAGGTGTGGCCAATGAGCACCCCTCCCCCCAGACGTAAGGGGAGAGGCCTTTACGAATAATTCAGGGAGCATCAGTATTGATTCCCCTGCAACACGATAGATGGAGGGGGTTCAGGCAGGACCCAGTTGCCAGGTGTCCACTCCAAAGAGGCCACTACCCGGGCCATGCCCCTACCACACCACGCCCCACTGTGCCCAGGCTATGCCCCAAGATCGCCCCTGGCCCAACCACACCACCTTAGGCCTTGCCTCTAGCTCTGGCCCACCACCCCTCCCCACCCCCATTTGTGCCCTTCAGTAGAGGAGGGGCAGAGTTTAGCTCTCCGTGGGAGTCCTGGCTAAGCTTCCCCCACCTCAGCAAGATGGGGTATCCTCTGTGGAGCACGGATGAGCCTCCCACTTCTCCAGCATACATTCTGGTCACTGCTGCCCTTCATGGCTCTGAGTAGCGCAGGGCTTTGCGCCACCCTGCCCTGGGGCCCCTCTGGTACTGCGCACTGGGGGTTCCTTCTTTCTTCCTGCCGACCAGCAGGGACCCTCGCCCCACTGCACCCTCCTGTGGCCCCTGTACCAGGGGCTTCAATCTGCTATGGGGTGAGAGATGCCTTCTCCCGTCCAGAGCAGAGGAAGAAGTACTCCAACTCCAATGTCATCATGCACGAGATCTCCCAGTACCACGTCCAGGTGAGGCCCCAGCCCAGGAAACAGTGTCACAGCTGGGGGACATCCCCATGGTCCTGGGCTCAGCACAATGGGGAGACAACCCCTCCAGTCCCTCAGAGTTCATGGTGGGGCCACGGAGAGCCCACCCTGGGATGTTGGTGTCCAGCACCACTCAGTGTGTGCTGAGCAGACACCCTGGGGGCTGGACAGGAAAAGTGGGTGGAAAGGAAGCTGTCATTGACCCCTGAGCAGGGACTTGTGTTAGGAGGAGACGCTGGAACAAAGGGGCCCTTTATTAAGAGCTCCCTGGCTGAGCCCAGACTGGTATCCCGCACCCTGTGGACCAGCTGCCAGCTCAGGAGGCCTCCAGCTGGGCCCCTTGTAACTCAGAACTTGGGAGATCCGCTCTTCTGTAGCGTTTCTCTACCTGGAAGTAGCAGGGCCATGCCTGCGGGCGGCAGAGTGAGGCTGTGCTGCTCTGCCTGCCCTGCCTGCAGGTCGCCCTGTGCCTGGCTGGGCTGTGCACCTAAAGATGCTCTCTGGCCTCAGCACCCTGTCTGGGTTGAGGGTCCACAGGGCCCTCAGGAATCCACAAGCATCTCTGGAGGACAGGGTATTGGGGTGATCAAGGCCCTGCCTACTGCAGGCATGGTGCCCTGGGCAGGACAGAGGTGTGGACAGGGCAGATTTGACTCTTCCTTCTTGGCAGCTCTGCCCTGTTCTCCCAAGAGGATGGGACTTTGCTCTCCTTGTTGAGTAGCTACTGGGACCTTCCTGCCTGGCTCCTGGACTTTGGTCCAAGCTGGCCCAGCTTAGCTCAGCTATTCCAGGTGCCTTTCACACTTATCCAGGGGCCAGCAAGGGTGAGGGAATAGGTGGGGTTTACCTGAGGGTGAAGGACCCATTCTGACAATGGGGGTGGGTGCCAGGAAGTCCCTGTTTATTTCTCTTTACTTTCTTCTAACTTTTCACACAAACCAGGTGTGGTGGCACACATGTGTAATTCCAGGACTCAGGAAGCTGAGGCAGGAGGACTGCCTCAAGTTAGAGGCCACAGTGCACAGTGAGTTCAAGGCTTGCCTGGCCTACAAAGTGAGACCCTGTCTCAAAACAAAACAAAACAACTTTTCCTACAGCAAACTGATGTGGGTGATTCTGTTACCATGGTGACCAGGGCAGAGAGCAGTTCCATCACCCCAGGCTCCTTCAAAACCCCTGTGTGGTTGCAGCCATCTCCACCCCAATCCTCAGAGAGAATTTGTACATGATATATCTTGCTTCTTCTTTTCCCCAGTATCCTCTTTATTTAAAAAAACTTTATTTCCATTTTTTCCTGGTACCAGGGATAAAACTTACAACCTCACACTTGCAGGTAGGTGCTTATGCCGCTGAATTAAATTCCCAGCCTCTCTGGTCTCTTTTTTTCCTTTCTTTTCTTCTCTCCTCCCCCTGCCTAGTTCCCCTTTCTCATTTGAACATTTTCTTCCCATTTCCCAATATCTACTATACATTTTGGTCCTTATTTACACTTCTGGTTTCTTATACCACAGAAACAATATGGTATTTATATATGTGTGTTCCATTTATTTCACTTAAGAGTGTGGTCTCAGTGGGCTGGCGATTTAGCTCAGTGGCTCAAGTGCTTATCTGTTAAGTGCAAAGTTGTGAATCCAACCCCTGGTGCCAAAAACAAAAAAAAGTATGGTCTTAAGGTGCATCCATTTAGCTAGAAATCTTTCAAGTTTATCCTTCTTTATGGCTGAGAAGTACTCCATTGTATAAAAAATCTTACATTTTCTTCATCTATTACTTGATTAATGGGCATTTGGGCTGTTTCCAAGATTTAGCTATTACAAATTGTGCTGCTAATAATGTGTGGGTATGCATATATCACTGTGCTATGATGCTTTTAATTTTTTCAGGAAGATACCAAGAAGGGGAATAGCTGGGTCAAAGGGGACATGTTGTCCTAGCCTTTTGAGGAATCTCTATACTGATTTCCACAGTGGTTGTACCCAGTCTGGACTCCCACCAACAGTAGAGAAGGGTTCCTTTTCCCACAGCCCCACTAGCATTTGTTATTGGTTACCCACAGAAAGTTTTTGAAATATGTTATTTTTTCCTCCCATATTTGCCAGGATTCATCAGTGAGACCTTCTGCATACTGGGAAGTTTCTGTTCATTAATTCATTTGTGTGCCTCTAAGATCGATCTCTAGGGTTGCTCTATCTTTCTTTTTGGTTCTGGAGAATGTGTTTTCCCTAGTATTTTTCTTAATATTTTCTTACTAGAAGTTTACCAATTTTATTAATTTATCAGAATGAATTCTGAGCTTGGATTTTCTGTATTGATTTTCTTTTTACTAGTTTGTGGCCTTTTTTTGCTTGTAACTCCTTCCTTCTACTTGCCTTTGGCTTTGTTTATCATGTTCTTCTCACTTTTGTTGTTTGTTTTTCTCCCTCCAGTGCTGGGCAGCAAACCCAGGGTCTCAGTGCTTTGCCCCTGAGCTGCGCCATGGCTCTTCCTCTTTTGAGACAGAGTCTAACAAGATCGCCCAGACTGGCCTCAGTCTTTCTGTCCTTCTGCCTCAGCCTTCCAAGTAGCAGTGATTGCATTTATACACCACCTTGCCTGGCTCAACATCCTTAACTATGACTTGTAAAAACAGAGAACTTTTAGCCAAGTGTGGTGGCACACACCTGTAATCCTAGCACTCAAGAGGCTGAGGCAGGAGGATTGCCGTGAGTTTGAGGCCAGTCTCAGCTAGATAGTTCAAGACTAGCCTTTATTTATAAAAATAAATAAAATAAAACTTTTAAGGTTTTTTTTGTACTGGGAATCAAACTCAGGACCGTGTGCTTGGCAGGTATGCACTTAAGCATAAGCACTTATGCTTCTGAGCTATGTCCCCAGCCCTAAAAAAAACCAAAAACACTTTCAACTTTTAACAAAGTTAAAGGTGATACATACTTGCTCTTTTCCTACATAAAGAAAACTAGGGGCCTGGGATTTAGCTCAGTGGCTTAAGTGCTTGCCTGGTAAGCATGAGGTCATGAGTTTGATCCCTGGTACCAAGAGAAAAAAGAAAAAAATCAGCCCTTCATCATAGCTACTGCATATGTTTTTTTGCCACTTTTTATGTTTTTTTTTTTTTTCAGGCAGAATTTTTTTTTTAATCAAACCCAGAGCCCTGTGCATGCTAGAGAAGAAAGGATTCCTCTACTGAGCTACATTCTCAATGAGACATTTTTATTTCAAGTTAAATTTGTCGGTTTGAGCATCTGGACTTCCTTCTTTGCTGAGGAAAGGGCCCTATGAAAAGAGACTTGAGATGACTGAAAATCATCCTGTATTTGCTTCTAGTGACTTTATGGCTTTGTGCTTCTTGGTTAATGTTTGTCCAGCTGCCCAGCACTATTTACTGAGTCCTAATGCCCAGGAGGGAGGAGGGCCTCACTCTGAGGGGGTAGAGGGGAGCTTGGCCAGGAGGGCACCAGAGCCAGGCTCAGAGGGGAGACACACAGGTCCAGCCAGCAGCAGTCCCCAAGGGTGCTGTGATTCTGAGCACATCCCTGAGGGCCTGTCCCAGGCCAGCACTGTCCTGGGTCAGAGGAAACACCTCAATCCTAGCAGCCAGAACTGGTGCTAGACGCAGGAGTACAGACAACTTGATGTGGGGTCAGAGAAATGAAAACAAAGAAAGCCAGGCCAGGTGACTCCCATGAGGGAGAAGAGTAGCTAGGAGCAGCAAAGGCAAAGCTGGGGTGAGGGGCCCCTGCCATTCCTGGAGTCCAGTGTCAGGGGTTGAGGAGAAACAGGCTCAAGGTATAAAGCTATAAAGCAGTCTGCAGTTGTTTTGTTTTGTTTTTGTCTTTTGGGGACAGTTTCACTAGGCAGTTTAGGCTGGCCTTGAGCTCACTTCGTAGCCCAGGCAGGCCTTGAACTCTCAATGATCCACCTGCCTCAGCCTCCGGAGTGCTGGTATTACAAACATGAGCCACCATGCCTGGCCAGTCTGAAGTTTTTTGAGGGTTTTTGGGTTTTTGGTTTTTTGATTTTTTGAGACAGGGTCTTGCTATGTAGTCTAGACTGGCCTTGAATTCACTGTGTAGCCCAGGCTGGTCTTGAACTCACATTGATCCTCCCGCTTCAGCCTCCCAAGTGCTGGGATTACAGGCATGTGCCACCATGGCCAGCTTAAAGGTTTTATCACTGCACAATCACAATCTCCAAAAAAAATCCACCAAGGCAGAATAGACCTCCCCACACACACACCTGAAGACCCTAACCCTAACCCTTCATGGCCATGGCTCCTCAGGGTTCTTCATAGCTGGCTGGGGCTCCAGGCTGCCTCCCTTTGGTTCTGGTAACACAGGAGGGCTGTGCCCAGCGGTGACCACCTGTCCTCCCCCAGCACCTGGCCACATTCATCATGGACAAGAGCGAGGCCATCACCTCTGTGGATGATGCCATCCGGAAGCTGGTGCAGCTGAGCTCTAAGGAGAAGGTTTGGGCCCAGGAGATGCTGCTGCAGGTCAGCGACCAGTCAGTGCGGCTGCTGGACATCGAGACACAGGTAAGGGCAGCTGGAGGCTGGGCTGCTGTGCCCTGGGCTCCACGTGTGCCAGGGCCCCTGTGAGCCAGGCATTGCCTGCCATTCCAGTTGGTGGGAGATGACAGGGTCCAGGCAGTGAGAGGATGAGAAGGTGCAGAGAGTATGTCACAGCAGTAGCCAGCACCTGCCTGTGCCCTGGGTGTTTCTGAAGCTGTGACTAGGCCTGGCACTGTCTTTGTCAGTATCCCTAGGCCACAGCTGGGCCTCACCTGCCCCTTTTCTGTGCCTGTGGGTGATGTGTGTCTGTGTCCGAGGACCACATGCCACATGCTGTACCCACACAGAGTTCCGTGGCCAGGCACCAATCCCTTTCTTAGCCCTGGCTGTATGCACTGTGTGTGGGGCCGCCATCCAGCCCATGCCCAGGGCTGTGCTGACCCTGGCACCTGTCCACAGGAGGAGCTGGAGAACTTTCCCCTGCCCACGGTGCAGCACAGCCAGACGGTGCTCAACCAGCTGCGCTACCCCTCGGTGCTGCTCCTAGTGTGCCAGGACTCGGAGCAGAACAAACCTGACATCCACTTCTTCCACTGCGACGAAGTGGAGGTGAGGCAGCACGCCCCCGGGGGCTGCATGGTGACGCTGGGCCAGCCTGATCCCCCTGTGCCCCCAGGCAGAGCTGGTGCAAGAGGACGTGGAGAGCGCGCTGGCTGACTGCCGGCTGGGGAAGAAGATGCGGCCACAGACTCTGAAGTAGGGCTGTGGGCCAAGGGAGGCCAGGGTTTTGCCGGGTGGAGTGCAGGAGTGGGGGGGGGGCAAGGGGGGACACCCCTCTGGGAGTGATGGCTGGGCTGAGCGGGCCCCTTGTCCCTCTAGAGGACACCAGGAGAAGATCCGGCAGCGGCAGTCCATCCTGCCCCTTCCCCAGGGCCCGACCCCCATTCCCTTCCAACGCCAGGCAGGGGACTCCCCTCACGCCAAGAACCGCGTGGGCCCTCCAGCCCCGCTCCAGGACCCAGGTAGGCCTAGGGCTGGGTGGGGGGCGACTCTTGGATCCGGAGGCCCCTTTGCAGCTGGTCTGTGCCCCACCAGGCTACCACCGTCATCGCCGGGAATCCCAGGATGAGGAGCCGCGGGCAGTGCTGGCCCAGAGGATAGAGAAGGAGACGGTGGGTGGGTGGGTGTCCGCCCGGGCCTCCCAGGGCTCTCCCTGTCCCAGCCCCGTGGCTAACCCCGTCTCTGACCCCAGCAAATCCTCAACTGCGCCCTGGACGACATCGAGTGGTTCGTGGCCCGACTACAGAAGGCGGCAGAGGCGTTCAAGCAGTTGAACCAGCGGAAGAAGGGCAAGAAGAAGGGCAAGAAGGGGCCGGCAGGTGCGCTGCACTGGCCGGGCTGGGGGCGGCGCCGGGGGTAAAGCCCAGCTCACGCCCACCACCCACCACCCGCAGAGGGCGTCCTCACGCTGCGGGCGCGGCCCCCCTCCGAGGCGGAGTTTGTCGACTGCTTCCAGAAAATCAAGCTGGCCATCAACCTGCTCGTGAGTGCGCCCTCGCCCTGCGCCCCTGCGCGGCGGGAGGGTGAAGGGTTCCTATGTCCCCAGCGGTCCATGCACTCACCATGCCACGCCTTGTCCCGCAGGCGAAGCTGCAGAAGCACATCCAGAACCCCAGCGCCGCGGAGCTGGTGCACTTCCTCTTCGGACCGCTAGACCTGGTGCTGGGGGGCGGGGCCGAGGGGCTGGCGGGCAGGGCCTGGGCGGGTGGGGAAGTCAGCGTGTCTCTGAGTGGCCGCCTAGGCCTACTCACCTGGTCGAGGTCCCTGCCCAGCGCTCACCTGCCGAGCCGCGGGTGTGCGAGTGTGTGGGCCACAGGCCCTGCCCGGTGGGCACGCCAGTCTGATCCACGCTGTGCCCCAGATCGTCAACACCTGCGGAGGCCCGGACCTCGCGCGCTCCGTGTCCAGTCCCCTGCTCTCCCGCGACGCTGTGGGCTTCCTGCGTGGCCATCTGGTCCCCAAGGAGATGTCGCTGTGGGAGTCGCTGGGAGAGACCTGGGCGCGGCCCCGGTATAGAGGCGGTGGGGCAGGTTGGGTGTACTGGGTGGGCCAGCTCCATGGGTCAAGGCTGATCCAAGACTGTCCACCCAGCTCCGAGTGGCCACAGGAGCCGCAGGTGCCCCCCTACGTGCCCAGGTTCCACAGCGGCTGGGAGCCACCCCTGGACGTGCTGCAGGAGGCACCCTGGGAGGTGGAGGGTCCAGCAGCCGCGCCAGAAGACCAGGTCAGGTCTCTCCCAGATGCACACCTGCCACCCTGAACTGGGCATCTGGTTCCCTGACCTGGGTGTGGACATTTCGCTAGCCCAGGACCCTGCCCATCACTGCCTTTCTTGCCTGATCACCACCCCACATCAACCCAGGGCACCACTTTCCCCACAGCCAATCCCGGGGCACCGACTGTCTGCACGAAGCTCACCCAAACATGTCCTGGGTGAGGCCACAGCTCCAGGGGACGCCCTGCCGACAGCCAGCTCCCCCCACGCTCACAGGTGAGTCCCCAACAGGACACACGGGCATACGCTGCCACAGGTGGTGGCAAATAAGCTTATTGTGGTGACTCAAAACACTGCTTTTCCAGATTAGAACCCAGTTTTCATATGATTTTGGTAACAGTTAAAGGTAAAGTTTTTAAAATCACCCATGAATTCACTAACCTTGAACACTGGGTCTCTTCATCCTTCCACATGTAAGGAGAAGTCAAAGCTTAGAAACTGCATGGAGGGGGCTGGGGATTTAGCTCAGTGGCATAAGCACCTGCCTTGCAAGCAGGCAGTCGTGAGTTCGATCCCTGGTACCGATAAAAATGAAAAAGACAAAAAAAAAAAAAAAAAAAAAGAAAAGAAAAGAAACTGCATGGAGCACCACTGTCTCTGTGGGCTGGTGAGGGCTGATTATTTTTTTTCATGTTTTTAAGTTATTTATTTATTTATTTTTGTGCTGGGCAAAGAAGTTGGGTCTTGGGGCTGGGGATTTAGCTCAACGGCATAAGCGCCTGCCTTGCAAGCAGGCAGTCATGAGTTCGATCCCCGGTACTGATAAAAAGGAAAAAGACAAAAAAAAAAAAAAAGTCAGGTCTTTTGCACTGTGTTGTATCCCCAGCACCCCTCCCCCTTTTTGAGACATGTTCTCATTAAATTTGCTAGATTGGTCAGGCTGGGACTGAACTTTCCTGCCTCAGATCACTGGAGTGATGTGGCAGTGGTTTAAAGAGACCAAGGGTCTGAGTTAGCATAAGCCCCCAGCCCCAGTTACACTGTTTGTCCCAGGATGGGGTATCCCTGTGTCTCTCCTCCTCTGTGATCTCTCTGCTGGCCCCTGGTCTGCCTGAGAAGCCTGTCACTGCTTGAGCCTAGGGTCCAGCTTCAGGAGTGAAAGAGCCAGAGACCTGGGTTGCACACAAGCCTGCCCCTGCCCTTGAGGCCGCTGGGCCCACATACACACATTTCCAAGGCCCTTCCACCCTGAAGCCACCTATGCACAGCAGTGCCTCTGCCCAGAGCCACCGCAATGGTTAGGAGAGGTGGACCCACATTCTTAGAGCTCAGGGTAGCGTCCATGCATCTGCACTGCCTTCACACCTGGGCAGTGGCCAGGGAGACACGGCCCCCTGTCAGACGCTTACCTGGTTCCAGCTCTCCTGCGGGCCAGGCTGAAACCCTTGTGGCCACCTTGTGGCCACTGGGTGGGAAACTCAGGCTCTGTACCACCCCTCTGCTGCCCCACCTCCTGCTGTCAGCACAGTCTCTGTGCCTCACTGGGCAGCAGAGTGCCAGTGGCCTGGTGCCTGAGGAGCTGCTACCCCGCTCCGAGGAGACCCCAGCCCAGCCTGGCCTCAGCTTTTCCGGTGCTCGCAGGGGCTACCAGCCAATGCCAGCCACGGCCAAGTATGTGAAGATTCTCTACGACTTCACAGCCCGAAATGCCAATGAGCTCTCCGTGCAGAAGGACGAGGTCCTAGAGGTGAGGGTAGGCTGCCAGGGGAGCTAGGGTTGTCCTGCGTCCTGGCTTGGAACACGGGGTCAGGCCTGTGTCCTGGATCCCCGGCACCGGAGTCCGCAGGGTCCGCTAGCTAGGCCTCCCTTCAGCCCCCTATGCAACAGGCTGAAGGGACCCCACCTGAGCCTGCGTGGTGGCCTACAGACTTGGTGCCAACAAGACCTCCGGTGCAGCCCCGCAGGGGTTGTCACACCCACCCCACCCAAGAGCCTGCATTTGTGTAGCAGTGCATTTGTGTGGAACCTAAATCCAGACCACCTGCCGAAGGACAGAAAGGGAGCAGGCCGCTTTGGGGGTGGGGGCAGCGTCTACATCTACAGCTAGGCCAGAGGCTCCCCTCCAAAACTGGCCGGGTGCCAGGACTGAGGGGAGGTCTGACGGTGCATTGCCCCCAGGTGCTGGAAGACGGACGGCAGTGGTGGAAGCTGCGTAACCGAAGCGGCCAGGCGGGCTATGTGCCCTGCAACATCCTGGCAGAGGCCCGGCCAGAAGAGGTCGGCGCTCCCCCAGAGCAGGTGGGTGCCCTGGGTGCCCTAATCCGGCGGGAAGGACAGAGCCTAGGGACCCAACAGCCCCTATTTCACTCGCATTTCCCCCTCGCTCGCTCCCAGTAGGCCGGTCAGAGATACTGGGGTCCCGCCAGTCCGACCCACAAACTGCCCCCGACCTTCCCCGGGAACAAGGACGGTAAGGACTGGTTTAAGCAGTAGGGGGCGCGGGGCGGGGTCGAACTGTGGGCGGGGCTGAGTGCTGCAGGCGGGGCCTCAGGAAGGGCTAGCCCTGAAGGGCTGGGGTGAGTGCTGCGGGTTGGGCGCATGTGCCGCAGAGCTGATCCACCAGATGGACGAGGTGAATGACGAGCTGGCCAAGAGGATCAGTCACATCAAGGTGCAGCAGTCTCGGCCCTTCCGGATGGAGCGCAGCCACCCCGTGCCTCTGCCACTCACTTTCGAGTCGGGCCCGGATGAGGTCCGCGCCTGGCTGGAGGCCAAAGCCTTCAGCAGCCGGTGAGCAGCTTGGGGCTGCAGGGGTAGCAGGAGGGCTGGGATGCGTGCAGGTGGGCTCAGGTGGGAGCGGGTACCAGGCTGCCCGCCCACCACCCTCCTCTTCCCCTCCCCCAGCGTCGTGGAGAACTTGGGCATCCTGACGGGGCCCCAGCTGTTCTCACTCAACAAGGAGGAGCTGAAGAAGGTGTGTGGGGAGGACGGCGTCCGCGTGTACAGCCAGCTCACAGTGCAGAAGGCTATCCTAGAGGTGAGGACCACACACCTCTTCCCCTGCACCCCATTGGGGGGCTGACATGCAGCCCCAGGCTGAGACCCCATCTGTCTTCCCTAGAAGCAGCAGAGCGGATCAGAGCTGGAGGAGCTCATGAACAAGTTTCATTCCAAGAGCCAGAGGAGGGCAGAGGACAGCTAGACCTGGCTGAGTGTGCAGAAGCAGCACCCACCCCACATGGAGTGGAATCTTTATAGCTGTACTGTTTTATACCAAGGACTCAGGGGCCTAGTGGGGCGGCCACCTGCCTCCAGGCCCAGGCCTGGCCAGACCCCCAGCTCACATACCATCCACACCAAGGACCAGGGCCAGCCAAACCTGTGCCCACTCTGGACGCTCAGCTACGCATCCCAAGCCACAGAGCTCCCCAGCAGAATGGGTTTGTTCATAGGTCTCCTGTGCTCCTGGCACTGTGATGCTGACCCCCAGGCTGCCGGCTTTCCATCCACCTTCCCATCTTCCCCCCCACACCCCAGGAGTGGCTGGAGCTCAGAGCTGGCTGGACTGGTGACCTGCATCTAGATTTGTTCCCTTCCCTGGGTGCTGCTTGGCAAGGGCAGCTTGGGCAGGGGCTCCAGGACAGGACCCTGTTGAGGTCTAAGGGTGGACTGGACAAGAGAACTGACCTCAGACACCACCCCACAGGGCTCTGACTGTGTCCCAGGCCAGTGGAGCCTGGTTGCTGTGCTGGTGGCTATGTCTTGGGGCCCTGGAATGAATATCACACTCAGAGATGAGACAAGGAGGCTCTGAGGTCATGTCATTAAAACAGTTGTCTCCTGGCAGTAGAGTATCTGTCTCCTGGGGTAGGGTCCTGGACCCTCCAAGGCTGCATCTCTTCTAAGAACTGAGGCAAAGGGCAAGGGGTGAAAAAGCTGAGGCCCCTGGGGGTCATTTCCAGGAGGTGAGAGGCTGTGGGAGCCCAGGAGATTGTCCCCTCCCCGCTTGCTGAGGTCTGCCCAGGCTAGCACCAGAGGGCCCAACCAACCCAGGTTGGTTCCGTGGGGCATCTATCAAGTCTGACATGCCTGGAAGAAAGGTGTGGCCTGAGGACCCAGCTCATAGGCAGTGAGGGGCATCATCAGGCTGCTCATGTACCTGCTCTGAAGAGGGAAGCTGCCCTGGCCAATGTGTGGGGCCTCGTCCCAGTACACCCTTAGAGAAGACCTTTGGCGCCCTCTACTACTCCCTCTGCATGTTGCCCAAGTTGTCACTGAGGGGCGCTGCAACCCTGGGCTGAGTGCAGAGGTCTGGCTTGTGTGTCCCTAAAGCTGACTGCGAATCTGGCCCTGGAGTGGAGGTCTGGGTGCCATTTTGGAACTTTGCCTGGTGAGCCAGGGTGACTGCAGGGTGCAGGTTAGGTCTGCTGGGGCCGGTGTGGAGGAGGCTCTGTCCATGTCCCTGGATAGGTCCAGCCCTAGGCCTCAGAAGCCCCCTTCTCACATACAGGCCTGCAGGGTCCAGTAAAAGGGCCATGTGAGCATCTTGTGTTCTCCAAACCATGACCTGATGCGTTGACCGCTGTCTTCGCCAGGTCTAAAGATACTCTGACTTTCTCCTTATCCAGGACAGTAGCCATGGCCTGGCCCAGGAGGAAAAGGGAAAGTTGGGCTGGGGACAGTTTCCTTCAGGCCAGGGATGGCCTGGATACCACCTGTTCCCAGAGCAGGTCTCAGAATCCCTGGGGTACCTTACCTTGGAGTTGGATGGAGGCTGCCCCAGTCCCACTTGGCTCCAGCAGGCTGAGTGCCACCAGGTGGTCTGGGGTTCCAGATACTTCCACGCTTGGGTCCCAGAACCTGCACCTGCTTCCTTAGCCATCCTCAGCCCCAGGCTACTACCTGCTCTGTTCCCACACAACCTCCTGGACAGCTGAGAAGGCTCTAGACCCCCAAGCCCAAAGCTCCTCTTCCCCAGGTACAGGCCTCTAGCCACAAGTTGTTCCTGTTGCTTCCAAGGATCTCTGTCACCTCCAGACACTCTCAGGAGCAATCAGGGTTGTGGACATCTATGCCCAGGCATGGGTCCAAGGTCACCAAGCATCAAGGGCACCCAGTCAAAGTGTGAGGAACTACTCCCCTATCTGATCTCAGCTTGAAGATAAGAGGGTGACACATTGTCACCATGCATTGAGGGTGTCCTTGGCTTTGGGTAGCCACAGCAGCAGCCTGGAGAGACATGTCTGGCCCAAGAGTGAGGCACAGTGGGACCAGGCCACCTGGCTGGGGTACAGACCTACATCCCCGGTTTCAACAGTGCTGGCCCCAGCAGGACACAGACTGCAGAGAGTCTGATGTAGGGACAAGGGAGTGGGCTGTGGCTCTGAATCCCAGACCTCAGGGAGGGTGACCAGGGCTCTATGCCCCAGCTGTGCCACCAACAAACTCCATGAACAAGGCCCTTCTGTCCAGAGACAAGTGAGTTCTTGTGACCGCCCACTGCGGGTCTCAGCCACCCATGTTTGTCAGGCCATCCTTACTGTGGATGGGCTCCCTCGGTGTTCAGGAAGGGTTTTATCTGCTTTTTAGAAAGTGCATGACAGAGCAGTCACCTGCCTGAGAAAAGCAGCAAGGCAGGTGATGTCCTCACCCAGCTCAGACAGCTGAGGTCAGCAGCAGTAGGCCTGCAAATGAGTAGGGAAATCCCAGGGTGTGATTGGTGCTGAGAAGCAAAAAGTGTCTCCACCACCCCCCAGAAGCGAATGAGACCCAGAATGATGTGGGTAGTGTGAGAGAAAAAACTGTCAAGCTCTGGAGAGAAAGATGAGTGCCTGAGACACGGATAAGGAAGGACTCCTGTGCCAGCCACAGAACAGGATGGGTAGCAGCATGGGCCTAGGCGCGAGGGGCCAGCAAGCACAGCCTGCCTCAGTTAACATGGAGGTCAACAGTGGAGCACATAGCCCACGCTAAACCACCCTAACCCCAGGAAGGCTCAGCACCTTACCCCCGGAGGAGCTCACCAGGCAGGGTGGCAGGGCAAGCGCTGGGCCTGGATTCAGTGGCTCTGTGGAGGCAGAATTGGGATTGGGTAAGTCAGTGACTTCATCGAGGATGGACATGGACAGAGTTTGGTTCCCGAGCAACCATTTTCAGGAAATTTCCACAAACAAGGCCCCTGCAACCCCATGTCTGCCTTGAGCTTCCTGCTATGTTGTGGCAGGCCCACGCAGCGAGCAGGGCTTGTGGTAAAGGCAGTAGTGCTATGTTATTTTAAAAGGAATGGATTCAAGCCAGACAAGGATATTCATTCACCTGCCATTCCACCACTCAGGGAGACTGAAGCAGGAGGATCAAAAATTTGAGTCCTTCTAGGCAATTTAGCAAGACCTTGTCTCACAATGAAAAAGTAATATGGGGTGAGGGTGTCGTTCAGTGGTAGAGCACCCACATGCTGGGCCCCAGGTCCACACACAAAAGAATGAAGCCTTTCCTATCTTAGTTCATTTTCTGTTGCTATGACAGAATCCTGAGACTGGGTAATTTAAAGTGAAAAGAGGCTTAGCAGGATGTTGTGGTATGGTCTGTTGAGGATTTTGTTTTGTTTTGTTTTGTGTTTTTTTGCGCTTACCAGGGAAGCACTTAAGCCACTGATCTAAATTCCCAACTGTGGTATATTCTTATAACCTCAGCTACTCAGGAGGCTGAGGCACGAGGATTGCAACTTCAAAACCAACTTGAGGGGCTGGGGATTTAGCTCAGTGGCATAAGCGCCTGCTTACAAGCAGGCAGTCGTGAGTTCGATCCCTGGTACTGATAAAAAAAAGAAAAAGGGCTGGTCCGATGGCAGTGGTTTATCAGAACTTATTAACATTAGTGTCACTAAAGTTGGTATACCACCCCTCCACTGCTAAATTTGACTGGCTTTAAAAAAAAAAAAAAACCTGAATCACTTGGCATGACCATGTTTCAAAATAAAAATAATTAACTCAAAGGCCTGGGGATGTAGCTCTGTTCAAATGTACAGGGTTCAACTCCCAGTTCCATACATGAATGGAACAGAATAGGTTTACATTTGGCTCACAATTCTGGGGGCTAGAAGCCTCATGTGTGGAGAAGAGGATGCCCAGTCCCCAGCATTACTGTGCTGGGACGATCCGAAGTTCCCAACATGGAGACACTAGGGACACGCACGACCACAGCCCACGTGTGTTCTCGAATCCTCTGGGTTTTATTTTCTAACATGGTGTTTTCTTTTCTTTTTTCTTTTCTTTTTTTTTTTTTTTTTTTCTAAAATCTCACTGTTGAATAACATGGTGTTTTCTTTTTTTTTTTTTTTTTTTTTTTTTTTGTCTTTTTCCTTTTTATCGGTACCAGGGATCGAACTCACGACTGCCTGCTTGCAAGGCAGGTGCTTATGCCGCTGAGCTAAATCCCCAGCATAACATGGTGTTTTCACACAGAGAGAAGTACTGGGGCCTTGAGCAATTCTATAGAGCAGTGAGGCCCTGGGGCGCAGCTGCATGGGAGTGGGACCCTGCTAGACAGGGAGCAGAGTGGAAGACCATGGGGGATGCGCCGCTGCTCACCACTCAGGGTAAGGCCGGCAGGAACCTTGGTCACCTGCGTGACACAGGGGTCTGTGGGCCACCCCCGAGAGGACAGGGAGTGCATTTCGCTCCAGGCAGACTCTTGACCCATCATCACTGAAAAGTGATTCAGGACCCACTGGGGAGGGATGGGCACATTTGTTAGGCAGAATCAGAGGTGTGGCACTCTGGGTGTGCTGGCGATCAGGGGAGCCACACCGAGGTGAACACAGGTGACTTAGGGTTTTTGTTTTTTTTTCTTTTTTCAGTCACTATGCAGTGCTGGCCTTGAACTCACTGTGTAGCCCAGGCTGGCCTCGAACATGTGGCAGTTCTTCTGCCTCAGCCTCCCCAATGCTGGGCATGTTGCCACCATGCCTGGCTGATTTTTTTCTTTTTCACAGTACTGAGGACTGAACCCAACTTTGCATTGAACTGCATCTCCAACCCTCTTTTTATCTTTAAAATATTAATATTTATTTAGAGACAGAGTCTTGCTTTTGTAATTCATTCTGGCTTGGACTCTTTGTGAAGCTAAGGCTGAGACCTTGAACTCATAACAATCCTCCTGCCTTAGCCCTCCAAGTGCTGGGATTACAGGCAGGTACTATATTATTTTGTTCTGAGACAGAGTCATACATCTTGCTATGTCACTAAATTGCCCAGGCTGTGCACAACCTCCAGCTTTAGCCCCTCAGAGTGCTGGGATACCATACCTGCCTTTTTCTTTTTCTTCCTGAGACAGGTTCTCACTCTACTCCAAGCTGTCCTAGGACACTTTGTAGCCCATGGTGTCCTCAAACTGGTGATCCTCCTGCCTCAGCCTCCGGAATGCTGGGATGACAGGTGTGTGCCACTGTGCTCAGTTACACTGGATTCCGGCTGCAGAACTTGAGAGGGAGGATCTGCCTGTGCCCCCTGCAGCCATGGTCTCAGGGTTGTTCCTGAGCAGTGCAGGCATTGGCAAGTACCTGCTTCTGCCCTGACAGTGACTGCTTAGGCCACACTGCATTCCCTTCTGCCTCAGTCACATGGTGTCCCCAAGCCTGCCTAGCCCCGGTGTGGCCCTTCCTTGGCCCTGGCCACACTGACTCCTTGCTCTCCTCCCATCTTCCAGCTCCAGCTCATCTCCTTCTCTTCGTCCTTGACCCCATCCTCTACCTGCCCCTCTCTTGTGGTCTCTCCAGCCTTCTGGCTCTCAGATCTTCCCACTTCAACCCTACCCATTGGCCATTGTGTTGTCCCTACCACCTTGGC